TCTCCCCCACACCAAGAAATCGGCGCCCTCGCCGGGTGTAAGGTGACTGAGGCGAAATTGCATAGACAGCGGGCCAGTGGACCCCTCTGCCGTTTTGGTTGCTTGTGAGCTAGCTAATGCCAAACTCGGACATCCTGAGGTCAATGTTCCAGTCCCCCACACCATGATCTTTTGCCTATGGGTGGAAGCGGTTCAATCGCTCGAATGGGTGATTTGTGAGTCAATTCCAGGGGAATTGACTCAGTAAAAATTCGCGCTTAAGCGTGGGCGGATGCATTGGCTCAGGGCCTGATTCCATCAGTCCTGCTGTTTGGTCGCGCAGCGCGCTCGAAGTGAGCCGGTGATTACAGAGATCTCAAGGAAGGATTGTGTGGCCACTTCCTAAGATCCCATGGATATACCTGGTCTGGACCGAGGTGGCGCTAAGGCGCATAGTAGCGGCGTCTGGATCGTCACATCCGAGACGTGTACGCCATATTTGTTGCGATATATGTGCAGATGTCACGGTAAATCAGTGATTTTGGGTCACTCAAAAGACGAGTAAATTTGCAAAAATTCGCAGGAGTCTCCTCGCCCTCAAGGCGGTTATTGGGTCAGGTAGGCGAGCAAAGCTTCGCTTTCCCCAAGCGCTCACTGGACTTGCAAGAAACAAGCTGGGAGCGCTGGATTCAGTGCACAAGGTAAGGTTTTCCCCTTCAGATTGTGAAGCGAGAGATTTGTGCAAGTTAAAAGCGCCTACAAGGAGGTCAACTTTTGAAATCGCGCTCAAGGCGATGGGTGAAGAGTTCAAGCCCTTGTCAATGGTTTCTCAACACTGGTTGACAAGTGGGGAATTGTTGGGTGGGCCCCTTCTGACTTCAAAGATCACTGGGACTCGGGGTCCGTGGCTGTCTTTGTCTGATCTGGACCGACGAGCTACGCCCGGGGTTGATAAGTCGCGCAAGATGGCAGCGAGTGTTAATAATGAATATACACGGGGAGCAAAGCCCTTGCCGAGGCAGACAGCGCTTAGTGGCGCCGGTGCTCGGTTCGGAGTTCAACTCGGCGATGTCCGAGATCACAACCTCGGACCCGAAGTTCCAGTCTCGGACCCGAAATTTACGTCTCGGACCCGAAGTTCCAGTCTCGGACCCGAGGTCACATCTCCCAGATGCAATACATTTTGTGTTCAGTTGGCTAGCAGCACGGTATCTGGCCGCAAGTCCGTGATCTTTTGCGTGAGGCTACCCTTTCAGGTGCAATCGGCACGAGATCACTTGATATTTGCGAAGGGAAGCGTTATGAGAACGCTCAATCCCTTGCCGTTTTGCGGTACTTCTCGAGGCGCGCATGCAACATTCTCGTCTTTTCAAAGATCCCGCTGAGTACCAGTTCGACCCGGCTAGCTCAAGGGCTGTAGGCCATGACTGATTTGATTTTTGGCAAGGCGACGGCCGGCAGCTGATAGCAGAGATCACCCGAGCCATGCAGGAGTCAGACCAGCTGAATTAAGAAGTGAACTCGCTTAATTCACGAGCGCAAGGGTCATGAATATTTCCGAGTGGTATGCCGCCTCTTGGGTGCACAAAGGCGAATTGTTAAGCCGCTCGTTGGTGAGCTGACCGGCTTGTCCGGACCAAGAGTTCTAGCAATGGTTCTGCTTGAACCGAGGCCGGGTTGGGATGCGCTCTGACGGTTGGTACCATTGGCAATAAATAGCCAGTTCCCTTGCATAAAGAGCGCGTATATTGGCCATTCATGACCAAGAATTGCATTGGCAATGCATGCGACCGGGTCCGAACGGACGATCCAGATCTTACAATCGCCTCAGCAGAAAAGTTGATTTGCGCAAAGCGCGTTGGCTAAGTCAAGAGATCGGCGCTCTGGATTTCCCAAACCGAGTCAGGCTCAGTAGGTACAGACCCGAGGCAATATTCCCAAGCCAATGTAAGTGCTGTCCATGGCGATTCAGGTGGCCGCGAGGCCGGAACAAAGATTCGCGCATAGATAGTGATTTATGTTCCTCCCGCGGCATCTCTGCTACATGATAGACATGTCCGAGAGATACACGGGCGGTATATTGCTCTCCTGGTCTGGATCGTTCGGGTGAATCACCTCGACGCCGAGAGCCGCGGTTCGACTGGCAGGTTGCTCACAAAAGCGAACCCAGACCAGGTAAAGCAGAGCTTAAAGCTCAGAAGCTCGTGCCGGCTGCTAACAGCCAAGGCGTACAAGCGGGAAGCGTCGCGAAGAAAGGAGTTTCCCTCCTCTGCTCAGCCCAATAGTTATTTTTCGAAGCAAAAATTCGTGGAGTGCCGGAGATGCCCGACTAACTGCCCAATATTTCAGGGAAGCGGCACAAAAGCGACTGCCACAAATTCCGCCCGAGGGTGGTAGGCACAGAGGTTCGCAACACGCGACCAGAGGTCCCTTAGGAGGGGCTTGGGCATGAAGCGGTGCCTCCGCGCAGATAGATACGGCAAAAACCATGCTGGTCCCGCCAGAAGGCGGCAAGGCAACGAAGGACAGGCAAGCGTCCCTGCCTGCTGCGCTCGGGGACGCGCAGACGTCGCACTCGGCGTGAGTGGCCAACAAGGAGTCGCTGTGTCAAGAAAAATCGAAGTCGAAGTCGGGGAAGGAGAATCGGGTCGGAAAAATCGAAGCCAAAGTCGGCGTCGACGGAGAACACGGGACGGAACTGAAAGCCGGTCGGAAGCGGCCTGGGAGTTGACGAAGCCGGGGCCAAGAGTCGTAAGTCGGAAATAATACTGGAGTGTCGGAGTCGGAGTCGGGAACACGGGAACAATGTCGAGAGGTGACAAATCGCATTGTCGGGGCCGGAACTGAGTCGGAGACGAGAGAGAGACAAGAGACAGAGACAGGACAAAGTGGATTCGGTTCTGCATCCTCGCGGAAAGCGCCTAGCGGCACGTTATCCACTCGGGATGGTTCTACCAGCTGTTAAGAAACAGGTTTGTTGGTAGGAGCTAATCGCACTGGGCGACTAGCCCGTTCCGCACTACAAGCTCGCTCTCTGGCCTTCCGCATGGAGCGCTTTGATAGAGCGGTCTCTCTTTCAGGTCCATGAGGTGCAGACTGGATTTTCGGTCCAGGAGCAGTAGTTACAGTACCCGGTACTAGCGAGTAGAATTTGAGGTCTCAATGACACCTGATAGTCTGTACAGCCAGCGCTCGTCTGATCGCAGTACTAACGCAGATCTATCCCCTCGCGGTGGGCTCCAGATGATGGGATCCGTATGCTCCTCGAAAGACGCACGGTACAGTCTGCTTAGACGAACCACACCACCCAACACCAACAACCACGACAGCAACGCGCGTCTAGCTTCATAGCTTCGTCCGAGGAGCGAGCGAGTCCGCTTGATTTGTATTGCTAGGGGATACCCTGCGCCTTATTGGCGGCTCACAGACGAGCTGGACTGATGCGAGACTTCAAGCGTGCAAGAGGCACCTCAGAATTCACACAAACATTCCCAGGTTTCAGTTGGAATCTTCACAGGCTTATCAGGCGCTCAGAAGTCCGAGTTTTTATGATGTACAACATGCTGGCAGCATGAGGGGTTTATTGGTGTATAGTAGGTGGTAGGTTGTGGAACCCCTGCCAGAGGCAGCAAAGGGGGACGCTTGGGGGCGACCTCCCCGCTCCCGAATCGTATGTAGGGCTTGGTATATAACGGAAACGTGTCGTCTCGGCCATCTAGGCCGAGCGGTAACACACAAACCCTATCTCTGAGTCAAAATCCAACAATAGCGTCTTCCCATGTGTTCTCCTGTCCAAATAATCGCGCTAATACTCCGGTTCCTGGCGGTAGAGCGGCTGACTGGTTGGGTATCCTCCTGCGCAGCTGCTCTGGGCGCAATCTCCACATGAATTGATGTTTACCAAGGGCAGTGCCTGCTTGGGTTCCACCGGTCTCCTCTGACTCGACGCAGGCTCAGAGGCCCGTCCGGTGAGGAGGACGCAGTCTAGACGGTTGAAACGCAGTGAACGATGCCCTTGCCGAGGTGTGTGCAGCGTTTGGCGGCGCCGACACTTGGTCCGGAGTTCGACTCGGCAATGTCCGAGATCACGAGCTCGGACCCGAAGTTCCGGTCTCGGACCCGAAGTCACGTGCAGTCATGTTGATGGTTCGAGTTCCGCTTGAGCGGTGCTCTGCGTGTCTCCGCATGACGGCGAGCGACAAGTAGACCTGTCCGAGCCCCAACAATGAAGTATGTTCTTGAAGCGGTAGGCAAACTGACTGAAGGCTTGTGGCGCAAGGAGCGCAGCTACTTGGTTAAGTAGGGCCAGCCAGAAGACTCGCAGGATGTCATCGACGACGCTCAGACTTGTGATCCGGCGCTGAAGAGCTCGCTGCTATCCCTGGTCAGTCGTTGCAGGTGGGTAAGACCGCACAACAGTTCGATTGATGGTTAGGAAGCGTAGTCCCTTGTGTTTCTGTGCCATAAAATACCCTCGACGCGCCCGTTGTACAGTCACGACGTCGATGCAGTATATACGGATCCGCCCATACAATCCAGACTAATGCGACTAGGTAATCGCCTGTTTATGTATGTTTTCCGCGTTTTTCGGCCGACAGGCGTATCAGCGATCTGGAGACTTCGCACGTGAGTGCAGACAGCAGCTGACTCTGACTTGAGGGCGGGGACTTGAGGGCGGGGACTAGGACTTGAGGGTGGGGACTTGAGGGCGATGACAAGGGGCGATGACGGGCCTGTTTCTTCCAGAGTGGAAAACAATTCGCACGCTGCGGGCGGGATATAAGACTGAGCCACGCGTCCAGAGCATGGCAGGAAACTTTCCTTCTACCCGCCCTCACCACCGCGAACCTAGCCCTTGACACCGCCGCGCACTCAGCCCCCCTCGCGCATTACCCAAGCTTCCTCAGTCACTCCTTCTTGCTTGAAGTCAGAGATCCTATCTATCTATAACCATCGGTAGGTGATCTGCAGTGCGCGGAGACTTCGTATCTAATCGCTAATCGGTAGCAGATCCAAACGCAATGGACGCCCAGACCACCGCCCCTCCTACCCGCCCCGCGAGCCCGAGCCCGTTCGCGCCCTCCACGGCGCCTACGACCGTCACCCCGCCCGCGTCCGCTGCACCACCCACCAATGACACGATCCTGGCGCTCCTTGCCAATTTGGAGCACGAGGAAGATACGGACAGCAACGTCCATGGGTGGTGCATCATCGCATAAATGCGTCACCGCCCCCTCCCGGTCCTTCACAGATAGGGCAGCAAGGGAGTCTGGTGCGTGTACTGCTCTGGTTACGGATGTTCCCCATCGCTGACACCCCCGCAGGTCCAGGCCAGACCTGCGCCCGGTAGGGGTTGCAGCACGTCGTCGTCAACATCTCCAACATCATCATCGCCTATCTATCCTCGGTGGTCCCACTATTTATGTTCGTGGCCCGCTATCTATGCTCTCGCTATGTATGCCCTGTCGTCCGCGCTCGGGTCAGCCGAGTCTCGCGCATTTTCTCTGCTGCATGGGTTCGGCTGGCTTGGATGCGATGATCCTTCCCGCCTGCCTGCGTCGCTGCCTGATATGGTGCGATGCCTAGCCGCTGCTCAACAGAGCGCGGCTCTCGCTGCTGCCTCTGGGCGCAGCGCCCTCGCCCGCACCCAATGTGGTGCGGCGACTATGCCCCATGCTGCTCTATGCTATCTATTTATCTATGCCTGCACTATCTATCTGTACTATAGTTTGGGGAATACTGGAAGGTACGAAGGGTATCTACGTGGAGGAGGGAAGAAGGGGAGATTTGGAAGAAATAAAATGTATTTGTATCATTGTCTTCTGCCTCCGAGTCGTCTGCGTGAACACCAATCGCTTGCCTGAGCCTCAACTGCTAGCTCAGCGATGGTTATGACTAGCAAGTTGTAAACGTCTTACCATCGAGCGCAAGCGGGCTGTCGAATCTCGCACCGAGGCTGCAGTTACTATAGGCTTGAGTGGCGACACTGATCGCCCTCAACGAACTCCACCTTGCCGTGTTCCCGAATCTGATCACACCACAGAAAGATAATACAACGATCTTTATTGGATCGTAAGGCTAGCCTAGCTAGCGACCAAAGCCCAGGATTTTCATGCTACACGGTATGCTATGAGGGAGATAAATCAGGTATAAAGAGAGATGAGCAGAGGGGTCGTGAGTCGTGAACGTCAACGATGAGAGATACGTAAACGCCGACGATAAGAGCTGCGTAAACGTCAAAAGAGCAGCGCGAACATCGCGAGCAGTACATGGATAGTGAAGGTCGAAAGGACACTGGCAGTGAGCGGCGGCAAAGGAGTAGCAACGACGCGGTAAGATGATGAAAGAAATCTGAGACGTGGGATGACTATGCAGGAGGTGAGATGTATGCGTGAACGAAAGAGTCCGCGACCAGCGGTGATGGGAGAAGAGGAAGAAATGCATAGAGAAGAGGCATAGGGTGTCAGCTGGTGACGATCATAGAACTGTCGAGCGCCTCCAGGGCGGTGTGGTAGGGCAGACGTCCACGCTAGGTGGGCGTTCGAGGGAGGCATAGCAGGCGAAGCGTCAAAGAGGGAGGCGCGTCAAGGTCTAGGGGTCGTCACCGGGTGGGATCGCCTATGACCCCTCCTCATCGCGCTCCGTGCGCACCGTCACCCGCACCGACGATGGCGAGCGCTCGCGGCGGGCAGTGAACAACGGTGGTAGCGGCGTCGCCGGCCGGCGTGACCGACGCTGCTCGTCGGCCACAGGTGCCAGGTTCGAGAACGGCGGCGTCTCGTGCTCCGGCAGCTGCTCATACGTCGCGTGCTCGAACGACGGCGAGCTGTCGTACGCGTCGTAGATGTAGATCACGTCGCGGCCGGACGCCGTCGAGGCGAGCGTCGTCGCGAGGCTGTGCAGCGAGCTCTGCGAGCGCGAATGCTGCGGCGGGCGGTAGGACGACGTGCGCGGGGGGACGTTCTGCAGCGTGGGGACCGCAGGTGATGTGGCGCTATGAGAAGAGGGCGCGGTTTTAAAGGACGACGCGGTGTGCGCGTGGAGGGAGGACATCACGTCCTCGCGGAAGGATGAGATCGACTGGCTGTGCATCGAGCTCGTTGAGGGGCCGGCGAGGATGCTGCGCGAGGGGAGGCGCTGGAAGGAGAACTCGCGGTGCTCAATCTCTGTCGACGAACGGCGCGAGGAAGACGGTGAGGAGCCTGAGCCGGAGGACTGCGGCGAAGGAGGGATGACGTGCACGGGAAGGGAGTTGTTGCCGTCGCCTGGGTAGTGACTGATGATGTCGTCACCCGAGTAGTCGTTGTTGCCCGGGTAGTCGTAGTCAGGTGGCGCTGTGGTGGCGGGCGAGGACGGGAGAGGGACACCCTTCTCGGGGTCGAAGGACATGCTGCTGTCGGCGGCGGTCGAGGAGTCGAAGGTGTCCTTCATCTTGCGCGCAGGGAACACGTCGCTGCCGCCCTTCGGCATGTACACAGGGAGACCACCAGGTACATTCTTGACATCCTTGTTGTCCCACCTGGAAGAACGATCAGCATTACGATCGTCGTTAGGGTGTGGACCGCGAACGTACTTGGGATGCGCAAGCTTGAACGCCTTGAGCTTCTCGCTCGAAGGCAGCACCGGCGCGACCTTCTTAGCCACGACCGCGTACTTCTCGGAGTAGAACTTCTTCGCCTCATTGGCAAAACCGAACAACGCGAAGAACAGGAAGGCACAGACAACCGGGAGCCAGCGCGTCAGCTCGACTGAGCTCCTGTATGTCGCGTCCGATCGCCAGATGATGGAGGGCACCTGCTCGACGCGGCCGAAGTCGTAGTGGGTGTCCGCCCACGAGATCCACGGCGAGAGCTTGATGCCGTGGCTGCTGAGGTAGATGCTGAGCGCTCCGAGGGGGATGGTGCAGCACATATCGAGGATGGCGAGAAGCATGAGACGCATGTACCGGCTGGTATCGAGGGACTTGTTGTGGGCCAGGATCTGCGCGAACTGAAGGCGGCGGATGTAGAAGGCGCGCAGACAAAGGGCTACATGAATATGAGACAGAGTGATAGAGGACAAGAGACAATAACATACCAGAGAAGACAAAGGAGAACGCGCCAAGCACAAGAGGCCACATGAAGAATAGGAAGTACGCCGGAAGCGTGATGTAGATGGCGGCATAACACCCGACGTCCTCAAGGATGTCGAAGCGGTGAGGCTGGACAATAACATCTGAGAGGTGGTCAGCAACTGTGACGGCGACAACTGGGAGGAGACGCACGAAGGATCATAACGAGGATGGGGATTCCCACTGCAATGGAGATGTCGATGCAAATGGCGCGGATTTTCTGTAGGGTATGTGAGTTGCAGATCGAGAAGTACGATGAAAGGAGACGTACGTCCTGACGTGTGATGGAGACGGAGCGCATGGAAGAGATCTTGTACAGCCGGCGCGAAATACAAAGGCCCGATGCGGGGATGCCAATGCTGACGCCGAGCAGGAGTTTGGAAGCTGAGGAACGTGTCAGTACTGAGACAGCTAAACAAAGGCCACCACCACTCACAAATGTCGCACCAAATGGGCGCGATGTTGAGCGCGTTGCCCCTCCAGACGACCGAGTTCACGAAGGAGATGAGGCAGGCGGTCGCGGTCCAGAGCATATACGCGCAGGTGCCCGAGTTCCATGCCTGGATATGCCAAGGCAGAGGGACGAGGCTGAGGACGAAGCCCAAGAAGGCGAAGGTGGGGAACAAAGGGTACGTCGGGTCGTTGGAGTACATCACGGTCGTCGGCGTCGGCGTCGTCGTAGGTCGTTGGGCAAGAAGGAGCTCGCTGCGCTGGGAGGAGGGTCCGAGCGGGAGAGAAGGAGGAAGTATCGGCTTTCCGTCATGGCTGCCACCCCTTTATGATATCTCAGGCCGTACACGAGGGGGAGAACAATGCAAGATCAAAGGCGCGTCTGTCTTTGTGACCGGTGATGGGGCATTGTGCGTCACGGTCACGAATTCGTGATGTCTGTCACGCGCCATTGTTCAACCTTCCAGGCGAACAGCGCGCCCGCATCTATCCCTGCATACTTCCTCGGCACACGTATCCTGTCTCCTAGCTACGGCTGCCCTCCGATGGAATTTTTGCCTACGGGAAATCGCTTGTGACATCGTCAGGCAAGAGCCTTCCAAGCCATGGTCAAGCAGGTGTTCAGGAAGGCGTTCACCGCCTTCAAGGTCTGCCCAGGACTACTTTCTTGCGCTATACTGCAGACTTCAATCGGGTTCTCGCGCGGCTCAAGAAGTCAGGGAAATTATATCGCGCATAGGAGGCGGAAACCACCCCGCAAGTACATCGAACACCGCGCTCTGCCGGCAGAGACTACCCTAGAGATCATAAATAGCGTATAAATCTTAGTCGTGTGCGTGTACTGCGTCGTGATGTGGTATCGTATGCGTCGGATCGTGAGAGGCGTCAGAGCGTGACGAACAAGGGAGAGAGAACGAGTCGAGCGAGGAAGGATAAGCATATGTACAAGGAAGGACGAAGGGCCGCCGCGAGCGTGTATGTGGGCGGATAGGAGGGAAACATATACAAGGTCGGTCGAAGGAGGCGGAGCATGCAGCACAGGGGATTGAACGGGATCCAGGAAGGTCGCGGGGGTGAACACCGCGAGTATAGAGTATAGTTAGGCGTCTGCAGAAGTCGTCAGCGCGAGCGGAGAGGGCAGGAATGAGCAAGCTCACCAGCTGTAGGACAGCCGACGCAGCTTAGAGCATGAGCGAGCCGGCGGCGCTGCGCACGAAGCGCGCGTCCTGCACGGCTCGCTTCGTATCCCCCCTACGCAACCACACACCACCCGTGCACGTTGCTTCCCCCATAGCCGTGCTCGGCGTCTGCCAGGATGGACATGATGACGTCGTCGGGGGATGTGGGCGCGGATGATGGAGATGCTGAGAGCAGGTCGGAGGTGGATGCGGCAAGGGATGCGCTTGAGGAGGATGCGCTCGAGCTGCTGAAGGACTGAAGTCAGCGACGTTGAGATGGGGGAAGAATCACGAAGAACGTACCCAAGAGGATTGCGAGCAGACGCTTCGGCGGGCCGCGAGGTGCCTGCGCCGAGGAAGTCGAGGAGGTCGTCGAAGGAGTCCATGGGGGATGAGGTTGCTCGGCGATGAGGTTGTCGAGTGATGAGCGTCAAGGAGCTATGGGTGATGGGCGCTGGCAAGCTGACGCTATATAGCTATGCGCTGAGGATGTACGACGACGTCGACGATGAGGAGAGCTCAGAAGTAAGCGCGGGCGACGAACAACCAAAAGGTGCCCGCCCGATCGCCTCCCCGCGGGTTATATAGCGCCATCCTTCCCATGGGCTTGAGGGGAACAATGGAGGATAGGATGCATCGTGGTCTGACTCGTGGTGAGGCGTGGGAGGTGTGGTGACGCGCGACAAGGGGTGCCGGGTCGAAGGGGTGCTGGGGTGCTCCGGGTACCCGTGAACAATAAACCATCGATGCTTGTACGTGACAGGTAATCGCCCTTGTAGCTGGCTATCAAGGCGCTACACGCCCAGATACCTCGCGTTACAAGCCCAGAGAAAGCGTGACAAGCGCGCCTGAGGGGCCCTCCCTCGCCCAGTCGAGCGAACAATGGTCGATCAGCGATGCGTGCCGCTCTTGTACGTTGCTCTTCTGATCTTCGTACCTTGCCGTTCCCCCTTCCATGCCAGCATTCACGGTCTTGTCGTCTTTATAGACAGTATTGTTCCAGAGTTTGGCATGATACCGCAGCCCGGGGACGACCTGAGGAACGCCTGGCGCCTGGCAACAAGGACTTGAACCCGTGGGAAACCGACGGACAATGGCGTCGCGTGACTCATCGGCAATAGCTGAATCCCCGCGAGTTTTATGGCCAGCGGACACTGCTGCCAGTTCTTAATATTCTCACTCCTCATGTTGACTTCATTGCCCTCAGCCCCTTGTCTCTAGAGATCCTCACTGTGGAATACTAAGTAGTGGCAGCTGAGTAGTGGAGCTCAAGGCGCTCGAAGTCCGATACCCGGAACGGCGCTGGCCTCCCAGATTGACTGCACAGCCAAGCCGGCCTAGAATAATCAGACAATGCGAGCGCGGTAGCTCCGGTTGACTATCTCATGTGAGTCGACATGGGCAAATGAAGCGAAGTTGCAAGCCGACGGGTGGCGCACAATGTTCAGGATGCATAGATAGTGCGCTTCGGAGAGCGAATGGAAGCTAGCTGGGGAAGAGCTAGAACAAAGCATGTGAGTATTTCAGAGCATCTGCGGGTATTGCGATAGATGGATCAGAAGCCAGTACCGCATACAATGCCGAGACAGACCCCAAATCCCCATAGTGCAAGAGCGAGCAAGGGACAGTCGAGCGCAAGATAGCCGGACGATGATCTCCAACACGCTGGAAGGATGGCGCTCGCAGCGCGAAACGAATGTCTCACAAATCAGAGCTCGCAGTAACCAGAAGAGAAGCGGGGTCGCCTATACTAATAGACATCTGTTCCGGTTCGCGGCATGCATGGGAAAGACGTCGCGTTTTCGCAGAGGGATTTTTAGATTACCAATAAGTGCTAAATTCCAGAAGAGCGTCGGCCGGCCATACAGGTCCGCGTGCCCCATTTGGACACTAAGCAGTCCCATCCGGCCATAGATTCCTTTTTTGGACCTTGTCTGTCCAGCGCGGGTTGGTTCCGCGGATGCGGATGTCAAGGGCGCAAATCGCACTTTCAGCCGCGGAAGCTATGGCGGAAGCAGAACGACGCGAGCGGCAAAAGCAGTCACAGTTGACTCTCCCTTTTGGATAGTCGGCTGCAGTGGACCAGCAGGCAACCCAGACATGCAAGCGCAGCTCAGTGTCTCTGGTGGCAGCTCAACAAGACCAGAAACACCCTACACGAACGCATTCAGCCCCCGCTTCTAGTTGGACGGCGAAGGTCGCCCAACATTCCCATCCAGGTAGTGCCCCGATAGGCGAACAACGGCGGTGGACAAGAGGCAAGCTCGACTCGGAGAACCGGAGGGTAGGCATGTCAGTTGGGCGTTGACGTTAGCGGGAAGAAATGATCAGCGACGTTGAGGTTGAAGGCAAATTAACGCTTGGGGTCAATGAAGTATGAGTTGATCTTTGATGTTCAATACTCCCCTTCCTCCACCCAATTTTCGATGCAGTCCAGCAGGTCAAGAACAGACGCGCAAGCAGAGAAATTGCAAACTTCAAATTGTACACCGTGTATGGACCACCAGCTAGTACAAGTACAACAAGTTCGGTACCAAGGGTATCCTATCGTACAGCCGTCCGGTTTCCAGCACCTGGGGTGTATCTGTAGCGACAGGAGAGCGTGCGACGTGTCGAGTAAGCGTGCGACGTGTCGCGAGTAAGCAACGCGAGAAGCAGCGCAACACGACGCGAGAAGCAGCGCGACATGGAGGGGTAGAAAGAAAGACGAGACATAAAGGACGCGACGCAACGTGTGAAGTGCGACAGATGCGCGTTATGACAGAAGGGCGTCGGAAAAGTAGGTAGGACAAACGGATATCGGCAACAGGCGCCTACAGGCAGAGCGCGACGCGAGAGAACGACGGGGGTCCGCAATAATGAAGAATAAATACGGCCGCGGAAGTCGTTTCGAGGTCGTGAAGGGAGATGTGCGAGGAGTGCGTAAGGCTTTCACGCGGAGGATATAGCATGTTGAGATGCGCTGGGATGCGGTCAGATGGACGCTTGCAAGAAGAACAAAGGATGAAGAGGACTCACACGTTCGTCCTGACGGACGAGCGGGGCACCTAGACGGACGACGCTGCCTCGAGGGCGCGAGCTATCCGTCTCGCTCGAGAGCTCACGCGATGGTGCAGTAGCTCCCGTAGTCCTCTATTGTGTCGGCGTTGACGGGGAGGGGGGAACCGTCGTTGGGGGATCCATGCGCGGATAGGTGTTGTGTCACGCTGGACGCGCCGTGGGTGGGGGAAACTCCTCCATGGGAGGAAATGGTAGAGTTGCTCGCAGCGGCGAGGATGAGATGCTCGATGGCGGTCTCTCCGTCGAGGGAGCCGTCGACGAAGGCGGTGAGGAGGGTGTCGAAGGAGTCCATGGTTGACTGAAGGGTTAGAAGTAGCGCTGGTACGGGCTGGTACTGATGCGGTATGCGCTGGGGTGCTGGTGAGGGTGCGCGAGAGTGGAGCAGTCGATCGAAGACGGCGGGTGTGCACGATATGCGGACGCAGGAGCAAAAGTAAGAGACTTACCTTCCCCCGAGCGTAACATTATATCTGATTTCTCAGTGCCCCGCGAGGCCACAACGAGGCTGCATTGTTCGCCACTCTGGGATCCGAGACAACAGGGGCTAAGTCTTGAGGGAGTTACATCAACGCGTGGGGTTTCCCAAGTTCATTGTTCGCACGGAAGCCGTCTACCCGCCGTGTCCTCTGGTTCATTTCGCGACCCGGCTCGCTCATCTGAGATGAGTGATATGATACGGCGATATGGATAGGACGAGCGATCGCAGGTCAGGAAGACATGCGAGTTCCCAGAAGCGGCAACAAGGAGGAGGAGGATGTCAACAAGGGTAAACACCGATCACTCTGCTCCCGACTTGCATTGTTCTCGCCACTTGGCCCGCTGGACCTCGTCCAGCGGTTTGCACCTTGTCTCTCATGACTCATGTACCTTGTAATGGCTCTCCAGAGTGACCTCAGAAAATAACCAGGCGAGGAACAAGAGCCACTTGCGTGCATCTGCGGCCCTCGAACCGAACGCTGACAATGCGAGCAACCCGCGCTCTCACGCACCCTTTTGGTCGGACAATGAAGCCATGAGTCTCTGACTCTTCTCTGAGACCTTATGAGCCGGGTACATAAGTCTGGTGCCCTATTGTCTATGCTCACTTCGCTTTCCCCGCCGCTGTTGCGTTCGCGGTACGTCTTGTCGACCTCTCACCGCCGGTCTCCCTCACTGACTTTGCCTTGGAAGAGCCCTTCCAGCCTTCTACACCATCGGCTACTCGACCATATTCCGAGCACGCCGCGGCCTTGACAACCTGCACGTTTCCCTCGGCACGTCCTACACCTCGACTACATCCGCGCCCACCACACCCATGGACGACTTCATCACCCTCGACTTCCTCGAAGACACCACCCCGGTCTTCGACTTCGCGCCCCCTACGCCTAACGAGCTTACGCCAGAAGGCTACGACGAGTTCATGCGCATGGTCGCGAACAGCGACTCACCGGACGGGTATTTTGGCGGGTACTGCGTCGTGGCGTGACCCGGCGTAGCCCTGCAGCCGCCCGTCGCTCGTCTGCCTCGACAGGCTAAGGTGCGTTCTTCGACGCGTGCTGAAGACTTCGTCATCCTGACCGTCTATCAGACCGTACCGCGCCGCACTACCCGTGCAATGCTTCCGTTACACGATATCCGACGCTCGTATGAGCATCCCATACAATGCTCCCTGCGAGCACTCCCTACACACGACATCGCCGTGCGCTTATCACCACTGTTCTCATAACGCGGCTACCTATGTCATCTCTCGTTGTCCTTTTCTTCCACCAACACCTCGCGCTACCTATGTACCTCCCCCACTTGCAGTCCCTTTTTCTGATCCTCAAGTGTAGCCATACGCACTTCGCCATGTACTTGCTACTCATCACCGTCCGCCTCGTCTTATCCTTACGCCTTATTTACTTCGTTCGACTATCTCTCTCATGTATCATCAAACGCGCCGCGCATGCCGGTCAGACACGGCGCGCTTGAGGAATATACGCGATTCGCTCGCCTGTCTGACTCGCCCGCTGTGCCCCTTTGAATGTCGACCGCCTCCTCGCACCCTCCCCAAGTCATCCACCCTCAGCACCGCCACTTCATCTCCCACTTTGTGATGGCGATGACTGGGACCAAAACTCAATCGGACGCGTCGCGTCCCTAGATCGGGCCTTCCTTTCTTCTTGCTGTCGTGTCAGCGAGGCGCTGCACCTTCGAGCTCTCCTCTCACCGACGTCTGCGTGGCCGCTGGGTAAGGCTGGCTACTAGTTGGCGCTAACCGGGTATAATTCAGTGTACGCTCACCGGGTATGCCCGGCCTCGACGATGGCCGCGCCCACGCGGACCCACAGCCATCGATAGAAATGGAGATGATATTTCTCCCGAGTTCAAACCCAGCGGTGAAGCTGGTATGTGCCCCAGTTTTAGTGGCCAGTCTACCAGCTCCGGGATGTGGCCAACCAATGCAGTTAGCGTATCATGACCCCCGGAAAGCACAGTGTCTCGCTCGCAATCCGAGCTGGCGAACGTTCGCTCGCGGCTGTACAGCGGTTCGTTCGACTACCAAATATACAGGTGTTAGCCCTCAACTATATTGCGGCATGTACAGTCGGTCTTCCGCCTAACTATACAGCAATCTCCTCCAAGCTATGCGGCATTCTAAGGACACCTATACAACCGCCCGGCAAGTTCCACCGTCTGACTATCCAGCTCGCGGCCAGGGACCCCAATTTATATGTGGCGCACCCCCGCGTATAAAGTGCGTGCGAGTTCCTGCGCGTGGGTTTCTTCCTCCCAGTTGGGTCATCTGTTTTCCGTCGACTTTGGTCACCTTTTTGTCCGTCGATCAGGTTGATCATCTTCGTTCGACTTCACTCGACCTTCGTCACCCCGACCATTCGACCAAACCTATCTACCGCTCTCCAGCAGGTGAGTTGTCCTTCTTACTCACTGTTACACTATATTCCTCAACTGATTGCCTCCTCCCAGCCCCACCCTCCCTCAACCGCAACCCTCAGTCCTCAGGATCCTCCCTCAACCCTCGCCATGAATGCATCAGCCTCCGCCGCGCCCACACACAAGCCCGCGATGCGCACCCCCGCGCGCAAGCCCCCGCAGTCGAGGCCGCAGTCGGAGTATGCCAGTGGGGAATCTGGTGCGGATAGGGACGATATGAGTACTGGGCTATCAGACGGCGCAGGTGAGTGCATCGCGTATCGTACTCGTCCCGCGCAGCAGACGAGTCCATCGTGCTCGTCCCTTAGCAGACGAAACCATCGTGCTCGTCCTCGCGGCAGAGGATTCCATCGTTCCCGTGCCTACGGCCCCAAAGATAAACTAACGAACCCATTAGGATCCAACGATCGACCCAGCACGAAACCCGCCGACGCGGACGTGCGCCGCGCGCTCGCGAGCGGGGACAAGCCGTGCGGGTATGGCGGGGGATATTGTGTAGTTGGCTAGGCGTGCTAGCGCGCACGCACGGCGTGGAAGTGCTGCCTTCACTGCGCCGTCTTGAGCAGTCGAGGTGCGTTGCCTACGCGGGTAACATGCGAAGCATTTTGAGCGCTGATGCAGCCTTTTTGCAGACGACGGTCCCTCAAGTTCCCTAACCCATCGATCCTCCATCGTGGTACCTCTTCCCTCCTCGTCGTCCTTGTTGCCCCGGTCGCTCCTCTTCAGCAGCACCGACATCGCCACACCTCATCCACCCTCGTGTACCTTTCCTTCCCCTCCTCACATCGCCCCGAGCGCCTGCTGCAGCGATGACGCGCGGCGACCATGGCTGCCGGCGGTGTTCTATGCTCTGTCTATGCCGTTCATGCTTTCGATGTAACTTATGATGCACATGCTTTCGTTCTACCGTTATACGAGATCGTTGTACTTGTACTGCTCAATACACGGAGTCCGGCGGATTTTCTCGTCGCCTGCTGTAATTCCATCGTTCCATGCGTGATCTCAGTGCGCTGCAAGAACGGGACGTCGTCGTCGACTGTTCAGCAAGTCATGCAACTGCTAGACCGGACTCTGCTCGTACGATGGGGAAATAAAATCTTGAGCGGTCGCCACTCGTGAGGGAGGAACCCAGGGAGTCGATGGTGATCCTCGCGACTGCCAGAAGCACACAAGTTTCCAACAATTTCAACACATATATAGACGAGTGTCAACTTACATAGCAAGAGCGATAAGTTACATAGAATAAGCATAGCGTGCATGGAAAGCATAAGTCGTCGGCGGGCAGCCATGGGTGGGCGCACACAAGCCGGACGATGGGATGGGCGATCGGTCTGCGGGGGGAGTCAGAAGATAAGCAGGAGGCGAGGTAGGCTGCATACCTCAGCAGCAATGGGACGAAGGGGCTAGCAGATGATGCAGTAGCTCTGGTAGTCGGTTATCTGGTCCTCGAAGTCGCGCGGGACCTCGTCCGCGACGGCAGCGGCGGCGACCGCGGCAAGGTCAACGTAGGTGAAAGTGTCCATAGCCTCAAGGACTTGTTAGCTGCCTTCCCAGCGGTACGCTCCACGGACTCTCACTGATGAGTGAGCGACTGACTGACGAGCGAGCGGCGAAGTTCGATCGGCGCGACGAAGTTCGATAGGTGCGACGAATGCGAGGTGCAATGGGTGCGAGAAGGATGTGATCTCGAGCGGAACCTGCTCAAGTCCCACGCTCGGACTTTCCGGGTAAACAGCGCAGCTGACGGAACGGAATGGCTGTCCCCCAGTTACTCGAGGTGTTAAGTGACGCGCGGAAAATCCAGCCGAGGCGGGTGGATGGCTAAGAGGAGACAGATGGTTGGCTGCCAGTGGGAGAGGGTGCAAAGTTATTCTTGGGCGCGGGAGTTATCTAATCGGCCGCTGATGCCCGCGTTCCTTATCGCGGGGATCTGCCGAGACGAGCCGGCGGTTCGTTCTGATTTTCACAAAGTCCGCTGCGGTTCGAAGTTCATTTGCAGGCGCATTTCACCTCAAAGCACCGAAGGCTATACCACTTTGGGCCCTTCCTTTGTCCCTCGGTGCCTGTGACCAACGGGCGATGACTGGGTTTATGGCCGCTGGCTGAGGACGCCAGACGCTGCCCCCACCGCCCAAGTCGGACACCAGACGCGTCGAACCAGATGGCCCCTCGACCAAGCCCAACAAGGCAAGCGAACGGAGCGACGGACGCGGACCAACCGGCGCCCACATGCACCAACTCGAGCCGCCCGCTGCTACCCTGAGAGCCCCCCGCATCCTCGCATCGCATCGGACTTTGGTACTATTTGTTGCGGAGCTCCGTCTGTCCTCGTGAGCCAAACTTCATCGCCGAAAGCAGCGAAGACACGGATTTTCTGGCCTGGGTGACCGAACTCGGAAAGCCCGCTGCAAGTGCGTCGAAACATCCGCCTGCGCGTTTCCGTTCTTCCGTGGTGTCTGGCTGCGTGTGGTCGGCTTTCTCGTCAGCTGCTGACTCTGGTCCCCGGTTTCTATGAGCAGCTGACTGACGACCTTTCGCCTCGCCCGCGCATCCAATAGTTATTTTTCCACTCGCTGACCTGAACGTGCGCTTCTCATTCGCTCACCAAGTTGCGTTTCCCGGGCCTCATCCGTACGTGGGTAAATTTATTCTTCCACTTGCCTTACTTGGAGTCCCGCTTGCCCCTTCTTCTTCCTGACCGCCATCTTGCGCAGAGCTACCTCGTCACTCAGCTTGCCGGTTCTCATCCGACTTCCTGTCGCATACTTGCTCCTGTTCGCTGCCTCGCCACACAACTATCCGTCCCTTCCTGCTTTCCCAAGCGCAAGTAGGTCCTTCCAGTTGTCCGCCTCACTGATCGCTCACCATCTACTCTTTTAGTCCTCCGAGCACCCGATGGACCGCCCTCACACCAAGATGGCTGCCTTCAGCGCCAGAACATCCTCTCCGGCGCCTGTCGCCTCCACCATCGCCTTTCCCTCGACCCGCACCAAAGACACCGCCCCCTCCACCAGCGGGTCATCCACGCCCACCCGCCCGGCCTCCGCCACGCCTCGCGCCCCCGACGCCGACCTCCTCCGCCTCCTTGCCGATGCCCGGTCGGCCATCGCGCGCCCCCCTCAGGACGCGGACGAGCCGGACGGGTATTTTGCGGGGTATTGCGTGGTGATGTAGGGGACTATGGTGCGTGGTGGTGTAGGGGACTAGGGCTCTGCTATGTGAAGGCACGTTCCTCTGTCGTTTCCGAGCCGCAATCGGATACGCTGACCTAGGCTTGCAGACGATGGGCCCATCGCCGGTTCATCGCCACTCCTCTCCTCAGGCTTTCGCACTCATCCTCAGGCTTTCGCGTCCATCTTTCCCCTCAACAAATCAAAGCGTACCTCTATATCTATCCATCGTCGTCGTCGGTCCCCGGCCCCGTCTCTCACCTATTCATCTATACCCTGCTTTCTATCTATCCGTCTTGCCCGGGGTTTCGTGTATCTATGCATCTTGGGTTTTCTTGCCGTACACATCTTGGGTTTTCGTGCCGTATATATCTATCCCCCTTCTTCAATTGCGCTACCTCCTTCATGTTCTTGCCTCTAGGTACTACCCCATCCTCTATGTACTACCCCATCCTCTACGCACCTCATCGCCTTAGGAGCGCCCACTCACGGCTGCATTTAGGAGCGCCCACTCACGGCTGCACCACCCAGTTTATCTGCGTATCTATCTCGCCAACATTCGCGGAGCGCCTTACCATGGCTGCACACGGAGCGCCTTACCACGGCTGCACACGAAGCGCCTCACCACGGCTGCACACAGCGCGCCTTATCATGGCTGCACACGGATGCGCATCGTTATGCATCTCCTTTCCATGCTCTCTGCTATGCTTTCCTAATTCGACGTATGCTGGATCTTTTCTATGTATCAATACGCTCTTGCTCGAATATACTCGCGATTGTTTTTGTGGCAATATACACACGGTTGGTTTTGTGGCAATATGCACACGGTTGGTTTTGCGGCAAATACACACGGTCGGTTTTGCGGTAAATGTTGGTCGTCAGAAGTATTCCTTGGGAGGTGTGTAACGCCGAGCCATACGCCGAGAACAACAAGCAGAGGGAAAATGCATACGAGGTGCTGTTGGCGTCCGAGGTCTCAGAATCAGACGTTCAATGGGCTTGAGGGTCACGTTCCGGGGCCAGCATCCAGCGCATCTTGAACTCGAGTGCACGCAGTCAGACTCGGTGTGGATTTCCCTTAAAGATCGCCATAGATACGCGCTGGCAGCTGGGTACAAGTACAACATACAACACGGCCACCGAATATTTACAGAAGACGAATATGGAGGAAACTGCGGTCGGTGAGGAAGGGCCCGGGTCGGTAGGTCGTTCACCAGGAACGAATGGGACAGGGACAGAAAGTAAATCGTAGGAAAGTGGATCGTAAGAAACGAAAAAAGCAGATCGTAAGAAACGAAAAATGCAGATCGTACGAAACGAAGAGCGTAAGAAACGAAGAGGCAAGGTCGGCCGCGCTGACGCGGAAGACTGTGTATGGGTCCGACGCGTCGGGGAAGCTGGAAAGGTATCGCAGAAGCGGCGTCAAAATCGTGCGGTGTCCAGCCGCGCGTTGCACGGCGACGACGCGCATCGAACCGCGACGGACGCGCATCGCACGGTGATGGACAAGTAGGCAGCGAAGGCATGCGAGCGACGAAGCGCTCGAGCATGAGGGTATCATATGGGGAGGAACTCGAAGGGGTCCTGGTAGATCGTCAGCTCAGGCCACACAGACGATAATCGACCCAGCGTACCTCGCAGTCCTGCGACTACGCGCTCACATCTCATCCTCCAACCGCGGACACGGTGCTGCGACCTCACGCAACCACACAGTACCCCCCGCCGAACCCGCACGGGCTGTCCGCGTTGACGACGAGGTGCGGGTCGGTCGCTGCTTTCGCGGAGGACAGCAGGTTCGGCGAGGGAGACGAGGGCGAAGGGGAGGCAAATGGTGTTGATCGCGAGGAGGATGCGGACGATTGGGAGGAAAAGCAGTCGCCCGAGAGCGATAGCGCCGCGTCGAGGAAGGATACGGGCATGTCGTCCTCGAAGGTAGGCATGGTGCCGTCCAGGAGGGAGAGGGTGGTGAAGGAGTCCATTGGCGTGGGCTTGGGTAGACGTATGGAGCTTGGTTGAAGCTTGGACTGGGTTCAGGAGATTCTGAAGGTAGTGTCAGAGGCAAGAGCTGAAAAGCAGAGGGTAGATAGCGCGCCTGAAGCTGATTTGGAAGCGCGTTCGTCGACGGTAAGCTCTGTGCTGCAGCGGTACTTCTGGCGTGCAAAAGGTAGGTCCTCACACTCGTACAGACAGCCTCTTATACGAAAACTTCGAACCATTGTTCGCCGGATCAGGTCAGATGAGAGCACTTGACGCAGTGTGAGGGGGACATGCGTTGTTCGCCGTCCGGGCACGAGGTAGCATTGTTCGCTCGATACGGTAAGATACGTGTTCCTGGCTTCAGAGGCATTCGGGGGATGCAGGAGTGCAATGCATGGACTGAACAGGTTCTGCGAATGCTCAGAGAGCGATGACGGTGTCTGCCATGCTCGTCTTCGCCTCGATGTGACACGTGCTGGATGACCGGTCCGACTGCCGTTCTGTGGCGACTGTGAGTCACGACAGCACGTTCGACCCCGATGCCATCCGAGTCCACGTCGACCGAAGGCGCTACGCAGGTCGATGGCCAGCATATCTCCGACATGTGCTGTCCTCTGAGACAGCGCAGGCTTGACAATGCGGCGTCTGACACAGTTTTCAATCGGAGTCCGCCTTGCATTCTTCTTCAATGATTGGGCCAACTTGCCCAATATTAGGGGGTTTATTCTGCTCTGAGCTGAGGCCGAACGCAACGGAGACGGCGCCCCGTTACCCGCGCGCAGAAACCAGGCGACCCGGACGGATGGGGGTAGCTGATTGCAGATCACTCTCACGGGTCGCTGGTTGGACGACTGAAGTTGGAAGGGGGCCCACCCTCTTTTTTTTCTGCTTACCTCGCGTCAGTTTCCCTCACCTTGCGTCGCCTCTGCCCACCTTGCGCCTCCTCTACCCACCTTGCGTCGCAACCCTCATCAGCCATCAGACGAGTTTTCTGCAACCTCGACTTGTCAGCCAGCCGCGCAACCCATCCGCACCTTCTAATCGGCCGCGCGTCCTCCCTCGCGAGCACTTCACCGTACTCATCGCCGCGTCACCCGCATCGCTGCTGCCGCCAACCAACACACCTACCGCCCACCACCAGCACACCAGCCATGTCTGCCGCCGCACCCACCACCGCCAACCAGCCCAAGCGCAACCCCGCGATCCAGGCGCTCGTCACCAGTGCCCCCTCAGATTTATCCAGCAGCAGCACCCCCTCAGACCTATCCAGCAGCAGCGACGCACCGCAAAGCCCCGCGCTCACCCCCCGCGGGGGATACTACGTGAGCCGCACGACGGGGCGGGCGGAGCTGAAGGACGCGGAGAGGGAGGGGGACGGGAACATGACCTACTTCTGCGAGGTTATGTAGGGAGGGGAGGGCGGGATGCGCCCTGCACGTCTGAGGGCGGGATGTGCCCTGCACGTCTGAGGGCGGGATGCGTCCTGCATATCTATTAGGGTCGCATCCCAGGGCTACTGCCCGCGCTGTGTCTAATTTGTGCGCACCGCTGGCGCTCTTGGCGGGCTTTCGACCATGCTGATGCGTCCTGCAGATTTGACTCCTCTCGTCCCGCAGATTCGTCTGCTCCTCTCGTCCCGCAGATTCGTCTCCTCCTCTCGTCCTGCAGATTCGTCTCTTCTACTCGCCCCGCAGATTTAACTCCTCCTCTCGTCCCGCAGATCCGTCTGCTCCCCTCGCCACTCGTTCACCTGCCGTACCAACCTCGTTCAGCTCACCAACCGCGCGCGATACCCGCCTTCACCATCCACCAGACTCGCCAATCTCACCAACCCACCACACTCGCCAATCTCACCACCCGCCTTCGCGGTCCAGAGCGCCTACTACGGCTGCATCACTAGCGCCTCCACGGCTGCCGGGCGCGAGCCACGTCTATGCTATCTTATTCTATGCTATCTCGGTCTATCTCATCGCCTGCTCATCGTATGCCGTCCTGTTTTCGTTATGTCGTCTTGTTTTCGTTATGCTGTAGTACTATTCCTCGTTATGCTGTAGTACTACTCCTCGTTGTGCTGTGGTACTATTCCTCGTTGTGCTGTGGTACTATTCTGCGTTATGCTGTAGTACTAGTATTCCTGAGTCGTTATGCTGTAGTGCTATTCCTCGTCACGCTGTAGTACTACTCCTCGTTATGCTGGAGTACGACACCCGATATATGCTGTACCATACCCTATATATGCCTGTCGTAGCCGTACTTGAGCCGCACCCGCGCTCGCCTCCTACGTGCTTCCTTGATCTTGACTTGTCTTTCCGCACCGTGTTAGACAATTGGCATAGTTGCCCTGAGCCTGGTCTACGACGAAGGTACGTGGGTGCACCCTGCCGGTGTTGCTGCTCATCACAGGGAGACGCTTGAAGGGAGAGGCTTGCCTGTCTTGAGGTACGTGCCCGCTGCCTCTTCGAGAGTGGAGCTGACGTTTTGCCTGCAGATCGCCGTCACCCCAGGTGCCGACTGTCGTGCTCCCCTGTATCCGGTCGATCGTCATGCTCCCCTCTATTCAGTCGATCATCACGCTCCCCTTCCTCCATGACCGGCCGTCTATTCCCTCTCCTGAGGAAGGGCTTCTCTCCCCTTCATTAGCGCCTCGCCAGGTCGTGGTTGCTTGTCGCCATCCATCCATCGCGACTCGCCAACCCATCCGTGAACCCCCTCGCCGATCGCCCTTCTCCCCGCTCTGTGTGTCCTCTTCCTGACGTTCCTCCATCTCCTGATCCTGTTCGCAGATGCATCTTCTGATCCTGTTCGCAGATGCATCTGCTGATCCTGTTCGCAGATGCGGCGCTTGGATATCTCGTTGTAGGAATTGTACATTGTAAGATTTATACATAGGCTAACTTCTTGACTTCTCGAACTACAAACGCGTCAGCAGCACCGCCCTCCTCTGTTCCAAGCCCCGGCTCCTCTCACCTTCCTTTCGCCCTGTTCCGATTCTCGATCCCTGTTCCGATTCTCGATCCCTGTTCCGATTCTCGATCCCTGTTTCCATTCTCAATCCCTGTCCCCATTCTCAATTCCTGTTCCCATTCTCAATCCCAGCTCCCGACGCCTCGCCGCGTCTTTGTAAATGCCCGATCCTCCCACAATCTACTCATCGCGTACCCCCATCGCGCAGTTGTAAGGGGACCAGCCGGGAGTGGCCGAGTGGAGAGGGTAGCGGAGACGAGGCTAACGTCTAGGCAGCCATGGTCCCCGGACAGCCACACCACCTAGAGGGAGGCGTGACGTCCTAGAGGGTGAAGAGCGTTACGGCGGACGAGGGAGAGGATCGACGGTGATGGCGGGTCGTGACCGACGATAGAGAGGGAGTAGGGTAGGGCGTAGCTCGGTAGAGAAAGGGAGGCGAGCGTACTGAACACCGCTACACGGTGGACCCATGCGTGAGCCATACATGGGGGTCACCCCACGAGTAGGGTGCCCGGTAGGCAGCGCTGCCAGCGCCTACACGAGGTGGAGGGTAGTGACGAAGGGGCGGCGTCACTAGGAGAGTGGGGGAGGCGTATCAGCCAGAGATGCGGCCGGTGGCGGTGATCGATGGAGGGCGACACCGACCGGAAGGAGGAAGGGGCGCGGTGCAACGCCAGGATCGAGGGGGGTAGCCTTGATCGACGAGGTGGGGAGAAGGTGCACTGGGGAGGGCGCCGAGAGATGCCCTACGCCGGAGGAAGCGCAAGGAGCAGCGTTAAGACCAGACGTACCACGGCGAGCATGAGCTCCAAGCCAGTGGGGGAGGGGATGACACGATGGGTGGCGGCATCGGTCAGGGAAGGGGGATGCGACCAGGACGAGTGGCCAGCGAGGCGAGGGGAGGTGAGCCCACAACGGACCGATGGGAGCGGAAGGCCTGACGAGGGGTGGTACTCCCGGAGGTACACTTCCCACTGCTGCCAGGGGGACGACCGACTAAGCCGCACCGGGGGACGAAGGGGAAACACACCAGAGCGAGGAGGCGAGGGGTGCCACGGCGTACAGGGAGGGCCGTTCCCCGGAGTACTAGCACCACAACCGCTGCAGAGGCGCGGGCGTAGACCAAGCCTGGGGACGCAACCCAAGCCAAGGGAGGCGGGCTCGCTAGGAGGCGGCGGAGGCAGCCGAGGGTGTGGCAGGCCCAAGGCGGCAAGGAGGGGATGGGGCAATCATCGATGGGCGACGCCCACCGTAGCCAACGACGAGCGTTTCTGGATTAGAGAACTCCCAGAGGTTAACTAAGAGCCAGGCGTAGGGGCGCGAGCTAGGCGAGCGGGGAACCAAGGTATATTAGCAGGGGGACAGTAACCAGTAAGTACCAACACACCTAGGCGAGCGGGGAACCAAGGAGATCAAACCCAAAGGATCTCCTGATGCCCACTGCCTGTATATATACTGTAGCTATAGTAATCAAGGGGATAGGAGATAACTACTACAGTCATCAGGTCACAAGGTCGGTGAGCGATGATGGTGCGATAAGGCGCCATACAGTAGTGGTGGTGGGAGACAGGTAGAGTACTGGCAATGTCCAGGAAGGGGAAGGGATAAATAAGAGAAAGGGAAAGGGGTAGGTTGCCAAAGGGAGAGGAGGAGAAGGGAAGTAGGAGATATAAGGGGAACACACCAGGAATGAGTCATAGGTGATGACTGATGGGGGGTGTCAACACATGCAAACACCATCAGTCCACAAACCAAACATGACCAAACCAATTGAGTCCACATCACGCTTGTGGGCGCTTGTGGGTGGCGTGGATATCCCCTGACAGCAGTGTCCCGAGTCCTCACCTTCCCTCTAGTCCTCACCTTCCCTCTAGTCCTCACCTTCTCTCTAGTCCTCACCTTCCCGAGACCCCACCTTCCCTTCGACGATAACCATCCTCCTGCCTTCATTTCCACAGCGCATCCACTCACCCCGACGCCCATCCCCTACCCCGTCACGCAGAAATACACCACATCCGCATCCTCCGCGCGCTCACTGTTTGCGCCTGCCTTTTGGCCTCCCCCGCTGCAGCCTCCTCCCCCACTGAAGCCTCCTCCCCCACCGCGGCCTCCTCCCTCGTTGAAGCCTCCTCCCCCACCGCAGCCTCGTCCGCTGCCGCTTGTTCCTCCTGCCAGCCCACCATCCGAGGCGCCAATGGGGCTCGACTCACCTGAGCTGCCACTCCCTCCGCCGCCGCCACGACCCTCACCCCCACTCGCGAGCATACCCTGGAGCGCGGAGGTGCCTGCTGGCGCCTGCGAGGGCGTGGGGTGCATGGGGATGGCGGTCGAGGTGGTGGGGATGGTGCCGGAGGAAGGGGGCATGATGGGCGGGGAGGGGGAGGGACGGGTAAGGGGAGATGGGTGGGAGGGAGCGGGTGAGGGGGGGGTGAGCAGGTGAGGGGGGGGTGAGCAGGTGAGGGGGGGAGGGAGCGGGGGGTGCGAGGGAGCGGGGGGGTGCGAGGGGTGGGGGTGTGAGGGGAGGAGTGTGGGAGGGGAGGAGGGAGCGGGGGTGAGGTGCAAGGGGAGGAGTGTGAGGAGGCGAGGCGGAGGGGGGAGGGAAAAGAGAGGAGACGACGGAGGACGATGGTTGGGGTGAAGGTAGTGCGGTTAGCAGAAGCGGTGGAGGAGGGCGGAGGAGAGAGGCAGGCGAGGGGGAATTGGCGAGGGGATGCGAGGGGAGAGGGAAGCGAGAGGGAAGATTGGCGAGGGGGGCGAAGGGAGGAAGTGGAATCACGCTGACGACGGGCACAGAGCAGCCGACGGCGGGCACAGCGACAGAGAGCAGCCGACGACGGTGGAAAGTTGAAACGACGACGGACGATAGCGACGAGCACAACGGCGGGAGGGGATGGACGACGATGGGCAACACAAGTGACGATGGGCGACACTAGCGACGATGGGCGATTCTAGCAACGATGGGCGATACTAACGATGATGAGCGACACTAGCGACGATGAGCGACACTAGCAACGCAAACGAAGTCGGGGTGGGAGGAAACAAGGCCCACCAACCGCCTGCCTTCAAGTTATATCCCCGCTGCCACCTGTACGCGCGTAGTATGCGTGCGCCCCGCTGCCACCCGTGCACCCGCACCCCGCTGCCACCCGTACACGCGTAGTATGCGTGCACATCCCACGGCCGGCGTACGCGTGTCGCCGACAATCACGCCACCCATTGTTCACCTAACCCTCGACGTCCGCTCGATCAAATCGGCATTGTCCATCGTACGCGCGTCCGAGTCCTATAGGACTGATGTTACGCACATCCCCCACGACTAATGGTATGCGTGTTCCCCACCCTCCCACCATCCAGCTAAGCCTCCTCTCCACCGACGGAAAGCCTTCTGTCCACCGACCAACCGCCCATTGTCCGCCACATCGAGCGCGCGGCGCGACCCTAGGTGAGCGCACGCCCAACCCTAGGCGAGCACACGCACAGCCCTAGGAGAGCACACGCCCGACGTGCTTCGCGCGCCATCACTTACCAGATATGGCAGGTCTTGTTATCCCGAAACGCGTCGAGGCGCTCGCTTAGATATTGCGTTGCGGTGGAGACTTGTATACCCCGCGCAAGACAATGCTCTCAGAACCCTGAGGCCGATAATGCGCAGGACCATGGGGCCGACATCGCGCAGGCCCGAGCACAACATGCAGGCCCAAGCATAATATGCAGAACGTAGCAGACAATGCCTGTCAATAAGGAGACAATGCCCGCAATGAAGAGACAATGCGCGTCACTGAAAAGACCCTGACGGTCCTCGCACCGTTTACGTACCCTCGCAGGAGGGTATATAGAGCGAGGGGGGCGCCACCCGCCACTCTTAGCTTTCACTCTCATGTCGTGCCCCACCGCCTCGTCGACGTTGATCCCCTCCCCTTCCCATTTCGCCCGTCGGCGCGACCGGCCTCGTTGTCGTGAACATCGTCAAGGCCGGCCTCGACGTCACCCTCATCGCCTTGCGTCAGCAATGCCTCCGTCTCCTCATTGTTGTCGACCACACACTGTAACTCGACCGCTACCCAATTATCCCGGCTTCGGCGAAGTCGGTATCGGCCACTTGGCCTAGACATGCTCGACCTTACCCGCCCACCACCAACGCAGGCCAAGTCATTACCCCAAAGTCTCCTCCACAACTTCATCTCCCGCGCCACCCTCAACGCACCTTCAATGCCTGCCCTTCGCTTGCCCTCGCTCGCACTCACCCTCGCCTCCATCGCGTTCTCCCGAGTCATCGCGCGCGTCTCGAACACGAAGCCGGCGGGGGCGAAGAGGGTTGATCCCGCTCAGCCGGGACGATTGCTTCCGGATCCGTTGGTGGCTGAACTGGCCAACCGTCAGCCACGTCATCTCAACAGGTCGGAGAGAGCGACGCTCGCAGGCAGGGGAGACGGTCATCGCCAGGGCAGAGCTCGCGGCGTTCCGACCCCTCACCTGGCCAGCTGCGATCTGGCCACCCGATCGAGCCAGCTCGAAGGCCAGAGAAGCCAACCACCTGAGCCAAAACACGATCGGCAAGGATCAGCTTCCATCGCGGAGAATTCAAAAACTCCCGCGACCGCGGGTTCAAAAAGGTTCCACGGCACGGAACTCAAAGCCTTCCATATCAGGAAAGTCAATAGCTTCCGTCGGAGTTCGACGCGGTCACGTTGGAAACACGTTGGGAAGGCGACGCGTCGACGCTCTCTTACAGCGGGGACCAAGGGGCTAGCGAGCGCCAGGCTAAACGGGCCAACTTCAATGGACAACGTCGAGCGAAGGGCTCTTGCGATGTAGCAACGACCACATCCGGTACTACTAAGCTGCGCTTCTGAAGGTCGCGCAGCCACACTTCTAACGGTCGCGCGGCTAATGCTTCAAGACCGAGCACAGCCTGCGGACAAAACAAGCGAGAAATGCATACCGGAATGAAGATGAGGCCGAGTCGACGTCGGGACCTACTGTATGCATATGACCGAGTCGAGGTTAGGACCTGTAACTGAGTCGACGTCGGGACCTATAACCGAAACGAGGGTGGAAGTCGTTCAAGTCAGACGAGGGTCGAAGCTCACGCAGCCAGACGAAGGACGAAGTTGACGCAGCCAGATGAAGGACGAAGTTAATACAGGCAGACGAAGATCGATATCGCAGCCACAACATCCGAACGAAGGTCTTATCCAACGGATGAAATACCTAACTGGAACAATCGCCGGATCACCAGAGGTTCAAACGGAGCCCGGAAGGTCATCGAGAAGCGCAGTGGTGGTCATCGAGCATACCGAAGCTCATCGAGCATACCGTAACCGAAATGCATTGCCGAAACTCAAGCCCACGCAGCCGACTGTAACTGACAATCACACCGAACGGAAAAGACCAAAGGAAGCATCCGAACGGAAAAGACCAAGGAAACATCGCATAGACCAAGGAAGCATCGCATAGACCAAGGAAACATCGCATAGACCAAAGGAAACATCGCATTCATGCCCAGGCATCTATCGTACACGGTATGGATACAGCACAAAGAAAAAGAGAGAGATCGTGAAGGTTCGTGAGCGTGTATACTGATATGCGCGGAGGGGCGGTTGATCCAGCAAGTATGCTACGCACAGCGGGGGGAGGTCAACAGATACAGGGAAGGGAACCGAGGAGACATATTGGGGACCTAGGAAACGAGAAGACCACCGCGAGGGGGATACGAGAAGACTACCACGGGGGTACGAAAAGACCATCAAAGGATATGTACGCAAGAGCATATACAGGGCGAAGGTCGAAGAGGATAAGGATATTTGCGCGCCAGGCAGCAAGAATCGAGGGAGGGTGTGATGGTTGGGTCGTGTAGTGGGCAGAGGATATGTGGGAGCCTTAAGACGCTCGGAGGCCGCGGGAGAGAGGGGTAGACATGGTGGTGGTGGTGGTGGTGGTGGTGAGGACGTTGAGGCCCTGGGTATGGCCGATGATCTTCGAAGGGAAGTCAGTCACGTCGATCAAAGGCAAGTAGGGGAGAGACGCACCATGAGCGCGCAAAGGCGCCGCGTCCGTCGGTGGTACGCGTCGGGTGCTGTCCACCGGTGGTCCGCATCGGTGCTGTCCACCGGTGGTACGCGTCGTGTGCTGTCCACTAGTCGCACGCGCCGACGCCCTCTCAGGCGACGACGCAGAAGTACGTCATGTTGCCCGAGCCGTGGCGCTCGGCGTCCGACACTACAGCGTCAGACGAGGGCCGGCTCGAGGATAGCATCGCATCCAAGGCATCGTCCTCGGGAACCGCGCAGGCATCGAGCAGCGCCTGGAGGAGCGTGTCCTCGAGCGCGGGGAGCGTGGCGAAGGAGTCCATGGGGGAGGGTGGATGGCTCGGTAGTATAGCGGCTGGGGGGTTGGGGGTGTGCGTCGGGTGCGCGGGGCGTGCGGATGGGTGGGTGCAAGCGTTGGATGCGCTGGATGGGCAGGTGCGCGGTAAGGGCGTTGTATGCGCTAGGTGTGCGGGTTGGCGGGCGCAGCAAGGACTGGTAGGCGTGTCGAGCGTTCGAGAAGTACTGACTCGCGAGCGGCGCTCGAGCGATTGGTAGGTTCTGGCGTGCAGGGGGTGATAACACTTGAAGAAAAACGAGAACTGCACGCATGGCCCTATATACACCCGCCCATTGCATTGTTCGCCACTTCGGGGTAGCCGCAGGGAGTTAAGGTGACTCGCGGCGAGTGAAGGTGTCTCGTGGCCATTGTTCGCGCAGCGATCATCGCGAGTCTCGTGGCTATTGTCCAGTAGACACGTACCATTGCGTACGACATCACCAAGCTTGTGAAGCTCCCCTACACTAGCGCAGCATGTCTTGGTTTCCCACCCAGATTGTCCGCCTCGTGCCCATTGTTCGCCGTGGGTGCGTCGGTATTCGTTTCCTAGACAGAGCCCTCATTTCGGTCTGAAGCCGTCGATGCCCCTCTTCTGAAGCCTTAGATGTGCCTCTCTTCTTGTTCCGTAGTGCCCGAAAGGTCTATCAGGTGAATTTCCTAGAGAGGACGACTTGCATTGTTTATGGTCGTGTTCACTGTTCAAGCGCATCGGTCACAGTATGTCACGATTGCGTCACGATTGCGTTACTGATAGTCACAGATAGCGGCATTATCTTACACGTGGCCCGGCCCGAAACGTTGTTCACCGAAACCGGATTGGCTGTGAACCCATTGTGAGCACCCCCAAAGCTGACCGAGTATAAGAAGTGGGCGATGACATCGTAGCGACAACTTTTACCGCTGTCGCATCCCCCTTCGACTCGCACTTCGATCTTCGAGCCCCCTCTGCGCATACCTCTTGCACCCCGCGCACTCCGCTACCGCGCGAATCTCCAGTACGTTGCGCGATGGGATTCTTCCTCCAACCTTCACTGACATTTTCACAGCCCGCTACACTCCCTGACCTGACCCAATTGACCGAAGACACCAGCACCAATGGACGTCTTCGCAGAGCTCTTCCCCACACTCGTTGTCGACACCCTGGGCGCGGGCGACGCACCGCTCGGCGGTCCTTCCCCGCTCGCGGGCCCCTCCTCATCTGGGGACTCGTCCTTCTCGATACTCGCAGGACCCGCCGTATACCCATCACCCGTGTCGTCGCACAACCGCCACGACCCCGAAGTCCTCTCCGTCCTCGTCAATGCAGAGAAGGGAGGCACCTCCATGGCCCACGCCTGGTGCGTCGTCGCATAGCGGCGGCGCGCGGGAGCCCGTGTGCTTCCATAAGCGGTGATCTGCCGCATTCCGTGGACTCAGAACTCACATCGTACGTCCTCATCCCTTACTCGATCCTGGATCTATAACTGACATACATCTCACAGCCATGGATAACATGCTCCCCTATGCCCTGCACTATGCCCTGTCTTGTCGTCGTCGCTCAGGCAGCGTACCGCGCCGTTGACGCATCAGAACCATTCTTGCACCCATCACCCACCACCGCCATCACCAAGGCGCCCCGCTGTCGTCCATCTGGCTGCAACCTGCGCCTCTGACGCACGGCACCGTCTGCCTTCGTCCTCCCCATCCGTCTGAGTGACGCATCCAACTCTCGCCTTGTCGTCCCTCCGGCTGCGCCTCTGCGCCATCGACGACGGGCCTCATCTGCTATGATTTTCTGCTTACATACTCGGTCATCCTCGTTACACCTCCCCTCGAATTTTTCCGCGCAGACCACTTCCCTCTGGTCCTAGGTTCTCGAGTTCGTGCTTTATCTGGCTGCAATCTGCGCCGTGCACAGGATGCACCGACGCCCCGTAATCCGCCTATGCTGTTGTATTTACTACCTACTCTATGTCGAATACTTTATCTGTATTTATAGGACGAATACAGACGCGCCTTGGTTGGCTGCTTGATACTCTCTGGGACTGCGCGAATACAAACGATTGAAACCTCACAACCCGACCGGCTCAAGGCTAGGGGGATCGTGCACCTTGCGTTCGCCGAACTGAGCCTCCCACTCAAATACCCTCGAGTGGCGTGGGAACCTTCGGATCCGTGCGGTCTTCCAGCCCTCCAGGAGCCCGTCTGCGCCCCAGGATCTGAGCGAAAAGCCAGTGCATACTGTCTACTATAGCATATCCTACTTTCCAGAGTTCGCCTCTCTCGCCCACATAGGTGCCACAATTCATCTTTGCGGAGGGGACGAGAATCAGTCATGCTCCTCGACGTCCGCGCGCCCTCATCGGTATGTTTACATCCTCGTGGTCAGATTTGAGGGTATAACATAGGGCCGGTTTGGTCTAGAGTATGAACAGCTGACCAGTATCGGGTAGACATGCTGAGCACTCGGAGTGATGGACATGGCAAATATCCGACGCGAGGCCATGATGGACGATGCGGGGTTGGGTAGATCGGCGTTCGACGGCCTACAGAATGCAGAAGACAAAGCAGCGCCTGGGAAGAGAATGCTCCCCGCAGTGCCTGCGATGGGAAGGGGAGATCCAGGATGCTGGCCAACGCCGCTCGAGCTACTTACAACGTGAAGAGCCGGCTCAAATAAACGGTTCTCCAGCTATGGCACGGCAACGCTGCTGCCTGCTTCGAGGCGTCGCCGAATGGGCTTGGGCACCGCAGCTCGACAAGTCATAGATTATTGAGGGGAACAATGCATCCCAACTGATCATGCCGGGCCAGTTCCGCCGCGCGATCCCTTCCCTGCGTCCGGCCCCTCCGGGCAGCTGCTTGGCAAGAATAACTTGCCTGGCCGAGTCTACGGAAAACGGAGCGCCGCTCGGAAAGTCCCTCCTTTCTCATTGGATAGCATGTTCGTGCGGACAGGGTAGGGTTGCAGCGGATCGTGCATCCCCTATCATCCCAACCTCTCACTCGCGGCTTGGATGGACAGGCAGTTCGGAGTCGTACGAGCGAGTTTAGTTCAAAAGTTCCTCTCCATTTCCATTCACTTCGCGCACCAGCGCGACCCGATAGATACAGCAGTGGTGTTTCCTACATACGACGAAGAGGCTTTCTCTACGTATGAAGACTAAGCGTTCCCTATAGATATAGATACATATGCGACGACGGCAAGCATACATAGACGACGAGGAGCATTGAGTGTGCTGAACGTCAAGGACAAACGAGCATATAAAATACATAGCATCAACGACGGCCTTCCGTGTCCAGACTGGCTCCGGGTGCGTATGGTGGTTATAATACAGCGGTGAAGCTGAAGGGAGGGGTTAGCAGGAGGAGAAGTGAGAAGAGGCGGAGGAGAAGGGGGAAAGGAACAACGAACGAGGCCAACACTCACGCAGCAAGGAGCGAGCGCAACATGGACAGTCTGAACGGGATCGGTGTCGAGGTAGGGATCGTGGGTCAAGGCGGCGGCAGGTTGACGAGACCAGGCTGGGCCGCTGACGAGCGTTATGTGACATGGCGAGGGATCGAGGAAAATTTCGAGGACAGCGGATGGAAACTGGCCTCCTGATAACGCGTCCTGCAGATGGTATATCAGCGTTCTGCTCGACCACGCAAGTAAGAAGGAAGGCTTACCGGGTATATGTACAAGGGCTGAAGGGAGGGAGAAGGGGGGGGGAGCGGGGGACCGCTCATGCGACAACGCAGAAGGCGGTCGCAGTACCGCCGGTCCCCACCCTCTCGAAGTCGGTTGGTGTGTCGAAAACCGCGTCCGCGTCAGGATGTTGTGCGACGGCGGTCAGGGGAGCGTCGACCGGCTCGTCAAGCGCCGCGCTCAGGACGTCGAGTATGCTTTGGAAAGCGTCCATGGTAGGATGAGGTAGATGGGTTGCTGGCGCTCGGCTGGTAGAGGGTGCAGCAGGTGGGCGATGTGGAGGTATCGCGATATGCGTATGCAGGCGTCGAGATAAAATCGCGCGTGCGTGAGATAACGGGTAGGTCAAGAAATCAATCTGAGGAGATTGGGCAGAGCTCTTATATAGGACGCTGGGATTCCCACGAAGATGGGGACAACGGTGGGGACGAATCGGGCGAACAACCACCCAAGTCGCGTGGCTGTTTCCGGATTCGGCTAAAATATCATTTGAGTCGAACTATGACCCAAATAATACCGAAAGTAGGGCTGAAGGCCAGCTGGATATACATTACAGGGCATTATGGCCAGAAGAAGGGGCGCGGGGACTGAAACATGCGGCAGGGATGGCGACAAAGGACAATGAACAAACAAGAGTCAACACCATCAGCCATCACCCTCGTGCGCCTTTCACTGCCATTGTCCTCTCGGCAACCATCGAACCTCATTGTGCGCACAAAGGGGAAACTCAGACATTCAAATATGCGTCCGTCCTCGATACTTCCCGTACTTCCCTCTGCCTCCTACCAACTGGGTCATCCTCCCTAGCGCGCGCCTGCCGTCGTCCATTGCCGTCGTCGCTGCCACCGTCACCGACACCCTTTACACGATCGTGTCTTCCATAAGACACCTGCACTAGGTCCACCGCCGCGCAGCGCATACGCCTTTCTTCATCGACATTGACGACGTTCCACGACTCCACCTTAACGAACGAACATGTTGGACCCCACGTATCCCCTCTTCCCTACCTTCGCCTTCCTCGGCTTCGTGCTCGCCCTCGTCCCTCTGCCCTGGCATCTCCAGGCATGGAACTCGGGCACCTGCTTCTTCATGGTGTGGACGGCCCTCGGCTGCCTCAACCAGTTCGTCAACTCCATAGTCTGGAAGGACAACGCGATCAACTCCGCGCCCATTTGGTGCGAGATTTGTGAGTGTCGCGTACTTCCTGCCTCCGAGCTCGATGCTTACTGCCACCCCAACAGCTATTCGCATCACTATGGGCCTCTCTGTCGGGCTCCCGGCCTCTTCCCTATGCATCATTCGTCGCCTGTACCACATTGCGAAGGTGCGGGCTGTATCGCATACGCGCGCCGAGGTACGCCCGTCACACCTTCCCACTCGCCTTTGTCTCATACTTCCTTCCAGAAAATGCGCGTCATCATCATAGACGCGCTCATCTGCGTCTTGTTCCCCTTGGTCTACATTGCCATGCGTGCGTCGCCTTTGTTCTCCTTCACCACGCTCTCTAAACCCGCCACAGAATACATCGTCCAAGGCCACCGCTTCAACATTCTCGAGAACGTCGGCTGCTACCCCGCCGTCTTCAACACCCCCGTCACCTACGTCGTCTCGTACATCTGGCCGGTCCTCATCGGCATGGTCTCTGCCACCTACTCCGGTGCGTCTCCTCTTGTCTCCTCAACAGCCCTCACTGACCCGTCACCCAGTCCTCGCCCTCATCGAGTTCAACCGCCACCGCCTGCAATTCAGCCAGTTCCTCCACAGCAACTCCACGCTCAGCGTCTCGCGCTACCTCCGCCTCATGGCGCTCGCCATGACCGAGATGTGCTGCACCGTCCCCCTCGGCATCTTCGTCATCGTCCTCAACTGCACGTCCACGCCCATCGAGCCCTGGGTTAGCCTGAAGGCGACACACTACTGGTATTCGCGCGTCGACCAGTACCCCGCAGTCGTCTGGCGCAGCAGCCACCTCGTCGTCGTGTGCAACGAGCTGACGCGCTGGCTCGCGCCGGTCAGCGCGATGCTGTTCTTCGCGTACTTCGGCTTCGCGCAGGAGGCGCGGAGGAACTACGCCGCTGCATGGGCCTGGGCCTGCCGTGCGCTAGGCTTGCCCGAGCGCATTGCGACGCTGCCGACGACGAAGAGCAAGGGCCCCGGCTTCGCGGAGAAGTTCGCGGCGAAGGCGAAGGGGCTCTCGAGCTTCAACGTCAAGGACTTCACCTCCGAGTTCTCCTCCAAGGCGCACGACTTCACCTCCAAGGCGAAGCAGTACACACTCCCTCGCCCCATGCCGCAGACGCCGTCTTCGTCTGGCTTCTCGTCGTCGGAGTCGACGCGCTTCGGCTCGTCTGTGGACGGGAAAGAGCTCCCTTCGCCTACCACCAAGGAGTTCTCGTCCCCGATCCCGATCCATCTCTCCGGCATGCAGACGCTGGTGTCGTTCGACTCGAACAAGGATCTCCCGTCGCCGCCCGCGTACGACGTCGAGGCGCAGTACGGGCCGTACAACATCGACAACCGCGTGTCGTATCACATCGCGGACGCGGGTGTCCGCGCCTCGTACCCTATGGGCGTCGCGTACTCCAGTGATTCCGAGCACCGGCGCATCAACCCTCACGCCACCTTCACGAGCGCAAACAACGACACGGATGAGCCGACCTCCCCCGCCCTCCCGGACACGCCGAGCTCGTGCTCGTCGTCGGCGACGTTCTCGACGCTGCAGTCGCGCGACTTCATCGTGCTGCCGAGTACCACCGATGTCACTAGGGACACAGGGTCGCTGCCTATCCGTCGCTCGCCTGCGGGCCCGCCCCGGCTGCCGAGCCTGTCGCAGCTTTTTGGCATCTCGTCGATGAGGGCGGAGGGGAGGGATGTGGAGGCGCAGGTGCAGGATGTGGCGACTGGTACGGCTGCGCCTACTACCACCGCGCCTGCACCGGCATCTACGACTATCGCACCGGCGACAACCACCGCCACTGCACCGACGACGACCGCAAATATCCAGCGCGGTGAGCCCGACGTGCCCACTTCTCCACGGACGCACCGCGCGTCGGTGTAAAGGGTAGACGCCGATCTATGCTTTCCGTTCTATGCTCTCATCGCCTATGCGGTCCTTCTCTCGATATGCTACATCATCTCCTCTCCGACCTCACCCCTCCGCCTCCTCGTCGACGATCCATGGTCACCGTGGTGATGGTGTGAAGGTAGCAGTCGGTTGGATCGCCGCCAACAGCTTGAGGGCCTACACCAACAAAACAAACCACCGCTGCCACCCCTACCCGCGCTCGATGCTGCGCTTGACGCTCAGGCTGGACGCCCCGCTCGAGCTGAGCTCGATGCTGCGCTCGGGCTTGACGCTACTTATGTGTCTCTGTTCTTGTTTGATAGTCTTTTACAGAACTTACACACTCCGTGTTCACGTCTCTTTACACGGCCGCGCCACATCCTTCGTTGTTCTGCATCCTAATTACACTCTTATGCGTTCACTTACACTCTTATGAGCTCACTGACTTCCACGAACTCACCTACACTCATGCGCCCACTTACACTCCCGAGCTGACTTACACTCCCGAGCTCGCGCTCGAAGCTCAGCCATAACCTCTCATCTACTTACACATCTCGCCTCGGACTCGCTCACGTATATATCCGCACGACTGCCTAGATACCTCTCCTCTCTGTTCTCGGGGTCTTGAAGACGCTGTACTTGTAGCTGTGTATTTCTCGTCTGCAATGAATGATGATGAACATGATGGGCGTCGACAAGCTTGCCTCCAACCATCATGAACCTTGCCTGTGCCCTCCCTTCTTCTCTCTCGTCCTCAACCTCCCTCTCGCCATGGGCAATACAACACTGGGCATACAGCCCTGCTGCGCCCACCGACGCTGCGCGCCATGGGACTGATAGGCATTGATTCGACCTGGACCTGATCACAGCGACACCATCCTCCGCGGAAGACACCCGCCGCACCTTGCCTCCTACCATCATCTCTACACAGCGAGCGCGCATACCATGAAGGCTGCTTTTCTGGTTGCGCTCGTCTCTGCGCTCGTCAGTGCGCAAGACGCGCAGTTGCCGCTCGCCAGTGACCGCTGCGCGACGGACGCGCTGGATGCGTTGTCTGTGCTGCAACCGCCCGAGATTCTGGCAGTATGGCAGGATATGGGCGTCGTGGACCTGCTGAAGGAGGTCGGCGATGACTGTGGGCTGGAGGAGGAGCGCTTGGTGGAGGTGTTCGGAGAGGATGAGGCAAGATGGTGCGTGCGCTGGTACTTCGCGCGTTAGGATTGTGCTGACGGTGTTCTCTGCTCGCCTACTCAACCTCGCCGTGCTCAACATGCTCGTCCTCTATACCGACATGCACACGCTCTACCGCCCTCCAGGATGACCGAAGGCGACAAGCTTCGCCTGCGCGCCGAGGGCTACGATTTCATGGACATCACGAACCACCAGGACCTTGGCTCCATACGCCGCGCGCTTCCGCCTGCGCAGCTACCTAGCGCGCTGCCAGAGATCTCCGTCGACGCGCTGAGTGAGATCGTCAGATTGACGGATGGTGCGTGCAAGCTCTTCATCGTGCAGGGACGACGTTAACCTCGTCCCAGGCCTCGCCGACTACACCCAAATGCAAGACGACCTCGGCAACCTCACCTCCTTCTGGACGCGCAGCTATCGTAGCTTGTGGGGCGCGCGGAGCAGCGATTGGCTGTATGGATATGTGGGCGAGGTGAGTGGTCGATGATCTCGTTGGCTTTCTCGGCGGCGAGAGCCTGCACTCGTTAGGACGTGACCGTGCTCAGTACCCCGACTCAGATCGTCAAACCTGCCGACCCCTCCGTCAACATCACCATCCGCCGCTTCGCGCACTCCTTCCCACAGAAGTCGCTCCTCGTCCGACTGGAGAGTGCTACCGATGGTGCGTCGACCTTTATTTCCGCCAACGAAGACGCTACCGAGTTCGAAGACGCTAACGAGTTCAAAGACGCGCATAACGCGGAAGACCCCCGCCTTATCATCATCGGCGCGCACCAGGACTCGCTGAACTACAAGCTGCCCTTCTACCGCGCTCCTGGTGCGGACGATGATGGGAGCGGGACGGTCGCGTTACTACAGATTCTGCGGACGTTGGTGAGGAAGGTGAGTATCTTCCCTGGTCGTGTACCTTCTCTGCTACTTGCCCCGCCTACCGCGTTGCATGCATCCTATTCCTTCATCCTTCTGTGTCCATGAACCATCCTTCTCGCATCCATGCAACATTCGCTCACCCAGTCCTACCAGTCCTTCACCCCGCCCGCGGGCATTGCCGTGGAACTGCACTGGTACGCGGCAGAGGAAGGCGGTCTGTTGGGCAGTCAGGACGTCGCGGCGGAGTACGAGCGCGAGGGGAAGGAGGTAATTGGGATGTTGCAGATGGATGGTGAGCAACTGTTGTCTGGCATCGTAGACCTCATTCGCGAATGATACTGTGCTTATGTTGGCCGCGATCGCTAACGGGCACCCCTTGCCAGGCCTCGCCGTTGTCAAGCATGGCGTCGAGCCCAAAATTGGTCTCTTCCAAGATGAAGTGGACAAGGGGCTGTTGGACTATGTGACGGGGCTGGTACATAAGTAGCCTCTGCTTTTCGCCGCTCTTGAATCACTGACTACTCGCCCAGGTTGATGCCTACCTCTCCGTCCCTTGGGCCCTCACTGGCTGCGGCAAGCGCTGCGGCTCGGACCACATGAGCTGGACGCGCGCGGGATACCGCGCGGCGTATGTGTGCGAGGGGTTGTTTGAAGGTGAGTTATATGCTTAGCAATTGAGCGGGACAAGCCCAGCGGATGGCTGGTCATCGCAGATGGTTGTGTCGCCGGGAGCTTGCTGACGATTTGCTTGCAGAAATGGGCGAAGGCTACCATACCGTCAATGACACTATCGACCTACTTGAGGGAGAGTACAGCTTCGAGCATCTGCAGCGGTTCGTCAAGTTGGTGAGTGTAAAGTCATCCAATCTCGGTCATTTTCTATCCTTGGCTACCTGTTCGCTGTCGCGGAGGATTTGCTTCGACGACCATGCTAACAAGTGCTCGTGCAGGGTATAACCTTCATCGTCGAGCTGTCGACCTCTTCTGCGAGCTTGGCCTGAGTTGAGATGTGTGGGATCGGCCGGAAATGTACAATACAACTAGGTCAGAATTATGATCATGACCCTGAGCAATACAGAAATCTGTGTGCTGTCCTCTCTACCAATGATACTCTGGGCGATACTGTATCAGGCGTAAGCTTTGCGAGGTTGCTATCGGAAGTACGGGAACGAAAGGGGACATGTACTCCGGATCACTGGCGGTCCGCCCTGCGTCAGGCTGCGTGCGGCGTTGATGCTTCTTTCCAACTTGCCTCAAACCACCACGGCGCACCGTACAAGCTGGCTAGGGTCGGTAACAGAGAGCTGCGATGTCCGTGCGGCGGAGCAGGTAATATAGCATGACGTTCTGCGTGTTTTTGGGAACTCACTCTGAATTACAGCTGCGCGAGAGCCTTCCTGAATGCAGAGATATGTCAACGAATATGCTCGTATGCACCACCAGGGGACCTTTCTCGACTGGCGCGCGTATCGAAGGCATGGGAGATTAACGCAAACTTGGTTCTGTGGTATGAGCTGCCGTCGCTGGATCCACTGTTCGACTTGGTGACCCCGGATACGTGGGACGAACTAGTCGAGCGGTGCTACAAGACGACAAAGAAGCATAAGAAGATCTGCAAGGCGCGTAATCCTACTGCAAATGGACCGCCGGCCGCGCCGAGTCAGTGGTCGCCTCTGGGGCGAGTACGCAGTCGCGCAGAGCTGATTTGCAGGGTCAGTGTAGACCTTCATCGCGCCCTCGAAGCCGTACCGGCGTACACGCCGGTCAACGGTGCCGACGCTGTTGCTTGCCGAGAAGGAGTACCTATTCCCCTTCTATCGTCCTTGAGGGTGTTGACTATCCTGCCATGCTCACTGGACGTTGCTTGCATGGAGCACCTTCGTACGGCGTGGCCCCGCGTCTTTCCAACTAATATCGACATCATTGACGTCCAGCCCGGCACACCAGCGGTGATCGCCATCCTTCTATCGTATCACTTGCGAGTGAGGCGCCTGTGCATTCATAGCTCTCTCGATCTCTCCCAGCCCCTCGGAGTGCTGGCGTCCAATGCGCGAACCATCGCTTTTCACGACCTGGAGCTCACTGCGCCATACAGCAAGATGGGGGTGGAGGCGTTATCGCAAGCCAAGGACTTGAAGACTATCACTTGGCTTGTGATGAGCAGCAGCGCTCAAGAGGGGCTGCCCGTCACGCAACCAGGCTCTTTCGAGGCCCTGCAGTCCTTGGACCTAGCTTTCAAGTTTCCCGAGTTCCCCGCACCTAAGCTGTCGCAAGCAATCATCGAGTCTTTCGACCATCAGAGGTTGCGGCGGTTATGCCTCCAGCATATCGGACGTATCACGGCAGACGAGTTCTACGACCTACTCGTGGCCATCAGCCGAAGCTGCAACCCACATGCACTCCAGACGCTGGTCATTCGCCGCAGGGAAGGCGATCTCTTATCCTGCGTCGACTGGCCGCTTTACTTGTCGCACCTCGTCCTGCTCGCCGAGTTCAAGCAGCTCCAGATGCTCGTGCTCGACGTTGCGCGCGGCGTTATCCTCGACCAGAAGGAGTGTCAGGCCGTCGCTAAATGGTGGCCCAAGCTACGCACCCTGCGCCTGAGCTCCGTTTCCGACAAGGCGCGCCGCTCGCCGACGCCGCTGGCGTGCGTAGCAGTCTTCGCGGAGAAGTGCGCGGATCTGGAGACGCTGGCGCTCGCAGTGGACACCCGAAGCATCCAATGGCCGTGGCAGCGTCCGGAGCCAGGGGAGCCGCTGCCGTCTCGGTCGTGGGTGACGACGCTAGACCTGGGCGACTCGACCATCGACCCGTATAGCGTGAACGAGGTGGTGGACTTCCTGGCGAGAACGCTTCCGTGCCTTCGCCGGATCCTGCACTCCTCAATCGACGAGCAGCAGTCGCATGCGTGGGACGAGGTCGCGCGGAGGGTCCTAGAATCAACTGCTCCAGACGATGGTGAACCGGACCTCCGCCGGCTTTCTTCGCGGGAAACGAGCGTGGAGAGATTAAGCATCGCTGAAGGAAGCACACCGGCTCCGTCAACTTTGCAGCAGCCACTGCCTATTACCGCAGCGCCAAAGGTGGAAACTGTCGAGCGCCAGACATCTCGCATTGACACCAGCCAGGCCTCACTCCCGAAGAAGCCGCACCCTATCCCAGCGTCTCCCAATGCGTCTCCCGAAGCAGCCAATCTCGCCCAGCCACAGCGGGACCGCCAAGCCGATGCTGCACCTTCCGCACCGACTGCACCACCTGATCTTACCGCGCCCCTCGCTTCTGCAACTTACATCGCAGAGCTCGAAAGCAAGAACCGTGTTCTCGAGCAACGCAAACGCGACCTCGATCAGCGCTGCACTGACCTTGAGAAGCGTAGCGCTGACCTGGAGGCCAAACACGTTATACTCGAGCGCAAACACACCAAGCTCGGGCGGAGATACCAGACCATGGACCAGCGCCTTAACCTCGAGAATCGTGAGCTGCAATTGCGCCACGTCGAACTTGCGATGCAGAAGAATGAAATTGCCACGCAAAGGGATGAGCTTGCAGAGCGGGCGGACGAACTCGGGAGACAGAACGACCAGCTCACGCTACAGAGGGATGAGTTGGCGAGACAGAAGGATCAACTCGCGCGAGCGCACGCGGATGTAGAAGAGCAGACTGAGAAGCAGCAGAAGCGTATTCTCATGCTCGAGCGACAACGTGAGCCGCCAGCGCAGGCTCCCGCGCCACCATCCCCTTCGGTAGACCCTGGCCTCGCGCGCAAGCTCAGCGTCATGGAGCGATTGAAGGACGAGCTCGCAGCGCAGAAGGACCATCTCTCGCGAGCGCACGCCGCCCTCGAAGAGCAGTCCGAGGAGCAGCAGAAGAGGATTCTTGAGCTCGAGCGGCGGCTAGAGGAACCTATGCTCATACCCGCGCCAACGTCCACCAGCAGCGGCGACTCTGGTCTCGCGCAGAAGCTCAGCGCCGCCAAACGGGAGAAGGACGAGCTGCAGGCGCGCTACAACGCGATGCTCAAGCACACGCGCGAGGTCGTGGCCCGCAGCAAGGTCACGGAGCAGGAGAAGCGGCAGCTCGAGCAGGCCAACGGGGAGCATAAGCGTCAGCTCGAGCAGCAGAAGGAGCAGAAGCGACAGCTCGAGCGGGCACACGAGCTGCAGAGGCGCGCCATCGAGCAGTCGAACGAGCAGCTGAAGCAGCGCTGTGCTAAGCTCGAGCGCTGGCAGGGTGACATGCAACGAGGCATACAAGATTTGGCGCGTCTGTCGGGTGGGCCGCCTCGCGGACTGTCTGGATAATTCTCGTGTACTTTTCATCGTCTGCGGTCGAGCTTGTTTTCCATCTTGTTGTTTGTATCGTTGTATCATCCAACTGTTCTGAGTCCTCGATGTGCAACTAAGTCGGCTGGATTATGGTATTATGAAGTCGGTCGGAAGTGTATATACTACTAGGAATTGTCTCTCCGGTGCTATACTAGTGAAAGTACTCGTTATCGCCTAGCGCATGATGGCAATGGAGAAGGCTCAATCTACGAGCCTGATCTGCCTGGCGAACATGTCGGGATTCGAACCCGAATCAAGGCCGGGCCGATGCATGGTGCACGGGCATGTCGCTTCCACGAACTTGTCTCCGACCGCGACGACTTGGGGAGGCTCGGACAAGGTTCTCATGACCGTTCACAGAAGCAGGTAAGAGGATTACAAGCTGCCGCCTCGACGAGGGTCTTGACCGACGCTCGCAGCTGCACGAAAGCCCTGCTTCAGAACGCGGAAATATGTCACCGAATCTGCTCGTATGCGCCACGAGGAACCCTCTCTCGTTTGGCATGTGTCTCTAAATCCTGGGAGGAGCGCGCAAGCCCCATTCTATGGCATGAGCTACCCTCCTTGGAGCCTCTCCTTCGTCTGGTCACTGAGAAGTTGTGGGCGGGAATGGTCGTGGCATGCTACAAGACGAAGGACGACCATAAGGGCAAGAGATGCCAGGGAGCAGCGGCTGCTATGGGCCCAGAGAAATGGCTCAACATCATAGAGTCGATAAATGCGAGACCACGAACCCTCGGCAAGTTGGTGCGCAGGCTCACAATAGATATTCGCGAGCTCCTGACTGTGCCACCCTACGCTCTGGCCAAGGATATCCACGCTCCCAGGGGATGTCGAGGGGGCTTGCCTGACCCCCTTCTTCCTTGCGTGCGTCAGTTGGTCATCATCGGATCTCCTGCCCCAGATCCACAACGCACCCTTAATGCATGGCCTCGCCTCTTCCCAGACTTAATCGACACCGTCAAGGTTCAACGCGCAACGCCTGAGGTCGTCCGCACTGTGCTTCTGAGCTTACGTGCGCTTGAACACTTTTGTATTCAGGCCACGGAGGATCTCTCTTCGCCGTTGTCATCTCTGCCGCGCGCCCCTGCTGTCATCTACGACCTCGATTTGACCGCACCGTATGGCAAAGCAGGCATCGAGGGGCTAGCTCAGGCGAAGAAGCTGGAGAAATTGTCCTTCGTGATTCTGGGGAGTGCGATGGACGGCCTGCCTCGTCTTCGCAAGGGCGGCTTCTGTGACTTGCAATATCTGGAAAACACATTCGAGCAACCAGAATTCCCCGCAGTCAAACTATCGCAGGCAATAATCGACTCCATAGACCACTCAAGGCTTCGAAGTATCATCCTCAAGGACATCGGGAGCGCCACAGCTGACGAATTTCACGACCTGCTCAACGCCGTCAAGCGGACCTGCGACCCTCGGGCACTCAAGACGTTAGTTATCCAGCGCAGGAAAAGCATCCTTCCGTTGTGTATCGACTGGTTACTTAGCATGTCGCAGCTCAGCCTGCTAGCCGACTTCTGTGGCTTCGAGATGCTCGTGCTCGACGTGGCGAGCGGCGTGGCTCTGTCCCGCAAGGATTGCGAGACTGTAGCCAAGTGGTGGCCGGAGCTGCATACCCTGCGCCTCAGCTCGATGCGCAGTAAATTGCACCGGGCCTGGATCTCGCTGGCGTGCGTGGCGGCGCTCGCAAATAATCTCCCAGAATTGCAGACCTTAGCGCTTACCGTCGATTCACGCGATACGCGCTGGTCAATGCAGCCTGCGAATTCGGCAGCGTCGAAACCTCCACATCTGTCGACGTTGGACGTGGGTGACTCGCCTATGGATCCGGACAACGTGGACCAAGTTTCGGGCTTCTTGAAGACTTCCCTTCCCCTTCTTTCCCGTTTGCTGCATTGCTCGACCAACGAACGGCAGTCGAACGCATGGAATGCGGTGGCGCGGAGAGTCATACCCTCGGTCGCGGTGGAGGCTGCTAAGCCTGGCGTGCGTCGTGCCGCTGCGGTTAAGCCAGCGTTCGCGCAGTTGGGCACTGCTACGAAGCCGTCATCGACCATCAAGGCAGTGCAGGTGGAGAAGAACGAACAGAAGAGACCACACAATGCGACCGCTTCGCCTTTAAGAGATCCCCTGCCTACCGCCCCTAGATCTTCCCCTGAGTCCACCAGCGTATCCAGTGCTCATCTCCCACCGCGAAGCGGTAACGCATTCATGGCATCATCTTCCTCCGCGCCGCGCATTGCTGAGCTCGCACTCAAAGTGGAAGAGCACGTGGGCGAAACTGAGCTCGAGCAGCGCCACGCAGAGCTCCAACGCTAGCACGCTAAGCTTGAGCGGCGCTACGAGACTTTGGACGCTCGCCTCGAGGTCAAGACCCAGGACATGCAGCTACGCATTGACGAGCTCGAGGCGCAGAAAGGCCATCTGGTCAGAGCGCATGCGGAACTGGAAGAGCAGGCCGAAAAGCAGCTGAAGCGGGTCCTCGAGCTTGAACGGCGTCGTGAAGAGCCTTCGCAAGCTCCCGCTGCGCCATCCGTCGAATCCAGACCCGATATCGCCCAGAAGCTCGCCGCTGCCGAGCGAACAAGGGACTCGCTCGCAGCGCAGAGAGCCCACCTGGTAGAGACGCACGCGGCTATGGAGGGGCAATTCGAGAACCTGCAGAAGCAGGTCCTCGAGCTTGGACAGCGACTCGAGGAGCTCTCGCAGACTCCGGCGCCACCAGCCGTCAGCAGTGATACAGGCCTTGCTGATAAGCTCGCCGCTACGGAGCGAGCGAAGGACGAGCTCGCGGCGCAGAAAGATCATCTCATCCGCGCCCACACCGCGCTGGAAGACCAGTCGGAGAAGCAGCAGAAGCACATTCTTGAGCTTCAACGACGGTTAGAAGAGCTCTCCCAAGCTTCTGGTCCACCGTCTGCTGCTGACGACCCCGGTCTCGTGCAAAAGCTCAAGGACACTGAGCAGGAGAGGGATAAGCTTCAGGCGAAGCACAACGCGATGCTGAAGCACAGTCAACGGGTTGTCGCCGAGAAACAGGAGGCAGAACAGCAGAAGCGCTCGCTTGAGGAGTCGAACGAGCAGTTGAGGCAGCGCTGCGCCGAGCTCGAGCAGTGGAAGACCAACATGCAGCGAGACTTGCATGCCCTGACGCATCGTTCAGGTGCGCTGCCTGCACGCGGTACATCTGGCTAATGGACACCATCCATTACCTCTCGTCAAACTTGCTGTCACGGACGACTCGGAACTAGTCTACGTACTTGCAGGATCGCCTTGTTCAACGACTTGCCGGACATGTCGTCCAACGAAATATCTGGGCCACAATCAGAATATCGCAGTAATTCAATCTAATATACACAGTCGCTTTGCTCGGTTCTCGACAAGTATAATACTAATGGTGCGGGGGTACAGTATAAACTCAAGCTGGAGATGGTCTGCGCGAGATAAAACCGGGGAGGAATCACTGCAGTCCTGGCGCCACGTCGATGCACAGTGCACGACCTGCGGAGCCCAGAGCGCCTGCGACGAATCTGGCGCGGTCCTGAAGGCCATCGCAGGATCTGATCCGGGAGGATGACGGAAGGCTGCTTCGCAGAATTGACGATTCGCGCTCGCGCGCGATGTCATGACCATGACAGCCGAGTGCCTCACTTAAGGGCTGAGCTAGACGAGACGTCCCCGAGAGTCGTGTCGAAGCGTGAACTTGTTGTTCGTATAGGCCGTTGCCGGTGGAGAGATGCCCGAGAGATGTTGATGCCCGGCTAGCGCCCGAGGTTGCGCGGGCCGTTGCTCTGAAGGACAATCTTCACACCTTTGGCACGCGTCTTGCGACGCCCATGGGCGGGCATGGTTGTGATGGTGGGCGCAGGTGGGGCTGACGTCTCGGAGAAGTTGGGGACGGGCTCTGCGACAACATGCTCGGCGGGTGAAGGCGTCTCAGTGCAGATGTCCTCGTTCGTCGTCGCGTTGGGAAGGGGCAGCTCGGGAGTGTCGTCGCGCGCCTCTGTAACGACTGGCGTCGCCTGAAGTAGCAATTCGGCCGAGTGCACGGGCATCTCCACCTTGCTATAGAACGAGTTAGCCTGAGACCACCAGCATGGAACTTTGTACGTACCTTGGTGTAACTTCGCACTCTTGAAGGTCGTCGATGCGTGGGTGGGTGGCCACCGCCTCTGCGGGTGCATCTACAACCGATGCGCTTGCCTCTACACGCGCGATAGCCATGTCCACTGCCTGCGAGATCTCTTCCAATCCGTCCAGCCGGCTACCCCGCATGATGCCGTATGGAGGCGCTTGAGCCCAGACGAAGTTGACTGCCGAGAGCTCGTCGTTCGGTACCTCGGCGGCAGAGGGCGAGGTACACCTGTACCGGGGGCACTCTAGAGGCGCAGGAGGCGCGATACGAATGGCCGACGCCGGGGGCCGCTCCTGCTGAGGCGTAGGGCGAATGATCGGCGCTTGAGGACGCGCCTGATGAGGCGGAACGCGAGCGATAGACGGTCGGGGTATGGCGATGTACAGTGTCTCGCCGTATTGAGGCGCGCCTTGTGATACCTCATGCGCCTGGCGGGTATCGCGGGGGATGGCGGGAAGCGTAAGGGGTGCAGTGCCCTCGTCGAGCGGCGATGAAGACTCGGAAATGGAGGATGACGGCTCGACGGATGCCTTGGAGGGTTCTTCATCCGGGACATGGACGTTGACCACGTCTTCCTCCTCTGCACCAGACTCGCGGGGCTCGGTCTCGTCCAGAGCTTGAATGGGCTGCTGATCATCCTCCGCGGTCGGGCCTGCGTCTTGTTCCTGACCTCGAACGTCAAGCGCCACTGCATCTTCGGCTGGGAGGGGGTCCGGAAATAGAATGGGCAGGAGATTGACCCCGTCATAGGACTGCGTCGCCGTGGACGCAGCGGACTGCACGAGACGCGACGTGAGGAAGTCGAGGTGGCTAAAATTTCCGACGGAGGGCGGCCCAGCAGACGGCGCGGCCTCCTCTGCAGGTGAAGGCGAGCGTTCGATGGATCTGGGCGGCTGTCAGTGCACGCCATAGACAAAAACTCGTAGACATACGGCGTGGTCAATGAGGGAGCAGGCTTGCTTCGCAGATTGTCAAGCATCTGCGCCAACATTTCATTGCTGTCAGAAGGTCAGAAAAAGATTGACAAGTGTATGATATGATACATACGTAGCAGCAAATGAAGCTGGCCCGGCCACGGGAACATCCGGCGGCGTCTGTAGCTGTGGGGAGGATGGTGTGCTGTCTGTAGCCTGAGACTGCGTCGGGTTCACTATAACGATGGCGGGAGTTCGAGCATCTCGTCTGCGGACGATACTCAGAGAGGAGTAAGCAGGGATGCACGACATTGACATACCTGTTAAGACTCGATACATTGCTTGAGCGAAGCGAGAACATGCCCTGAAGGCGGGCGACCATCTCAAACTCGTCTATGTTCTCGGCTTCGGACTCCTCGTCACTAGTTGAACCAGTGTTGTCGTCGGACGGCTCGGTAAAGTCCCTATGGACCAGTGAGCAGACGAAAATATATGTGAGGAGCTACGCACTGTGGTCTCGAAGAGGAGCCGACATCATTCTCATTCGCTTGGATGGCGCGAGGCAGGTTCACGAAGGATGCGGATGGGGAGGTCTCGTCGAGGAAGCTAAAGGAGCTGTCGCCGACGCTCGAAGGCTGCAACGCGGCGTTGTTGGATGCGGTGACGCACGGCAGAGCCGGAGACAAGCCGACGTTGACCTCGTCCCCGCGATGAGCGCGGGGCAGGCTCACGACGGGTGTGGAGGATTCGTCGGCGATGTCGAAGAAGCTGGCGTCCGTGCTCTCAGGCTGGAAGGCGACGTCGGCTTCAGGACGAGCTCTGGATAGGGATGTCAGTGGAGATGAGAAGCGAGTAGCGTGCGCTACACGTACGAATTCAGTGGGAGGACATTGGCTTCAGGGAAGGAAGTAGTAGGATGAATGGATGGGAGGGGCTGGGGCATCTCGGCAGGCCGACCAGGCAGGTTCACTATGATGGTGTCACTAGCGATAGGTCAGCATGCGCGTCTAGTGCAGCAAAATCATGGACATACTCGTGGATCGAGACCGAGGAGGCGGAACGGGGGACGGGGTTGGTAACATCGATGGGGACACTGTCAGAAAGCGTCGGCTCACTGTGAGGTGGTCAATGACAGGAAGGGAAGTATTAGGAAGTCACGCACTTCGCATCGGTGGCGAAGAGGCAATCATCGTGGGCGAAGGGTAGGGGATCATCGGCGAGGTCGTTTGAAGCTTCCGAGTCGCTGGAACGACTGGTAGGCGACGTGTCCAATGCATCGACGTTATGAGGGGAGTTGTGAGAGGCGTCGCCATCATCCTCCGAGTCATCGTCGTCTTCGTCTGATTGGACGGCCGGGTTTTGCGAGGCGAGGTGAGGAACGCTGGGTACGACGACGGGGGCAGGTACAGCGGCGGCGGCGGCGGCAGGGATAGGCGCTGGAACTGCGGGTGCTGGTGCGATCGGTGCTTGTACGACGGGCGCTTGTACGGTAGGCGCGGGTGCGGCGGGTGCTGGCGCAATGGGTGCTGGTGCGGTAGGAGCTGGAGCCGGAGCTGGAGTAACGGGTGCAGGTGCGGCGGGTACTGCTACGGCAGGTGCAGGCAAGATCTCGACGTGGGGGATGCGTTCCTCGTAAGAAGCGGGCCCGGGAACGCTGGCCAGAAGATTGTCAATCTCTTGCTGCGCGGCGTCCACCTCGTCGTCGACGCTACTAAAACGAACAGTCAGCGCGAGCACGCGAGCGGCAGCGATGGCAAAACGCACGTGGATGGCGGCGGTGCCGGCGGGGCCCCGGATTCAACTTCCGCTTGCGCGGCAGGGAATCGGCGCGTGGGTTTGTGGCGGAAGAGCCGGACGTATATCACGACAACGGTCATGATAAGGACGATCTGCGGACCAGTCAGTGTCTGCGACCACGCCGGCGCTAAACGACCTACGAGGGCGAGGATGTAAGAGGTGAGGCCGTTGGGAGAGGCTTGAAGCCATGGTGCGTCCTTTGTGGCGGACGGGCGGCTGATCAGGCGCTCCTCGTAGGAGGACCATGCAGTGGCGACCTCATCGGCGATCCGCGCCGCATGATCATTCCGCTGTTTGGCGGGCAGGGCCCGCTCGAGCTCGTCCTCGTTGATGAGAAGGCGACGGGCGAGGGGACTGATCCTGATGTCAAGGCGGTCGGGCACCGGTATAGACTTGAAGTTGAGGGCGATGGGAGGAGCGGTCGGGGTGCGGGTGGGGTCCAAACTGGCACCTTCCAGGAGGGCGGAGATGACTGGGGTATCGCGCAAGGTGAGGGATGTAGGCGGGAGCGTAACGCAGTAAGCAGCTGTGGTGGTCTCTAGGACGTTGTCCACGAGACCAGCAGCGCGCAGGGCGATGGCGATGGTGTAGCTGAACGCAAGCGCGATCGCTTGCACGGTGAAGTCGTCCATTCTGGACGCTGTGAGATCTAGCACTTGGGTGCTTCGGGAGTGGCAAGCTTGGTAGAGGTGGTGGGTGGGGAAGAAAGGGAGGTCGGGCAGGGCGCTTCAGTATAAGAGGCGCCGACCATTGTGAGTAAAATATTCCAGATTCGGCACAAAGAGATATATTAGGAGGCGACGACCCGGCGGCGGACTACGCTTACCGAGTCCTGGCGCTTATCCCTTCGCACAGCTCGATTCAAACACTAGCTCCGCATCGCAACGAGAAAGGGGGTGCTTCTCGGCGAATTCTTGAACGGTGTTCTGCCTTTCTTGACTGCTGTGGCAGCTCCCGCTGCCGCGACATAGACGAGGGGCGAGATGATCATCTACTAGTTGGCGATGGATAGGCGGTCGTCCCTCCCTCTGCCCTCAGACCACTCCAACGAAAGGAGGAATCTTCGACGGTAGGAAAGCCCAGGTCCCTCGCGTTGCGGCGAATGGTCCGCTTGCTTATTGTTCGATGCTGTAAGTATATTCAAATCGCTACAGCGTTGCCTCGTGCGGCGCACAGTGGATCTCTTGAGCGAACTCCGCGAATATGACTATTGGTAGAAAGTCCATCAGTCGGGCAGTGCTTCACAAAAGAGAGGGGAGTCAGTCACCATCATGCGCACGAGGTACGGTCCCCTTCGGCACGAGGTACGCGCTCTTCGACGGCGGGACCCTGCACGACGGGCGCCGGCCGGGCTCTAGAAGATACAAGGCGTGGGATCGCAATGGAGGGGCGCTGGTCCTGGCGTATCGCGTGTGGCGCTTATTGTGTGTGACGCGACAGCGGCGGTGGAGGTGGGGTCGGCGGCTTGATGGATGTCGCTTGGGGAGGGGGACGAAGGGCTCCAAGGCGGTGAAGCTGGCAAGGTCCCCGAGCGCGTTTCCCTTCAGTGAGATCCACGAGTGCCCGTGCAATGAGCTTGCAATGAGCTGCACTGCACCCGCGCACCTCGGATTACGACACACTTCCCAGGCCGCAGCGGCGGTGCCGTAAAGGGCGTGGGCCGAAGTAGATGATGGGAAAATCAGTAGGCGCCCAGTCATCAGTCGGCAGCGGGTGAGCTTTGAGCGAGGCGGTGAGCGACATGGACCACTTGGATTACACCCCATCGTCCCCTCGAATCCGGGGAGTCATCGCCATTGACGAAATTGCATGTCTTCTTTTGTGAACCGTGAGACGCGGGAGCGCGGCGATGGACGAAGGTGCCGCCGACTCGTGGGCAGGCGAAGGCACTGTAGATCTTCTGCGATGAGAAAGCCAACAGAGAATTGCATGATCCCTAGGTGGTAGACGTCGAAGGGGAGTCGACGTACTTGGCGATCATATTTTTCCTCGTCGATCGGGGACGAATCTTGGGCCTTGAAGGCGTGCGAGCGGTATATATGTCCGTCTCCGGTAGAGTAAATAGTAGCTTGAGTAGTTCTTGACGAGGAGTTGAAGTCTCGGGTTGCTCAGGCGTCTATGGATCGTCCACAGAGGGCCCCCTTTCAATATCGAGCCGTGAGAGACTGTGACGAGACGAACCGTGACATACGAATCTTCATAAATCATGACATCCTCCCGGCAGCGATTATCGGCACAAATGAGAGGGCGCAGAGCTGCGGCTGTAGTAAAGCGTTGTCTGAGCCCGAGGAGATGGAGGAAGAAAGCAAGCAGCAAGCGTGACGTATGCAAGCGTTGCATGCATGTTGTGACACATCGAACCTCCTCCCTTTAAGGCCGCCGTATTGGGCCTTCGCACGAAAGGTAGTCATGGGTTGCGCAGAATGGATATTCAGTAGGAAGAAAAACTGTGAACAGGCGGAGCAGAGAAAGGTGAGGTGACATGCTATCGCAGTTATCTTGTCGACGTCTGAATAGTCACGGTAATCTCAAATACTCTCTATCCTACTAAACATACATACAACATTAGAATACAACAGGAAGAACAACTACTTCTCAAGCGAGTGTATGCAGCGTACAAGTCAAGAAAGACAGGTAAGTATTTAACCCGAAGGTCATCACCGGCCTCACAGCCAGCCCATAGCGCATTTTGCGCCCTCCGGACAGAGTATGTGTCGTCACAGGGCATGCTGCGTCGTCACCGTCTGCACTACAACACCATCGATCGACGCATGGGTATACAGGCTTGGCTCCTGCCACGGTTCCTCCGACTTCGGGATATCTCTCCACGCCGCCCTCGCCTCGGAGTCTTTCCACGTCGCCCTCGCTTCGCCGTCTTTCCACGGCGCGGACTCTTTCACGGGAGTCTTCGGCCCCTGCGAATCGAGGTCGAGCGAGCGGGAACGCTGCGAGAGCGCGATGCGCTCGACGTGCGTGAGGCCGCGAGTGGTGGTCGTAGTGGTGGACAGTTCGGAGTCGGAGTCGATCATGGAGAAGCGGAGGCGGACTAGGAGGATGACGAGGACAGGATTGAGGGCCTACGAGGATCATTAAACGGAAGTAAGGTCCGGTGCATGGACACGAGAAGTGAAGGCCACGTACCGCTAGCATCTGACTGAGTGTGCCCATCATGCTGGTCCCCCAATCCAATGGAGAGCCATTATGCCCGTCGAGCACGGAGAGGATCGCGTAGACGAACTGGGATAGCTAGAGTCAGGGCCGCGATGTCCTGATTACGAAACCAGCTGGCATTCGACATACCTGACATAAACACAAGAGCGCGCCACTTTCGACAAGAATGAAGAAGGCGCTTTCCAGTCGCCGTATATTCTGGCCGTGCCCTGCCACGCCAGAGAAGCTGAACGTCGCCGCTAGTTGACGGTGGTTCTGCCTATACATTGACATAAGTTGAGCGATATTTTCAACTTCAGGAAGGTTGCACTCACCATGCCCTCAACGCTATGGCCGCCGTAGAAAAGAGATTCGTGCCAAAGGACAGAAACGTGGACGCTCCAAGTATCGCTGCACCCATACCTGGATCTCGGATGGTGTCGTATATCTTTTCCGTCGTCCACACGCCGAAGGCTATGGCCATCGCTGGAGTCGCGTCAGCATGAGTTCAATACATAGAGTCCAGATAGCTCACCGGCATCCGCAATCAGAACGACGAGCAGGGCATATTGCACCCCTCTCCTCCCCCTCCAGAATATCCACGCGCGCCAGACGATGATCGAATCACCAGCGATGAACTACAACATGTGTCAGTCGGACATTGCAGTGATTCGGACATTGCGACGAGCAGCCGACACAAGGGACAGTACACAATACTGCTGGGTAAAATCGAGATACACACCTGGATCGGCTGCGCCCACGTCTGATACACAAACATCCACAGCGTCTCGTGGTCCGCCGCTCTAAACCTCTGAAGGATCGGCTCGTCCAAATTTCGCGTGAACCCGCGCGAGAGCTGGAGCAGGATGACGGCGAGGACGCATGCGGTGTTGATGGTCACGCTGGCGAAGAGGAGAAGGATGACGCCGATCTGGATGAGGATGGTGCGCGAGCGGGCGCGGCGGCTGGGGGTGGGGTTAGCGCACTCTCTGGTGCATCTCGCTCAAGGTAGACGCACAGCATAATGAGAAGCGCGAGAGGTGTCAAGCAGAGGAAGACGCCTACGATGGGTGAGCATAGGACGAGGGAATGGATGGTGCTTGACTCACCGTACGCGACAGCCATAAAGAACATCACGACCACGTTCTTCATCTCATTGCGTCCGAAAGCGTACAATAGCCTGTCCTCTTCCGGCGTCATGGCGGATAAGAGGCAGCGCCACGAGCTTCAACGAGGGTAAGCACCGCAAGGGTGAGGTAGGTTGGAAAACGTGGGGCGCCGAAGGGCGCAGAGTGGAAATCGCCCGATGTTCTTATACACCGCTGAGTGCTATACATACGAAGGGTACTCAATACACATGGAAGGCTGGCTATACACCCCGAGGGCTGTGAGTGCCCTCATCCACGTCTTCGCGCGGTGATAGTGTGGGGGAACGTATGGTTCCGGCCGCTGCGGATCCTGCTAACAGAGTGATAAGGACCTTGTATTCGTGGAGCACGCGCTCCGGGGGTAGCTTCGAATGTCGGAATGACCGCAGGGCTGAGGGAAAAGAGGATGGTCTGAGGTGGAAGAGGTACAAGGCCCTCCGCGGGGAGGGAGAGGGCTCCCGCAGTTGAGGAAACGGGGTTACTTACGGGATGGGGTCAGTGCCGAGAGGGATGTGGGTGGCCGCTTGGGAGCTTCCCATATTGTAGCATTATCTGTGGGTTCGACTTCGCGTTGATGCCGCTTTGGGAAGTAGGCTTGATTTGCGATAAAGCGAGATAAGATCGATGAGAATAGCGTGAGTGAGCCTTCAACCTCTTGATATATGGGTACTCACATATGGCCGACCGCACGGCGCTACACGACGGTTCGAAGAGATGCCACGGTCGTCGGGGTTTTCTTAACCCGTTCCTCTTCGTAGATATTCATTGACAAGGAATACCTACCTGGGAAGAAGCCACCTAAAAGCCCGAGCAAGACGCCATCGGGCTGCCGCCGGTAAGATGAGATCACGAGCGCCATTCAAGAGACTTCTGAGTCATGTGTCGGAATATTTCGAGTGGCATGCTGCCTCTTCCTTCGTCTATGTCAAGCATACTTTCGAGATGCAGGAGGTTGGAAAGCCGGACGTTGAAGGCTGGAATGACGGGTACAGATGAAGGCAAATGAAAGGTAGCCCGACTGTGTGAAGACGATGCGAAACGACCTGGGGCCTGGAGTTTCTCGGTGAAGCTGGCACGGCCGAGCAGAGTTCTGTGTACCTTCAGGACAGTAAGGATCACATAAGCCTCAGCTCTGACTCTAAGGCCTTCCCATGTTGGTCGAAAGCAAGTTTGTTCGACTTTCCAAGCCGCACGTGACGAGGCCGTAACAGAGTGACAGTGCTGTGACCAAAGTGACCGTGCGTCACACGTCTCCTCGACACGAACATCCATACCTTCATCATGGGACGCTTAGCCGGCCGCCTTCTTCCTCCATGATTATTCTCCTATGTTTCAACTTTTTGAATATGAGCAGGATAGAGGTCCATGGTGCGTTGTGCGCCCAGGCCGCAACGCATTTTCCCCAGATTTTCGGTCATCCAAGCTCCTCTGTCTATTTCGACAAAGGAAGAAAACGATGTTGCATACACCGTGCTCAGATAGCGTATGACTTGAATGCTCTGGAACATTGGATATCGCAATCGTCATCGCACTGAAGAAGGCCTTTCCCACCGTTATCCATCGCGCCGTACAGACATGACGCCCAAGGAAGGTAGCCCCAGTTTCATCCCACGCTAAACATTAGCCATTTCCACGTAATATCTGCACCTCCGCGCCCGACATGAAGACCCTCACGGTCTTGGTTCCAAAAGAGGAAGCTCCTTTGTACTTTACCCCTTCGGTAAGCATGAACGTCTTTCAAGTTTCCAACCGGGGACGGTGACGCGCCGCCCGGTGCTTCGCGACCGCCTCGCGCTGACCTCTCGGATGCCTGGTCCGAGTGTGTTGTTTCTACCTTTGGTAACCCGCTTGTAGTCCTTTTCGCGTTTACGCCCCGCGCGCGGCGGATAAAGATGATTGACCTTCTTCCTCCCCTCCGCCCTTGTTCTTCTTACGTCCGCATACACACTTAAAGACCGCCTCAGTGCATCTTCTACCCTCCTTTGCGCCTTTCTTCGTTCTCTTCCGCCTCCCCTTTTCTACTCCCTAATCCTCCACCCGAATTTCCGCCCTCCCGCCATGCGCGCCGAATTCCCTGTATCCTCATTTCTCTCAGTCTCCATCATCCTTGTAGCCTTACCCTTCAAGCGCGTACGGCGCGATATCCCGTTCACCTGCCTTCTCCTGTGGCTGCTAGCATGGAACGTTATCCATGCCGTGAACGCCGTTATGTGGGCAGGTAATGCGGGCGTGCGCGCCTTAGCTTGGTGTGATCTCGGTGCGTGCTATTCTGATCAGGCTCTCACGAATACTGACATGCCATCAGTGACGAAGGTCATGCTCGCCGCGCTGATGGGCGTCGCGGGCTGCGCCCTCTGCATGCTGCGCGTGCTCGAATTCCTCGCCTCTGCACGTAATCCTGGACCCAATTCCCGACGCAACACTGTATCAATAGAAATTCTCTTCTGTATCGTCATTCCCGTCTTATATATGCTCCTGCGTACGTCTCGTCTCAACTTCGCCTTGGTGCGTCTCGTGCTGACGAACTCCGACAGACTTCATCGTTCAGGACCAACGATTCTCGATAGCTGCCGACATTGGCTGCGTCGCATCAATCCATCCATCATCTCCGTCTCTCATTCTCATGTGGCTGCCGCCCGCTATTGAGTGTGTGGCAGCCTTCGCCCTCTCCTGTGAGTACACGTGACTTCACTCGTATCAGCCCCTATGCTAACCTCCCACTCCTCAGGCATCGCTGTGCACCACGCCACCCGCCTTCCCTCGACACTCCTAGACGAGCACCTATCCACACGGACTCCTATTTCCTCCGGCCTACTCCTCCGGAACCTCTGCTTCGCCAGCACGGCATGCAGCCTCGTCGTCATCGCTGTCCTGTTCGGCGTGTTCTCGCCCACCGTCGTCCAATGGAGCTCGTGGGCCTCCGTTCACGCTCACATGAGCGAGGTCAGCATCATCCATGGCAGCGAGGCGCAGGCTGCCGAGGTGATGTGGTGGATCGCGTCTGTGGTAACGTTCTTGTGGTTGTTGTGTTTCGTTGCTTTCGGAAGTGAGCGGAGGGAGATCGTTCAGTCCGTTCGCGATCGTGTTCGGGGAGTCTTCTCAAGGTAAGGGACGCAGCCCTGATCCGTATCGTATGTGCTCATGCGTTTGTATAGGGGTCAACCACCTCCCGCTCGCCCCGAGTCTACGATCTCGTTCTTCCACGCCACGGAGCGGCCTTCGATAAAGTCGAAGTACTCTGACCTCAGCTGCTCGATGAAGGGCATCTTTGCGCGCGCACCGAAGCCGCCCAAACCTGCCCAGACGAAGGCGCCCAAGCCAGCTAGAGCAAAGTCAACCCAGACGCTCTCCATGATGTCAGTAGCATCTCTCCCCATCGCTTGCTGCCCTACCCGCGTTTTGCAAAACTTACTCACGTTCTCACAGCTGCGAAGACATCGTCGGCATCCCGTTCTCCGACCGCCAATCGCCTCGCTCGGCCTCCACGACCTTCGTAGACCCCCTCGTAGACCCCTCCCCTGTCCCGTCCTCGCGCTTCTCGGTGGCCACGAGTGTCATTGGTAGCGACAACGACGGGCCATCGGGATGGAAGAAGATCAAGGAGAGCCTGCGCTTGCCTGAGCAGCGCCCAAGGGCGCCGGCGATTGTGGTGCCGTTGTCTATTAGGTTCGTTTGCTGGCTTCGGAGTCGCTTCCTGTATGGTGAAGTACTGACACTGAGCCTTCAGGACCGACGCTGAGGCGCGCGATAGCACGCAACTTCGCTCCGGCTGGGACGACATGCTCGACGGCGGGCGCAAGTCACCTATGTGGAACCTCAAGAAGATCGTCATCCCGAGCAAGGGCGGCTTATCGAGCGACAGCAAGACTAAGAACGGCTCACCCACGAGATCATCCTCGAGCGATGATTCCGACGCGGCCTTCCGCGAGAACACGATGGAGTACATGCAGTCGCCCGTTGCGCGCTCGTTGGGTCTGACGTCGCCAACATACGGCTTGGCATCGCCCACCATCGTCTCTCCACCGCCTGCATACTCCTCGCCCCCGAGGCGCGGCGTTCTGGAACGTCCGCCATCGTGCACGCCGCCTCGGCCGCCTTCCGTCCCTCTCGTGCCCGCCCACCGTCTCTCTGCTCCCATCGACCACAGCGTCCCGGTCCTTGATCGAAAGGAGTTAGAACACCACGACCGCCAACAGTCGGACCTCACGCTCATCCTCCGCGATCCGCCAAAGTCGCAGAGCATCCCCGAAGACGCCAAATCGACAATCTCGTCCATCTGCCGCGCGCCGTGGCCGGAGCCGCCGTGCTCGCCGCCGCCAGTGCCCTCCAATGTGGCACCTCTGGTGTTGCCGGACGATAAGCCCATGATGCTGTCGTCGGTACCTACTAGGTCATGGTCGATGCCTACCGCGACCTTCTCAACGGCCGTCTCATCGACCGCGTCCCCGCCCTCACCTGTGCCCTCGCACCACTCGCGCGACTCGAGCGGTGTTTTTGGGCAGGCGTTCTGAGCGACGTCTTCCGGGCGAGGGGCTGAACATGGCGTCGGTGAGCGGTCAGGACCTTTCTCATCTTCTCCTACTTGTAGCTTTAGTTTCTCCTATGCGTATGATGGTCATGTTGACGCCTATGCGCATCATGCCAGTGTGGCTTGTTAATGCTCGCCCATGTACATATCGTTCCCCCATCAATCTCAAGCCTTCCTCTCCTTCCCTCGCAAGCTCGTGTAACCTAGCGTCGTCTAATGCATCGACTTGTCCGCCGTTCCTTGACTACATCGTGCTACTTGTAGAGTATCGGAAAGTATAACCCGCATCCTGAATGGTGGAGCTTTCCCACTTCGGGGAGGAGGACCGCAGACGAGCCTCCCATCTTGGTGTCGTCGATGTCGTCCCGCGAGCCGTATCCGGTCCTAATGCTGCGCTGACTTCGCTGCAGACGCCAATGCTCTCCACCCAGCACGAGGGGGCTCTGGAGCCCAGCCATCTACACGCGCAGATGCATTCGTGTTCTTTACGCACAGAAATACTCGACTTTCCTGCGGTCGGAACACGTGGGTTCCCGCTATCATGCGGTCCATTCAATCTCATCTCCACGAGGCCGAAGTTCCGCCTAGGTGCCGCCTCGTGCCTCTTTGCGGACAACGAGTCGCAAAAAGACAATAAAGAGGACAAAGGAGCTTCCGGTGAGTGATATAGTACCGCTGTCGTACAGTACTTAAGGACAGACGTACGATGTGTTTCTCTTTTCCGCCGTACTTCCTCGCTCGCCCGTAGCGCGCGCTGGCGCCCTCCCGCTCGCTCCTCCTCTCTGCTTATCTGGGGTCCTCGGCCAACACGGGAAGGCCCCCTTGCCCGGTGACCTGCGCGGTCCCACGTAACGAAAATCCGGCGAATATCGATTTCCGCTGGCGAGCCCGTCACCGACTGTTCTGAGTCCTCCTCATGTTCGGCATCCTCTGCCGCACACCCTGGCGAGCTTTCAGCAAGTTCACCTCGTTCTGCAGTGCTTTCACAAACCCGTCGTCAAGGGGAATGTTGGGGGCTTCAGCCTGCCTTTTCGGGCTACAACGCGGCAAACTCTCGATGCTCGTGGCGGGGCCCGCTATCATGAACGCTATCCTCCTTGCTCTCTAGTGCGTGCTCTAGCCCGGACTGCACTTCGTACCTCGGACAGGGCACCCTCATTTCGTGTGGCGAGCGCCCTCATCCCACGTTCCGCGTGGAACTTCCGGTCCAATGTCCCGTTTTGAAAGGGATTGCATCTTTTGGGAACTTACCCCATTCGTTATAAGCGTCCATGTTTGGAAGGAACCCCTTCATGTTGCCGGTGAAGATCAGCCACATGCTGGGGCGCGAGGCAGGCTTTAAAACGGGTCCCTGATTGCAGCGGAAATCTTCTGAGCTTCTCTCCCCCATCCCCCTTCACCGCCCCGACCCTCCCGACATCCGCTGCAGTCGTTGCAGGCTCCCTCGACTTCGCCAAGATGTCGTATCCCAACTGGGTCTTCTCCATGTTCATGGTCTTCGGGATCATCATGACTTTGCTGCCGCTGCCCTGGCATCTCGAGGCGTGGAACACAGGAACCTGTCTCTATATGCTCTGGGTCGCGGTCGCGTGTCTCTGCCAGCTGGTGAACTCCATAGTCTGGTCGGGGAACGCAATCGACTGGGCGCCCGTCTGGTGCGATATCTGTGCGTAGCGGAGTTCTTTCACGTAGTCCCGATCGCTAACACGGCCATTAGCTGCGAGAGTCATCATTGGAACTTCAGTCGCTATCCCCGCTGCCTCTCTCGTCATCAACCGCCGCCTCTACTACATTGCGACCGTGCGGACGGTCACCAAATCCAAGCCTGAGGTGCGCAGTCTCTGCTCCTCTCCCCTCCATTGCTAACGCCTCGTGTAGAGGAGGCGCGAGGTCATGATGGACCTATTGATCGGGATGGGACTCCCCGTGCTTGTTATGATTCTCCGTACGTGTCAAATGCGAAGGCCTTCCGTTCGAGCCTTGCTGACCGCGTTCCAGAATACATCCCTCAAGGGCACCGCTACGATATCTACGAAGATATTGGGTGCTACCCTGCGACATACAACACCTGGGTTGCAATTGTCTGCGTGACGGGCTGGCCGATAGCTATCGGCTGCGTCTCCGCGATCTACTGCAGTATGTCTCCTTACTCGCTCTATCAACCAGGGGCTGACGTTTGCACAGTGCTCAGCATCTACAACTTCAACAAGCGCCGCCGGCACTTCAACGAGTACCTCGCCGCGCACAGCAACCTCACCGCGAACCGCTACTTCCGCCTCATGTGCCTCGCCGCCATCGAGATCTGCCTCACCATCCCCATCGGCAGCTTCGGGCTCTACCTGAACACCCAGTTCAGCGAGATGCAGCCGTGGATCTCATGGGAGGACACGCACCTGAACTTCTCGCACGTTAACCAGATCCCGGCCGTGTTGTGGAAGGGCGTGCCCGTCACGTACCGCGCGCTCGAGCTCACGCGCTGGTTCATCTTCGTCTGTGCGTTCATCTTCTTCGTGTTCTTCGGCTTCGCACAGGAGGCGCGCAAGAACTACCGCCGTGCGTTGTTCAAACTGTGCAAGCGCACCGGCTATGTCCCGCGCTTCCTCGCGTGCGAGTCCGAGACCTGGAGTCCGTCTGCGTACGTCCGACTTCACCACTCGTTCTCGCCCACGTCCACTGACATGCCCTTCAGCTCACCGAAGTACTCCGGCACCGGCCCCTCGATGCCCGTGTACGCGAACAACCGCAAGCAGAGCTCGACGCGCGTCTCCACCCTCTTCTCCGACCTCTCCGCCGACGAGCTCTCCTCCTACCACAGCTCTCACGACGAGAAGCACGCCGCGGGCGGCCGCCTCTCGTACGGGCAGCTTTCGCTCGGCGACGTCGGCGGCATCCTCTCCGACGCGAAGGGCGACGAGGAGAAGTGCGACTCGCCCACCACAACCAGCGCAGGCTGCTCGACGAACGCGAGCTCGACGACGATAGCGCACGGCCCCGCGCGCCCGCCATCGCTCGCCGTGCCCGACCGCGCGAGGCTGCGGCCGCACGACATGCGCATTGAGATCTCGTCCATTCGCTCGTCGACGTACGACATCTCGCGCCCCGCGACACCCGAGTCGTACGCCACCGCCGCCGAGGCGCACCGTGGTGGCGACGCCGTATAAAGCGGCGACTCGACCTGCAGATCGGCGACTTCACCTGCAGAGCGGCGGCCTCACGCGCAGCCAGGCCCAGCGCAACCTATTGTATATTGAAAACTCTGACGCTTCTTACGCCCCTGCTCATTCCTCTTGGGCCCACGTCCGCCCGTTTCCTCCACCTTCATCTCTCCTTTGACGTTCCTCTCCTCTCCTCCTTGGTGTTGTCGAGACTCACGAATTGTAACTGTAGCATAGTTGTCATCGCTCGAGGGACCCGACCTGGATAGCCGTTTACTATCTCGGCTGCGTATTGTTATTCGCTATCTCATACCCACGGATCCGGTCGCTACTGTATGCGTAGACAAAACGAAACGATACGGAATATAATCTAGATTGTAACCCATGACCTTTTCCGAGCGAGATTGGGCATTTGGAGTACTTACACACTGCCGTGTCGACACACCCAGAGAAAGGCGAACTGCAATTGCAAAGCTGGGGAAAGTCAACATGTGATCACGTGGTTATTCGGCGTTCGCCGCCGTAGGCCACGCGGTTGGCGGCAGCCAGTCATGCGACGAATATGCTCATTGTCCCAAACCATCATGACCTCGCCGAAGTAGGCGGCCATACACCAACCAACCGCCGACGATAAAGGACAAAACTCGACAATCACATAAATTGACCTAACTTCGTTTCGGCGCAGGCATACGCAGTTGTTCATTCACGGTCACCAGGCTCGCATTGCCGACATACACTCATCGTACAAGGTAGTCAACTCATTGTATACCCACTATAATCCTCGGTTACTCTCTCTCGACTTGGCTGTGCGATCAGGATGCCTCCACCGACGCCGCACTCTGCCGAACCGGCGGAGGTGAAGATGCGACATCGCATGCACTCGTTACAAGCGGCAAACGCCCACTCGCCGAAGGCCTTACCAACTCGTGAAGCTACCCCTCCGTCTTCTTTCACTCCAGAATCGGACGCAGATACAACGGACGACGATGGTGCGGAGCTTTCTGCCTACGAGAACGCCAACGATGACGACCGTCCTCGCGGCTCATCTCGGCCCTCGTACGCTTACGAAACAAGGCCTCACGCTCCGGATACCTTGCCAGAGCAATCAACCTGGTATCAATTCGACACTGCGGTACTCGTCGCGCTCGCCTCGTGCCTTGGGAACTTCCTGACTGGTGGAGACCACCTCAAAAATATACTCCTTGCTGGCTTGCTAGTCTTCTACCTTCACCAAATTATTGAAGGTATATTCCATTCCGAATCTGTAAGGTTAAGGTTCTGACTTATTGCACTAGTTCCCTGGCGACTCTATCTTTCAGCCCGCCCTCGAGTTACTCATGCGCAGCACACACAAGATAACTCAGGGCATCGTCAATCGACCCACGCCGCCACTGCCCTTCGCCGTCGCGAGCTCATGCTTCTCGCCTTTGCCGTTCTGTCCCCCTTCCTCGGCGTCACCCTCCTCACGCGCGTCACCGCCGCAGCGACCGGCGACCCACACGCCCTCTCCTGGTTCTCGCGCACGCTCTTCGTCCTCGCCGCCGGCATCCGCCCCTGGCGCCACCTCAGCGAGCGGATCTCCTCCGACATCGACTCCCTTCACACCGCCGTGCACTACCCTCCCAAGGACCGCGGCGCGGACGTCGAGAAGGAGCTCGCAGAGCTGCGGCACGCGGTCTCGCGCATTGAGCATGCGCTGGTGCGGCTGAACGACCGGTCGCAAGAGGTCTCTGAGTACGTGGACGATGCGCTGGATATCGTGGAGCGGCGCGTAAGGAGGCAGGAGCGCCGGCTAGAGAAGAGGGAGAAGGCGGCGGCTGCGGCTAGGGCGGAAACGGTGTTCGTGGAGGCGCCGAAGCGCGCCTCGCCGTCGTTGGCGTCGTACTTGCTGCCGTGGTGGATGATGCAGTATGGAAGCGGCGATGCTCAGGGCAGCGCGAGCGGTGGAGTGGGTAGCGCGAGCGGCGGAGTGGGTAACGCTAGCCAGACCTCGGCTTTGGCGAGAGGGAAGAAACCCGCCAACCGCGCAGTGACGCTGGAGACCATTCCGGAGGAGGGCGTGCTCGCGCCCTCCCCGGCGCGTCGGCCTGTGCCTCCAACAACGGGGAGCACCCTGTCGCAACTCTTGACGCTTCCCCTTCGCGTCGGGCTGAGGCTGCTGGGTCTTGGGTGAGCACGCACGTCACCCTCTTCATGTCCCTCGTTCCCGCTTTCGCTGGTGTCCGCATTGTGTCATTGTCCCGACTTGCATCGATCATCTTCGTCCTCTGACTCGTGTATACCGGATATACCGCTCATTATTCAACGTTTATCGTATCGTTTGTTATCTTCTCTGACTTCTGTATCGTTGTACTGCATTCCTGTATCGCTGTTCTCGTCAATTCTTGGACTCTGTCGTACGTCTATGTTACCGCTTGACCTCACTCTTCGCTCCTTAATCCTACAACTCTCCGGATCTCTGGTTCTAATGGTGAATATGTATGCGTGTTCTGTCGTCTTACTCGCATTCGTGAGGGGATTGCATTCTGTTCTCGTATCAAACGCTCAGACTTCACTGAGGGGAGAAATGATTGGCGCATATTCGCGCCTCTAGTCCGACAATAGCGAAGTAGACAACTAATCGATACTATCGAATCTAGATTACTGCGCTGTACCCTATATATCCGAAGTTCGAAAGGCCAAGTCCGTCAAAGCCCTGTGGACTGACGCTCGTTCAGCGGTCATCTCCAGAATCCTCTTCTCTGCATCCTCGTAGTTAGCCTGCAGCCCGTCCGCATGGTGCTTTAGGGCTTCGTACCGATCAGCATGCTCATCCCTCTCCCGGCAGACAATGGTCAGGCGCCTCGAGAGCTCGTCTCGCTCCTGGCGGACAGCCTCAATAGCCCTCGTCATCTCGGCTTCGGCTTTGATGGAGTGCTCAAGGTCGAGAAGGCGTTTCTCCTGCGATTCGTAGTGCGCCTCTGTCTCCTTCAGTTCGCGAGCGAGACCCTCTTTCTGCGTTTCTGCCGCGGCGAGAGCCTTCGCAAGGTCGGAGTTGCGCTGCTGAAGGTCGCCGATCTCTTTATCCAAGCTGTCCTCCATCGTGTTGTATCGCCGTTCGAGCTTCGCTCGGGCTCTTTCCAGCTCAGAGTTCTGCTTCTCCAGAAAGCTGTTGCGCTGCTCGAGTTCGGTCAGGTGCTGCCACAGTGACTCGGGTGCAAGAGAGCCAGATTGCGAAGCCCTGTCGATGCCCGTCTGAGTAGGCTGCATGTGCAGGCCAGTTGACATGTCGAAGTCGGACGAAGATGCGGCGGCGCTGGGCTGGCCATGCCGAACGACGGGTGTGTTCAGAGACATCTCTGCCATAGCATGAGGTCCATCTGTCCTTGCCTCCACGTCACCACTCCCACCGGCATCGCGTCCACCGCCGTTGCCATAAGAGCCCTCGTTGGATGCCGTCAGGACTCCCCGACTGAGCTTCGCGCTGATCTCGTCCCAGAGGGGCTTGTATGGCGATTTCGAGCTGACGATACTTCGCAATCGCGGGAAGAGAGCCCCTAAAAGAAGCCCTACGCCATCTACGCTCTCGCGAGCTATTGGGGAATCATAAACCGCAAGTTCCTCCACCCTCGAAGGAGAAGGTAACAAGCTGTCCGGTATCTGTGGCAAAGCGCTGCGTGCGTCGAATACGAGTCCTAGTCTCACCAAGTCGTCACACATCTCTACGAAGGGGAAGAGAGCAGCGAGGGTCAACAGGCGGGCGTTGTGCGTTCGCTCCATGTTGCATAGGGCAAGACTTTGGATGCGACGCCACCAGGTGGGCAACTGTGCGCAGTCCGTGTCCGCAAGTGCCAAGTCATGCCATGATCGTAGGGCAAGATGGCGTAAATTAGAAAGCGAGGCAAGAGGATGCAGAGGTATCAACCCAGTAGCAGATTCTATGGGTCGTCGTGGGAGGAATCCGAACAACTGGACTGCTTTGGGATCACAAAACCGGTTGATGCTGTCGGCGATAGACCGGTAGCCTCCGGGGGGATTTAAGCTCGTCTTGGCGTCGTATACAAAGATGGCCTCCATCGGGTGGCATTCTGGTAGTGACTCGATGATAGACTGCGTCAATGAAGCCGAGGAGGCACCACGGATTCCCAGACATCGTAGCGCAGGGAAGCTAGCTCCTATGGTCAGAGGAGGTCCGACTTCGATTTGGTCATCGCGGATGTCGAGGTCGATTGTGTGTAGTATAGGGCAGGAGCACGCCAGCGACCCTATTAACTCCGATGAGTATCGAACGGCAAGGTCAATTCGCGTCAAAGATGTGAGTCTCCAGGGAGAAACGCGCTGGAGCTCGATGTTGCCGTCAACAAACAGATTTCGGAGACTGGGAAATGATGAGGCGAGGTCCCAAGAAGATTCGCTGACCCCTCCGACATCGAGAGCATGCAGAGTTGATGGTAGCAGCTGCCGTAGAAGCACAACATGATCATTGCCAAAGTCCTTACATCTGTCAACGACCAGCCTTGCAAGGGATGGAAAGACAGTGTGCCCAAACCAGAAAACGAGAGGGATTCCAGATCTGTCCTGCAAGTCGTTCTCCGTCACCCTTAGACGCTTCACCAAAGCGGCGAGTCGACGACCGCGCCGCTTGGCTGCGCGTTCTGGTCGAAGAAGAGCAGAAACTGGGGCGCGCTGTGGAGTATTAGCCTGGTTACATCTACCGCATGATCAACATACGGAAAAGGGGTTTTTCCCGGCGGTATTATAGGCCTGCTCGTACCGTGAGTATATGAGCCGACATGAATCAGCACACTCGTACATACCTCCACCACATAGCTCGTCGGTATCAACCTCATTAGTGGCATAAGCGATGGAAGGTCGACCCATATAAGGGGACTTGCGGCCCCTTCCCAGCTCTTGTTGACTGTGGACGCTCTGCAAAGGTCGCCCAAGGACAGACAGACGCAGACAAGACGACGGATCTCGGCATTTCCAAGCGCACGCCTACATGCTGGACCGGAGGCAGGCGCCATGCGTTGAGAAACACCACTGGGGATTTTTCAGACGACTGATAACAAAATCAGGATGGACACTCACCAGAATGGAATGCTCAAATGCGCGGTCGCGTCGTCAGCCCCCCAAAAGGCCCTAGAAATCGACAAGCAAGGACGCGCTATGATGCTGGGGCGTCGTGAGGTCGTCAGTCAAGAAGGAAATAATGGTGAGGAACGTCGTCGCACAGTAAATTTGACAAGCAGCTTCGCAAGTTTGTGATGGAAGTTGTTGACAAGGGCAAGGTCGGCCTCGTGTCGCGGCCACGCCACAGGGCCTGTTGCACGAGTTCGAACCTCGGAACCGTATATGCTGGCCTCAGAGTCTTGGAGCTCTACTTTGTCAGAAACATATCTGCGCGAGATAGGGACGGATACCATGCAGAAGACTTGCTATTCGCTAACATGGCGTAATACCATCTCAGACACTCTAGCTTTCACTCCGCCATATTCCGAGTTCCGAGGCGAACCTGAACCCAAGGATCAAGCAAGCTATAGATACAGTACATTTGGACTTTGGTACGCTCGTTTGTCAAAGGGGGACAGTGAGAAAATGTAGATGAAGCAAAGGTTTCGAGGCGACCCACTCCTCGTGGCACCACGACAAGGCAGGATAATCTACAGGGTAAAGGTAATCTACAAGGATATATGAGTATGGCTACACAGAAGGGCTGGGGATACGAGATGATGCTAGTGATATATGATGATGAAGATCCGGACGTTGCAGAGCAAGTGGATAAAGGGGACGACGAAAGGTTGCGAGCCCGCGCGCGCAACGGACGCAGCATGGCGAGCGGCGCGATGTCCTGCGAAAACCACATCGTGTTAGGCGAGGTGTCCTCGGAGTCGTCAGAATGATCAATGGACTGTGCTGTCGGTGCAAAGGTTCGCGGACAATGTCAAGAGCGGGTCGAAGGGTCGTCATGCGCGAGTCGGTAGGAGCAGGCATCGGGTCTGCTACGGATGGCGAGGATGGAAGTTGGCATGTGCTGCATGTGCCTTCATGGTCGTAACCAGCATGCGGGTTGAGCCGCTGCAGCACTGCGAATCTCATTCTCTGCCATCCAGCGCGCAGTCGTGCCGCCCCCTCGAGTGCGCGCTTCGAGGGGCTGATGCCATTGGAGTGTGTTCGTTTGTCGAGGTTGTCCGTATCGCGTTGCCCGTCCGCATAGAGGTCCGCTTCGAGCGTGACAACTCTGCCCAAAATGCGATGAGCTTTGTCGACGAGACACGAAAACAGATTCTGCTCACCTTGCTTTCACATCCCCTCTGGAAGTACGAAGTTGTATCTCTTGAAGTACCGAGACTCATCAGGCGGAGTGCGACCTTCCCTCTTCGCCTCGTTCACCAAAGCCTCATAGGTATGGCAATCAGCGGTGTTGTCGGACCATGGATCTTGCATGTCGGGCATGTCAAGAGCGTCAGGCGGAGCTATCAGACGTCATTTCAGTACGAGAATGCGGTCCAGCCAATGGTCAACTCACGAGTGGTTCGTCTGCTGGCGAGGTCGTCCCAGCTGTACTTACTGCTCGAGGGTTAGATGTCATGAGTACGGGATGACCGGAATGGTCACTCACGTTTCGCGGATGTATGCGTGGTGCTTGACGGCGAAGTCATCGAGGCGCAGCTGAGGATTTAGCTGCATGAGCTGAGGGGTATCAAGTCAGCCAGATGGAACACCGAAAGACGAGGAATAGGGCGCGCACCCCAACTAGGAAGTCCTCGGCGGTCTTCGTCATGCCATCCGGAATACCGGGATATTCGCCGATAATGGTCAACCAATTGGCTATATCCGAGCCCCTGCGCGTATCGCCCGCCTGTTGGCGCTTGTTGACAAGGTCCTCGTATGGACGCTGAGGCAGCATGAGCGTCACCATATCGCCATGCATTGACGACGACCTACCTTTCCCGCGTGCACAGTGAACATCACCGCGCCCACGCCCCACCAGTCGACTGCGAAGCCATGGTCCCAGCCCAGCAGGATCTCCGGCGCAGTGTAATAAGGCGTCCCCACCATATGGCCGTCATTGAAGGCATGTTCTATAGCGTTGCCATCCCGCACCCACGATGGCGAGATGAACTCAGTACCGTGATTGATGCGAGGCATCCGTTCAGCGGCGAGGCCGAAGTCGCATAGCACGATATGGCCGTCGCGGTCGATGAGGATGTTCTCGGGCTTGATGTCGCGGTGGGCTATGCCGATGGCGTGCAGCCCGACGACCGCTGTGCAGAGTTCGGCCATATAAAACCGTAGGAGCTCGCTCGGGAAGCTCATGTCACGTCCGTGATAATGGCTCATGCGTGTGTGGAGGTCACAAAGGTGGTGTTCCTAGCCAAACATCGTTAGAGGCACGACGCCATCCGAGCAGTATGAGTACTGACCAGAACCATGTACAGGTCGGACTCGTCATGGAAGCTCGCGAAGAGCTTGATGATGAGCGCATGCTTGGTCTCGTCCTCTGCATTCTCCAGAGTCAGGCGCTCAAGGATCCACCGCTCCTCGAGGGCAGGTCTCCGAACCGATAACTTGGAGCAAAGAACCTTGTTGGTCTTCTTGATGACAACTGTTCTACCATCGGCGTGCAAACAGCGCGCGACCTGGAGAACGCTGCCGGCGCCGTGGGCGAGGGTACGCTCGATCTTGAAGTCGTCGATGGTGTACGGATGTTTGGGAGCGATGGTGTGGATACTGTAAGGCACAAGCCATCAACTTCCGTGCGGCGCAATGATAGAAGAAGATGTGTATTTACGTAGGAAAATGACGGATAGAGGCTTGACCGGGGGAAGGGTTCACTGATACGGAAGAGGCGTCGCTCTCTTCACTGGTGCTGGAGGACCTACGTTGGATCCGTCAGCCTGAGTTGCCATGCAATGGCATGGTACTTACGATGTTGTGGCTGAAGAAGAGGCTCCAGTAGGGGAGGGATCGGTGTTGGCGTTGCTGTTGTTGAATCTGGCGTCGGTGGTCAGGTGGGGTGCTGAACATCAGAACCGGTACGTACTGGTCATTCGGAACGGCGTCCGGCTCAATGATGGTGTCCAGTCCGACTCCATACTCCTCAAGGGATGTGGGAGCGTCGGAAGAATTATTCACGTGCGGCGGGATCGCAATGGGCTTCTGGAGGGGGCGGCGACGGAGAGCTTGCTGAGCAATCCTGGCAGACTCTGCGGCCGCATAGTCGGACTGGGAATACCAGACCGCTAAGCAGAGCGCGCTCAGGATAGCGACGACGACGGCGCCGACCTACGAGATGGTCAGCATAGCCGCAAGGAGAATGGTTGAGGCGACGCACAACGGTGAGGATGGCCTTGAGGCTGGGTATGAAGTATGGGGATTGGCGATGGTGTTCTTGGCTGTAAGTGCGCGCGGATTGGAAGATGTTGGCGTCGTCGACGGCGTCGACGTTTGTTCGCGATGATGGCGGTGTCGAGTGTCCTTCCTTCCCCCAATGGATGTACTTACCACCCATCGTGACGATGGGGGTCCAGCCATCTCTGATAAACGCTGCTTCCATTTCGCGGCGCTCATCCGCCGAGTCATCAAAAGCGGCGGACGGCTCCGGTGCACGGACGTCAGGTACGTTTTCCGCCACAAAGGCGGGTTCGACGGGGGAGAAGACCGTGTCGTTGTTTGCGGTGGCGGATGAGAGTGTGGGAGAATAGAACGAGTTGACGAGGGACGCGGTGTAGCTGACGGCGAGGTAGGTGGACGAGATGTAGACGAGGGCCTGGGCGACGGTGTCGGCGGGCGCTAATCCAGAGAAGTACGCAACAGACACCATAAAGGCGCTGGCGTGGATGAGGACCTCAACGAGGACCATGGTGCAATGGGCAAGGCTTTGTGGCGAGCTCTGCTATCGAGTGCAATGAGAGGGGAAGATGGGGGTTTAGGTGAAAGAGCAGTGGCAAAGGGCAGCGCCTTTTTGTGGTCCAGCCGGCGGTGCCGGCAAGCCTGATCCGGGCGCCTAATCAGTGGCACAATGGACAAGGACAGCCAAATACGGCGGACAATAAGGTAAGCCACCTCTTGGTCTTCCCACCATCATCATGTGCTGATAAGCGAGGGCCCGCGTAAATTCGAGAATTCTACCAGGGCTGGGCCTTTACGAGAGCGTATCCCTTTCTTTTTGTCTGCTTTCCGTAGGATTGTGAGCAGCAATCTGGCAGCAGTGCCCTCAAAGATGTTGACCATCTCGTGGCACACCGCCGGCATCCCGAGGCGATGTCAAATTCCCATGACAGTTCTCCGCCGTCGTGCTGCTGGTCGAAGGCCCATGACGTTGAGAATATGCTGTAGGCGAGGTACAGCTTACATTCAACGCTCAGTAGTCCACCGAGATGATGGTAGGAAGTAACGCTGTTGGAGAGAGAGACGGATGCAAATCGTCTCTCGGCCTTTGCCGATACTCGTCCCGAGGAGACCGCGGAGGGAAATGATGGGATTATTCCTTGTTCTCCTCATCCATCTCGACGTATAACTGCTGCTTCATCTTGCGCACCTGGAGAAATCATGGCCTCAAAAACCATCAGCGTGTTCAGTGATGAGAAGAACCCCCGCGGGATACCGAAAGCTCCCTTCATCGTGCGTTTTCTACGCCGACGTGAAGTCCCCCGCTGATCGAATTATGTCCTTCGTCCTGTCCTACAACATTCTTCCCCCATCTTGATACGCGCTATCATTATTGCTTCACAACAGGCAGACGTGGAGGAGTACCTCGGTGGACCCGACGCTGACGTCGAGGCACCACTGAAGGCGTTCCAAGACGCGCTAGCGTACGCCCCATCCATCTCGCGCGATCGAGTCGGTTTGGCTGACGCTCCGCGCGAAGCAAGTACAAGTACATGGACAGCAACCTAGGCTCACGACGGGCGGGTCTGGAAGACAAGATCCCCGACATCAAGAAGACACTGAGCATGGTCGAGTTCCTGCAAGAGCGCAAGGTGCGTCGCGTTGTTCTGTCGGACGAGAGACGTTAATCGCTGAATTTCTTGCAGGAGGGGAAGCAGAAAGGCGCGTCAGAAGACGACGATGACTTGGAGGACGAAGACGAGGACGCGGACGTGCCGCAGAAGCCCATACGAACAACATTCGAGCTCAACGATACCCTATACGCAGAAGCCGAGCTTGAAGAGACGGATCAAGTCTTCATCTGGCTAGGGGTGCGTGCTCCCACCTCTGCTCTCTCAAAATCGGTCGCTGATCATCTCTTTGCTCCCCCTCGTTCACCTCGCCCTCTATACAACTTCATTCCCCTACCGCCACCTTGGCATGTACTTTCCCTTTCGCATTTGACCCCCCCCCCTCGCCTGCATCCCTCCCCATGACCACATCGACTACCATTAGGCCAACGTCATGCTCTCCTACAAAATCCCCGCCGCCATCGCCCTCCTCCAATCCAAGCTCTCCGCCGCGGAGCAGAACCTGCAAAACACGATCGAGGACCTCGAGTTCCTGCGCGAGCAGATCACCGTCATGGAGGTCAACACCGCGCGCGTGTATAACTGGGACGTGAAGCGGAGAAGGGAGGCGCGGGAAAAGGCGGAGCGGGAGGGGAAGGTGACTGAGGCGAAGGCATGAGGGGAGGGCGAGGCTGGTGAGGTGGTGAGCGTAGCTGTTAAGGTGGTGGGCGAAGCTGGAAGTAGTGTCGTGGGCAGAATTATTTTGGGCTCGATCCGCCAATTACGCCTGGCAGAACGGCTTTTGGCCGAATGGCAGAATCCGGCGGAACATGGCGTGGGAATTTTTGCGGGGCAGCCCTCGACGTCAACTTCGCCTCGTCTAAGGCTACGAGAGGCTATGAGCGGGACAGGTGAGCGGGCAGCTCACGTGACTGGCGTGGGGGGGGGGGGGGGGAAATACATTTGTATACCGCGTCTTGTACCTACGACAAACTGCGGTGTAAACTATAGTACAGTAGGATAGTGCTATAATTTACAGGGGTTCGGAGGTTCTTTGGGAGGTGCGGAATGCAAGGGGGAATGTGTACGGGAGGTCCTATGAGAAGGGTATGTATGTTTGTAGGTCCATGGGGGTGCGAGACTAGTGGGTCCCGCGGGCAGCAATGGGCACGACTATGGGGGCTGATTGTTGGGCTCCGGGGCGGACTTGGCGAATGCGTTCGAGGTGCCGATGAATTTCGCGAGGGCTTGGAGGCCAGATGTCGTGCCGAGGATGACGGGCGTGGATATGGAAGGTGATACGGCGCGAAGGTGGTGCCGACCGCGCTCGAAGAGCGGGCAATCGGCGAGAATGTGGTCGCGGGTTTGGATGGGGGCTTCTCCGCACGGGCACGCAGGAGATTCGGATGGTACAAAGCGTGCGTAGTAGTCGCCGCGGAAGCCGTGGCCTAGGATAGTTTGGATGATTCGTGTATGGATGCTGCGATCTCCGAGGAAGTCGCGGTGGAATGGCGCGAGTCGCGATGATGGTGGGTGGTCGCGTAGCGCGACGCCAGCGAGGTTGGTGTGTGGTAGGGAGGCCCATTCGCGACGCCATGCGCGGAGGGCACGAGCTTTGTGCTGCTCGCGGGCCCACGATATGGTGCTCCGTTGGATGTGGTGGTGTTCGATGGTGGCCGCCTCGTTCGCTAGTTGGTCGGCCCGTTCATTGCCCGCGATGCCCTGATGCCCGGGTACCCAGACAATCTCGACCCGTGCGTCAGGTAGGCTGCCGAGGATGTAGTCTATGTGTTTTCGGAAGATAATGGATGCAGCCTGTGCGGGATGAGCAGAAGTGTCGGTAATAGGGACTGTCACAGTAGGGGTTTGGTGCGAGTTTGGTGAGGGTTTGGTGAAGAGTTTGGTAAAGTTCGGTTGCGCGATCTGGGCCGGCCTGGACCTCGAGCTCAGCGTCTTCGTCCACGGAACTGCTCGAGGTTTGGTGGGAGCGGAGTTCGAACTCAGTGTTTGCTCTTGTAGGTGGCAGCCATTCACCGGCGCCATAGTGTCTCACACCCGACTCCAAGAGCGTTCAAACTTCATGTGAGAGTTGCACGACTGTATTCCTCCTCCATGCCCAAATACCAAGGCAGAAGGGCCTTTCAAAGACGATGAAATGCGAGATTCGACGGCGCGGAAAAAGCCGAATGCCGTGCTCGGCCGAGCACATTTTGTGGCGAGTTCGGTTTCGGTGCGGTTTCGCAACAGTCGCGATCAAAGTTGAGAACGCCTGGACCGAGCAGCAACTTCTCACCAAACCTCCCACCAAACCCGCACCAAACTCGCACCGAACCCCTACTGTGACAGTCCCTAATGGTACGTACGGCGGACTGGTTGTCAGTAAAGAAGATAATTGTTCTGAGGTGAGAGTGTTGGCTGAGGAGGTCGCGCGTGCGAGCAGCGCCTGCTGCGAGCGCCCACATCTCGGCATCATAGATGCCTGCGCGGCGGCCAAGGGGAATGCGCGCGGAGTGGACTACGTCGCCTTGAGATAAAGCGACGAGACCGGCTCCTGTGCGGCGGCGGCCGTTGACCGGCTTGCGCGAGCCGTCAGTGTAGACGGTGAGCGCCGTTGCATTTGCGTTGAGCGCTGAGATGCGGCGGCGGACCGAGCGAATGTAGTCTGCACGGTCCTGAGGCGATAGGCGTTGGCGGGGGAACTGTATGTCGAGGCGAGCACCCCAGGGGTGGTGGCGCTCCCAGGGAGCTGTGTTGTAGGGGAAAAGGCGTTCGGAGTCGGGGTGGGTGAGATTGGCAAGGTGGTGGATGATGGTTGGCGGTTTCGTGGATGATTCGTCTTGAGGACGGACGGGGAAGGGTACAGAGGGCGAGTGTTCCTCCCAAGACGAGGGAGTGCGGGCAAGGACTTGGGAGTTAGCGGGGAGGGTGCGCAGGCGGGTTGCTGCGTTCTCTGATTGGCGGCGTAGAAGGTGGGGGATGGGAAGGATGGCGGCAATGTGGTGCATTTCCGCGATGGGGGAAGTGCGGAACGCGCCCAGGATCCAGCGTAGGCCTTCACTCTGGGCGCGCTCCAGGGGTTTGATGAGGGTCTTCTGCCGGGTTCCGGTGTACCAGACGGGGGAGGCGAAGGTGAGCACCGGGACAACCACGGCATTGTAGACTAAGCGGGCGTTCGCCACGCTGAGACCGCGCACGGTGTTGCCGAGAATGCGCAGACCTGCGATGGTCGACCGCGCTCGCGTGGCCATTTTTTCCACGTGTGGCTTCCACGAAAGCTTCCGGTCGAAGAACACGCCCAACCAGCGCATGACGTTGACTGGGCGTATAGTTCGAGCCGGGGCATTCGGGAGGGCGACATTGATGTGCGGGCCGGGGGCGGGGTCAGACCGCCTCCTTGTAAAATGGATCAGCTCGAGCTTGTCGATGTCGACATCGAGGCCGAGCTGGCGTAGCTTTTCGACGACCGTCGCAAATGCCTGCCCGAGCTTGATGATGTTGGCACCCTGCGAGCATGAGGCAGCTGCGAGGAGGCCGTCGTCGACATAGAACTTGCTGTCCGTGTCTGGGTGGGTGTTTCTGTCGAGACATGTCAGCACGGGTAGGGTGTAGATCGTTGAGAGGATGGGCGAAAGGGGTGAGCCTTGCGGGATCCCTACCCCTGCTATAGGGGTGGGGGCGCAGAGGTGGCCATCCACGCGAACCATGACCTCTCGGTCTGAGAGGAAAGACCGTAGCCAGGCAACCTCCTCGGGGGCGAAGCCGAGGAGCTCCATTGTGTGGACTAGTCTCGCGTGGTTGACGTGATCAAAGTAACCCTTAATGTCGATAGCGAGCGCCGACAGAACATGTCCCCGGCGCCACGCTGCTTGGATGTCATGGGTTAGCGAGAGACATGCATCGATGACCGAGGATTTGTCCCGGCCACCGAATTGGTTAGTGGGGACTAGTTCGTGTTTCCCTACCGCAAACATGAATCGCGCCGCATTGATCTTCTCCAACCATTTGCTGAGGCACTCGAGCAGCGCGATGGGGCGGTAAGAGCGCGGGTTGGACATGTCGACTTTGCGGGGCTTTGCGATTACCGAAATGACTGCCCTCTTAAGAGCTCGAGGGTGGGTGCCGAATCGCATGCACGCATTGAAGAAGTCGACGAAGGTGTGGGGGGCCGTGTCGAAGGCCCACTTCATTAATCGGTAGGTGGAACCGGACTCGCCTGGCGCTGTTGTGTTTGAAGTCTCCCGCAGCGCATCCTTTGCTTCGTCCATGGTTATGGGTACGAAGGCACGGATTGGGCGAGCTGGTGGGTCGTCTGGGAGGGTCGGATTGACAGGCGTGGCTTCGCGGGGGAAGAAGTGGGCTGCAAAGGCGGCACCCTGTTCGTCCGGGTCTATTGCGAACCCATTTGCTGAGCGGATAGGGGGAGTCGCACGCCGGCGTCGTCCAGAGGACCAGCTAATCAGCTCCCATACTTTCTCAGGTGCCGCATGGGTCTCCTTGATAATTTTGTCAGCAAAGTTGCTTTTAGCCTTACGTACCGCGCCTCGCAATTGCCCTCGCAGGCGTTGTCGATGGACGCCTCGGGCCCGTTTTAGCTCGTGCACGACATGGTCGCAGTCGTCGTTCCACCACGGAGACCGCACGGGAGTCCGTCCGGACCGACGCGGCATGACTGCAGCGGTCGTCTCACGCATGCATTCGAGTAGCCCGCGCGCTGCCACCTCAACATCGTCTGCTGAGTGATAGTCGACAGGAGTTGCGGTGTGGATGCGAGTCTGGAATTCCTCGCGCCAGTCAGATTCGCGGGCCGGGTCGATGCGGTAGCCTGCTTCGGGTGAGGGGTCTTCAAGGTGGTCCTCCTGGAATGGGGCAATAGACCAGGTCACGGCGTTGTGGTCAGACTGGAGCGCATGGCTGCGGCTGCAGTCCCAATCCTGTATGACCTGAAATTCGTCAGCTACAAAGTTCGTCCAAGTGAGGTCTATGATGGAGTCAGCTTGGCCGGTTCGGCCTCGCCGGGTGGGTAGGGACGTGTCATTGAGCAGGGCAAAGGAATTGGCCTCCGCCCAGTCAACTAGGTTCTCCGCCGTTGAGGAGGAGCGTGGGGCTGCACGAGGTAGAGCCCACGATGGGTGGTGAAGGTTGAAGTCCCCACAGACAACGGTGGGTACGAGAGGGTCCAGCTCTGCGTCGCATAGGTGACGGACAGAGTTGGTTCCGGGATTTCTCGGCCCCTCATTATAGACATTCAATATGTACAAAGTTACAGAGCCATACGTGAGGTGGAGCGTGAGTATGTCTGGAGTGTCGAGCACGTCCGGACGTGCTCGAACTTGTAAGTGAGGGATACCTCTCCGTACAAATGCAGCCACCCGCGGAGGGGGGTGGTCGCGCATTGTGACGGGGACGAAGCTGTCCCACGCCACATTCGCAACCGTCCCTCGGACTGGTGTACCATCTGGTGAAGTATCGGAGCGCTGGACTCCAATACGGTCAAACCACGGTTCCTGGAAAAGAATGATATCAAAGGAGGTTAGTGTGTTAAGGAGTGCGTGCATGCGCGTGTTAGAACGGGCAACGTTGAGCTGGAGGACTCGCAGAGGCCGCAGACTCATGGCTCCATGGGCTGGGAACCAAGGCTAGTCGTGGCCGACGGTGGAGTGCTGAACTGCCTCCTAGAGGGGCAGGCAGGGTCGTCGGCGTAGTGGGCCTGCTTGCAGTTCAAGCACCGAGGTGGGTGGTCGCAGGGCTCGGATGCCAGGCGACCCTTGCAGCCTGGGCAGCGGACGCGGTGGTCCTCCTCGGCATGTGGGCCTCCGCACCTCCTGCATCGAGTCTTGTTGCAGTGAAGGTGGCGGAAGCCGTAGCACGTGGAGCATTGCCGTAGGCGCGGCTTCTCCACCCAGCGTTTGACATGGACCGGTGCACCGAACATGAAGATCTTGGCCTTGAGGAGGTTCTTGAGGGCCGATCCGTCGGGATCCTCGAAGGCGAAGACTATCGATGATCTATAGCCAATGGACTCGTCGGGGCGAACCCAGCGGCCGCGCTGGGTGATGTTGAGGCTGCGGATGGCAGGATTGGCCATCATGGCTTCGTTGATGACCTCGTCGGGAAAGAGGGTGCCGTCCTCGTCGCGCGCTAGGACGTTCGGGAGGACGGCCTTGTTCCAAGGTATGTCGCGGGAAATGGGGATCGTCTCGGAGAGGGATAGCGCGAGGCGGATGGAAGGGATATGGTCTTTTATCAGCTTGAGAGGTGTGCGAGGGGGGAAAGTGAGGATGATGTTGTTGGACTCGTTCCAATATGAGCCTAGGACCTGGAGCTTGCCCGCCGAAGGGGTGGCAGCCAGACGGGTGTTGATCTTCCGAGAGATGATGAGGGGTGAGTCGCGCTTGTCCGGGTGGGGTCCCTTTCCCTTGAAGCGGACGACAAAGCGCGGGCCTTCTGTCGTGTTTGCTGCTTTGGGGGGCGTTGCCGTGGGGTGCGCGACGGGCACGGGCTGGGACTGCGCGACGGGTACGGGCTGGGACTGCGCGACGGGTACGGGCTGGGACTGGGTTTGTGATGAGGAGTTGGGCTTGGGCGCTTCGCGAACTGCGTTGGCGTAGGTGGGCGACGCGTTTTCCGGTGTGGGAGGTGTGGGAGCGGACGCGCGTTGGGGAGCGGTGCGTTGTGTTGTTTGCTTCTCGAGACGCGCCAGCCGTGAGTTCAGAGCAGAGCACTGCTTCTGAATCAGGAGAAGTACGTCCCGAGTCGTGGGGTCGGCGATCGGGGCTACGTTCGGAGGGGCGGGGGTGGTCTCTCGGGGTTCGTCTTCCATGGTGACGTCGCCCTGAAGGGAGCGGGCTGCCTCCTGGAGCGCGTCTCGGACGTGATTAACGGCCTGCGTATCTTCAATCTCGTCGCCCGGTTGGAGGTGCTGGGCAGCTACCACCGGTGCACTCGCGAGGTGAGTGCAGACCGTGGCCCAGCCAGAGGGTGTTTGTGCTAGAGCCATGTCGTTCGCCACCAGGGAGAAGGCCTCTAGGGCGTGTTCGAGGGTAGCACGAGTGGGCGAGTATTTGGGCAGGGAATTGAGTATCTTCGTGATGTCGACATCTCGCGGATCGCGAGGCTGTTCGACCGTTACGACTTTTCTCGCTGGGCCTTCGGGAGGCGGAGCGGCGCGTTTCTGGCCGCTGCTCGCTGCTGGATTCCCGGGCGCAGTCGAGGAATGAGGGGGTGGACTTTCGGTTGGCGTAGAGTCAGGTGATGGCATAAGGCAAGGTTACGTGGCCTCTCACGTGACTGGCGTAGTGCTTCGCCTGTTCCAACTCGAAGCTAAATTGCTGGCATTCAGAGTGATTATGGATATCTCAACGTCCACACACTATCCGGAAGCTAGGAAAACAGCAACATATCGCCGTAAGCTGTGCCCTACACGCCCATATTCGGCCACTTCTGCCACCCTGAATCGATGTCCTCTGAATTCCGCCTGGCATGCCAGGGTGGCTTGGCAGAATTGGCGGAAGGTGGCAGAGTTCTGCCAACAACACTAGCTGGAAGGGGGTAGCGGAGGGATGAGTCGATCATGGAGAGGTGAAGACGATTAGAGAGGAGAGGTGGAGGTAATGGAGATATCCAATGTACTGACTTGCGCCCTCGCTTCATGAATGGACGCGGTGGCGATGTATACGATGACCAACCGCGGGCTGTGGGTCCGTGTAGGTCCGTCACTCGTCACGGGACTACGTTACTGCCTTTCACGTGAGTGAGAACAACTGTCACAATTCAACTTCGCGTGAAGGACACAGGATGCCCGACTCCTCCTACTCCCAACACCTCCGTGAAGGATCCGCGATGACTGAACTGACAGCCTCAGCCTCCCAATCAGTCCTGAAATGCCTCGGAAAGCAGGAAGACTTCACTACTCGGTCACACATACGCAGTCCTGGGCGGCTTCCAGTGCACATTCTTCAGCAAGGCATGTGTCGCCGCAGCCGGCTAGTGGATGGCTTCATCTATGGCTTGGAAGTCGATTGTCTGGAAAATACACACGGGAGCCGCTCTGCGCGGAGGCGAAGCCCGTGAAGGCAGTGAGGATGAAGGCGCATGGTTGAGCGTGAATGTTTAGGAGCGTAGGGAAGCTACATGCCTTAAACAGGAAGGGAAAGTGCGGAAGTTCAGGAAAGAGAAAGGTCCGACTTGAAAAGCGGCCCACCTTGGGAGTAATGGTGGCGCAAGGGACCGCCTTACGAGCGGCAGCCCCGGCGATTCGACGGAAATGACTTTCGCGGACACGTCATTTATAAAGTAGCTTCTCGCCCAACCCGCAGCCTATCTTAAAACCGATGACTCCCCTTACTCGACCTCCAACGTCAGCCGCCTTGCGCGCCCGTTGACCGCCTCTATGGTGCAGAGCACCTTCTCAGGATGGCTGACAGGCGGCGCGTGTCAATGCACATCCTTCCTGCAAGTCCTCAACGAAACGCACCTCGCCAGCCCCGTGGTAAACGTCGCTGTCTCCGGCTCGATAGTGATCTCCTCCCCGTTTGCGTCCTTCATCTTCTTGATTGCAAGGACGTGCAGGATGGTCGCAATCGCGATGAACACCGACGCCTCGCCGAGGAAGCGGCCGGGGCATATCCTACGACAGACGGGTTTTATCAGTCATCGTCTTTGCTATGCAACGAGGGCGACCTGACGATGAGCAGATCTTGGCTTACCTTCGCCCAAATCCAAAATGCGTTACAGGCAACGGCTCCCCGCGCCCTCCCTCATCAAGAGGTAGGTATCGGTCCGGGTCAAACCACCATGGATTGGTGTACACATCCTCGTCGTGCGTCATGGCGAAGGCGTTGAAGACGACGACAGAGCCCTGCCGAAGGATTACCCACCGTTCGCGAGCAAAATGACGATGGTAGATCAACCTTCGGTATGAACATCCCGTTGTATACATCGTCTTCAGTAGACTTATGCGGGGCACCTAGGCGCAGGGTGAGTACCATGTTCTCTGGGCAACAGCCTTCCACTTACCCAATGGCGCAACTGGATACATCCTGGTAGACGACAAGGTCATTCATAAGACATATCAGCGGAGATAGACTCGACAAACCTGAATGTCTCTTGCACCACCCGCTGTATATAGAGCAGGCTCGGCAGGTCCTCCATCTCAGGCAGGCGGTCAGGGCCAACGACTGAGTGAAGCTCGACGCGCGCGCGCTCTTGGACGTCGGGATGGTTGACGATGGCGAAGATGAAGACGGTAAGGGTGTCCGTAGTCTGCAGTTCTCCCAAATTCAAGACGGAACACTGCGTAGCTTCACACGTACCGTGTCGGCTCCAGCTACAGAGGGTCTATTTCATGACAAAATCAGGGAGGACGTCAAGTAGCTCACCAGAAAACATAGAACCCCCTACCCCTCTGATCCTCGCCGCCGTTTCGGGATCAACGCGACCGTGCTCGGCCTCAGCCTCTTGAATCGCGGAAGCAATGAAGGACGGTCGAGCGGTGCCAGCTTTCTAATGCCAAGTCTGAGCAAAGGAGGTGACGCCCGACAAAGGACAGACCGCGTACCATCTCCTCCATTACGCGCTCATATGGCACGTTGATCATCCTCGAAATTGCCGCCCGGTTTCTGCGCACGTGCTTTGTTGAGCCGGTTGGGTCGCACCAGCTGGGGAGGTGGCGTACTGAGAGTGGTGTCAGAGTCTGACTCTAGCTGTACCAAGGCGTCTCCCCGCCTCGGAGCCAGCCTCGACTTACGGAAAGGAAAGAAGTCGACGCCTGTCGCGCCAGGTGGTCCGCCGCCATTCATCGCCTCGCAGATACCGCGGCCGATTTGCAAGTAGTCGTCGTCGGGAGACTTAATTTCGTGGCCCGCGATGATTGCGACGATGACGGAGGTGCTGAACCTAGGGAAAAGAGGACGAAAGGTCAGTCTGGTCAGTTTGGAAGAGGACGAAGGAAATGCTAGCGAAGACTCGGAGGGAAACTCACATCTGCAACGCGCCTTTCCATCCTTCCGGATCCCGCAGGATACGCTTGACGAGCTTGCGTGCCTCACGAAGCTGAACAGGAGCGAATTGATGGACCGTAAACTTCGCTAGGTAGTTCTGCAGCTCTCCGCGGAGGATAGGGAAAGATGGGTCCTTGCTGCTGGTGAGCAGAACATCGTGCTCGTATCCGAGCCTGTAGGCGAAGTTAGCAAGGGCTTGACCAGACCCGAATGAATGTGCGCTTTATGAACCACTGGCGACCTACATCCGGAATGACTCCCAATGTGGCCGATCACTATAAATTGCACCTCGCTTGTGCAGCAGGTCCACCGCCGCAGCGAGAGTATTGAGCACGACGATGGGTTGCCCGAGGACATTGACGTGGATCAAGGCCGAGTCTGTGCCGAAATGGGGCGCAGGTCATGAAAAGCATCTTGACACTCACCATACTCCTTACTCCACCGACAGTATGCCCGCGCAGCGTCCTTCTGCGGGACGACGCGCAGGTGGCCGAGCAGCCACCCTGCTGGCGGACCCGGTGGGAGAGGAGGATGAGATGAGGCATGCTTGAGGCGGACGTGGAGCGCGTAGAGGAAGATGCAGACGGCGAGATCCTGCAAGGTCAAGATGGTGGTCATGGTTAGAAAGAGGAAGAAAGGTCGTGGTAAAAGGAGGAAGAGCGGCATTGACTAGGGAAGAGTACTCCAAATGAACACCGCGCACCAATGCAGGCCGACCTATGGCCGTTGACTTCGTGAATGCGTTCAGGTGATTCAAACCAATCTCGGTAGCCGCGCGGTGTGCAATCCGTGGCTAAGCAGCAGAAGTGGCGCGCCAACAAATAAGTTACCCTAGTATGTAGTACAGTCTTGCATGAAGGACACGAGGTTCATGATCATGATCCAGCATCCATCATGCCAGTCGCTGTGCACTGGACACGCTGCTCGCCGAGCCCCTTGGATCGGTCGAGCGCACCGAGCGAGTGTCGTGCGAGCCATCCAAGCGAGGGTCGTTCAAGTCAACCGAGCGCGAGACGAATGTTGAGGTACGGTACGGTGGGTCCGACTTCGACGTGAGCTCTGCGCCGGACTTCGAGCCTCGTCCCGGCCTCGGCGCCAACTGGCTTGCGATATCATCGAAGTTGTCCTTGACGGATACTGATCCATTCGGCATCGTCGCTATGAATGCGAGCGGCTCAGATGGGTACGAAACCGAGGGGGCTGCCGACGGGTGAAAGACGGTGTCCGTGTGCGATTTCTCAAGCGCGACAAGGATGATGATGATCATTGGGTAGAGGCCCTGTGTACAGATCAGCCATGTTCTTCGCCCGTAGAGCTCTTCGACGATAGCTCGAGAGCATGGACCGACAAGCGATCGAGGGATGATACCGACGAGACATACGGTGAGCCCGAAAGACCTACCGCAACGCTCACAGCCACACTCAGCAGCACGGTATTCGAGTCGTCCGAGAGGACCTCGATACCGGACAATAGGAGGAAGAGCTGCAGAGGACGTACATCAGCTTGGAAGCTCGAGCGCTCACGTTGAGGCGAACTTACCCAAAGTACACAATACACGACGCCAGACTCGAGGATAAGCAGCAGCGTACGCTCGATGCTGGCGCCGTGATTTCCCGCGTTGCCGATGTACGCCTTCACATTCTGGCGGTAGTCCCTGTAGGTGTGGTGCGGTTAGCGGGGAGACAGGCGATGGTTAGCGGTGACAACAGTAGCAACCCCCCGACGATGTGTACTCAGGAACAAGGGGGGGGGGGGCAAAGAGGCAGCGGTGCACACAGCAGCACTTACTGAAGAGCGAAAGAAATCAAACTCACCAGACCTTAATCCCCACCATCACGCACGCGACGATGTTCGTGAAGAACAGCGGTACGGTCAGGATCGGCGACGTGTTCAGCCAGTCGAGGAAGGCGATCTGCGCGGTGCGTGAGTTCACGAAGACTAACGGAAAGATGGAAGCTAGATGGAATGAAGAAATGAACGTAGATGGAAAAGATGCATCCGGTCCTTCGAAGAACGGGAACAAGGAGCGGGAACGGGGAACAGGGAACAGGGAACAGAGAACAGAGAGCGGGACTTGGGAGCGTAAACAGGGAACAGGAAATAGGGCGCAGGCAAATATGAGGGAGAGCAGCATATACGCACGTCCGTAAGCTTGGCCAGAAACAAGAATATGGAGCTGACGATGACGCCTCCTGCGAACGTCCGTTAGCCAGGTCCATCGACCGTGCGCATCAGCGCTCTCGATCGACTTCAAGTACTCGAAATAGAGTATATGCACGTTGAACGATAAAACACCCACCAACCGACCCAAAAAGCGCAACCGCCATAATCAAGCGGGGCCACAGAGTATCCGGCCACAGCACCCACGCGCGCCAGACGACGATGATGTCGCTCAGGAGGAGCTAGAGGGGGGTCGGGTCAACTACCGCTTGCGAGTATGCATTTCTACCCCACAGGAACCAAATCCCACAGAAAACAAACCGGCAAAGCAGCGCGAAGCGCGACGCACGCTGATCTCAAGCGCGATGCACGCTGATCCCAAGCGCGGCGCGCGTAGATCCCAAGCGCGACGCTCATTGATCCCAAGCGCGACTCACATTGATCCTCAGCCCGAAATTACTTGCCAGGCTCTCCCTCAGCATCCACGCCCTGTCCACGGGCAGATCGTCCAGGGAGTAGTTGTCGATCGAGCGCTCATAGAAATCCGTCGCGCACACGACGGAGGCGATCGAGATGGCGAACATGAGCGTGGTCATGAGCAGGAGCCAGCGCCGCGCGAGGGAGGTGCGGAGGCCTTTTTGGCTGGGGGTGGGTGGTGGTTAGTGGGAGTTCATGAGTCGACCGGGCATGGGAGTTTACGAGTCGACCGGACATAGAACAACGACTTACACCAGCAAGTACGCAGACATGAGGAACAGCGCGCCGTGGAAGCCTGTGGAAATCGACTTTTAGATTTACTTCGCGCCTCTCCAACCGCTTGCGCATACCGAGTATCGCCATCTCGACCGAGATGGCCTTGATCTGCTCCTTGATGTTCTCCGTCGAGTGCGTGGGGATGCCCGTGGGACAACGAGTGGACATGATTGAAGGACGAGAGGGGGCTGTGGAGGAACGGTACGGTCGAAGGAAGGGGGGAAGACGGGGGAAAGTACTAGAGGAGGAAGAGCAAACCTTCGAACCTTGGCATCGTCGCGTTATATTCAATCACGTCGTCCCCACGCCCGCCCTCCAAAGGTGTATCGTCTGATCTGCGAATGTATGCGCGAAAGCGCCCGATCTGCAAGAGCGCGCAGGCACGAGTGATTAGCATCCCTCCGTGCCGTCTTCCTACGCGAAGACATCGGAACGACGCGGTCTCCGAGGATAGGTAGTACGTTCGACTGATCGCAAGGCGGTCTTCGACTGATTGCAAGGCGGTCTTCTCATGATGGCAGGGCCTCTTCGTATGCGTGATAGTCTGCAACGTGTGATTGGCAGTCGTCCTCAGACAATGGGCGCTCGACGGGCGCTCCGTCGCCCACGCCTTCTTCGCCATGCAGGTTCTGCGCGTGTCAGGGCGGCTTCCCATGGTGATCGACGTGCTGCAGGCGATCGGCGCGTCGACAAAGGCGCGCGGGAGTACGGCTGCAAAGGATATTCGAGCTTCGTTGCCTGTCTTCGCATTCGACACGCTTGAGTTTGGGCTCGCGAGAGAATGTATCACAGAAATTTAATCGAGATGCACGCCAAGAATTTCTGCCACCAATTTGGGCGCGCGAAAGAGTCTTGACAATAGAGACCTTGCGCATCTGTTGTTGTTGATTCCTGTTGTTGTTGGTCGTCTCTGTTGTTATAGTTTTGTGAGCCCCAGAGCGCCCAATAAGCTGTATGATCACTGTCTAGGACGATACAAGATATCCTGTACGCATTTAAGGGCCGAACGACGAGCGCATCGTACAAGCTTAGGCGCGCTTGATCAGTCACAACAGTTCTCGGCGTTGGCCGATACTAATTCGATCTCACCGCTGTTTGGGCGGTTCAGCGTCCCGTTGGGCGCAGATAACACAATGACCATGTCGAATAGGTCTTTCAGCTTGATATCTAAAAGTCTGAGAAGCTACCAGGACTCAGAGCGCACATAATAGCCAATTTTCTATAACAACAGGGACCAACAACAAACACGTGCGCAAGGTCTCTAATGACACAACCGGCAAAAGTCGACGCAGGGTTATCTACCTGCGTTAGACGCAGCTAGTAGTCCGGTAGATCTAATCGAAACGGTAAGCGAGGTTGCAACGAGGCGGTAAGCGTGTCGAATCCGCCGGGCCGACGCCGCAGCTCACGACATGTCACAAAGTGTCACAGTTGAAAAATGATGCTCTATCAGCCCCTCCTGCGGCTCGACGCCGCAATATTGTCCAGAGGAAATACAGTTGAATGAGGAAAAGACTGGCTTGGTGTATTCTTGGAACTACGAAGTTTATCTCGTCCTTACAGATACGGAGGCAAGTAATCAAATATGGCCGGAATCACAACGGGCATAGGGGTTTCCGTGGTCGAGTGTGGTTAGCAAATCATTGAGCATAACAAGCCTTTATCCATTTGTCTTTCTGAAGATGATTTGCGAGATGGAAGGGATGAAAAGAGGTGGCGAGAATCATGGCGAGAATATTATACTCACATTGAGGGAGGGACCAGCGCATGAAAATCATTGCGGTAAGTACAAGTCGAAAGCGCTTATAGGATTGGTTTGACATGTGTAGGGGTAGATGTAGCTACGAGAAGAGCGCGGTCTAGGCTGGAGAAGCCGGCGGGGTAGGCCCAAGAGACTGCTATCGAAGAACCCTCCTGCGAGATAGCTAACTCACCATCAATATCTGCCCAATCGTCAACGTCTTCTGGCTGGGTCGTACGCGTATCCCATGTCTGTTCTCTGAAATTTCCTGTGCCGAGACTTGACTACTCTGCGCACTTCACCGAAGCGTCATGTGTTAACATCACGTCAACGCGGTGAGCGCGGGTATGCGCGCGGGCGCCCTCAAAGTAATTTCCTCGACAGGTATCAAGGACTGAGAAACGACCTTGTGCTTCCGGGACAGATGGAGTCGAAGGAGTCCGGGGAGAGCCAGTCACACATGTCGGCATGGTTTGCTACAAAGAGAGACTAAAATCGAATCTTCGGGCATCGAAAATGAAGAAAACATGACTATAATCTGTTATGCATCATGTCATCTTGTTGGAGGGGGGCGTGTGGCATAACGGCCAGAGATCGTAGTAGAAACGAGGAGCGATGGATTGTGACATGGTCGTGACATCCCATGGACTCCGCCGGCGGCCCGGCGACTTCGACACGCCTCCCGCCTCGTTGTCGCCTTGCTCAGCACTCTGATTAGATCTAACTGCAGGCTGGCTGCAGGCTGGCTGCGTCTAACGCAGGTAGATAAAGCTGCCCTAGGTTTTGCCGGTTGTGTGAGATGAGCGCTGGGAGCAGCCTGAGAGCGTCGACGCGTCGGCATGGCGCAGCACGGCAATTGCCGATATGTTTCTCACAGTCGCTGACCAGCATACAGTTCGTTTCCTGTTAGCTTCCCTTGTTCGTATGTTCAATACCCTTGACTGTACCCATAGTCTACGGCAAGCATAAATTCGGTGCCCAAGCATTTATTTACAATCCTCGAGTGGCCTCGCATGTTCTTCCTGCCTGCACATTGCGTGAAATCAGCTGGAGCGCAGGCGTGGTTCTTGTAATACCTGCCGCCGTGCCGGTCTTGTAACTACGTCTGCAGACACATATTTATTCCACCCTTTCGTACTGTATACCCTTTCATGACTACACCTTGTACCCCTGCTCGCTCAGCAGACTCCAGCCCGCACGCTCCTGTGCGAGCTCGTCGGGGTGGTTGAGGAGGCGGCCTAGGAAGTGATCAGTGCGCGCACAAATGGGACAGTCAATGGAGCGAAATGGGAGTGACGCGTGAAGGGGAACTATACGATGAGGGAGAGAAAATATCTAAATAAGACGAGGAACACAGCGCACCCTCCATCCCGCCCGCGATCGTCACGACTTGCCCAGAGACGTGGCCGGACGCCTTCGCGGACGACAGGATCACGATCTGCGTGGCGATGTCCTCGGCGACGGCGATTTTCTTGAGCGGCATTCTGCATGCGATGAGCGCGAGCCGGATATCCGTTAGCGCAGAGCACTCACGTCGCCAGCGCCCTGTACATCTTCTCCGGCTCCTGGCTGAGCTGGGGTTCCGCCATCGGCGTCCACACCCAGCCAGGCGCGACGGCGTTGACGCGGCCGCGCGGGGCGATCTTGACGATCTCGTTTTTGAGCGAGAGCGTGAGGCCGTACATCATCGCGCTCTTGGCGGACGCGTAGTCGGCTTGGCCGGCCTGTGAGGAAGGGTCGTTAGCAATGTAAGAATGGGGGGCGACAGAGATCCGATGCGACGCGACAACAATCCACAAGTATGCGACCGTTGTACGACCCCGTGACTGCGCCCCAGACGCGTCAACAACTCCGTCTCCGAAGCACGCGTCACCCATCCCACTCACCAGCCCAAACTGCCCCGCCGTCGACCCCACAAGGACGACCGCCGCCTGCTCCTTCGCCCCCGCCCCCGCCGCGCGCAGCCCCCTCAGGTACTCCCTCGTCACCAGGAACACCGCGTCCAGGTTGACCGCCAGCGTCCGCTGCCACCGCTCGAGCCCCATGTCCACCACGGGCACGCCGGGGTCGGGCGAGACCCCGTGGTTGACGACGACGACCTGGACGGGGCCGAAGCGCGCCGCGGCGTCGGCGAAGAGGCGCGCGACGGCGGGCTCGCGGGTGACGTCGGCTTGGACGGCGGCGAGGGTGTCGGGGTGCGCGGAGAGAAGGGGTGCGAGGGAGGTATTGTTGGAGTTGTAGTGGGCGGTGACCTTCGCACCTTGGGCTGGGGAGGGCGTCAGGTCAGGTTAGGGGAGGTCCGGGTTAGGGAAGGCTAGGATGGCGAGGAGGACAGGCCCGCAGGCTAAAATTGCGCGCGGAGGAAGGGCGGAGGCTAGCACGGACCTAGGTATTCTTTCGTGGTCGCTAGCCCGATGCCACCGCTGGCGCCTGCGACCGAAGGAGGTTAGCTGGCGGGCTAGTATTGGTAGTTGTCAACGGACGGGCTTACCGGTGATGAGAACATGCACGTCTTTCAGTCCGAGATCCATCGTTGTTAGGGCTCTTCAAGATGGCAGCTTCGAACAAGCGGCGGGGTTATGACGGTCTAGGATGCGACGTCAACATGACTCGTCACTTGACGATAACGGCGATTGCTCATCCGGACCTTACTCATCGGGGGTGCTTTGGTCAGTCCTTTCTTAGGTCAAAGAAAGATGCAGGTAGGATTCGACCAACGGCATAGCTATAGAAGAAAGGGGATATTGCGCTGATGCTTAGTGATAGACTGCTTGGAATCAGAGCGGTCGGAGGAAACCTCATACCGAACATGAGGAGGGCATTGGCCAGAAAGACATATCTTCTCGGATACACTGAAGATATCCAGGCACCAAGACTCCGTTAGACAGAGTTCTCAGACGCTCGGTGATGTGGCAGGACGACAGGAACAGAGAACAAGCAAACATGTTCAAGCGTCGTCTTACCGTGGGAAACCAATCGGCAATTTCCGTACCACAAAATGACAGTGCAGAGAGAATACATGCGCAACGTACAACCTGTGCCATGCATCCAGTATACTACATCACCCACATCTTCTGAGCGAGAAAGTGGCACAATAACACAATCGTCTATGGTACACGCGTCAAACCAGTGCAGAATACCCTAAAACGCCTTTACTGCTCATTCGCGCATTTATACCCCAGCGCCGCCAGCAAACTCATACACCGGCGCCGTCTCTACGCGCGGCCGTGGCCAAGTGCCATACGCCGTCGCAATCTCCACTGGCTGTACCACCAGCGGCTCCCTGTCGCGCCCCACAAATGACCCGATATCGAAGGGGAAGAGGACGACTTCGTACTGTGATTGGAGGCGTCAGTACCATACTTCCGGTGCTCTCGAACTTCTCGGGAAGGCCCCCCCCATATCGCACTCAAGCCAGTTAGGATAACGCGCCATCGCACGACGAAGGGAAAAAAAAGAAGATACACAATCCACCAACCACTCACCTCCACCCGCCAATGCGCAAAACGCGTCGTCGGCTTCAAATCCTCCTTCAGATGTATCTCCCCATCCAGACACCGTCGATATGTATGTTGCGGCGCGCCCTCGCGTGACCACCAGCTCGCGAGGTCGTAGACGATGGTCGAGTCGGTCCAGGGGGTCGTGTTCGGTGGGCGGGTGATTGAGCCTGTTTGTGAGCCGTTAGACACATTTCCTCGTACCGACGCACGATGTATTCACCTTGTCGGGCGCTGCCACTGCCTACAACTTGGGAGCTCCCTACACCCTCCTCATCGTAGTCATCCCCCTCGTCCACGCGCCCGATATCCACCTTATACCGCAGCCGGCGCCGCAGTCGGGCTACGGGCGCGGCGGGGGCGGAAAGCAGCTCAAGCGCGGCGGCGTCGTGCGACTCGAAGGTGAGCGCGAGCGGGAGAACGGAGCCGCGGGTGTAGGCGAGCTGGATGGGAAGGTCAATCTGTCGGTCATATCCGTTGGAAACGACAGGGAAGTCGGCACATGCAGTGAAGTCGGCAAATACAGTGAAGTCAGCAAATACAGTGAAGTCGGCACATACAGTGAAGTCGGCACTTACAGGTTTCGCCAGCGACAACTATCAATTCATGATCAGCTCAACCTCTGTACGGATGTATACGCAACCCACTCACACAACACGTAACTTCTACCTCGTGCCTCGCCTCGCCCACCAATCCTCTAACGACCACCGGGTCCGCCGTGTGCCAGCCCTCCACGTCCGCCTCGGATGGTGGGATAGGTTGCTTCTCCTCGTAAGAAAGCGGCCGTTCGGGCGGGGGCGTGCTGAGTGGGACGTAGGTGAATTCGACGGGTAGTCTGTGGTGATGAATTAGTATCGCAGTTCCGTTCACTGGTCTTTTCCACCATCGACTTCACAGAACAGCAATTTTAACGCCTGCGACGGCTTTGACGCCTGCACGAACTCCCCACCTCCCCCCCATACACATACAGACACTCACCTCAAATTCCCCCTCCACCTCCCCCTTTCCAAGTGCAAGATCACATAATACCGCACCCGCACCGGCTCGTGGCGCTCCCAAAAATTCGCCGGCAGCTGGTATCGGCGCTCGCGCGGTGGGGAGCCGACGGGGAGCGTGACGGCGCGCGGGAGCGGGATGGCGAAGGGCCAGGTGTGGGGGCCGTGCAGTTTGGTCGGTTGGGGGGCTGAATGGGGCGTTAGCGAGCGGTTTTCGGATAAGCGAGATGGGGTGAGCGAATGAGAATTGACAGAGATGGCGCATAAGAGAAAGAAACAGACCAAAGTGACCTGCCGATCCTGCGCCTCGCGGATCGCCCATCTCGCGGGACCAGGGCGTGGTAGAGACATCGAGGAAGGTGAACGGTGCGCTGGCGCCGATGGAGATCTGACCGCGGACTGTCACCTTCACGCTACGGAGCGTCTCCGGGTTGTCTAGATTTAGGTGCACTTCCCCGCGCACGGTGGCGCCCTCATCTGCCCGCGCGGTTGCGCCTTCCCCTTTCGTATACAGAGCAGGCTCTACAAACGTTGGAATCGACCTCGACAGCGCAGGATCTCCGTGCAGAGTGAGCTTTCCCCATGTCTTCCCCTTGCGCGTCAGATCGTAGGTGAAGGGCTTCGCGCTTGGAGGGCGGGATGTTGAACTTGATGGGTGGGAGGTTGAGCTAGATGGACCTGGATCCGAGCGGAAAGGATCATGTGCTAAGCTCAACCCATGTGTTAAAGTGCTCTGATGCCGCGACGCGCGTTGGGCAGGCTCGTACGAGGTGATGTCCATCTCGCCGGCAGACTGCGGGTACGATGGCATGTTGTAGGGCATATCAGCTGCTGGTGCAAGTGAGGGGGGGAGCAGAGGAGCAGAGGAGGCGCAAAGGAGTCAAGGGTGAGAGAAAGCAAGGACGCGAGTGCGGTAACCGCCCTCGAAGTCGTGAGGGCTGTTCGATGGTGATGAGGTGCTATCCAGCTGCGTCCTATGTCATGTAAGGGTCATAGAGCCCTGGTCTGCGTCTTCTTGCAAGCAAGTGGTTTCCAGAGAGATGATGGTAGTCCGGGACGAAAACCCAAGGCAAACTTTGGGCAAACTTGTCGGTCTGGGAGGCGCGATCATGATGAACGGAACCAAATGACATCACCGAGTTGGCCGGATTTGGAACCCTTTGTTCTCGATGCTCGTCGCGTGCAAGTCCTGCAAACGAAGATCTCTTTCAGTGCCTTTCATCTGACCCACTCTATGAGCTCTTGGGGCCATATAGCCTGTCGTGAGTCAACAAAACAGTGGACTCTTCCTTGCGCGCAAGGTCCTACTCAATGGCCTTTGCCTGAAAGCCGCCCATGTCTCGGAAGTCGGAAAGGCTGTCGAATTATGCCTGCGAGCAGTCGCTTTCCGCACGGTAGGGGGAAGCCCAGTGTAAGCAGTTGTGCAGGGCATACCCACGCGGGTGGCGCAGGGAAGGTTCCAGCAACGAAGCGCAAAGCGAACGAGAATGAGAACGAGCCATGAAATTATGTACTACGAAGGGAACAAGAGATGTCGGTAAAGATGTAGGTATGCGATGCGTATATAGGTACAAATGTCTTCCTCAGAGCAAAGGAGGGTCGCCGGGAGCATGCGAGGGGGGAAGGGGGCTGGTAGGGCGATGGAGAGGGGCGCTGACAGAGCAAAGGCCGGCGCTTGCTGAGCGCAAGCGGGGGCTGACAGAGCGGGCGAGGCGATGATGCACGCGGCGGCGCACAAGCAGCGACAGCATATCTGCGACAGAACAGCTGCACTGATAGGCTTCCCCTCACAGCCGCTTCAGCGCCTTCTTCCGCTTCTCCGCCCCATTCGCGGCCCCTCCGGTAGCCGCCCGCTTCACTGCCTTGCCCGTCGCCGCCGCCGGTGCCGCGCCCCCGTTCACATTCTTGTCCGCCGTGCCCAGCGGTGACGGCCCCGAGTAGCTCCCCTTCGAGCCGTGCTCCTTGCCCGTGCCATCCTCCCCACCCGCATTCGACTGCTTGAACGGCACCTGCGGGCCCGTCGCGGGCGCTGGCGAGGCTGACTTGCGCATAGTGGAAGTGCGCGACGAAACCGACATCACCGGCGTCTGCGCCGCGCTCGATGGCGGCTTCGAGGACGGTGCGGAGTTGTTCGCGTTCGAACTTGAAGTCGAAGCAGCGGGCGCGTCGAACGCCGCGGGCCTCGCGCGCGCGTGCACGCCCGTCATCAGCCGCGCGCGGCTGCAGTACGAGTTGTAGTCCTCGAGCAGGAGCTTCCCGGCCTCCTCGTCGAGCGCGGACTCGGGGTTCGGGTAGATGAGCAGACACTTGACGGTGACGAGGATGTGCGCGATGCCGTACGACGCCTGCCAGTCCTTCTTGAGCGTGTTCACGCAGATGTCGCCCGCGGAGGACACGTTCGGGTGGAAGATCTTCGTCGCGAACCAGCCTGGGCGATCGCGCGCGTTAGTCATTGTGTCAGGAAGATGAACATGAGCACGCACATTTTGGCGGCGCCGCGGGAAACTCTTCCGTGAACTTGAACTTGACGCTGAAGTAGCCACCCGCGTACGGGGTGCCCTCTGGCGGCGTTGTCAGCTGAGAGCTCACACGGGATGGCATGAACACGCACCAGGACCCTCAATGACGCCCGTCACGTCGAGCATGTTGTCCTCGCTGGCGAGGATGCGAATGCCCTCTGGCGGCGTCCTCTGCAGTTCAGAGATCTCGCGCATAAGGCGACGGAGCACGGCGGGCGACACAGACTAGAGAGCGGTCAGTCATCGTCCATATATAACTTGAGGTTCGGATTGGATTCAAAAGCCACCAACGCGCGCGCGCTTTCAGGAGTCGTTCAAACATCGCGAGCGCAACTGTCGTCGCGCTTCCCAACTGCGAACAACCCCGCCGCGGTCGCGCGTGGCATCACGAACACCCAACTCACCATGTTCACTGGCGCGGGAGGCGGTTTGGATCGCGGTTGGCGGTCGGAGGGGGTGACGGTAAGAAACAAAAGACGATGTCGAGAAAACAAACGATAAATAAACACACGTGATCGGTGTTCGCTCAAGCACGAGGCACCCCCTAGAGACCCCTTCGGCACGTCCTCCGGAGCGCCTGAGACCCCGGAATTTCCAGGAGTTTCCGTCGGCAAGGGCCGTAGGAATGGTTTTCTTTCGAGAGGGGCCTGGCAAGACGAACCGGGTCAGTTGGGCTCTCCAGCTCACCGTCTGTCGTTCGGGCTGTCGAAGCGTTCTTGCGCAGACTACCTGCACGCTCTCTCCTTGAGATTTTGACTGCATCTTCCGCCATCTACGATGCAGCGGCGAGTTGTCTGTGAGTCAAGAACACGAGAAGAACATCTTCTCGGCGCTTTCGCCATTGTTCTATTCCCGTCTACCTGCGCTTCGATGCGCATTGTTGAAGTGCGAAGTACCGAGCGCGCACGGCGCACGCAATCGCGTTATGCCCATGACTTCTTCATTCCAAGGGTATATCAAAGTACCTTCAATCCCCAAGTCTAATTCTAATGCCAATTAAGCGAGAACGAGACTATGATACATCAAACAGAGGGTCTGAACATCGACCCTTCCCTTCGCGGTTTCCCATTGCCTCTACGCACACTAATGGGCAGTCCCAGCCTCTCATCAACCGGCTCCTCACCAACCAGACCCTCACCAACCAGCCCCTCACCCAACCGGCAACGGTACACACACCAGGTCCGTCCCAGGGTCGATCTCATCCCATGCCCGTTTGAGACGTGCATAGCGTTCGAGAAGTGACTGCGTATCGTATACAGCAGGGAGTGAGTCGAGGGTTTGGACGTCCTCAGGGATGCCGAAAACCTGCGAATGGCGTAATGTCTGCGGTCAATCGAGCGCGATGATTGTGGCGATGAACACAAAGACAGAGGAAGGGTATTGATGAAGATGCAAGATGAAGCGAGACAAAATAGACGGGGTGGAACAGATGTGGACAGACGGGAAAGAACATGGAGGCGAAGAAAGGCCCACGCACCCGGAAGAAAGGCACGACAGTGGACGCGTACTGGTAGTCCTTCATCGCGTGTCTGTAATCCTCGGTACAGAGCTCGAGCTCGCGAAGTGCATTCTGCATCGCGGTCATGAGTTCCTGCGATAGGTTAGCGAGCGAGCGATAGGTTAGCGAGCGAGCGATACATCAGAACGCATTGCTCACCGAAGACGGCGAGCAGATATAAGTCTGCACGAGCTCAGGTAACGTCTCCGAAGCGCTCGTCGCCCTGGTCACTAGCAAACCATCAGTACCATGTCTCATCTCCCCGCATCCCATTCTCTCGCCCTGACCCCATCCTCTCGCCACCACTCCACTCACATATCCGACTGAGTCCCCTCTCCGTCTCCGCCATCCTCCTCAACGGCTCCGCGACCGCCCCGGGGCGTATCTTCGCGAGCTGCGCGAGCATCTTCGCCGTCACGCGGTCGACCAGGTGGTTGAGGGGGATGATATCCGTCTTCGCCTTGCCGAGGCGGTGGAACATGGTGCGCAGGGCGATGATGAGGACGAACTGCTGGTAGCCCTTGAGGAGCGTGGAGAGGAAGCGGCGATTGGTGCGGTCGGGGAGGGAGGGGGCGCCGGGGTCGCGCTGTTGCCGGCCGAGGGCGAGGATGTCACCGAGAAATTCGCGGGAGCTGGTTGGTTGGTGGGTGTGGTGAAAGGTAGACGAAAGTGTGCGTGCAGGCGAGAGGAGTGCGCGTTTGACGAGTGAGACGCACGATCAATAAGGGCTTCGTGAGGAAAGAATTGCAGACGCACTGGAACGCTCGCGCTGGAGTAGGCTTCAGATCCATGAGCTCCTTCACGCTATCCGCGACGATGGTGTGGAACGTCGAGTTCGTGAGGGAGAGTGTAGCGATCACGTTCAGCTGCCATTCGAGCTCAACCTCGTTCCCGACGCTGAATATGGTGTGGAAGCTGTCGGCGAGAACGGTGTGCACAATCATAATGAGTAGCTCCAGAGGAAGGCGAGGCTCCTCCGGCATCGGTAAGGCGGTCGTCGCTGACATTGGTGAAGGATGGCTGTCGCGGAGGTATTGGCGCGCAAACTAAGATACGCCTTTCGACGCTTAGGACAAGGCGACTTTGCTACCAGAGGGTTCACCGTACTCAGTATGTCGCGCTTCGGTGCTATGGAGAAAGTAAGGCGAGCTCAGGATCTTCAAAGGGTGAGGGCAGGCAGGAAGAGGCGGGAGGCCGCCATGACGGCGGGTCTCGCGTGGCGAGGCTATCTAATCTTATCGAGCACGGGCGCCTAATTGATGGTGGCGAACATTCCTTTCTGCCTCTGACCATGACACTCTTCGCAATTGTACTTGCACGAGCCCGACTGTACCACCTATGGCATTACTTGACAATCTGAAGACATACCGCACAGCTTCGAACTCTATTATAGAAGACATGCCCAGGCAGACCTTCCATAAACCGAATCCCATCGACAGCACTGAACAAACCATTTTTCGGCGCAAGTCCCAACGAGACCCGACACCCAGCTACACACCACAAGACGCGAGCGTGGTGTAGAACAGGCAGGTGGTAATCGTCTCCGGCTCGCCCGTCACGGTGGTCGCCCACTCGGTCACGGTAGCGGTCGACGTCGGATCCGGCGAGGCCGTCCATGTCGTCGAGGTGGTCGTGGTATACGAGCTACAGAGGCGCGTTAGCGGTTATTCTTCTTCATCCCCGCCTCATGCGCAGTGATAGCATTCCAGCCACCAGCATGGCCAACTACACGCACCTGCAAGGCGAGCCGCGCGCGTCAAGCTCCCGAGCTTGCCCAGGCCACGACGTCGGCGTCACCGACGGGGTGAGCGTCACCACGACGAGAGGGTGGTCCGTCTTGGCTGGTGGAGATGGCAGGGTCAACATGTATCGTATGGGTGTGCAGCGAACTAGCTACTGACTCCCATCCACATGCGTCGTCAGCGTTGTGCCCGGGTAGTATGCCGTCGACGTCTGCCAGGCGGTCTTGGTGCACTCGGTCGAGCCGCTGGCAAGCGCGCCGGTGGCGGCGAGGGCGAGGAGGGCGAAGGACTTGGTGAACATGGTGAGGCGGTTGTTGGAGGTGTGAGCTGAATGAGCGTTGAAGTTCGAAGATGTACCTTGCTAGTTGAAAGGCGGACCAGAAGTCGTCGCCCATCGTCCTCCTTATATACGCTGCCCTCGCCGGAGAGTAGTGCCCGCACCTGCATGCCGAAGTGAGCGTCTGCATGCCGCTCTGAATGCGGAGGACAGCCGCCATGTATGCGCGAATACGGGTCGAGAGTTGTCTGTACCTGGTTCATATAGCGGGCGGTCATGGCTCATATAGCGGAAGGTCGTGGTCTCCCTCGGTAGGGTCAAGAATACGACCCGGTGACTCACTCAGTCAACACAACGATTCGCCGAATCAATGTCGAACCTTCGCGGAGGTCAGCCGCTTGATGGTGGGGGAACGACCTGATGTCGGAGGTTTGTGCACCGGAGGGTATCAAGAGGACAGCCACAGCCAGCACGTAGAATCGACACAGGGACCGACGCACGGATCGAGTGGTCGAAGGTGGTAAAGAAAGGCAGAACGACGACCTCAGAAGACCTCGCGGGGCGCGATAGCCAAAGTTACCTACCCGACTCCATGCGACGCGCCTGAGTGGAATATTCCAGCACTTCGCAAGGTGCGTGTACTGAAGCTGGACAGACACACAACAGGTGTCCTCCAGGGGGGCGCAAGGCGCGCACGATTGTCAGCCAGATGCGCATCAGCATATACAGCGACAAAGAGAAGACGAAAAACAAGCGGAGAAAAGCCATGCGTACGCTTGTAACATGCCGTATTGACGTGACCTTCGAGTCCGTATTGACATGACCTCTGTCCTTGTCATGATTCCCAGGACGTATCGCATCTATTGAGGCAAGATTGCGTCCATCGAGACAATGTTACCTGCCATTCTAATCTCTTTCAAAGCCTCGTAAGCCCGTCCCTCTTCCAGGTCAGATACCGGTCGGGCAGCCAACTGGGCTGCTGCCAGGTCTCGTTCTTGATATCGGCAGCGATCATCGACGCGACGACCTCGGCACTGCGAGTCGAGAACAAAGTGTTCAGCCACTTCACTGAGCGAGCGATCCAGTCACGTACCAAGCATACGCCTTCGGCATTCCATGGCCAGTGTATCCCGCGGATATATATTGGCCCTTGTACGCCCCTGCATCTACATCGCCCTTCGTCCTATCAAGCACAGGGCCGACCTGGAGATGGAGTGAGCAATCAGTCCAGGCCGCGCACGATAACATCTGCTCAGCCACTTCTCGAGCATATCGAACCAAAGAAACCACACCCACAAACGGCACCCCCAGCTTCGTGAAGCCCATAATCCCCGTCCACTCCATCTCAAACTCCCGCCCCTCCTCGTACTTCCCCGGGAACACCTCCGGGAGGAAGTCGCGCAGCACGCGGCCGATCGCGGGGTTCGTGACGCTGTCATCCTCGACGCCGGTCTCGAAGGTGGGCGCGGTGGCCTCGCGCCCGCCGCCGACGATAGCGAGGGGGTGGGTGGCTTCGGGGATGGTGTTAAAGTCTGTCGCTTGCTTGTTAGCCTCGAGACCCTGGCGTGCCGAGGCATTCTCGTTTGCCACAGAGTCCGTACCTTCCGTCGAGTTCGCACCCTGCTCCTTCACGGGCCTCGGGAACCAATACTCGAAGCCTTCGTTCCCGTCCCAGCTCACCGTGCCGAGCTCCGAGAGCGGGACGGCGGCGCGCAGGGCGGCGACCTGCGCACGGGTGGGTACGATGCCGGCGGGGCCGGCGAGGTGCGGGAGAAGGTGGCTCGCGTAGGCATTTGTGGCGTGCAGGACGTAGTTGCAAGCAACAGCACCGCGTGGGGTGGAGAGGGACCAGCGGCGGTCATTGCCGTCTACGGAGTAAGGTTAGTCATCGCTCGACGAGACCAATTATCGCTCGACGAAATAGATTGTCGCTCGACGAATAGCGCTCGCGATCTTCTTGTAAGAAACTCCTTACCTTCCGAGGAGAGCGGCGTAACTGCGTTCACTGGTGTACGCGTGTGCAGGGTGAGGTTGAGGTTCTGCGCTGCGAGGTGATAAAGCTGGGTAACGAATTTGAGGGGCCAGAGGTTGTGCGCCGGGATGCGAATGCCAGGATAAGACGCTCCGTAGGTCTAGCGGAGGATATAATCAGTCAGTTACGCACTGTGGGTCATAGAGTATACAAGCAAGTAGGGAAAAGGGCTCCGACCAACCTTCTCCATCTCCTCTGCGTCGATCCAAACCAAGCCACTGAGGTCTTGACCAGCTCTCTCCGCCGCGGCGATTTCCGCCTGCGCGACCTCGACCTCCTTATCCGTTATCAGCAGCGTTATGTGTCCGCCCTCGACGAGGTCGACGGCGTCCTCAAGCCCGTGCTCGCGGATGACCTTGACGATTTCCGTCGCTGTGTAGTTCTCTAGGGCGTAGCTCTTGAGGGTTTGCTCTGTGCCATACTTCTGCAGGGTAGATGTGAAGCCTTCGACCAATGCAGGCGTCAGGTGCCCGCCATTACGACCTGTGGGCTTATCGTCAGGGATGTGCTCGTAAAGAGGGATAGAGAGAAGTACAGACCTGTCGCTCCTGCGCCTGTCCACAAATATATGATCAGCCCAAGTTGGTCTCGCGAATCTGAGGGAAATTCTGACAGAAGTTTCGCGCCTCCAGGATTACAACCTTAAGCCCGGGCGTCTGCTTCGACAAAGTATATGCCGCGGACACGCCAGTCATTCCCGAGCCTATGATGCACACATCCGCATCCAGGGTCAACGCGCCCTCACTACCCTCCCGAGCCAAGGGGTTCGCATCCGGTGAGCTATCAATCCAAAATGACTTGCTCGGATTGGGATGGGGCAAACCCGCAGGTTGAAAAGTCTCCGCGTGCGGGGAGGTAAATACGGCTTGCGAGTCCTCAAATGGGTTGAGGATCGTGGAAAGCACGGGCATGGCGTGCAGAAGCAGCAGAAGCGCGAACATCGATGGGGCGCGCATGATGGTCGAGAGTAAGCGCCGGCGCGTCATGTGATTGTTGATTTCCCACGTGCAGTGAGTCACGCGCCCTGCGGCGTCTGGGCGGCCCGGAGTGCTCCTTGTCCAGCACTTCGACTCGTTGGGCTCGAGGGTGGTGAGTTTTGCGTATCCTACAGGGTAAACGAGGCTCTGAAGTACTGAGGAATGCGTAGGGACTCAGAGCAATGGCTACGTTTGCCAAGAAGACCTTCGACACCGCAAGATATGCGGCTGCGAGACCAACTTACCCCAGGACGCTCTATGACTTGATACTCAAGTATCACGAGGGTGACAAGCGCGCTCGCTGGAACATGGCTCTTGACCTCGGATGCGGAACTGGTATGTATGCTTTTATCGTCCGACATACCCCTTCACAAATTCCTTGCCTTCGCCTCGTTCCCCCTTGCTAAGACTTCGTCTATATTTAATCATTCCATCCCCCAGGCCAAGCCACGACAGAACTCTCCCAATTCAAGCGCGTCGTCGGCATCGACCCCAGCGAGAAGATGCTGCAAGGCGCGCGCACCCGCGTCGAGTCGCTTTACCCTTCCGGCACGGACCAGTTCCGGTTCGTGCACAGCGCCGCCGAGGACCTCTCGTCCTTCCCAGACAACTCCGTCGACATGACCGTGTCAGGTATGGCGTCTTTTTCATTCGCGGCGGGCGGCTCCTAAATATAGTTTCTCACGCGCCCCTGCATAGCACAAGCGGCGCACTGGTTCAACTGGTCGAAGCTATGGCCGGAGCTGGCGCGCGTGATGAGGCCGGGAGGGACGCTTGCTGTCTGGGTATGCGGAGCGAGCGATGTGGAGCTCCACGGCTGACTTAAGCACGAATTTGCAGGGTTACTCTGAATTCAGGCTGAGCGAGCACCCTTCGGTGACGCCCTTGATTCACCAGGTGAATATTCATCATCCGTTGTACCCCTACCCTCACAAGCAAAAATCAGTATAGTCAAGGAACTGATCCAGAGAACTCCCTGGGCCCGCACTGGGAACGTCCGGGTCGCACCATCGTCGATGAGCACCTACAAGCCATTCCGAACGGCAATGAGGTCGTCCCAGGCGCGCTCTCAGACTTCCAGCGCCTTTACTTCACGGGTGAGCATTTTGCTCTCCTCCCTTCTTCTCTCTCCGTCCTTCCCTCCTCATTCCCTCTCCCCTTTCAAACCTCGCCTCCCTTCCCTCCGAAATTCCTCCTGACACTACTCACTCTGACACTACCTCACCCCGATGCTGCTCACCCTGACACCACTCACCCTACCACTACTCACCCTAATACCACTCACCCAGGCCCCCACCACCCCACCCTCCCCTCCCCCCGGCCCGTCATCCTGCGCACCAAGACGACCTGGGACGGCCTCCTCGGCTACCTCCACACCTTCTCCTCCCTGCACACCTTCCACGAGAAGTACCCGCACGACCTCGCGCACCCGGACGGCGACATCAGCGTGCGCTTTTGGAAGGCGCTGCAGGAGCAGGTTAGGAAGGACAAGGGCGAGGTCGGGGAGCATGTCATGGTGGAGTGGCCGCTGGCGTTAATTGTGGCGAAGTTTGCGTAAGGGAAGAGAGTGTGTAAGCTCACCGGCGACAAAAAGTCGCGGGAGTGCGATGCAGTACATGACCTGGCATTTACCCATCGCAATGGCATCTCGTGTTTTGTCGCGCTTGGCGACCTTTACTTTGCCATCTTCTATCGCAGATGGCGGTGGGAATTTGCGCGCTCGAGTATCGAACCTCCAATGTTCGTGGCACCTTCAGCCTTCCGTTACAGCTCTCCCGGCCGTTTGCCTTCCCGACCAACGGTCCACGAGGCAACGACGCAGACGAATAGGCGACCAAGCACGCAGACAAATAAATTACAACACAGCGAAATACTTGGACAATTAGTTGCAGTTGCAGCAGCTCAGATGGTAGAGTACAATCGACAATCGACAGCGGTAGGTAAGTAGATGAGTGAATAAGTAGATGGTGGATGAGTGGGGTCGCAAGCAGATGAGGTGGCGGTATCAGACACGCGGATGCGGGATGGATGGGAGCGATGCAGGGGGTACCTAGATAGGTGTGCGGAAGGGGTGCTAAGCAGGGAATGGAAGTCCTCGAGCGGGGCAGGTGCGTTTATAGGAACGGACTGCGCACCCGCTGCAAATACAGTGCGTGCCGGGAAGGCGCAGCGCGCACGGCAAGGCGTCAAAGCGCCGACCAAGTTGATAGAGGCGTAGGAGGGGACAGGGGGAAGCAGGGCGACCCCGCTACGGCGAGAACGCATCCCCGCCCGCTCCTACCCCAGACTCCGCCGCATCCACCGCGGCCATGAACTCGTCGTTATCAACAAGCTCATCTTCGCCCCCGTCTTCCTCGTCCTCGTCGTCCAGAAGATCGTCGAGGTCATCAGACTCGCCCTGAAGCGTGGCGATGCGCGCCATGCCCGCGTTCGACGCCGATGACATGCGACGCACGTTCGTGGGCCTCGCGGGCGCGCCCTTCACGCCCACCGGCGCACTGCCGCTCGAGCCCAGGCGCCCAGCGCCGCCGCGTGCGCGGCTAGCGGGGCGCGAGCCGAGCTCAAGCAGCTCGTCGTCGTCGAGGGGGGAGAGTTTCGCGACCGTCGGGTTAATGCTCCCGATGCGGTTCTTCTTCTCCGCCGCGCGCATCTTCTTGCGACATCTGCGAGCGAGTGTTAGTTCCAGTTCCAGTCAAAGATGCAGCAACAGCGGCAGGAAAACTCACTTCGAGCACACCGTGCCTCTCCCCTTCGGCCCCGGGCCCCACTTCTCGACGCACTTGCCGTCGAGCTCGCGCCCGGGGATCCCACACTCGCCGCAGATCCGCTTCCCCTCGGCGTTCAGCAGCACGGTGGCGGTCGCCGTCGTGACCACCTTCGCCGTCGCGCTCGGGAGGTCCTTCGTTGGCGCTTTGACCGTTGTCGCGCTTCCTTTTGTCGAGTTGGGCGGGGAAACCGAGGAGGCGGTGGGTTTGGTGTCTGGCTCCGGTGTAGACGGAATGGAGGGCAGCGGGCTTGAGTGCGCGACACTCGGACGGGGGGAAGGAGGCTGGACGTTGGGGTGCGGGGAGTGCGGCTGCAGGCTCGGGTGGGGAGAATGCGCCTGCGGCGCGACACCAACGGAGCATGATGGCTGCGATAGCACGCGCCCGTCCTCGGGCAATCGAATAACGCGGTGCCCTTGGGGCTGTTGCCACTCGGTCGCCGAGGCGGCATGCTGACGCTTCGCCGGCGGCTCGCCCTCCGTCGACGCGCTGCGCTGGCGCCGATAGCCGGAGGTCGGAAACCCCGTCGACGAGGCGAAACCAGGCGCGGCGGGGCCGACGGTGGGGCGAAGTTCGAATGCGGCGGTGGCGGCGTAGTTGCCGCCGCCCGATCGCGGGCCCATATCCACGGTGGATCGGATGCCGCTCTCAGGAGGCGTGGTGGGCGGGCTGATGGTGTTTGAGCGGCTGGGAGCGGAGGCGGAGGGGTGGGTGGAGCTGGGGAATGAGCTGAGTACGGAAGAGCTGTGGTGCGAGGTGCCGCGGGTGTACGGCGGCGTGGGGGCCTGGGAAGCATGCGGAGGGGGGAGGTAGCGGTCTGGCGAGGGTTGACGGCGAGACTCTGGGGTGAGCTGCCGCTGCCGCTGCGACGGGGCCTCCGATGCGGTGGGCACCTCGTCCGCGCTGGCGGCGAGCATGCCGATCGCACTGAGACGCTGGCGCAGCGCGAGGCACTCCTGGAGGGCCTGCTCCAGCCGCGCGCGCGTCGTGCCCGCCTCGCGTTCGACCAGGTCTCGGTGGACACGCACGCGTTCGAGGTCGGCGAGTGCGTCGTCTCGATCGACGACGGCCTGATCGCGCGCGCGCTCCGCGGCGCGGCGGGCGGCGGACTCGTCGGCGAGGTGGGCGCGAAGGGCCTCGGCTTCGTGCATGGCGTTGGTGAGTACCTGCAGGGCTTCCATCGTCTGCGAGGACGGCGGGGGTGCGCTCATCGGCGGTGGGTGGCGGCGAGGGAGCGGGGCGAGGTGCGCGCGCTCAGCAGGACATGGGGGGAGGAGGGAAGGAGGGCTGTGGCGCGGTATGCGGGCGGGAGATATAGCCGGGGATCATGCGCCCGGGCCCCCAACTCCGCCGCCGCCGACGGCACCGCAGGCAAGCGCCGTCCCCCGCGTGCCCCCTTCCTGCCTGCCGCCCGGTCATGAGGCGCCTTCACACGCCTCCCATCGCCTCCGCCCCGGTCCCGCCCCCTCGTGACGCGGCGGCGCCCACAGCGCCAGCCTACAAAGGAAGGTCAGGTCAGAATCCGGGGCCTGTGCACGGAAAGACTTGCCTTGTTGGGCCCGCGCGCCGCCCCTCGCCCCACGCTCGGCATATCCGCCCACCGCGGGTCGGGGCAGCCGCGATGTCGCGTCGCCTTGGCTGCCCGGCAGGCGCCCGATCACCCCTGCGCCCGATCACCCGCGCGCGCGGAGTCGGCCGCCGCGCCGCAGGGCCCCTTGATGCCACCAACCCCCAGCGCCCGCACGGTCTCCTCGTCAATTCAACGGCATCCGCGGCGCGCTGCCTCCCTCCACGTCAGGACGCGCAGCCCCATTGACTTGCGGCCCCTCGCCGGGCCTTGACTGGAGCAGAAGTTGGGACGGAGCCTGGCGCTCCCACCGGCGCTTGGCCCCCGCGCTGAAGCCCGATCTTCGATGGAACTGCAGCAGATGGGCGGCGGGACCCGTATCCGGCCTCCGCGGTCCTGAAGGCGGCGCTTCGCGCTTTACGTGGCGGTCTGGATCTTGTGCCTCTTCGGGCGGGTCCTCGCCGCGATGGGCCCGCGGCGCCTCAGCCATGAGTGGGTCCTATGTAAGCATGTCCGTCGCGATGGGCCGTCTGCTGGGCTGCCACGATGCCCGTGGCCCGCAATGAACTTCGGTTCATAAGCCATCTGACCACTTTGGGAAATGCGCGAACTCTGGGAAGTACGTGAGCTACCCCTCCCCACGCGTGGTCTCCTTCCGTCGGCGCTCCTCACTTGCTCGGGGGAGGAGGGGCATAGCGTGGTCGCAGCGCCGAAGGTGTCGGGGTCGAGCCGCAGTTGCCGTCCTGCCCCACTCATCTCCCTCAGGATAAGCGCCCCCTCGAGCCACGTACGGCCGATCAGGCGGGACGGTGAAGCCTAATCGCCAGGTGAGGCGCCCGCGGCGCCCCCTCGAGGGTCGCGAATCAGGCGCCCCCGCGAACAGCGTGTTCGCGGACCTATATGCCCCCGGGGTCCTGCACGTATCTCGCTTGGGGCGCCTCGCGCGGACTTGGAAAGTGTATAAAGCAGGGCGTGGGGCGTTTGTGGCGCGGAGGTGCGGAGCGAGGAGGTACTTGGGGTGGGCGCGTTGGCACGACGTAGGAAGGGTGCATTGGTTGGCGCTCATCCTAAGCGAGAGCTAGCTGGCCCCCAGTGCGCGTGCTGACGAGCTTGACGTCGACGCTGACCTTGATGCTATTGTGTACGGATAAGGCATCTTGATGCAGGCGATCATGGTCGGGGAGGATCAACGAGCGTGCCCGTGCCTGTTTGCAGCTGTATCTCGAGCTCTGTTAGTATCGCATCACCGTCTAGCGAAGTGCCATCGTCGCCGTCCATTGACATTGCACGCCCTCAGTCCCTGTCGCTATTAGGAATTCTGGAGGCGCTAGAAATCCTGGATATATGCGCCGATATTGAGGTGTCTGGCACTCCGTGAGTGGTCTATCACAATGTATAGAAGGAAAGAGGTGCTCTGAGCATTGAATATCGCTGAGTATTGGCAGGAGGGGACGGAAAGAAAGCGCCGCGTTCCTCGTCGATGAACGCGTCCTCTAAGACGCGGCGCACTCTATGATCGCAATGACGCGCCTAAGACAGCCGCGTGGCTTTTCGGCATTTGCCGCGTTATTCAACTTGCCCATTCGCAGCTGGCTACCTACAGGTCCTGGAATGAGGAAAGCCTCCATGCTAGTACAGCGGTATCCAACGTCTTTTGTCATCTTGTCATCAAGCCCATACAGTTTTTCTCCGTCTCAGTTAGCGAAACTCTTTCATTCTTCATTCTGACAGACCAGCCGCGGATGAAGGTACAATTGAATCGCGTACACCAAGAATGTCCTTCCAATGGCATGCTAGAGGGTGAGGCAGCAGCCACTCGTTCCATAAATGCACCACTAGTCGTTCGCCGCCGCAATGTAGCTCTGCAGCAAGTGTCAGCACCTATCAGAATTCAGACGTTTGGCGCACCACGGCCCTCCGCCGCGCCGCTTGCGCCGCAGGCCCGCCACCTCGTAAAGGACTCTGTGACCAATACCGCCCGCGAGACGCAGCATTCCAGCGACGAAGGACGGTGCCCATTGGCGTACACAAGAAAGAGAAGCTCACTCACCTCCCTATCCTCCAGGAAATCGAGATACGTGAGCGCGACCGCGATCCAAAAGCTGGCCTCGATCCCCAGGAAGCGCTCCTCCTCGCGGTCGATCTCGATGACACCGGTGACGCGGCGGACCTGGGGGAAGGTGAGTGACATGTAGGCGATTTGTTGGTGGATTGCACAATTTGGCGGAAAATAAGTCAGTAAACAAAGGAGCGAAGCAGACATGGCGGTCAGAGGGCGAGGTACGAGAATGACGGGCTGGCCGATTCCAGGGAAAATTACAGTTGCAGACAAAGTAGGCGGCGTGGGATGGGGGGCCTGGGACGGTGCGCTGCATCGGACAGCGGATAGGGAGGGAGGGAGGGATGAATACGTGGGGAAGTATGGGGTCGATATGATGCACCATGGAGTCGACACAGGAGGTCATTGACTAGACGCAGTAGGCCATTGAGTCGGCAGAGGTCCCGCAGCTCCAGACCGGGTGCACAGCCATAAGCCGGACTAGGTGTGCGTGTCCGCCAATTCTGACGCCGCGCCGCGGCGGACACGCCCACCCGCGCCATACCCTATCCCAGCCGCGCACGGTGTAATCAACGCAGCTCGGGCATTCAGGTCCGAGGCTGAGCCCGCAACCACTTCGTCATCCACAAACGAGCAGGGAAACACAACGCCCCAAGAGGAAAAAAGCCTCAACAAACAGCAGAGCCAATCACTCACCATCAGCACCGGCGTCGTATCGTGGAACCTCAGCACGGGCGGCGCCGGCGGGGGCGGCGCGGACGCGGCCGAGGGCGGGAAGGCGACCGCCTCGACGGTGGGGTCGTGCGGCTGGTAGGGCGGGGGCGCGGTCGGGGTGGGGATCTGGGGGCGTGAAGAGTCAGTTTTGATGGGAAGAGTCAGTTTTGGTGGGAATAGTCTGTTTGAGTGGGTTCGTGAGCGCCGGTTTCACGCTCCGTGGGAGGATGATGGACAGGTAGGGGAGGACGGGGTGCGGTCTAGCCTAAGCAACACTCCCATCTGCACCCCTCCCTCTGCAACCCTCCCACCCGCAACCCTCTCTCCGCAATCCTCCCTCCCTCCACAACCCTGCCTCCACAACCTCCCTCCCACCCACCCACCCACACCCTCAAACCCGCCATAACGGCCTACCCACTCACCCTCGCCAGCGTGAACGAGTTATTATGCGCCGGCCGCGCCGCCTTCAGCGCCGCCGCCGCGCGCGCGAGCAGCCCCGTCGGCTTCGGCTCCGTCGCCGCGTGCGGCGCGAGGATGAACTCGGTCGTTTGGCTTTCCGGGCGCGGTTGGGAAAGGCGCGGGTTGGTCTTGGGTGGGTAGCCGTGCGGGCCGAGGAGGGTGGAGCCGTGCGGGCCAAGGAGGGTGGGGTTGGGGCGGCCGGCTGCGAGTGTAATCAGCACGCCAGAGAACCCAGATGGCGATACAACTCTGTCGATATCGAAAGGATCACTTTGCATAAAGAGCCTCACTCACCTCCCAACCCCGCCCCCACGGGCCCCTCCCCGCTCATCGCGCCCAGCAAGTCGACCCGGCTGAAGCTACCCGTGCCCAGGTCCGCGTTCGTCAAGCTCAGATCCCCCGCGGCGATGGGCGGCGCGAGCGGCGGGACCGCGTCCGGCGGGATGTTGGTGCGCGACTTGAAGGAGAGCGCGCCGTCGGCGTGGTAGGGGCTGAGCGCGGGGACGGGCGTGAGGGGGATGAAGACGTCGGGCGGGAAGGACTGGGAGGGGGTTAGTAGGGTGGGGGGTGGGAGGGGAGAAAGGCGTGAGCAAGGTAGGAAGGTGCAACAAGACGGGAGGATGAGAGGGAAGGGGGAGGCGAGAGGTGAGAGGGAGGAGTGGGAGGAGGGGCTAGAAACAGGAGGGGTTGGGGGAGGAGGGGTGAGAGGGAGGAGGGGTGAGAGGGAGGAGGGGTGAGAGGGAGGAGGGGTGAGAGGGAGGAGGGGTGAGAGGGAGGAGGGGTGAGAGGGAGGAGGGGTGAGAGGGAGGGGGGAAGAGAGTGTGAGGAGCGGAATGAGAGTGAAGTGGAGGGTATGTCGATCAGAGAAAGGGTGAGATGGGGTGGAACTCACCGGGGCTCGGATACGGATATACCAGCCGCGCTTGGGGCGGTGTACTGTCCAGCAGATAGTGTTGGTATGGTTGAACTACGGTCGGAGCGGAAAGATCAGCCAGTAGGCGTTCAAGCACGTTTGACGAAGGATGTGCGTGCAGCGCAGAATATAGACAGCAGGGGGAGTCGGCGGTGATGGCGAGCCGGGGATGAACACACGAGCCGAGGATGAACACACGAGCCGGGGATGGACATGCAAGCCAGGTCAGAAACCAAAAGCAAGGCGGGCCGAGGAGTCAGCAAATTTGACGACGAGTGGCAGCGAGGTAATAAATGAGCGGGTGGACTGCCCATTAGTGGTGCGCAACGTACAACGAGATTTTCAACGATTTCGTCGTCTGTCAGATAACGCTCCTGGATAAACCAAGTCAGCAAACCGTGTATGAAAGTGCGCATCGTTGGTTCGGGTCCAGGTCACTCCCGGTTCAGAGATTACAGCAAGGGCGAGAAGATTGCGTAGAAGCAGGAGCGACGAAGTGCTGTGAGATCACGACATATGCATGGGCTTCACCTTGTACCAGATGACCTTCTCGGAGTGTTCAGGGCAGACGTTCACGCGGAAATTCTGAAGTACGTCCGAGCTGGTAGACAGAATATCCTCAAGGAAGCATGAGTGTTGAAGCAGGAGAACACGTTTGCGTTCAGCGTCCAACAGATCGCCCAGCCGTATAATGTTGCGCACCTCTGTACCGTAAACCGCGACACGCCCATCTGAGACGCCTGAATGTAGCTCATGGTGGTTACTCCAAGGCTTGAATACAAGTGTGAGGTGCTATCAGCTTCGGCTGCAGGTATGCGTCGAGAATGGCGATGACGGTGGGGAACAAGGTGCGCGTTCGGATCTGGCGGCGCGTCATCACGCGATCACATGCGGGACACCCATTTTGCATGTCCGTATTCTCGAGATGTAAAGCGCATAGTATTTCTATCCAGAAGTCATGTAAGTCGCAGACAAGAGAGACGTCGGCGCAGGGATAGAAGCTTGGCCATAAATGTCGCATATCCTCCAGATTCCCACGACGCCACATATTGCGCGCGTCCAAAATTTCCCCGCAGGACTTCGCCAACTTCCATCCCGCCGTCATGTTCCGCTCCGCCGCCGCCTCCGTTGTTCCTCAAGCTACCCGTCTTGCGTGCGCGTTTCCGCCGCCGACTGCCGCGACCAGAAATGCTTTGTCTATCGCAAGAAATTGCCGCGCGGTAGCGCTGCAAAATGCGTACCGAATGTTCTCTATGAGCCGCCCGGCTTTCAATGAGAACCAGCAGCAACAACAGCAAGTACAGGAGCAGTACAGCAGGCCAGCGTATGAGGGCAACGCGGAGAACTCTCAGCCGCGGCAGCAGAAGGAGTCAACAGGACCGCGTACGTCGTAATGCCAGTCTTCATGCCCCTCTACTAACCAATGACCCAGTGGCTAACAGGGAGCTCGGCAAGCCCCAGAAGTGCCTGTTCGTTGGGAACATCCCGTTTGAGACCACGGAGGAGGAGGTGCTCGAGGTCTTCAGCCCCTTCGGCGAGATCGAGCACACTCGCCCCGGCGTCGCCCCCGACGGCACCGCGCGCGGCTTCTGCCACGTCCAGTACAAGGACCTCGAGTCCGCTAAGAAGGCCGTGGACGCGCACCTCGAGAACCCCCTCTGGCTTGGCACGCGCCGCCTCCGCATCGACTTCGCACAGAGCAACGTGCGCGGCACCGCGCGCCGCTCCGACAAGCCGAACAGCAAGTTGTACTTCTTCGGCATGAAGGGCGACGAGGACGAGATGCGCGAGATCTTCCGCAACTACCAGCGCGACATCTTCAGCATCTACTTCCTGCGCGACGGGCAGGGGCGCATCCGCGGGAATGGGTGGATCGACTTTGACTCGGTTGAGGCGGCGAGCAAGGCGCTTACCGAGCTCAATGGCCATATCACGAGCGCCGGTCTCCCTATTGGCCTGACGTACGCCGTCCGCGAGCGCGTTGGGTACAAGGACCGCCAGCGGTCGTACGGTCTGCGGGAGAAGGAGGGCGGGGACCGCGAGCGCCGGCCCCGCCGCCAGCGGGATGGGTCGAGGCAGGAGGACATCGACGCGTAGAGGATTCTTCTGTTTGGGTTGTCAAGCTTGCTTTTACGGTACTTACGCTGTGAGTGAATCACCTCTTACTACATAACGCTCATGTATAATATGCTGCATCTACTTCCACCCACCTGGCGTCTACTTGCAGCCCACGTACGGTGTCCACCCACGCCCTCCCCCCCCCCCCCCCCCACACACACACACTACTTACACCTTGGCATGGCAATCGCATTCATGGCCGCTCAGGCCATTGCGGGAACTTCAGCGCGCAGTTCAGCAATACTTCGCCTGAGCCACTGGCCGCAGCTCGACGGCTTTCCTCTGTTACTGCAAGTTGCATCGACTCAACGTCAAGGTCACTTTCAGCGCTACGATCTGTTCTCGCTGATCGTCTTTCTATGCGTGCTGTGCTGTGTCCAATTGGGATCTTCCCTGCCGCATCACCTCGAGATTAGGCTCAATTGTATCTTCAAGTCTGACAGCAACGAATATCTTCAAGCCTGACAGGCACGAAGGTGCCTCGAACACACCTTACCCCCATGTCTGTTGTGGCGCAGACGTCGGCTAGGTTCTCTTCATTCATCTCTAGCATTGAGTAGGTGCGGGCGGGCCTGGCCGTCAGAAACCCTCGAAGCACCTTCGCATTCATCGACGAGTATAAGGGGCGCGATGCGCGAGATAGGACCCTCTTGCATCTGCCGGCACTTAGTTGCTCTTGAGGGCTTCAGCTATCGTCGCCTCCATCTCCTAGGATGCTCACCGAAATTCTCGCTACGATCTTCCTCGCCACCACCGCCCTCGCCAGCGGCTCGACCGAGTGCACGCGGACGACATACGTGACGTCGACGACGTCGTACCCGGGCGCGACGACGACGGCGTTTGTGGATGGGGGTGAGTGCTCAGTATCACAATCTTGCGCTGTTGCGCTATTCAGTCTCATCCTTGCCTTTCGTCTGACGATGCTTTGCTTGACCAGTCTACACTACCCATCCGACCGTCTGGGTAACGATCACGCCCACCCTGACGCCCGCGCCAGCGGCCACTCAGGCGCTGGAGGCGCGCGGCTCGCCTTGCAGGTGCGCTTCCGATGCTGCTGAACGCGTGCTGACCTGCTGACCCATTCTCTCCTCTATTACCCCCTTCGCTTCTCTACCCTGCCCTCGTCCTCGCATAATCACCTCATCGTCACCCTCACCACCAACAACCCCACCCGTCCCAACACCACCCACCCTGACACCATCCGCTACAACACCACCCGCTACAACACCACCCGCTACAACACCACACCAGCTCCTACACCACGACCACCTCCACCCGGCTCGAGGACAACCCGGACCCGTCGTGGACGTGGACGATCACGGAGTGGGCGACAACGGTGACCGGGGATCCGACGACGGTGTCGACGTGTGCGATATATACCACGCCGGATGCGTGTGGGTTGTGAGGAGGGGGAGTGGAGAGAGTGGGAATTATTTTGCTGCATACTTCGAATGGAGTTGTAGAGGAGCGGATTTGTCGGGTCGAAGTCATCGTATACATTGTGAAAGTACATTTTTCGTCGTGATTGACAGAACGAAGTTCTTATACCGTGTCACCGATATGCGCCTTGCAATGCGGTGCAATCCCAAGATACTATCTGATGCGGTGCAATCCCCAGATAGCCTCAATTTCCAAGCATAAAGATCACCGGCATAATGAGCAATCCCCACCCTAAAGATGCTTGCAGCCCCACTGCAGCATCGTTATCCCCACCGTCTGTCGTGCTCGGCGAAGCGCTTGTGCTAGTGGAGGAGCGGGTGCTGGACCCTCCACTCGAGCGACTCGTCGGGATCGTAGCCGCGTTGGAAGTTGTCGTCCCGTTCGTAGCTGTCGTAGTCTCTCCGCTGGCCGTCGTCGTGGTCTCCGGCACCGTGCTCGTCACGCTGATAAATGTCGACCCATCGCTTGGCCATCTGGACGACGTCAGCGAGGCGGGCGGAGACAAGGTGATGGGCGTGGAAGATGTGGTCGTGGCGGTCGTGCAGGCGTAGGGGCCGGAGCCGGAACTTGCAGACGCGGTTCAAGGGTGAGGGATGATAGGAGAGTGGGGAGCAACCAGCGTCAACTATCGTACACAGTGTCTTTAGATGATAGACTCACGAGCTCATCGAGATCAGGGTAGAGTACACGCTCGTGGGCAGCTCTACGGTCCCCGTCTCGGTGTTGACGTTGCTGTCCTGAGCGTGGACAGCACCGAAAGCGATCGAAGCGAGCGCCAGGAGCGAGAGAGACTTCATCGCGATCCTGTTATCCAGGAAGATATATCACCTGGCGGTCGCAGTTTGGTGGTCGCAAAGAGCAAGCTACCTGCTGGGATAAGACGGTCGACGGTAGCATGAGGCCGACTGATCAGCTGATGGCGATGACGGAAAGCCCAGAGCCGGATTCTCGAAGTCCGAGGCGTTCAACCAGGCCACGGTCCGACATGAAATCGTGGGCGTTCGAGTGGTAAATGGGCTTCGAAGGAAGTGTCATGCAGTTTTTATTTGCTCACTTCTGTCAAGCGACCAAACAGTGACCAAACATGCACATCGTGATGGCGGAGGCTTTGATAATCTCTCAACCTGCTCTCGACCACCATGTTCCAATGTGCTTTGGACGCGGAAATGCGATGTTCTTCCCTCCAAATTTTCATGAGCATCGTATTGCCGAATGATCATAACGTAGCTTCTTCGCTGAGAGCTTCATCTACCAGTTTTGGACCAGGACCGGCGCATATGGATGCGAACTGCGGCACGTACAAGAAAGCAGGCTGCCTTTATCTGAGGACAAAGGTCGATTCCTCTGACTCCGTTCTCTGATATATCTGTATCATCAAACATACAATGCTTGTGTGCGCTCCGGAGCTGACCTCGACCTGACGGGCACCCTCCGACAGATGATTGACGTCTGGGAAGATGCTCGGCTTCATACTTTAGAGGAGACGTGTGCTTCTGAATCGCGCTGTCAAGCAATCACTTCTATCTTGTCGCCTGGTCCATGGGAGCATGCGCGACCTCGCTTACTTTCGATGCAGTGGCTGGAGCTCGACAGACGTCCGACGCTCCTCTCCGCTTGAGGCGTTTTCGATAGCATCCGGTCAAGCCCGTTCTCACTCGGGCGTGACACTAGCCACCCCCCATCGATGATAGGTGACTCCAACCGCCAAGAGTGTCATCGCGGCGTTTGAGCTGCCTTCTCGGACGCGCGAGGCAGACGAACTAGGACCCGACTTCACGCTCAAATAGACGCTAGTTGCCGTCAGAGTAAGCGTCTTTTTTCCTCCTCCTCCGTGATCATGCTTTACACTCTTGTACAGAATGCTCTCCTCTGCGCGCTTCTGTATGGCCTCTACAAGCGTCTCAGGCTGTTCTCCAACAAACTGCCTTCACCACCTGGACCTCCCGCCGAACCTTTGCTTGGACATATCCGGATAGCGCCCCAGCAGGCGGCAGAGCGCACCTACTTCCGATGGAGCAAGGAGTACAGTGCGTTTCTAGCAGATATTTGCCATGATCGACCTCTCACTGTACCTCTTAGAATCTGAACTTATCCACATCAACGTCCTGGGCCAACCCATCATCGTCATCCACAGCCTCCCCGCAGCTGTCGAACTGCTCGAGAAGCGCAGCGCGATTAATAGCGACCGTCCATCCTTCGCTTTCTTCGACATGTAGGTTGACTCCGTTGGACTTGCCTCGCCACTCCGATCACCGCTCATCTCCCATCGCAGGCTTGGGTGGTACGAATGCCTGGTTCTGCTAAGGTACAACCACCCCTCGTTCCCCATCCTTCGTAGGGAATATGCGAAGCACTTTGCCAAAGGCGCGGAGCGTAGGATCTACGGCTTGCAGGTCAATGAAGCGCACAAGCTCGTCAAGCGGATCGTCGAGCGACCAGAGCAATGGCGCGACTACCTGAAGCTGTACGTATCTTCGAGTCAATCATGCGAAGCGGATTCTCGGTCTGAAAGCCTCGATTCCTTACAATCTCGCCAGGTTTAGTACCGCGGTGATCATGCAGATCAACACGGGGCACGAGGTTAAGGACGTCGACGACGTGTATGTCTCAATTGCGAACGACGTCTGCACGACGATTACCGAGGGGGGACCCCCGGGCGCTACGGGCATTGACCTTTGCCCACTGCGTGCGTGCTTCATCATCAGCACGACAGCCAATGACCAACACACCGCGCAGTGCGCTACCTTCCCAGCTGGTGCGACCCGACAGGGTCGGCCGCCTTCGCGCGCAAGATGCGCTACGCGGTCAAGAATATGCACGACGTGCCGTACGAGCGCGTCAAAAAGGAGATTGTACGTGCAACCTTGTCATCTTTACTTTCACTTCGAACTGACTTCCGTTGCCCGCGCAGGACGCCGGGACGGCCCAGCCGTCGTTCATGCTCTCCTTGATCCAGGCCAAGGATGCGCAAGAAAACGGCGGGCCAGACCTTGGTCTGACAAGAGAGAGGATCCAGGGCTTGTGCGCGACTGGATTTGCCGCTGGGATGGATACGGTGCGTTCCTTGCGAAGCTTCGAAGCGTCAGACACTGATCAACGATGTGCAGACGCTCGACACCCTCACGACCTTCGTCTTCGCTATCGTGAATCACCCGGAAGTGCAAGAACGAGCGCGGGAGGAGCTGCACGCCGTTGTGGGCTTGGATCGCTTGCCGGAGATGGAAGACCGTCCGAATCTGCCGTATGTGGAGCGCGTCGTGCAGGAGACTTTTAGGTATGTGGCGCTTCGAGCCCTTTGTTGTTTGTACGCGAGGACACCGTCTGATCCTTCATAGGTTCTGGCCGTCTGCGCCACTGGGTGAGAGCGACCTTGTGCGTGAGATCCTCTGTGCTAATATTGTCTTAGGCGCGCCGCACAAATCGATGGAGGACGACGTGTACGAGGGAATGTTCATCCCGAAGGTGAGCTCACCTCGTCCATATTCGCAACGCGACAGTGACACACGACTTCGCCCGCCCAGGGATCCGTCCTCGTGACCAACGTCTTCGCTATGGGACATGACGAGAACATATACGCCGACCCGTGGAAGTTCGACCCCGATAGGTATCTATCGACCGAGAAAGGCGGGCGCGGCGAGCCGCTGCCCGTAGGACAGTTTGGCTTCGGCAGACGGTAAGTGCACCGTTTACTGCTGACTCCATCTCGACGTTAACCAATCTCTGCAGCGCCTGCCCGGGTCGGTTGGTAGGAGAGGCCTCGGTCTTCATCGTGATCGCCACCATGCTCCACGTACTCTCGCTCGACAAGGCGAGGGACGAAAATGGGGAGGAGATCACCATCGATCCGCAGACAGCGATGTACACCACGGGATTGACGAGGTACGCCAGGTTGCTTGCGCTTGTGCTAGGTCGCCTGCGCTCGTCCTATTGACTAACGAGCGCGCATCCCGCAGTCATCCAGAGACGGTTCTCTGCAACATCGTGCCGGCCTCCGAGCGCGCTGGGCGGTTGGCGAAGGAGGCCTACGCGGATTGATCTTGGTACGTTCAAATCGTTCGTGCGCCTGGCTGAGAGACGCAAAGTTACCCAAGCATGCATATAACCATTGCATTTGAGCCCTCATGTGCTCTAGCGCACCAAATTCGAGTTCTCGCTGCTTCTTCGACCCTCAAAATGCGACAACAAGGTCCTGTATGAATTCTGATACCAGCTCTATCGCCTCTAAGTCGCTTGCGAGCGTGGCACGAAAGCGAATGGCTCCGACTAGCTGACAGTTCGTAATCGAGCGCAGATATCACTGGAGCTCCCAACGTTGCGTGCCCGCCAGGCTTATCTCGTGGGTGAGACTACTGAGGATGCTAGCGGACAGAACGTCAAGCCATGACCAGTGAAGCTTTGAAGGTCTCCGCATGGGAATCGAGCGGGAAAAGAGCGACCGCGATTCGCGGATATAAAGGTGCTAGTGCGCGCTAGCTTGAGGGCTTCGTAACCCTCTCTTTGCAACCATGCTGCTCACTATCGCGCAGGATGTCCTCGTTTGCGCTCTGATATATGGCGTCTATCGGATGTATATGAAGCAGCGTCATCAGCAGTTCCCGCTGCCACCCGGACCCCCCGCGGAACCGTTGCTGGGGCACCTACGGGTAGCGCCTCAGCAAGAGGCCGAACGCACATACTTTCGATGGAGCAAGGAATATAGTGCGCTATCTGAGCCTTTTTCGCTCCGAAGGCTCACCTCTCATCTTCCAGATTCGGATCTCATTCATATCAACGTACTTGGTCAGCCCATCATCGTGATCCACAGCCTACAAGCTTGCATCGAGCTCCTCGAGAAGCGCGGTTCGATACACAGTGATCGTCCGAGCTGTACATTCTTCCTTATGTTTGTTCTCATCTTCATCAATTGGCTTTTGGACACTCACCACCTTGTCGCAGGTTTGGATGGAACGAGAACTTGACCTTGACACAGTACAACCACCCGTCGTTCCCTATACTTCGGAGACAATATCAAAATCATTTTGCTAAGGGCGCAGAGCGCAAGATTTACGCCTTACAGGTCAACGAGGCACACAAGCTCGTCGCGCGGATTGTGAACTCGCCGAGACAATGGCGAAGTTTCCTTCAGCTGTACGTATTCAGCGCTTTGGGGTAAGATGTCGTTCTCAGCCCTACACTCACGTACAGGTTCACCACCGCCGTCATCATACAGATCGTCACAGGGAACGAAGTCGAGGACCTCGACGATGCATACGTCGGAATTGCGGACAGAGTCAGCCAGACGCTTAAGGGAGGCGGTCCTGTAGGCGCTACGGGTGTTGACATTCTTCCTTTGCGTACGGTTCCTCGTACTCATCCGCGTATCGCGACACTGATCCTCGCCCAAGTTCGCTACCTTCCAAGTTGGTGCGATCCAACTGGGTCTACGGCCTTCGTACGCAGGATGCGCCATGCGGTGACGGACATATACAATGTTCCTTACGAGCGCGTTCGGAAGGAAATGGTGAGCTATTATCAACGTACTCAGCTCAATAAATCTCCCATGGCGGCCCTCGTAGGAGGCCGGCACGGCCCAGCCATCGTTGCTGAAGTCCTTGATCGAGGACCTGCAAACTGCTGATGGCGACCTCGGGTTGACGAAGGAGCGCGTTCGTGGTTTATGTGCGACTGCATTTGCTGGGGGAGCCGATACTGTAAGTTGTGGGTGGATCATAGTTTCCTACAGCTTACCAATGATGGAAGACCCTTGACACCCTCGCAACCTTTGTCTTCGCCATCGTCAACCATCCTGAAGTACAAGAGCGTGCGCGTGCCGAATTGCATGCTATTGTAGGTCCGGACCGCCTGCCGGACATGGACGACCGACGGAACCTACCCTACATCGAGCGTATCGTTCAAGAGACTTTCAGGTGCGCAAAAGTGATCCGCTAATGTGGTGTAATCTCATCGTTGATAGATTCTGGCCGGTTTTACCGTTGGGTAAGTAAAGTTCGAAACAGCCATAGAGTGCCCATATTCGAGCGAATAGGGGTGCCTCACAAGTCTATGGAAGACGACGTATATAATGGTATGTTCATCCCGAAAGTAAGTGATATCTGCCGCGTAAGGCCCTTCTCAAAGCTTCTGACCTTGCTTTGCAGGGATCCCTCTTGTTCTTCAATAATTTCGCAATGGGCCACGACGAAGCCATTTACGCCGATCCATGGAAATTTGATCCTGACCGATATGTATCTTGTGAGCATGGCGGACGAGGCGAGTCGTTACCTGTAGGTCATTTCGGATTTGGGAGACGGTACGTGCGCTGCGCCCTGGTGTTGAAATCGACTCTGAGATGTATGATTCCTATGACTGTAGTGCCTGTCCCGGTCGGCTGGTTGGAGAGGCCTCGGTGTTCATCGCGATCGCCACCATGCTTCATGTCCTCGTATTCAAGAGAACGAGGGACGAAAAGGGAGAAGAGATCGTCGTCGACCCTCAGATGGCGACGTATGCCACAGGCCTGACGAGGTATGTTAACGTACCTGCGCTAAGGCCCCAGCTGAGGAATCCACAGTCACCCGGAGACCATCCTATGCGACATTGGGCCTGCCTCCGAGCGCGCTAGGCAGTTAGCGACGGGGGCGTACACAGATTAGTCACGCATCTTTCTATTGCCCACGTCGAACTCCGGTCCTCCCAATACACTCGATGTTTGAGTTAGCGTCGGTATGATCGTGGGCGCAGAATGCATTTCGCTCCACAGGCACGGTATGTCACTGTCATAAGAAATCGACGGCGTCGAGTCCCCTTTCTCTTTCTCGACCATGTTGCGTCTCACCCTGCAGGAATTTCTCGTCTCCTTCCTTGCGTACTTGCTGTATCTGCGCTTGAGGCCGAAGCCGAATGGACCTCGTCTTCCACCTGGCCCACCGGCGGAGCCCTTGCTTGGGCATATACGAGTGATTCCGCAGGAGCGGGCGTACCATCGCTGGAGCAAGGAATACGGTCAGCCTCGTCGTCAGTCGTTGTAGCTGTCCCTCGCTTATGTCTTCTCAGGCTCAGACCTGCTACATGTCCGGGTGCTCGGCCAGCCTATCATCGTCCTCAACAGCGTCGAGTCCGCAGTCGAGCTACTTGAGAAGCGTGGCGCTATCCACAGCGATCGCCCCTTCTTCGCGTACTTCGACATGTACGTGACCCCTCCCTTATCCTCTGTGCTATTGAGATTAATCTCGTCGTACAGGCTTGGGTGGCACGAGAATGTGCTCGTGACATCGTGTAATCATCCATCCTTCCCTCATCTCCGCGCCCACTATCAGAACTACTTCGCGAGGGATGCGAACCGGAAGTTCAGCCAGATACAGACCACCGAGGCGCACAAGCTCGTCAAACGCATCGCGCAGCAGCCGACCAACTGGAGAGAGATCTTTCGCGCGTGAGTCCCCGCGGCATCCTGAGTTTGTTTGCGTAATTGATCAGGTCGGGACGGTCTGAAGGTTCGCGGTCGCGGTCATCATACAGATCAACACTGGCCATGAGATCAAGACGCTCGATGATGCCTACCTGGACATCGCGAACGAGGTCGGGAAGACCCTGACTGGCGGCGGGCCTCCTGGTGCGACGGGTGTGGATATTTTGCCCCTACGTACGTGTCAAGCTGGCGCTCAGTACTTTGTAGGCGGAATTGACACGACCCTACAGTCCGCTACCTACCAAGCTGGTGCGACCCGACTGGCTCTACCGCCTTCGTGCGCAAGCTACGCCACTCAGTCCGTGAGATGTACACGGTGCCGTATGACCGCGTTACGGAGGACATCGTGCGTCTTCCATTTGAGCCGCGCAATTCTCAGACTTCGACTATGCGACAGAGAAGCGGCTCGGCACAGCCATCGTTCATGCTGTCACTCATGCAAGAGATGGAAGCACAAGATGAAGACGAGAAGACTCTGTCAAGAGAGAGGATCAAGGGCTTGTGCGCGACGGCCTATGCAGGTGAGCGGATTTATTCTCGCAGAGAGATTGGTCGCTCACACATCGCTCAGCCGGAGGAGACACGGTGAATTGTTTCGACAGAAAGATGCCGAGTATTCCATAATCTGTCTCAACAGACCTTCGACACACTCACCACCTTCGTCTTTGCCATCGTGAACTATCCGGACGTTCAAGAGCGCGCGAGGGCCGAACTCAATGCTGTGGTTGGCCCTAATCGCCTTCCCGAGCTGGAGGACCGCAAGGACCTACCGTATGTCGAACGTCTCGTACAGGAGGTCTTTCGGTGCGCGTGCATTGTATTTTCTTGCCTGCCGATCCGCTCATCCCAGCACACTCACATAGATTTTGGCCGTCTGTGCCGTTGGGTGAGATCTTTGTCTGACCGTATTGTCCTACTCCATCTGACCGATGCTAGGTGTGCCGCACAAATCAACTAAGGACGACATCTACAATGGGATGTTTATTCCCAAGGTTCGTCCTTGACCTGGTCTTGCCGCTATTCAGCCAAATTCTGACGACTACATTTTCACCGTCAGGGATCCCTCCTCGTCTTCAACGTCTTCGCCATGACCCACGACGAAGCAGTTTACAAAGACCCATGGCGCTTCGACCCAGACCGATACCTTGCGTGCTCTGAAGGCGGACGCGGTGAACCGCTGCCCACAGGGCACTTCGGCTTTGGGCGACGGTATGTGGCGCCTGCGCACTGAGCGCTCGTGACGCTCGAAATGCTCATGTTGTTGCGACCTTGCGCAGGATCTGTCCCGGCCGCTTCGTCGGTGACACCTCCGTCTTCATCGCGATTGCAACTATGCTGCATGTTCTCACCTTCGAGAAGGCGAAGGACGAGGCGGGCCAGGAGATCACCATCGACCCAGAGACGGCGAAGTATACAACGGGGATTACAAGGTTTGTCGATGTCGTATGTTGCGTGAGGTGTATCTGAGCTCACGTCTTGACAGCCATCCGGAAACCGTGTTGTGCAATATCAAGCCGACGAGCGAGCAAGCCAAGAAGCTGGCGCTGGGGTCGTACATCGAGTGAGATTTGGGGCCAGCTGATAGCACAACCGACGAGAGTATCGAGACCTCATACACGCGATCTCATAGTTCTATTGCCAGACGCCTCTTCTCTTCGCTCACTGGCGTGATTGTGCACAGTATCTTTTCCGGATGACTGCGTGAAATTTCAGTGCGATCGGTCCTTATCCCCTCAAAGACTCGAACGGATATTCCGCCCAACGCACCTCGCCGTCCCCGAAATATACTCCGCATCCTCCGGATTTACCGTGATCTCCTCGCCGTTTTCATCCTTGGCTTTGTTGAATCTGAAGATGTGCAGGAGCGTCGCGATCCCGAGGAAGACGGATGCCTCGCCAAGGAAGCGGCCAGGGCAGATACTGGGGAGCGGAGTAGCCGAAGTCAGCTTGTATGCCTAGGGCACTTCATACAAGGGAATCGATGAACGGAATTCGAGGCGTACGTACTCTACGATAGATCATCACTCACCGTCTTCCAAACCCAAAGTGCGCCGTCGGCAGCGGCTCCCCGCGCCCTCCTTCCTCGCGTGGTAGGTATCTATCGGGATTGAATCGCCATGGATCTGCGTATACAGACTCGTCGTGCGAGATGGCGAAGGCATTGAAGAGGACGAGGGAGCCCTGGCAACGAGGCAGCGGGTTCAGCGCTTTTATGAACGTGGTGGAGTGCGTTGAATTGAAGGGGGAAGCACCTTTGGTATGAACATTCCCCTATAGACATCGTCTTCCGTCGACTTGTGGGGCGCGCCTAAGGGCGAGGTGGGCCAGAATCTGGGCGGGCGTGAGCGCATCTGCTTAGCAGCAGAAAGAGGGATGAACGGTATACCTGAATGTCTCCTGCATTATTCGCTCGACATAGGGCAGATTCTTGCGGTTGGCGAGGTCGGGCAAGCGATCCAGACCCACGACTGCGTCGAGTTCGGCCTGAGCTCGCGCTTGCACCTCGGGGTAGTTGACGATGGCGAAGATGAAGATGGCGATAGAGTCGGCAGTCTAGCGAGTGCTCAGTGATGTTAGTACGGAGCAGAGACATGACCTACCGTATGAGCGCCGGCTGTGATTTTCGTGAGTAGGACGGTGTGATCCTCGTGCATAGGACGGAGCATACGATGATGAAGACGTAGAAACTTGCTCACCTGCATATGTGGCCGCACAGACACCCTTGATCCTCTCCGGCGTCAGGGTCCTCGCGCCCTCGCCTTGCGACTGCATCTCCTGCATGGCAGACAGAATGAAGGAGGGTTGCGCCGTGCCAGCTTCGACGTCCGCTGCCACCCGCTCGTAGGGCACGCTATACATATTCTCAATTGCGAAGCGCCACTTGCGAGCGAACGCAGACGATCCTGTCGGGTCGCACCAGCTTGGGAGGTAGCGTACTGCGAATATAGATAAGCGACGAAGCGCGGCAATGCCGGTGGCGGGGCAGTTGAGGCGCGGCGACTAAACGATTAAGGCGCGAACATCGACTATCACTTACACCACGGACAAAAATCCACGCCCGTCGCGCCCGGTGTGCCGCTACCGGTCATCGCTTTCCCGACGTCCTCCGCGACGCGCAGGTAGACGTCGTCGAGAGACTTGATCTCGTGCCCAGTGATGATTTGTATGGTGATAGCGGTACCATACCTGGCGTCGAAAGGCGATGGGGAGTAAGCAGTCAGCAAGGGAGCACGTTCGACGCATTCAAGGTCCTCAAAGATGAATATTCACATATCAAATGAGTGCTTACATCAAGAGGTACTCTCGCCATTTTCCTGGGTCTCCAAAGATGCGCTTGACCAGCTTGCGCGCTTCGTTGGCTTGCAAAGCGCCGAATTTTTGCTGGATTGTCGACTTGGCGAAGTAGTTCTGGAAGATGCCGCGGAGAGCAGGGAAGGCGGGGTCGCTGCTTCCTACGAGAAGTAGGTCCTCGTACCAACCTATCCTGAAGTATGTGTCAGCCAACTGTCCTAGGCTGATACGACCCGTATTGGAGTGGCGAAGACACACATCTCGAAAAACGGGAATTTGGGGCGATCGCTGTAGGTTGCACCGCGCTTCTCGAGTAGATCAACAGCAGCGCGAAGACTGTTGAGCACGACGAGAGGCTGTCCGAGGATGTTGAGATGGATTACGTCCGATTCTGCTCGAAGGTCAGCCCCGGCAATCTTCGAGTCTTTTCGACGGGTGCCACTCACTCAACTCCTTGCTCCATCTGAGATACACACGTTCCGCGTTGTGCTGTGGGTTGATTCGAATGTGGCCAACTAGTGGGTCAGCAGGAGGGCCTGGCGGTAGCGGCAGGCGACCGGACCGCTGCTTCAAGCGCAGATACAGCACGTAGGCTAAGATGACGGCCAGGATATCTTGCAGTAGCAGCATCACAGCGTATACAGAGTACTTGAGCGAAATCTGATGTCCTGATAACAAGCGGACTCGAGCTCCAAAAGGCAAGTGAACAGCGCCCTTTTGGGATCCTGCATTTACCGATGGTTCTCAAATTCCTACAGACAACCCATATGGTCATGTAATTCAAGCAGACATCCTGATTTGCGCTTCAAGAGAAGGAGTAAGACCATCGGAGGCATGTATAGCTTGCAGCGATTTGGCATGATGGACGAACGAGACTAGTTTCCCTCGGCGTTCGCCGGCTGACGCGAAATTGCACGTGTAATGCGGAATTTGCCGAGTGGGAACAGCAATAGTCCACAACAAATCGGCCTTTGTTCTCTCCCATCATCTCATCCACCTCGTACAGCCTACCGCCCATTCGTTCACGCACAATTCAAGCAATAATCACGATTTCTCAGCTCATTTTTGCATGACCAACCCTGACAGTCACACCGCGACTATCGAGTATCATGGCGGGTTCGGCAAGCGGGTGCGAGTTATCTCCAATGTGCAATCCATTCTCGGATTCTTAAAGGCGAGTCTGCCGTGTTCCTTGTTGTTTCCTGGGGGCATACTTCTGACAACCAGTTCAGAGCATCGTCATGATCATGCTAGTCTGGATCTTGCCCTTCCTCGCGCCCAAGCGACCGGCGATCGAGTACTGCTCGCGATGTCGATGCGAGATGAAGCAAGGAAGACGAGTTCCCTCAAGGGCGAGGACGCTTCCTATGGGCGAAGGTGCATGATCAGCTCCTGACGCTGCAGCCTTTTTCCTAATGCATCGCTTTTCCCAGTGATTCACTGCTCCCCCATCGCCAAAGGCGTCCACTCCGCCGTTCGCATCAACGGACAACCCATTACTCGCCCTAAGGGTCACATACGCTCTAGCTCTGCTCATCAGGTTCTCACCATGCGCGCCATCGCCGATCGGGGCATGTCGCGGACGAGCACCGAACTTCCTGCTGGCAGACGCTCTCCAAAAGCGACCAAGGTCTCTGCTAAGACGACTAAGCATTTCGCCTCTGGGAACGGCGGCGTCTCCTTCAACGATCCCTTTGCGAAATCGAATTCGAAGTCCAGCAAGCGCATGACGCTCCCGAAGGTTTCTAGCTCGCCCTCCCTGCAGCTCTTCCGCGACGCCAAGGCCTCGATGAAGAAGAACTCCTTTGAGTCCTCGGCAAAGAAGAACTCGTTCGATTCCTCGGCGAAGAAGAACTCTTTCGACAGCGATACCTCTGCTTCATCTGGAAAAGACTCCTCTACCGGCAAGGACTCGTCTGCTAGCAGCACCTCGACCATCGGCAAGGACTCCTCGATGAGCAGGAAGGAGTTCTCTATCACCAAAGACGCCACTCCGAGCAAGATGACGCTCGTCTCCTCCACGCTGAACGCTGCCTTTGATGCCTCCGTCGCTGTGCCCGTTAAAGCAGCCAAGTCCTCGCTCGCCTCTGCCGGCAAGGCGTCCCTGGCCTCTGCGAACAAGGCGTCGATGCGGATCTCGAACTTTGCAAAGCTGCAGCGTATGAACCCGATGGCGCCGTCGCCGGTGGCCACGCCTGTGGCTGTCGACATGCCGGCGTCCATTCTCTCCTCCTCGCCTGCGATGACGGTATCATCCTCGTCAGCTACTACGATCTCGTCGGCTACGAGTACTGCGGTCTCGTCGGCTACCATGATCCTCTCAGCCTCTGGACAAGCAACTTTCTCCTCGTCTGCCGCTGCGACCTTCTCCGAGTCTCCTACCTCGATCCTCCCCGAAGCCACCATTCTGCCCGAAGCCGCCAAGGTCTCCAGCAGCTGGGGGCCCTTTGTCGACGTTGTCCCGCCTACGCCGCAGATGTTCTCCGAGGGGACGTTTGATGGCCCGGTGGCGCCGGGGTTGATGGGGTTCGCTGCGTCGGATACTGTGGGCTATGCGGCGAGTTCGGTTTCGCTCGATGAGCGTCGGGGTGCTGGTTGCTCGCTGGATGCCGATGCTGGGGATGCTAGCAGTAAGAGGTACAGTATTTAGGAGGCTGCTGATTGTGTAGGGGATGGCAAGGGATTATGCCTAGTCTGGAGAATATTCTGTATCGTTGCTGGTCCTCGCTTCATGTACATGGATTCAGCGACATGGTTTTCGGGGTGTGCATTGCTAAGAGACCGCTCGTGGCGGCGCGGGCTGATGAGCGCGTCAGGCTAAGCATATGATTATCTCAGCCGTAACTGTGCCACTTCGGGTCTTCGTCCTGCTGGAGAATGTCTTTCGCCGCATCCACCAATTCCTGAGACCGAGCTTTGCTGAGGCTGTACTCGTTGACATTGCTCGCGATGTAGACGATGACAGTATCGGTGGTGCCAATGAGATTGAACGAGGGCCTGGTATGTGGCGGGAGCGGTTTGAAGAGAAGGGCGGTTCAAAAAGGGAATAAGCGGTTCGAATGCAGACACGCACAGCGGAAGTCGGGGGTACTTTGCTAGGAATGGCTTCTTCACATTGTTCTCAAATGAGGTCGTCCGAGCTGCATCGGGGTCCTTCATGACGCGCTCAACGAACTCGCGCAGCGTGTAGATCCAACCAAGCCTGTAGAACGGCGTGTAGGTGTTCTCTGCAAGTTTGATCGATAATGGAGGCAGTTCGTCTCGGGGGAGCGTCTTTGGAGGGGTCGGCTTTCTAGGTTGACGGCTCCGGGAGGCGCTCTTCGACGCCTGCCCTGACGCCGTCGCCGCTGATGCCTTTACTGCTTGGTCGGCGGCGGCGAAGAGAGACTTGAGCTCGTCACGTCTATGAGTGGGGCCGTAAGGCAGCAGTTCAAGGACGTTAGCGTGGAATTACTTACGAGGGTCCTCCGGACATGAGGGTAAGAGGTCCGGTCGAGGATGTCGTGCACGTCACGTAATGTGACCAGCTTTCCGCCACCATGCTGCATAATCACCTCGTGTTTGTAGCGTGCGAGTCACGGCACCCACCGAGGCTTGAACAGATGGAGAAGTGTTGGGACGAGTTCTTTGCGAGTCGCTCATGATGCTGGCGGAGCACGGAACATAGAAGATGGTGAATACAAGGCAGCGATAGTTTGTTCACTATACCCACAGACGCAGCGAAGCAGAGCGAGAGCGCACGACTCGGTGCCACTTGATCTTCCTCAATCGCCCCGTCCTCCCCTGCCTCCGCCCAATCCATATGCCCCTGTGCCGGCACCCCGCCCTCGCCCTTACACCACCTGATCCTCCTACACCACCTGATCCTCCTACACCACCTGATCCTCCTACACCACCTGATCCTCCTACACCACCTAATCCTCCTACACCACCTAATCCTCCTACACCACCTAATCCTCCTACACCACCTGGTCCTCCTCCCCCATTATGTAGTCCACGAAGTCCTCCGCGCTGAGACCCCCCTTCAGCAGGTCGCTGCGCATCGTGGAGAAGTCGGACGCGCTGCTGAGGGCGATGAAGGCCGAGTGCGCGTAGCGCACGTAGGCGTCGGTGTGCGCGGTGCGGGCGGAGGCGTCGGTGTGTGCGGTGCGGGCGGAGGCGTCGGTGCGCTCGTCGTCCGAGGTTGGGCTGGTGTCGATATATAGGGCGTCCTCGATGGACATGGCTTTGGGGAGGAGGGACCTCGACGCTGCGACCGCCGTTAGTATCAGTGAGTGTCAGAGAGTATCGGTGAAGGCGAATAAGAGACCATGAGACTCACGCAAATCCCCCGCGCCGGCTGCCAGTGCGTCGTACAGCAGCTCGACGGTCAACGCGCGGAGCGGGACTTCGTGCAGCGCGGAAGCGTCGCCGAGGCCGTCTGTTCCGAATGTACGCGCTGGCGGTGCTGGTAGCTTCGTAGGATGCGCCGACGATGTTCTCGGCTGCGTCGACCGTGGCGGCTTCTGCGGGTCCTGCGAGGGCTTCGGCGCCTCGGCCCCGGCATCGTCGATGATGGAAGCGCTGCGTGCAGATACGGAGGCGGAGGCCTTCTTGCCTGTATCCGTGCGAGCGAGGTTCCTGCCCCGTGAGACGGGGTCAGTCGGGGGGCCCATGGCCTGTGTAGGTGCGCCGTCGGAGCGGGTGGATGCTGGATATATGCAAACGTGATTTAAGTGGGAATCGAATCAAAGAAAGATCGTACCGAATGTCTGATCTCTTGCCGTGTTCGAAGGCTGTCTCAAGGACGAGGTCCTTTCTTCATGATGCGTTCAGTACATGCATATGCCTTTAGGTATGCCGAGAATCACTTACTCATCGAAGACCTCCTCGTCACATTCGAGCCAGAACGTCGTAGACTCTCTGGAGCGATGAAATCCATTGGCTACGTACATCCGTGAAAAGACGATACGCCGCACCTTTCTGCGAAATTTGCGTCGACTTCGACGGTGACTCTTGCCTCTTCCTTGCCGGAGCAGCGGCGACCCAGCGTATTACCAAGGTCTTCGCCTTCTCGCTCACTTCTGCTGTCTCATGGTCTCGCAGGCGGCCGACCGCAAGTCCGAGGGCGCTGCGCTGAGGTGTATCAGCTACTTGCGTATCCGGACAACAAACGGACGGAAAACAACATGCGTGAGACCAACTCACCCCAAGGGCCTCTCGTGGTACGTATGGGTACGCCTCCAGTTTTCCCAGCAAGCTAAGAAGCGCTGTCTTGATTATCGTAAATTCGAAGCATCTACTGCGCTGTGTTGCATTGAGCATACCTTGTCTCGCGCCGCTGCTGCGGCCATAAGCTGTTCTTTGTACTCTCTGAGCAGTTCAACTGTTGGCTCTGCGGCTTCCATGGCTCTTAGTCTTCGGATCCCTTGTAGTAGGTGTAGTTTGTATATGTCGCTGAAATTAGGCGTCGACGCTTTGTGGTGGTGATTGAGACGTAGAACCAAGTGCACGTGATCCACGTGGATGAAGAGCCCAGGGGCGAACTTTCCACGCCACAATCTTGCCTTACTGCCTCGAGTCGATGGTTGCGGACCAAGACTCGATGTACTTAAATGCAGATGAAACTTCAGAAAATAAACATATCTTCCTTTCATCGTATTCCATCTCAACATATCAGTCGACCAAACAAAGCCGAAGCAGAGTTGAGAGATGTGAGGGTGTCCTCAGCAGAATTGGCCGCGGGCGTTGTCTTCAATCACTCTGCGTGCAGCTGCAGCATGGCAGTCGTATGATGAAAAGCGTTCCGGAGGCAACCAAAGCACAGAATAATAAACAAGCGTCAAGACAGAGAAGGCGACGAGGAGAAGGCCTGTCCGCAGGTATAGATCACTACCGCCGCCTCCCAGCACCGGCGGCAACGACAGCGATATCGCCTCCATCCGTATCCGCCGCCCCGTTATTCGTTCCCTGCCCCTGCTGCTGCTGACCCCCAGAGCTCGTCGTCGTCGTCGGCGACGCCGTCCCCTGCCCCTGCCCACCCGCAGCCGTCGTCGTAGTCGCCGCCTGCCCCTGCCCGCCATCCCCGCCCGTCGTCGACGTCGCGGTCGGCGTGGTGAACGAGTCGGTGGGCGAACCGGTCAGGTCGCCGTCCCCGCCGCTCTTCCCGTCGCTCTTCCCGACCGTCCCGCCGACCGCGCCGCCGACGACGGCGCCGACGATCACGATGGCGAGGACGGCGAGGGCGATCATGCCCTTCTTGGTGCGCCAGAAGGGGAGCGTGCGCGGCGTGCTGGTGTAGAGGGCGGGTGTGGCGGCGGGGCTGGCGCCCTTGGACTCGATGTCGCGGGTGGGGGAAGTGGTGGCGGGGCGTTGGGGCGCGAGGATGTCGGGGTTGTAGCCTTCCTGTGGTGGGGGGAGAGGAGCAGAGGAGGCGGATGGGGTAGTAGAGTAGGAGGGGGACGAGGAATAGGTCGAAGAGAAAGGAGAAGGAGGGGGGAAGCTCGTTAGCGCCGAGCCTACACGATCATTGCCGTCCCACACACCTGCAGCTGAGCTTTCGTCGCCTTGGGCGCCTCCGCCAGGAGGCCCTCATCATAGTGTCCTGCAGACATCGTCGCGCGCGCGCGTCGTGAGCTGTCGCGTGAAGGGAATCGCGTTATGATAAAGGGCGTCGCGCTAGTCGATCGCGAGTGAAGCACTGCGCTCGTCGTGGGCTGCGCCAACCGAGCAAGATGGCCGTTCCGTCCAAAACCCGCCCCGCTACCAGCGCCCCCCTCGGGCACCCCCCGGGGGACATCCAAACCAGGGCGATCTGTCAGTCCTCCGGTGGCAAAGTGCGTTTCAGTCACACTGCCTGGAGATCAGTACCAAATGAATGATTGCCTTTCCTGGGAGTACAATGGGACAACGGGCGCTTATTGCGGTGATCAGCATCCCAGTCCCATCTCGTCCGCAAGTCAGGGTAGAGCCACAAGTCAGAGTAGAGGATTAGCGTAGAGCTGAAGCCACGCCTCAACACAGGAAGGCGAGTTGGCTGTTGAGGGTAATGATCTTCTTATCCTCACGCGCCCATCAGCCCGTGCCACCAGGAACGTCGTGCTAAACCCGCCCACATGCGCGCAAAGTTCTCTTGGCTCGTCACGATGCCGCCGCGGAGGAGAACGTCGATACTCTCCCGCCCAGCGACGCTAGCAATGTCACTCTCGACGCCTGCAATGTCACTCTCGACGCCTGCAATGTCACTCTCGACGCCTGCACCTACACAGAGATCGCACAACGCCTTCGATATAACCCTCATCCTCACCCTCACCCTTGAGCGAATAAACATAGTTGCATTTTCTCGGACTCGAGTCTACAGCACCAATGGCCACCGCGCGTACTGTACGCCCCATCCACTCCGAAGGGTCCAGGTCTAGCGGTCGACCTCGCTGCATAGTGAAGAAGCATTGAGCGATGAGCTTGATGCATGAAAGGCAATGCACGCACCCGAACACCAGGTCCATCGTACCGATAACCGCAACAGCGTCCGCCAACATATGGTCTGAAAAGCGACTGTCAATTCTCTACCCTTCGCCCAAGAATCCCCATCACTCACTCCTCAAAATAAAGTCCGACCCCGCGAGGTGCGCAAAGCCCGGCGCGCGGATCGAGCAGCGGTATGGCCGGTTCGAGCCGTCGCTGACGAGGTACACGCCCATCTCGCCCTTCGGCGCCTCGATCGCGCTGTACGTCTCGCCCGGCGGGACGGAGTAGCCCTCCGAGAAGAGCTTGAAGTGGTGGATCAGGCTCTCCATGCTCTCCTTCATGCTCGCGCGCGGCGGCGGGACGAGCTTGTGGTCGTCGACCTTGTACGCGCCGGTGGGCATCTTGTTCAGGCACTAGGAGGGGTGTCAGTCGACGGAGTGGAGAGAGGAGGGGAGAGGGGGGATTGAGGATATAAAGGATAAGCGAGTAAAGAAAGACCCACCTGCGAGATGATCCTCAAACTCTCGCGCATCTCCTGGACACGGCACAAGTAGCGGTCGTAGCAATCCCCGTTCTTGCCCACCGGGATGTCGAACTCGACCTGGTCATACGCATCGTACGGCGACACCTTGCGCAGGTCCCACGGCACACCGCTGCCGCGCAGCATGACTCCCGAGAACGAGAAGCGCTGCGCGTCCTCCGCCGTCACGCGCCCGACGTTGATCGTCCGCTGCTTCCAGATGCGGTTGCCCGTCACGACTTCCTCGACCTCGTCGACGCGCGAGCTGAACTGCGTCGCCCATTTGAAGATGTCGTCGAGAAGGCCGTGCGGGAGGTCGAAAGCGACACCGCCGGGGCGCACGTAGGCGGCGTGCAGGCGGGCGCCGGAGACGCGCTCGTAGAACTCCATAAGCTTCTCGCGCTCCTCGAAGCCCCACAGGAAGGGTGTGAGGGCACCGACGTCCATGGCGTGGGTTAAGACGGCCATGAGATCTGATCAGAGGTAAAACACAGAAATAGGATGGAGGGAGAGCATACGCACGGTTGAGAATGCGAGTGATCTCGCCGAAGAGGGTACGGATCCACTTGGCGCGAGCGGGCACCTCAATGTTGAGGAGCTTCTCGACGGCCATGGAATAGCAGAGCTCGTTCGTCACTACCAGTGATGTCAGTACCAGGACACAGGGGGAGGAATGCAACCACGCACTCATGCTAACGTAGTCCAACCGGTCAAAGTATGGCAGCGCCTGCGTGTACGTCTTGAACTCGATAAGCTTCTCCGTCCCGCGGTGCAGCAACCCGATATGCGGATCCGCGCGCAACACTTCCTCGCCGTTCAGCTCCAGGATCATACGGAGCACACCGTGAGCAGCGGGATGCTGAGGGCCGAAGTTGACGGTGAAGTGCCGCATCTTGCCGCGCCCGCCCTCGCCCTTGGCGAGCGTCTCCTCGATCGACAGGTGGTGGAGGTCCTCGACGGCGTGGAAGTCGGAGGTCTTGTCGGTGGGGGAGGTCTCGACATCGGACTCGGAGAGCAGAGCGGGGTAGGTGGGCTGTGGAGTGGGTGAGACACGGCGAGGGGGAGGAGGGGATGTATGCGCACCTTGACGCCTCCCTCGCGGCCCTTGCGGATGGCGTCCCGCAGCTCGCGCATACGTGCGGCGTGTGCGGTCTCGAGGTGACCCTCGTCCTTCTCGTCGGCGAGGATCTGCGACTCGAGCTGCCTGCGAAGGTGTCAGATGCTTGGGTATTGTGAGGGGCACACTACGCACGTAATCTCCCTCTGGAACTCGCCCTCCATCCGGACGAGCGCAGTGAGCGGGCCGCTGACGTCCTCCGGGAACAGTGATAGGTGCCGGCTCACGTCCTCGCCAGCGCGCAGGCTCTCCAGCAGCTCGGGTGGGACATGGTTGGCCTTCGCAAAGTTGTCCGTCGCCCCGTGCGCGTTGTCCAGCCGATTGCGAACCTGGTAGAGAGCATTGGTGCGCAAGCGGGCAGCAAGTGGTGCCGACAAGGACTCTGGACATGACATAGATTAGACATATATTCAAGCGCATCGTTGTCCACGCACCATTGTGCAGCGCCTTGTGCAACAGCCCCGCGAAGTCCTGAGCAGGCTCGTCGACGTTCTTCGTCAACTCGGTCGCCTCCGCGCCGCGGTTGGTTGATGAGGAAAGGTATCGGTGTGCGCGGGTCGCAGGCAGCAGTGAGGGGAGCCTCTTAGCAGCTGCGCGGCTGCCTGGAAGGCGCCGCAGCGAGTGGCGAAGAGGCAGCATGTTTGGGATGCGCTCGTTGCGCGGAACGATGAGCTCAAGGGGTAAAATCCCTACATCCGCCGGAGCGCGTCATTAGTCAGCCACCGGGCCGTCCACCAATGGAATTATTTGGATAACTCACGTGCGAAAGTTCAACCTGGGCAGAAATCGTTGGTGTCACAAGCTGAGTGACTGGCGTCGAGTATTATTACCACTTTTGAACCTCAGAAGGATAGCAGGGCAAAGGCTGGAAAGTACGGAATGTCGAGGGTTATTGGAACCGTGACCCGGCGATTGCCTTATCGACATGTCACGCAGAACCCCGGCAGCTCGGCGAGAATCTACGACTTAGCTCCCGCCATGATGCAGACACGCCTCTATTCATTGTTCTCTGGGTTCAAGCGCACAGTGGTATGCGGGCTTCTCTGAGTTCAAAATGACGTGCTCATCAACTTCGCAGCCTGAGTTGACTATCTTGTACGTCGTCGCATTTAAAGTATGGTTCCTCTGCTCACTAATTCACGTTGCCACATATTCTCCCTACACACTCACCCACACTAGCCACAATCCTTCTTCTCCCCCATCCAAGACTGCTCTCAAACTCCTCCAAGATGCCGTCTCCCGTCCCTACCCGCCCACCTCTCCCAAACACGAGCCCCTCCACTTCGACCTGCAGGTAGTCGAAGGCCCGCCCACCCAGGACCAGCTGCGCTCCATCCTCTCCTACGTCGCGCCCGAAGGGCGCACGGCAGCAGGCTCTGTATTTCTCTCGGCGCACCCCGCAGCAGAGCCGGAGAAACCCGCCGACGTCGAGGCGATTCCCAAGCTGGCCTCGCAGCACCCGAGCGCGCTGAAGTGGCCCATCGTCGTGGACTGGGCTGGCGGGAGGGCGAGCGTGGGGAACGTGGATGGCGTGAAGGCGATGCTGGAGGAGCTGCGCAAGGTGCGCGATGGTGAGGTGCCGCCGCCGGAGGAGTACAAGCCGAAGGGGTGGTTCTCGTAACTTCGACGGTAATACATTCTATGGTCAAATGATGTGGTGAAACGCATGCAACTGACTGTAAGTCTGTGTCGCCTTTGCGCAACCGTCTGTACAATGCTTTTCCAGACGAGAATAGGAGCAACAATGTACAATATCGACGAAATATGTGTCGGGAGATGGGCCGCTTCAGCTGTACGAAGAGCACGATGAAGCTATCCTTCATGGGGAGTACGTAGAGGTAAGCGCCGAATGAAAATCTGGGGCATATGCGGCGCAAGATAGCCCCCATCGTTCGCTGAACGAGATCTGTTAAGCCGAGTGCCTCTTTCCGCGGCCGCTGGTGTGGTGGGGGCAATATGACACGAACTTCAATGTAGACACCAAGTGCTACCCGCAATGTTTTGGCTTCGGAACTCGCAACGTACAAGTACCTCTGTGGATGTATTTATTTGTATACCACAATTACATCACAAATCGTTCTGCGCATATAGTCTCACTAGAACAACCCGACCATTTCAGCCAAAGGGATGCGAATCCACTCGGGTTCCGCAGTCTCTCCGAGCAGCGCCTTAGTAGCTTCAATCGAGTTCTCCTGTTTAGCCTTTCCAAGCGAGCGCACTGACGAGTTCGACCCAACGGATACTATGCACGGCCCCGAGGTGGTGTGCAGATTTGGGCTAGACCTGCGAGCCGTCAGCGAAGCAGGTAGAAAGACGGGGACACTCACACATTGGCTCCCTCAAATTTTGCTTGAAAGGGTCTCCTGATGCGCTCCTTGTACACTTCCATCGGATCGCCTGGGCCAAGGCGCGCCTCAAACTCCTCCGGCGTATACGACCAACCAAGGACGTACATCGGCGGCCACATATTCTGCACGGTGTAGGACATGAGAGGAGGCTCGCAATGGCGGGGAAGGCGTGCGGGAAAGACGTCAAGATGCTCGTCCGGCATAGGCGTCGTTGGCTTCGCTCCGACTCGGGACTGAGTATGGGCATAGGCCTTGTTGACGTCGCTATAGCTAGTTGCCACATGAGTTATGAGAAAGTTATCCGGATTATACGACTCACTCTATAGCATTAACCATATCAGACATCGCCGGGGGATGACAGGAGGAAAGCGAGGATGGCGGTCAAGGACAAGAAGCAGGATCTCGCCCAATCGTGACAGTCTCTGGGAGTTCGACGTCACGACCCTGTGTTGCTTCCGTCCGGACATAAATCCCAATATGGATAGAAATTACCGCACCGCGGCCGGCTCCGTCTTCTTTACTAGACCTGGCATTCGAGATTCCCAAAGGCAAGGTGCGCGGTCATTGTGAGCAAATTCATGAATCGTTAAAGGATTAAGATAGCGCACGCATTGTGTGGCATACTGACCGGGAAGGCCTCCAATTTGCTGCGCCACGAAGTTTGGATTCACGATTCAGCTCAAAACAATCGTGCGGTACGCGCCGGGGCAAGAGGTTGCTCGTCTCTCTCAAGCTCATACTCGGCGATACCACATCGGCTCGCGCGTCTCCTGCAGAATATCCTTCGCAGCATCGATCAGCACTTGATCCTGCGCTTCCAAAAGGCTACGCTCCTCCAAGTTGTACGAGATATACACGATACACTCCTTCGACTCGTCCTCGATGTCGAAGTTGGGCCTGCGCTTGTCAGTCAGCACACAGTACGCGGTGAACGGGCGTCGCTAGTCATCGAAAGCAAAGGAAATGCCACTCACACGCTAATCCCCGGATACCTCGCCCTAGACGGCCCCGTCACCATCTCCTTGAACCCCTCGTAGATATCCCACGCATCCTCGTCGTCCTTGTTGGCGAAGCGCTCGTAGAAATCGTCCTCTTGGTAGAGCCAGCCGAGGAAGTAGGTTGGCGGGAAGTGGGGTAGAGGCGCGGGCGGGTTAGTTGGCGTAGACGCGCTGTCGGCAATAACGTCGGATGTCAAGGGCGGCGGCTGGCCGCGAGGCAGGGTGGCGGGATAGAGGTCGAGGCGCTCTCCTCGGCGCAGCTTCCTGGGCTTTGAGGATGACGCGTTGGGTGTGAGAGCTGAAGGAGAGGTGACATGATCTCTTCCGCGGCTGGTAGATCTACGTCGAGGTCAAGCGGCTGACGCGTACACCTCGCACCGTCGCTTCAGGCGCCATCGTCGGAGGACGAGAGCTAGCGCGAGGTGGCGGTAAATGAGTAAGTGCAGTTTGCGGCTGTGCTCTTACGCAGCCGATACGTCGATACGGTCTGTGACAGGAGACGCGCTTGGAAACGTCGGGCTCATCTAACTCAAGTTCAGCGCGAGCTTGAGAAGGAGGGAGGTTGTCGAAACCGGCCCTGAAAGCTGGAAAGGAACGACTCAGACGATGCTCGGATAAAGCTTCAGGAATAGTATCCCGACCGTGCATACAAACAGTTAACAACACAACCGGAGCGTATGAAACTGGCCAGCCCGTCTGCTACATGAGCCTGTGCGAACAACGCCGACTCCTCGCCCCAAAAAACAGTCTGGAGACTTAGAAATCAGGACATAATATACCACACCGGGTCTTCGTCCTGTCCCAGAATATCCTTCGCGGCGTCGACCAGCTTCTGGTCCTGAGCCATAGCGCGGGTCCGCTCGTCGAGATTCGTCGTGATATACACGATGACATGATTCGAACCGTAGCACAGAGTGAAATTAGGGCTGGTAGCGGGAGGAATCAAGGAAGGAAGGGATAGCAATTCAGCAAATCACAACGCACGAAAAACAAAGCACGCGACACGCACAGCCACATCTTGGGATACTTCGCTTCAAACGGGTCCTGCACGTTCTTCTCGAACGAGGTCACCCGATCGGCGTATGGGTTGCCCTTCATGATGCGCTCGACGTACTCGCGCAGGGTGTACATCCACCCGAGTCTGTAGAGCGGTGCGAAGGTGTCCTTCGCCGATGGTCGTTTCGCTAGTGGGGGAAGTTCGTGGCGGGGGAAGGTCTGCGGGTAGTCCTTGAGACTCTTCCGCCCTTGAGGTGCGTTCTTCGAGGCCTGCCCCGACGCCCTCGTCTCGCGAGCGGATGCTTTCGCGGCTTCATCCGCAGCAGCAAAAGTGGCTTTGAGCTCGTCAAGCCTGATAGGTAGCAATGGGTCAACTGGTGTTCGAAGTACACTGGAGTGAGAGACATACGTGGGTTCGTTGGGCATGGGGGTAGTGAACGTGGTTCGAAGGGTCGATGGGATTCGGACAAAATCGATTTCACGCGCGTTTCACGTTTAGTATGCGATACACGTTCAATTTGTGACTAACTGTCACGCCGACCAGACGAAAACGTCGGACGGGCAGTGAAAGGGGACTGACCGGTGAGCCAAATCACGTCCGACGGTACCACATTGGCTCATCGGTCTCGCCCACGAATGACTGTATAAGCTTGACGCGGTATTGATCCTCCGCGCAGCGACGGGAAACCTCCAAGAAATTCGTGCCCATATACACCACGTATTCGTCGGGGACAAGGTTGTCGGCGTCCAAGGCGGGTCTGAGGCAAAGGATAAGAGCAAGCCAAAAAATATGGGTAATGGCCACACGCACGGTTCAACTCCTCTGTGCTCTGCATAGAAGCGATCGATGATGACCCTGCCAAAGAAGAAGCGAGATCGCTCTTCCATACCGGGGTACCGTTTATCGAACGTTTCAGGGTCATAGCGCCAGCCGAACATATATACTGGCGGAAGCAGGTCACCCACTGGCTCATCCGCCAGAGGTGGGACCCAGTCGGCAGGCATAGTCGGTGGGAAGATATCCAGATGCTGCCCAGGCAGAGTCATCTTGGGCTTCTTCTTCGTGGCCTTTGCAGATTTCCCGGGCTTTTCTGGCTCTGGCATCTGAAAGGTGTACGCCGCATCAAGTGGCGCGCTCGCAAAAAGCTCCTTGCATTCCTCGAGCCTGAAGAACACGTCAACCAGCGTCGCAAAGACAGTGAGATGACTTACGAGAAGTCCTTCGACATACGATCCTCAAGCTCTGGTCAGTTTTGTGGCTGGGAGAGAGACAGAAGGTATCCGACGTCAGTACGATGAAGGGGAGAGATGAGACGGGCGGCAATCGGGTTTGTGGCGCGAGAACGGAACCAAACATGGAACCGGCAAGTGCCGACGTACCGAGGCCAATCTCAGATTTCGACTTGATTTTGACGCGAAGCAAGCCGGGAGGCGTTGAGGTCAGACAGTACTTATCTTCATGCGCCATACAGTTCTGGACACCATGTAAGAGTCAGCTTCAAACCGCATCGTGCTCATTGCGCATCCTCGCGCGCAACCTCCGTGGGTAACCGCTCGCGTATCTCGCCACTGCCACCTCCGCCGCAGTGAGACATGGAAAGATACGTGAGCGAATTTTCTGCCTGAGGTCGTGTGATGAGCGGGGAACACCCATGCAAGTTCCATTGCCTCTTGCATGCTGACGATTGGCACCTCAGTGGGCGTGTCTCGTCGCGCGGTATGTAGTTTGACGGGGTCAGAAGGGTCAGCGGAGGTCAGGCGTATAAGGGCGCGCTTTTCTAGGCGCGTGCGAGGCCTAATCAATCAGGGACATGGCCAGGGAGAAGGGTTATACAACAACGCGTGAAGTGCGTGCGCATGTCAGACCCTGCTCGCCCCCTTCCCATTCTCGGAAAGAGAGCCCCCTGACTCGTCCCTACACTTTAGGAGAACGCCAGAATATGCATCGACATCCCTCGAACACGAGCGCTGAACTCTCTCCTTTACCGCGTCTTCAAACTTCGTCACGCAGTGAGCCTACCGCAAACCCCTGTTACTTGCGCAAGCTCCGTCACTCACGAGCCCTGCGTAGACCGACGAAGAAGACAAGTACGACTCACCCCTCCCTGCTCACCGCCCCTCCCCCCACCCCACCCCTTCACCTGTCAAATCCAATGATCGGGCGTCGTGACTCAAGGCGCTCGCTCTCCGCCGAGTACACTCGGCACCTCTCCGTCGAAGAGACGCTCGCGAAGGGCGAGGGCGGCCGCGGCAGTGTGCGGCACGTCACCGTCAACATCGGCCACAGCGTGCTCCGCTGAGCTGAACGGCGAGGAGCTGTTGCGCGCGGGCCCGCATACCGGCTTCCTGTAGACCTTCATCGAGTTCAAGACGTACACGCAGGCGTTGCCGCACTTCGACCGGCTGGGCTATGTTAGCATGAGTGCGTGTTTCGGTCTCTTCGCCCGCGTCTGAGTGCTAACGTACCGTAGTGGGGTACGAGGTGTGCTGCTCTGTGGTGGTCGAGAAACCCCTTAGGAACATTGAGGCGCCCGCTCGCGCTGGGTGGATCCGTGCCCTCTTCGGCGAGATCGCCCGTATCCTCAACCGTGCGTCCGCTCCTACTTTCGCCTCACCTCCCTCGTTGACCCCTCTATAGACCTCATGGCCGTCCTCACCCGCGCCATGAACGTCGGTGCCCTCACGCCCTGCCTGCGGGGGCTTCGAGGAGCGCGAGAAGCTTATGAAGTTCTACGAGTGCGTCTCCGGCGCCCGCCCGCACGTCGCCTAGGTGCGCCCCGGCGGCGTAGCGTTCGACCTCCCGCACAGCCTACTCGACGACACCTTCAAGCGGGCGACGCAATACAGCTCGCACGTCGACGAGATCGACAAGGTCGTGACGGGCAACAGGATCTCGGAGCAGCGGACGATCAATGGCGGGTGGGTGGGCGGTCAACCATCGGACTGCTTGCCCGTATATGTAGGCAGCATACTTATGAACTATAGGCGACCGCAGCACACCTATCGACTGTAGGTGATCGCGTTGGACGCCCCGCGCTTCTCCTTCTCTGGCGTCATGCTGCTTGGCAGTGGCGTTCCTTGGAATCTTCGTAGGGCATCGCCGTACGACGCATACGACCAGGTGTGCCGTACGACGCGTACGACCCGGTGCGTCGTCCTGTGCTCGACCCCCACGTTCGATGATGACCACAGGTTATTACGAAGATTGTCGTAGGCATACTACCTATAGAGCTCGTCTAGGGGCATTGCATCCATATACTGCTCAGAGATAGGGCTGGGGCCTAACTAAAAGGGAACTCGCCTCATCGCTCGAGCGGAGGGTGGCGATACCACAAGGGCTCTCGGTCCTCATTGAGGATATCCTTAACAGCGTCGATGAAGGCATTGTTCCGCGCAAGATTCTGGGCACCCTCATCGACGTTTGTTGCCACAATTACTGTACAATGGTCAAAAGGGAGATAGACGTAGATAATGGGCCGAGTTCTGCAAAGGATCGCGCTCAGTTTGCAGGACGGTCGAAGATGAGAGCAAAGTACGCACCTCGGGGTGGCTTTATCGAATTCTGGATACTGCTCGGCGAAACGCGGTAGGAGTTTCTGACGAAAAATAATGGAAGGAGGCTCGTAGCTGCCGTTGTCGAAGCGCTTGCAGAACTCCCAGTTCATGTACCTCCAGCCGAGCATATAAGGTGGCGGCTTCGTCCCAAGCACAACGCCAGCCATCAGAGGGGGTATGACATCGCGAGGAAACGTCTGGTGGTAGAGGTCTTGCCGTTCTCCTGGTGCAGGCATCCTTGGCTCGGCCCCAGCGTCGGGAGAGCCACTGACATTATGTTGAGATGGACAAAGTATCCCTTTCACTACGTACGCACCTCATCACGGTAGTCGTTCAGCCGTATGCGCAGAAAGGTAAACAAGTAGTGAATAATGGGGTCGTGAACGGAGAAGACAAGCATCGATAATAGGTTCCGCTTGATGGCACGCGCCGGCAATTTCCGGTCCGGATCAATCAACACTCGATGATAGGCTGCGCGCAAACGGGAAGCCTTGAGGTCAGACGGCATACATAGAAGTCCTGATAGAGGAGCCGGACTGGGACTGATATTGTTGCCCAATCTTGTGAACGTGGGCCTCCCGAGCTCGCACCGCGGAAGGCTCGCCGTCGACATCCATCGGCATGTTGCGATCCCCGTGTCCTTCATCGCTCTGCCCCAGCACCCTCAACCTCGCCAAGACCCCCATGCAACATCACTACCTGTTTCTTATACCTCTCTTGCTCCTCCCCACCCGTCGCACGACCTCCACCGCTTCAACCACCCGCCGCTGCGCACTCATCTGCGTAAGGTTGGCGCATGCGCGGCATGTTCCGAGTATGACTCATCTGCTTCCCCCAACCATCGCGAGTGTGGGCAATGAGTGCATTCGCGCATGAAACATCTGACAGACGATGGCCATCCCAATATCAAGCGCCTGAAGCACATTCCAAATTTTTTTCTGGTCCGCCGACCCCCGCCATGGGTCGCTGTAGGTGTCGAGCGCGACATGGTTCGAACATTTGTCCAACCCTAAGGTCACGTGACATGCTTACGTAAGGGGTGCCCGTTCCTAGCGTCCCCTGCCTTAGCAGCGTCTGCCGCCTCGCACGCTGCCCCGACCGGGCAGCACGCGCGCTCCGCCGTCTCGAGCGCCGCGCGCGCTGTAATCGCGTTCGTCTTCGCCTCGGAGAGGGCGGACCGGAAAGCCTTGTGCGCGCCGCGGGCGTCGTCGCGGGCCTTGGAGGCGCGAGAGACAGCGTCTTTGGTGATGATGAGGTCAGAGGTAGTATAGTTGCTCGTCTGCAGGACGTGGTTAGTAGAGGATCATGGAGGATAGGCAGCCATTGACGCACGTCAACTCCGGAGTTGAAGCGCTCACTGACGCTAGCAGCAGAGTCAAAATCCTAGTAAATCGGAGCCATGAAGTATATTCAGAGCATATCCAGCGATGTGGCTATCAATGGGACACAGGAATACGGATCCACTGCGGGTCTCTGTCCTCTTGGAGGATGGCCTTGACACCTTCTATCACCCTTTCCTTGTCAGGCAGATCCAAGGCGGACGGAAAGGAGTTCGATGCAATGAAGACGATGGAGTGATTGTCAGTCAGCCTTGAATCTAGGAAGGGATCAGGCCTGTGGACGATGAACATCATGCGGGTAGGACACAACGCAGCCACGCACATCTCGTCTCCGTACTTCTCATGGAACGGTCCCAAGATGCGGGCCTCGAATACATTCAGAGCGTCGCCCCGTCCGAAGCGCTCAGCGAAGTCGTTCATGGTGTAATACCAACCCAGGATGTACATTGGTGGCAGCAGCCCGTCCACCACCAATGACATGAGGGGAGGTACAGAGTGGTGGGTAAGGCGTGCGGGGAAGAGGTCTAGACGTTCGCCGCGCTGAACCTTAGTCGGTCGCGGCCGGGCTTGACAGTGGATGTCGTTCAAGCGACTGTAGCTGGTTGTGGGGTGAGCATCGTGAGGGTCTTTGCAGTATGTGACGCACTCTACATTGGAGGCCATGGTAAAGAGCACGAGCGGTGCGTGTAGCAGAACAGAGGATGACGGTCAAGAATCAGTCGGACGATGAAAGTTACGAGAGTCCAGGACGATCGAGCGCCCGGTCTCGGGATGTTGATGCGGGCCATGCGACAGTTGCCGCGTGGCGAGCGCGTGATCCGCCCATGCTGAACTTCGCGCGTTATGCCGATGCCTTTTGCGAGTTGCTAACTGATGAAACGCACAAAGTGCAGGGAAAGCCAAAGTAGTCTGAATTGAATATCGTCTCAGATCTCAACGACTTTGCACAGCAGACGGTAAGAAATCAGCGATGTCGATGAACGAGCGATGCACCAAACCAATGCACCAGCCTACAGTCGCACAGGCAGACGGATCCATTCTGGTCCGGCATCCACTCCTAAGATATCCCTAAGGCCGTCTATCATCAGGTTCACACGGGAAACCTCCATCGACGCAGAATTGGAGTTGCTCGCGAGATAGACTATGCAATACTTGTTGACAAAGTCGGATCTCAATAGAGGGCTGGGTCTATGGGCATCGTCCATAAGCAACATCATTCCTGAACAGAAGAGATGACACTCACACATCAGCCTCGCCTTTGAGCTTCTCATAGTACGGATTCAAAATTCTTGTCTCGAACACAATTAGAGGCCTGTCTGCACCGAAGCGCTCCGAAAAGTCGGTTATGGTATAATACCACCCGAGGATGTACATTGGCGGAAACAATCCAAGCAACTCCGACACCCTCAAGGGAGGTGCGCAGTGGAGGGGGAGGCGGTTGGGGAAAATGTCGAGGTGCTCGCCACGCTTCACCTTTGTCGCCTTTGGCGGCAAGTGGGCTTGAGTGTATAGACTCTTGAGGTTATCGTAGCTGCGGGACACGCGATAAGACAATCCGATGGTGTATACGGTGAGAGACCTACTCGATAGCGGGATCCATGCGAAATGAGCGCGAGCGCAGGCGAGACGAAAGCGGAAGTGGCGGTCAAAGCCCAATTTCGCGGGCGAGGTCGGCAGATGCTGCGCGAAATGACTGGACTGGACGAAGACAAGGGTCAATGACTGTCGGAAGCAAGATTGAGGCGTCAAATTGACGCATGGTTTTCGGCTGGTCTGCACGTGGCGACGCGTATGCGATGGAAGGCGCGCGGCATCAGAGTGGTGGGGCGAGGCGGCGTGCAGATGCGCACACAAAGAGAGAGTTGAGAGAGAGGCGCATCGCCTTTGTCCAGTGCCTATCGGTACACTTGTGGGCAACACCCGCTGACAGCGAGAAGGACAGGACCTTCCGCAATCTGAGCACAAATCCAAAGACTGCTACGCGTCACGACGGGCAACAAAATTGTCAAATTCAAAGATTGAGGCGAACACGCCTATCAAATCGTCGGCACTGCACACGTGCCCTTCAGAGTAGGTTTGTACTGCAACAAAAAAGGTATTGAAATTGATCAGGGCGCGCTACAAAGAGGAAAAAGCCTCTTCAGATCGGGCATGCATCTGAAGCGAGCGGAGCTGAAATCTCGTTAGGACTGAAGTCAGCGCCACAGAAACCAGCTTACCGTATCACTCGAACGCCTCCTTGGGTGGGTGCCGATACCACACGGGCTCACGGTCCTCGTTGAGGACCTTCTTGACAGCTTCTACGAATTTGTCGTTTCGCGCGAGGTTTTGGGCACTCTCGAATGCATTCGTCCCCGCGATCACAGTGCAGTGGCCAACATTGCGGTCAACCCAAATCATGGGACGCGACCTGCGAAGCGCCGGGTTCAGTGGTCGCACGGATAAAAAATAACAAGGCGAGTCCGCACCTCGGCCTGGCATTCTCAAACTCCGGGCTCTGCTCCGCAAAACGAGGTAGGATCTTCTGGCGAAATATTATGGAAGGGTCTTCATAGTGCCCATTGTCGAAGCGCTTGCGGAACTCTCGATATTTGTATCTCCAACCAAGGAAATAGAGGGGGGGCTTTGTACCAAGGACAACAGCAGCCATCAGAGGAGGTACAACATCACGAGGAAACGTGTAGTGGTAGAGGTCTTGTCGTTCCAATGGTTCGGGCATTTTTGGCTCGTCAGCTTGGGTGCAGTCGGCGGGGTCGGTGACATTCCGCTGAGAGGAAGAGGGGTCCTCGTCTGCCTTTGGGGAAGGTGGAGTCGAGGACATATAGTTGAGTGAGAAATTGGAAGATGAACGTCGTGGGCAGAGAGCGTTCGGCAACGTGCATCCGCGCCAACGGACAAAAACCACGTGGCTCACGTGTCGAGCGCGTGCTGCCGTTGTTGTTCGTCTACCTGCGAGTGCACTCACTGCTCAGTTCTTCCAGCCTGGGGTATATGCTGAAGCTCCGATGGAGAAGATCCCTTGCGCCTTGATGTACAAGTGCCTGAGAAGTGACGGAGGTAAGAGATGTGGCGAGCTACGACAAGGGACGAGCGTCCATTGGCATTACAGGATCCTCCAGAGTACAACGCGCCGACGCCGCCTGAGCGAATCGGCGTGGTTCTCAGACAGCATCCCTAGTACACTCATGTCTTGGGACGAACTTGAAACTCGAAGGAGGAGAGCAATGTATCACCGACTGTGGCGCGCAATGGAGCTCCTCAAGGGTAACGGTACCAGCAAGGCTCCCGAGATTCTTTGAGAATCGGGCGCAGACCTTGGATCACTTCCTCATTATTCGCCATCTCACGACTTTCCTCATCAGAATTGGTGGCAATGATAACCGTGCATTGCCGCGTCTCTGGGTCAACGTACAGTAGCGGGACATACCTAATAGCAGAGTTGCGTCAGCGCACGACCAGGTGACAAACATTGTGAACGCACTTCGCGAGATGTGGAAATTCCTCCGCAAAAGGCACCGCGACGGAATAATCCCAGATCTCCTGAGGCGTTAGGTATGGGGCGTTTATGATTTGTCGCAGGAATTGTTTGTAGGGGTACCGCCAACCGAAAAGATACATGGGCGGCCGGGTGTTGAGAACGATGGCGGCCATTAGTGGAGGGACTATATTTCGCGGAAAAGTGGCGTGATAGAGACCAAGATGTTCTCCCGGAAGCGCCATCTGCGGCTCGCCTTCGGCTAAGGCGAGCGGTTTCCTGCAGAAATTGTGAGGAATCGATTGGGACCCGACCGTTCATGAGCGCACTGATGCTTTTGATCCATGTTGGTGTGTTCAGCCGGGTATAGGCAGGAGGGGTGCAGACGTGAAGGCAGATGATGGACAACAAGACCAAGGAGCATTTCTTCCGCGTTGATTCCATGCGGTCGCCATCAATCTCCGTTCGGTAAGCCTCGCCGAGGACCCACAAACTGCCACTGATCTCCCGACCAAGATATATGCGACTGAGGTCAGTCGACCATGACATAGAACCATTGAGTGCACATCTAGGCCAGCGGGCGAAAGCCTTGACGCCGAAGCTGGTTGCAAAAGGAGAAACGTTCCGTGGTGTGGGAAAATGGGACGCCAGTGATGGCCTTCGCGTGGCTCGCGAGCGCGTGTCTTTTCCCGACCATCATCTCGTATTCGCCCAAGTTCGGATACTCCTGCGACTTCATCGCGCTTTCTTGTCCCAGCTCGACCATGTCCTCGGAAGAACCAACATTAGACACGCTGAAAGGATATAAGGAAGGGCTCATCGCGGCAGCGAACGCGAGGGACAAGGTTTGCCGCCTTTATCAACGATGCCACGCAATATAGTATCTTAACCGGATAGGCTGCTCTCCTGAATATCCTTCATGAACTGGATGTATACTCAAAGCCGCCCGAGGCACTCGGGGTACGTCCTTCCTGCCTTGTTCCGTCACCGCACGGCTGAATCACACCCTTGCAATTGACTTCAGCCCAGTCTCCTCGGATTGACAGTCGGCAAGCTTCGCTATCACGAGACGGAAGAAGTAAGCGAGCGGGCCAAGGCCCTCGTCGCGCGTTGGATGGCGGCCGCGCCTGCGCGGAAGCGGCAAGAGTCGCTTTCAACTCGGAAGTCGACGCAAATTTCGCAGCAAGGTATGAGGCCTGTGCGTTCTGCAGTGTAGAACAGCTGTTGACGAGAGCTAGAGGGTCTGCGACGTTCTGGTTCGAATGTGACTCGGAGGCTTTCTGCGAGTAAGTCTTCCTGGCAGACGCTGCGCCGTGCTCTCTGACCCAGGTGCAGAGAGAACGGCATCTTCTCGTCAGCCTTCGAATGCGACGAGGGAGCAGACATCTGGTATGGTTTACCCCACCGTTCTGGCCAAAAACTGACAGTTCCTGCTCACAGCCTCCACCCACTCTGACGCGGCGCCCAAGGAGAACATGGGACCGCCCCTTGAGCCCGTCTCGCGAGGCCGGACCCTCGCGCGCGACGACAAGAAAAAGGCCTCCGCCTCCGCCTCGTTGTCAACGCGTAACGCATCCCAAGGCACACCACGCGCATCTGAAGCCATGTCCGTTGACCGCGCACCTTCCTCGACACCGCCTACGCGCAGCTTCGCGACGGACGACCTAGGTGACGCCTCTTCGCTGCACGACGTGCCCCTCCGCGCGCTCACGATCGAGCTGCTTTATGATGCTCTGGCTTCGGGCGCGGGAGATATGCGTGAGTCTCGCAACTCCTTCGTCTAACTAAAAAGACTGCATGTTTCTCATCTGCTCGCTCTTCACAGCCTCCGACACCATACTACCACTCGCCACCGCCATCGAGGACGGCATATACCTGGGAACAGGCTCGAGCGAGGACGCATACGTGGGATGCGCGCACCTAGCATTCATTGCGTTGAGTGCAGCGTCCACCATGTCGACGATGCGGCGCGACCTGTTGGCAGGTATCGTCAGTGCGGACGACTTCGTGGATCAGATAGTCAGCGAGGCATCGCAAGGGACCTAGGAAGTTGTGCTCAGAGTGTATGCTTTTGTACCACCGATGGGTACTTGCAGTACTACCAATGGGTACTTACCGCCCATCCCTACGTCTCGTCGTGGTGGGGACACTTAGACTCCCAACTGTGTTGACGTGTCCGATGAAGGCGTTGCCATTGACGAGACGATACCCTCTTGATGCTGGCCTTCGCAAATACTCTTATGTAGGACGAGACGAAGGCGAGAACATGTTCATATTGGCATAGACGAGGTCATATTACAGGAAACATGATGTACACGTCGAAAATCATAACATGAGCCAAGTACGCTTGATACCTACGCTGTCAAAGTTAGCAAAACGTACCCTTCGCATCCTTGTCAGCAAACCGTCCATGGAGAGAAGTCAGACCACACTCACCAGTCTCGATAGCTACAAGAGGAGTATCATCGTGCCAGGCGACGCACCCTACGTCATGCGGTCGAGCAGAGAAGTCGCGCCGCCCTGGATACGGCTGCTGAGGCTCGCCTTGCCCCCGCCGCGCCCCTTGCCGCGGCTACTGGTGTTATGTCCACCACGGCCCTTGCCCTGCTTTGCCGGCGCGGGGTCGCCCAGTCGGTCCCGCAACGACCCCTTGCTGCCCGACGCGGCTGGCTGTTTGGCGGCTGACTTGTACTCCGGGTTGTACTGCATCATACCACTAGGGTCGCTCCCATAGCTGGTGTCGTAGCCACGGTCTGCGTAGTCATAGGAGTGATCAGCGTCGTAGGGATCGCCGTAGGTCGGCGACATAGGATCATACGGACCCCGCAGCGCGTCGGCTGCAGCCCTGTCATACACGGTTTCCGGCTGGGCGAAAGAACCGCTGTTCCTCCTGTACGAGGTTGAGGGCTGCGCGTAAGGGCTGTTGGGGGACGGGGGATCCGGCGACCAATGGCTGCTCTGGTACGGTCGACTGCCACTTTCCGTGCGCACGCGCTGGGCCGGGCGCTCGTCAAAGTCAACATCGCGCGGGCGCTTCTGACCTGCCGCATGGTAGTCAGAAGCCGATGGCCCAGAACCGTACGTGCGCGAGTCGTAGGCGTCCAAGCGATCGAAGTAGTCGCCGCCAGCAGGACGATACCGCCGATCAGAATCCAGCGCGCGCGGACTGACAGGCGGACTGATCTGGTAACCTCTAGATGGCGACGCTGGCTGATAGTTGCTCGCCCTCAAATTGACGCGCGAGCGCGAGTATTCCGGCGAATGGGATCTATCATAGCTTGCAGGCGCTATCGACGTAGACATGGATGGCGGCGGTAGCGGAGGCGTTCGCGGTCCTCGAGCCGATGTTGATTGTGGCACAGCTAGTTGCTGTTGACGCACGCGTTCGAATCTGGTAGCAGTGGGAGGCGCCGAGGGCTGCGCAGTTGTAGCCGGCTTTGTCTGAGGCCTCCGACGATCCGTCGGTTTAGGCGGGGCAGCAAGTCCCGCATGCGACGCCGTCGATGCTGCCGAGGGTTGCCTCTGATGCTCCTGGGATGCATTGACAGCCGCAGGGCGCGTGGACGCAGGGTGAGCTGGAGCCGATGGCGTCGAAACAGAGGCCGCGGGCTGCGACTGAGATGTCGACGCCAACTGCTGCTGCCGTTGCTGTTGTTGTTGCGTTCGCTTTGCTTTGTTGTTATTCTTGGCAGGCAGCGCTGGCGCCGGCATCTTCTCCTCAAGCGACGGCTTGACGGACGAACTGGACCCCGCAAGCGGCGACTCGACACCCTCCTGCTTGACCCTCGGTGTTCCCGGACCCTTCGACTCGCTTTTGACCCTCTCCAAACCAGCCGATGCGCTTGTCGACGCCGACGCCGACGCTGACCCCTTCTTCATTGGCGGGACCTCCACGTACGGCTTCGTTGGCATCTTCGACGTCGAGGTCTGAGCCGCAGACGACCCCTCGCCCGACGTATTCCTCGGACGCAGACCCAGCTCCGCTGCGCGCACAACGTCGTCAGGCACACCGAGCTTCACGTTGCCCGACAGAGGCTTCGCCTTCCCCTTGTCCTTTTTCTTCGTCGCGCTGCCTGTGGGCACGAGCGTCTGCTGAGCAACGTAGTTCCCCGTCGACGGCGTCGCGTTATGATTCGTCTTCAACGACGTCGCGCTGCCCGACGATATGCTCGGAGGCGCCTGTGTTGTCGGCGTCGAAGGGGCGGGTGAGCCCATCTTGAAGTCCATAGCCGAAGCGGGCGCTGGCGGGCTGGCGGACGCCATCGCGCGCCGGGCACGGATCTCCGCCGCGGTCTTCAGGTTCGCAACCTCCTTGTCGTGCAAGATCTTCAGGCGCATTTCATCCTGCTTGCGTATCAGCTCCGCACGGTGCTCCTCCTCCGCACGCTGCTTCGCCTCGAGCTCTGCTTGTTGGTTCGCTTCAGCCTCAGCTCGCTGCTTCACTTCCTCCTCCGCGCGCTTCTCCGCCTCCGCACGCTCGGCAGCTTCCTTTCGTGCAGCTGCCTCGGCCGCAAGCCTCGCCTGCTCCTCCTTCAGCACCGCCGCCTTCGCAGCCAGTTCGCGCATCCTCTCTTCCTGCGCGGCGATTGCCCGCGCCTGCTCCTTCTCCTTCTCCGCTACACGCGCTCGCTCCTGCTCCGCCGCCAGCTTCATCGCCTTTTCCTTCTCCGCAGCGAGCCGCGCCGCCAATGCGTCCTTCGACGCTTGCGCCTCCTTTGCCGCTACGTCCGCTTCCCTCTCTGCCGCCTCCGCTTCCCTCGCCGCCGCCTCCGCCTCCCTTGCCGCCGCCTCAGCCTGCTGTCGCTGCTGCGCCTGATGATACTGCTGGGCAGACGCCGTCAGTTCTTGCGCGGTCGACCCCGATGGCTGCGCTTGTGCTCCGGAGGCCTTCACGGCCTGCGCACGTCGTATGTACTCGAACGCTTCACGTCGCACGGCCTCGGCAGCGAGAGCTGAGTTGCCCAGCATTGAGAGGCCCGCGGAGCTACCGAGCGTCGAGAAGCTCGCGTGGTCGGTCAGACTCGAGGAGGGCCCAGCGGAGAGGAAAGAGCCCAGCATGGCAATCGGCGACAGTTGCGCGGTCGGAGACGAGGACGTAGGCAGGGTCGACGACGCCGCGTCCAGCTGGTTCGGAGATGGCTGCGACTGAGATTCAGATGGGTGCAACGGAAGCCGCCCCGGCATCAAGGACGCCATCCCGGGCTGCTGCAACGATGTCGTAGGATGCGATGATTGAGTCGACGAGGTCGGCTGTGGTTGAGTCGACGAGGGCTGCGACGGCTGAGTCCCCGTGGTCGATGGTGGCTGTGGGCTGTGTGCTGACGTGAACGACGCGCCGGTGCCGTTGAGCTGGACTCCGCTTTCGTCTCCGCTGGCTCGAGCGCCGTCTCCACCTGCACGATGGCCGCCGTTGTTGGCGTCAGGACCGCCTCCACTAACCTGAGGAGCCGGTTGCGCGCTCGAGTTCGAGTTCGGCTTGATCTGCGGGAAGTGCTGCGGAATCCCCTGCGCGAGGGCCGACAAGTCTTGCGTGGACGACATACGGTTGACGGATCGTGACGTCGAACCGTTGGAAGTATGTTGCAACTGCTGCCCATGACTGATGGCATGCGCACCCGACGCCTCGCCGACTCGCGCAGATTCGCCATCAACCTCCATCGGCACTCCGGGATCCCCGTTTCCTCCACCGCCCTCCCCCAACACCCTCAGCCTCCCATCCAACCTCGCCAAATCCCCCTGCAGCGCCTCCACCTCCTTCTTCCACCTCTCTTGTTCCTCCCCCATCCTCCTCACCACCTCCACCGCCTCCGCTGCCCGCCGCTGCGCATCCTCGCTCGTCTGCGTCGCTGCGTACGCCGCCTCGACCGCCGCCTCGACCGCGCAGCACGCGCGCTCCGCCGTCTCGAGCGCCGCTCGCGCGGTGATCACGTTCGTCTTCGCCTCGGACAGGGCGGATTGGGAGGCCTTGTGCGCGCCGCGGGCGTCGTCACGGGCCTTCGATGCGCGAGACGCGGCGTCTTCGGCGATGGTGAGGGCAGAGGAAGTAGAGGTGGATGTGGGGGTGGAGAGGGAAGAGAGGGTGGTGGACATGCGGGTGCGCAGCTCGTGTATATCAGCGAGCGTGCGGTTGGAGGTGGTGTTGTTTGTTTGGGTTTGTGAGGCGGAAGAAAAGGAGGCCCCGGTTATCGGGGCCCCGTCGCGGGATGGGGAGGGTTGGACGGAAGGCGGATAGTGAAGTTGGAGGTTCTCGCTTGTGTTGGAGAGGGCGCTGACGTTTGAGGTCGATTCTGGGAAAGAAAAAGGAGGAGGCACGGGCGTATTGCGGAAGAGCGAAGTGGATGCAGTGTTGATCGCAGTAGAGGTCGAGGCAGCGGGTCGAGGAGAAGAAGTAGTGTTGTTCGTGAATCGATCGGCCACGCCGTTGGCGACGGACGTATAGCCATCAATTCGCTCGAGTAGCGACCTCCTCCTGTTGGGTATATCGGGAGGTGCGAATGCGTTCGCCTCAGCGCCGGCTATATGCGTGGCATCTGCTTGGGAGCCAGACGTTGCTGGCGTGTTGCTGTCCTCGACGTCCATCCCGTTCATGGGATCCTCATCGTACGTTGCGTCGCCTGCTGGCGCATCGGAGAAGCGGCTGAGTAGACCAGGCTCCCTGCCGATGTAGTTGAATTTGAAGTCTGAAAGACCAGGCATGATTCAGGCCTGAGATGAACGCGCTATTGGTCGCGTTCAAAGTTCGGGAATAGGTGTTTTGTTGAAAGTTCGTGATCGCCGAGCGTCTGGATGGTTGCGTTCGATGTCAAAGGCGATCTTGAGTGTTCTAGATGGGTGCTTGATGTTGGCAAGAACCAAGGAGTTCGAGCGTGAACTTGAGTTCTGCGAGGCGGTATGAATAAGTATTCCCCTTCCGCAATTATAGCGCTTTACGATATTCGTGTCGTAGGAAAATGGGTCTTTGTGACTTTCCAATCCTCGTCCTCCTCGTTACTTGCGAATTCGGAAGATGGAAGTGGAACAAAAGACAGAACGCGGAATGCGGAATTTGCTGACATAATCTACGGCCGGGCATGGCGCATGTCACGTCACATATGGTCACGCTGATGGTTGAACTTGGGATTTGACAAGTACGTCCATGCTGGCGTCGACTTTGGCCTAGCCAGGCAGGAAAACTTCTCAGGATGTCTCAAAATAGTCACTCTCTAAGCTCCAGGACTATGACGAGGCACTCGTACGCCTCAACAGAGCGTGCCACCAACAAGAGACCCACCGATGTTTCGCCAGCGGACGTACCACCTGCTGCTCCTCGTACTATTGACTCCCTGAGAAATCAAGTCGCAGAAGAAATTTCTCTAAAGGCCCTTCGCAAGGTCGAACATGTAGATGGTCAGTCAAGTTCCCTGGTTGATTTTTCCCGTGCCACTTATCATTTTTCAACCGCCTCTCCTACCCCAGGCGTAAAAATCGTCGTACTCGTCACCTCCGCCGGCCGCGGCGACATCAACTTCCTCCACCACGTCTCCGACTCCATCGAATCCCGCTGGTATCTCTCCACCGAGCCCTACCTCTTTATCGTCGCTGCCGCCCCACCTGTCCGCCCCGACACCCCCACCACCTCCCCCCTCGTCCTCTGCGCCTCGAAAGAATTCCTCCTCGCCCGGGCCTCCCTCCTTGCCGGCGCCAAGCTTATCGGCCGCGTCACCGGCGCGCGTCACGGCAACCGCTGGCTCGCCTCCGTGCGCGACGCAGGCGCTGCGTTCGACGAGGAGGCGCTGTGGGACGTGGTCAGGAAGGCGGCCAGGGCGCCGGTGGACTCGAAGAGCCCGCCGCCGGGATCGATGGGGATAGCTGAGAAGGTGGCGGCGGCGAGGGCGAAGCTGGAGCGCGTGCCGCCGGGGCATGCGCTGGCTGAGTTGCATGCAGCGAAGGTGGACGCCCCGACGTTATTGGTGGATATCAGGACCCAGGAAGAAAGGGAGGCAGGCGGAATCGTGCCGGGCGCGCTCGCCATCAACCGGGTTGAGCTCGAGTGGAGATTCGATCCGCGGAGCGAGCGGAGGCTGTCGTTGGCGGACCGTTACGACCTGCGTGTTCTGCTGATGAGCTGGGATGGTGATGCGAGCAGCCTTGCTGCGGTATCGCTCCAGGAGTTGGGCTTGCTCAATGCAACGGATGTTATCGGAGGCTTCGAGGCGTGGGCTCAGGCCGGTCTGCCGGTCGAAGGAGGTGTGGGGACGGAGAGCGTAAGCGAGACGACCGCCTCGAGCTCCTGGGTGCGGATTCAGTGAGCCCTTGTGCACAGAAAACAACCAATTACCTGGACCTGGTGCGCTTAAATTCTGTATCGGTTATGTGTACTATCCAGGTGTATACTCTCTTCCTGTAGGACCTTGTATTCCAGAGTATCGTGCGGGGTGATCGCCAGCGTCATCCCAATGACACGCAGTCATAACGATGGTCAAGATGAATTCAGCATCGGTGACTACATCGACGCAAATGCTGCTATCAGTCCGTATCAGCCCAAACCGTCCCTCTGTCCCAAGCCGTGCTTTCGTCCCACGGCATCCCCCCATCCACCGCGCTATAATGCAGAATATCCCGCTCCCCAGCAGCGAATTTCGGCAGTGCATATTCCACCCAATTCTGCAGCCTATCCGCATCTTCCCTGGACGCCTCCTCGTCTGGCACAGCAACGAAGTCCATCCGCCGCAGCGAGCTTTCCTCCCGTAGAACGGCAAGCCGGCTATCGACCTCCTTCCAGTGGTCAAGGTGGATTTCCTTGCGCCGATAGCTGTCCGCGTCTGCTGACCATATCGCGACCCGAAGTTCGAACACCTCGACCCCCGTCTTCCGCACCGCAACTTCCAGCAGTCGGACCGCACATACCAGCGACCACGGCGCCAGCACCCCATCCTTAACCCGGATGATCCGCAATGCGGGCATATGGTCGAGAAACGCCAACCCCGCCGCCGCCCCGACATCGTTCCCCACTGTAAGGACTCTCGTCACATTGTTTTTGCTCCTCAGTCTCGCGAACGCACCTACGCTCCAGACGTCGCACAGACTGACGACGAGGGTACGCACCCCTGCACCGTGCGCGGCCGCGAAGCGCGCGAACGCGCCGCCCATGTCGAACGCGCGGCGCGGGGAGAGCGACAAAGTGCGCAGCGCGCGCAGGTCAAGCGGGCAGTGCGGCGCGGACGCCCAGGCGAGCGCGGCGTCGAAGGGGCCGACGAGGTGTAGGGTGTGCAGCTGCGGGCGCGGGGCGCCGGCGGGCAGCGCGGGCACGTCCTCGCCATCGAGGCGGACGTAGAGGAGCGGGCGGGGCCAAATGCTGAGCCGCCGGAGGTGTCGCGCGCTGCGGAGGAGGGCGTGCACGCCCGCGTCGGTGACGTCCTGCTCGCGGAGGTGGAGGGAGGTGAGGCCTGGTCGGTCAAGAATGGAGCAGAGTGCGGACTGGAGCGCAGGGGAGAAGTCGGGGTAGTCGAGCGCGCGCGCGTCGAGGGTGAGGGTGTGCAGGCGGGGGAAGAGCTTGAGGACTTGGACGGCAGCTTCTGCGGCGGCGGCGCGATCTGATGGGGTCGCGAGGCGCATCATTTGTACCGAGAGTCCGCGGACGTACTGCGGGATGTCAGGGGCAGCAGCAAATGCAGTGGGCATGGCGAGCAGGGCGATGAGCTGGTGGCGGATTGTTGGTGGGGCCGTCAGTGCGAGGTCGAAATTGGAGAGGTCGAGCAAGTCCGAGGGGTACGCGCGAGGGTATACTGACAGGTGTGCGAACAGACGCGCTCTGCAGGGCGTGACCCATGACCGCGCGACCAAGCAGCACTTCTTCAAGATGGCTGAGCGGTAAGGAAGTTGCGCAACAATCTCATCTACCAGCTCAGCTGGCAGCAGGGGTGGTTCTATTTGAGACCCGCTCTCTGCCTCGAGCGCAAGGGCGTTCATCTTCGCGTGCATCTCTTCGGATCGTGCTGCGATCGGGGACATTTGAGCATCTCGAATTGGCCTGAGTGACATGGCGCTCACCATCTTCCATCACCGTGCGTCTCTGAAGGTCGTAGGATGCAAAATGAGAGCCTCAGGCTGCACAGCGTCGCAGTGTATGCAGGAATGCTGTGGGAGCGCCGGGGTCACAGCACGCATCATCCTGATCGCAAAGACCCGCATACGGGGATTAGCGCGTGGCACAATCATGGATGCTGTCGGAGGCATCGGGGCGACTCCATGACGTGGTCGAGAGCGAAGAGCTGCTATGGAGGAAGGTCAGTCACCGAGACGGCGGGAAGGAGGGGAGGCGGGGCGCACCTGCCGGAAGAGACGCGGGTCGGAGGAATTGGGGTGTTCTGGACACGTACGAGGCGTGTGAGTCCGCATTCAGAGGAACGTCCGTTTATGACTTTTTAATTGAGGGACCCACAAGCCGAAGCGCAGACCATGCGGGTACCGGGCTTGGTGTGCGAAGTGCGGACGCAAAAAGTACAACAGACGAGAAAGGAATCTTCGGACGAACGGGGAAATCCATGTGGCCAAGATCAATCACGCCCGGTCATCTGCGATTTGAGACCCTATACGCGGCGGTGTTTCTCTAGGTATAGATGCCATCCGTCGTAGAACAGGCAAGAGATGTGCGGAGGCCCCTATCTTCAAGACTGTTTTGAGGAAAGTCAGGGAAAATAAACAGAACCTCGATTTGCTCCCGCCTGATCCGAAATCAAAAGTCCATAACATGACATTGTTGGAATTGTCGCTTGCGATGATACCGACTGCGATACCTGACAGACTCGGACACATAGAGAGGACAACATAAGTGGAAGGAGATACATACATATTCGTACTCTAGAACTAAGTGGGACCAGATGATGAAAGCATAGGTAGGGTAGTGTTTTTTTCTGCGTATCGATGCACGTTCTTTTGGTCTGTTAGTCTGTCATTCGTATCAGCAGCGTCCCGAGATGCGAGAACAGCGACCACACACCATCGTCTAGTACGTCAGCTTGATCCGCTTCGACGGCCGCGCCGCGCCGCAATCGCCGGACGCTTTGCGGACACGTCGACGGAGGGTGATCTCTCCTTCTCCCAGTCGCGTGCGGACAGCCAAAACTTCTTCCTCAACCGTATATTCGGTATCACTATCGACGACTCTGTCTCCTCCACTGACACCCTCTCCCTTCCCAGCGACATTCCCTCCTTCTCTATCTTGTTCGACTGGTCCTGAAACATCTGCGGATTGCTGATTGAACAATGCGCTCTTCGAGGACGCGCGCGCGGACGACCTACCCGACGCATGGCTACACCCTTCGTCGAACTCATTCTCAGGTATCTCGTCGAACAACGAATCCAGATCCGAATCGGACGAGTCCTGGTCCCCGTTGGACTCAGACGCGCCTTCAGTTTCAGCCGCCTCTAGCACCGCAGAAGTCAACCGGTACCCCGCGCCCAGCTGGGCGAAAGTCACAACCTGGCCTGGATGCGGCGTCGAAGCAGCGACAAGCCGAGCGCCGACGGTGGGTCTCGTCACAGGCGGGCGACGCGCGATGGTCTTGATGTCGCGCGCGGTGGCCGACGACATGGAGTTGGCCAGTGACCTGCGCGCTTTCTTGTACAGCCGAGAGTGGGCAGGCCCCTTCGTTTTACGCACGCGAGGTGGCACCGGGGGATCGACTTTGCTGTGTGCTGAAGGCCCCGCCGATGCTGGATGGGCAGACTGGGAAAGTGAATATGTCGATTGCAAAGGCGAGTATGCAGAGTGCGAAGGCAGCCCCGGATATCTGAGCGTCGCAGGTGTCGCAGCATTCAGATCCGTCGAATGATAGGGTGCCACGAACCGCAGGGGCGTCGGACGAGGAATGCGATCCCTGTTCACGCAGACACCCAAGCCTGTAGGACCGTTAGCGCAAGCGACAGTCAGAGAAGGGCGAGAAATCTCACCCATTGACGTGCATTCACCGGATGTCAATGCATTTGCGGGTGCGAACACCGCCATCTCGTCACATCCCTCGGGCGTGGAAGGTGCAGACGAGGGCGACCTTGTTACGGGCGACCTATCCACCTGTCCACCTCCACCTTGCGAACCATACACAGCTTGGCCCTTCGTGATTGTCTGCGACACCGCCTTGGATGTCGACTCAAGTAAGCCCTGCACCCTCGACGCGTATGGAGATCGGGCTCGGTTCTCGACGAGCAATGGCGCGGGCGAAGAGGGCGGAGACGGTCCATCGACGGGTACATCCTCAAAGAAAGGCAGCGTGGACAACGCCGGCGATCCGGGTTCTGTGGGCGTGGTCGGAGGTTCTTCTGGTGCTGCTGATGGGTCTACGGGAGGAGTCAGCTTGGTATTTGAGTCCTGAAAGAGATCACTCTGCGTACCATCGTCTCCTCCTTCATCCTCGCTGAATTCCATCGGCATCTCTCCATCGTATCCATCGTCGGTTCTCACTCCCTCTTCTTCATCATCAATTTGCGAGTCATGCCCGTCCCTTCCGTCGATAACCATTCCCGAGTCCGTCTCCTCGTTGTCTACCTGCATCTCCTCCTCGTCTACCACGATCTCCTCCACCCCACACGTGATCGCCGAGTCAGCAGATGTGGCTGGCGAGGCAGGCGTCCAGCCAGCCTGATCGGCGTTGTAACGTGAACGATGCGTGCCGTTAGAGGGCGACTTGTTGACAGCTTCGTGGATGATGGCATCGACCTCGGACCACGACGAGGAACCGTCGTATACAGCCCCGAATGAGTCGTACGCAGCGCCAGATGAGTCGTACGCAACGCCCGACGATGCATGCGGGGTGGGCGAGAGAACGAGTGGGCTCGGCGACCGGACGGTTGGCGTCAAGTTCCTGTTTTTATCAAACTGGTCTACCGCAAGATCCTCAAGACCGTCTGTCGCAGGGTCCTCGGATTCGTCGACGCTAGGCGAACATGACTCGTCAAGGCTTGGTGGAGGAGATCGCCATGGCGACGCGCAGGGCGTGCGTTCGATTCTGTCGATGAGCGATGTCGATTGAGTTTCGGGAGGGGAAGCTTGGGACGGTGGCTCTACAGAAGGCAGCGGCTCTATCCGGTCGATGAGGAATATCGAGGCGCGACGAGGCGCGATCCTATCAACTAGCCGAGGGGCGTCGATCCTGTCGACCAACCGACGAGGCGGCGCGGGCGATGAATGGCGACGTGCGGAGGATGTCGAGCGCCGCGTCAGCGACGGCGGCAGCACCGCGTCTACCTCCGCACTTGCGACTTTTGACGAGCCAGCGCTGCCAGATCGAGCGTCACGAACACGGGCGGCCTCTGCTTCGAGGGCGCGTTTCTTGGCCTCCCAGACCTGCTGCCGTAGTTCCTGTTGCTGTGCAAGACGGACGACCTCCGGGTTGAGGTCGGGAGGTGCGCATGCGCTCGTGTCGTAAGCACCGCAGGCACTGGCACCAGTTGGGGGGCATGTCTGTGCATTGTTGCGGGAGGTCACATGCTCGTCGTGGGTCTGCTCCTCTGCGTCGTAAGGGCGCCCGTCTTGCGACGCCGAGGGAGAGCGGCTGTCCTTGTCGGGAGCGGCAAGAAGAGCGGGAGAGGGGGGTCCAGGAGAGTGATGAGCGTGATGGCGAGCAGTGCTGTCCTTCCTGATATGCGCCGGCCTGACGAGGGAGCACTCGTCGAGGGTGATATGGTCCTGGATGTCGCTGACCGCTGACCGATGTTCAGCGAAACCGAAGGGCGCAGCCTCGTTGTGAGATGCGTCCTGTGAGGGACGAGAAGGATAATGACGGACACAGCCGTGGCAACTTGTAGGCCGGGAGGCGATGAGGGCATCAACGGGGACGTCCCCCACCCGCTGGTCTTGTGTGGGGCTCCATGGCCCAGGATTCACCGCTACCAGCGCGGAGCTGGACGTATCTCGCGTTAGGACGGACCCACAGACACCAGAAGACCTATCGTACCTGGATGACGGAGGAGTCGCAGTCGTCAACTGGTCCTCCGCGAGCGCAAGCGCAGCGGAGGCACTGTCGACGCCGTGCTTGATCGTCTCCAGGACACGGCGGGCGTGAGCGAAGCGTTGTCGAGCAGCGTCCGCGGGATGCACTTCCGTGTGTCCCGCGCCGTGCAGAGCATGGAGGGCGTCCCGAGCAAAGACGATGCCGGGGGGAGGTCCTACGGCGGCCATCGCGCATGACAAGCGGTACGCGTATTCGTCCCACGCCCCCGCCATCCAGGTCGCCGCCGCCGCTCTTTGAGGGCTGCTCATTCCAGCTATTCCATCTCGGATATCGTCGACGCTAGGCATTGTTGCTTTTTGGTAAGTTATTGAAGGGGGGAGTCGATGACTTGATTTCTTCGCTTCAGGGGGTAGATGAGGGATGGAAGAAAGGGTGAGACCCAGGCGCGTCTGTAATTAGTAGATCGCGCCCAGTCACATCACGCGCGAATCGTTACGAGCGCGCGTCAGCAGTAGTCAGAGCCATTGAGTTCGTCCTTATCACTGGGCTTGGGAGTGGCGCACAAATCTACAGGAGAACGTGCGAGGTGGGGCGCAGGGCGATTATAGAATCATTACCTTGGCCAATGGGCTCGGAAGAGAGTGTCAGGTGCGTCGTTCTCGGTCAAGGGCGAACAAGAAATGGCTATGCGAAATATAGATGGGTTGATGTCCTTGTCTAAGATTATTCTGAGGCGCAGTCGCAATTGGATAGATAGGGCATAGGGTTCAACGAGCTCGAGTCTTGGCTATGCGGTGTCTCGAGAAAGAAGAGAAGAAAATCGAACTGGAACTTTGATCGTGTTTGCGGCAAATGCCGGGCCACGCGAGCAACCAGCCAGAGACGGCGAATGCCGCGATCCATCCCCTTGCCCATTACTTTCACCTTGCCACCGTGGATATGGCCGTCTCAATGCCTCCCTCGTCTATGAGACGTCTTTTCTTGAGCCAAGAACTGGAATCGCTCAACCCAACAGTTATAACTCGGGGATCCAGGTCATCATCGTTGCAAACGCGTCTCCCTTAGGCCAGGCAACGATAATCCCCTCCGGCCTTCGTCCCAACACTTCTCAACTCTCAAGGGCTGTAACTACTAGGAGACGGTGACGAGGCTTGATTCTAGAGGGAGCCGAGAGAAGGGCAAGGGCGCCTGCGTGCGTATTCGCGGTCTTGCTTGATAGCATTCGCTGACGCGTGTACCGGTGCACAGGCTTGTTTCCAGATGTCAGTCTTCCATCCTTGCTGCAACGGAGCCGTCTTGCCGGCGCGGTCTTCAGCCCGATCTCTTCGCCAAGGACTTTGCCTACGCCTACTTGAAGGGAACCAACATCCCTTCGCCATCTGAACCCCTTGCGCGTCGCTCCGACGCTCGTCGACGCTTTACGCTAAGGAATCACCGCTTTCAGCCCTCTTTTCCATCGTCGATCTTGAGGGAACAGGGAACCCGGAGGCATGCAATCTGCCACTAGGCTGCAGTGTATCGTAGGCGATGCGGAGCCGTCCAGCACTTTGTTAACAGGCCTGCGCACTCCGACCCAATATCTTCGCTGGCCTTTTCCAGAAGCTATCGCCTTTGCGACCATCCGCAAAGTCGGGAAGCAAGTGTTCGGGCATATCAGGTACGGCTCGCCGTAAACGCAGCGAAGTTGTGCCTAACGCTCATCATAGACATGCTCTGTTCTACTCAGCCTCTGCAAAGGCTAGTCCATCTGGTGACGTGTTGGTTTGGTCAATGTTTGGCGGTGGTTCACCGTTGGTTCACCGTGAAGGGATCAATGGAGGCCCTCGAATGACCTCATTCATGCCGATGGCGTCCCTTTTACGATCCCTACCCTCCTTTCGTGGTTCTGCTATTGTTCTTGTGCTCTTCTCCCGCGTCCTCGTAAGGTCTGCAGATTCATCCGCATCTTCGACGCCTTTCTTCACAGATCGCGGGCATGTTCAGGGCACGAGGCGGAGGGGCTGGTCTGGAGACTGGCATTCGTCATGATGATGGGTGGATGGATGATGGGCGATTGGGCGCTCGCCATGCTCCAATCACTATCGTGGCCCTATCTAGACTCCGGCCTTTGAGCTAGCCTTACAGGCGCTTGTCCTGCAGGCCAGTCCTAGGGCACTGCCTCGAGAAGGCTTCGAGCGGTAGGTATGGCCTTGTGAGCGGCCAGACGTAGTTGTACATGCAGCAGGCATAATAAAACGTGTGCGGGGGTCCCGCGGAGAAACCGGCTGGGACGTCCGGGGGCCGGGGGCCGACCCCCTCATTTCTTATTTAAGGCTTGTCCTGAACGCTCATCATCTATATCCCCCAACTCCAACATAGAGAAGTCGCCGCCCGCCGCCCGTCTCGCAGATAACACAAACTCATGGGCGCTGGAAAGAAGGCGCAGCGCCATGCGAAGCAGCAGCAGTGTGAGTATCGCGGTGTCTAAGCGGCTCATCGTGTCGGACGTTGACCAAGCCCCTCTCCCCCTGCTCTCCCACGGATCTTCTCCCGCTTTGCTGCCGCGAATGCGAAATGATGCACAGTGCGCTCGCGGACTACGCGCTCGAGCAAGGGCAGGGTGCGTTCTCAATTTTGCGTCGCGCGCGCAGTCGTCTGATCACCTTGGCGACCAGGTGATCTCACCGTCGGACCCCGAAAACAATGGGCGGCTGCTCACCGAGCAGCTGCGCGGGCTGGGGCTGTATGCGGCGGACACGCTGGGCGACGGGAACTGCCTGTTCCGCGCCCTGTCCGACCAGCTATACGGCAGCCCCTCACGGCACGCCCTCCTCCGTGCCCGTGTATGCGATTGGATCGAAGCCCATGGCGAGCGCTACGCCCCTTTTGTGGAGGACGAGCGCGGGCTGGAGGCTCACTTGCGCTGCATGCGTGAGAACGGTACGTCCCCCGCTCACAGCGCTCGTGCCATTTGCTGACGGCGAGCAGGTACCTACGGCGGGCACCTCGAACTCTCCGCATTCGCTCATATGACTGGAAAGAATGTGAAGGTCATTCAGCCGGCGCTGGTCTACGTGATCGCCGCCAATGCCATGGACGACTCGGCGCCCGATGCATCCACCTCGACAGCCGAACAACAGTCCGACGAGGGCGCCGACGGGCTCTTGAGTGGGCGCGAGAAGCGGCAGGCTCGGCGGGAGCGGAAGCGGACGGAGAAGGACGCGCTACCCGTACCTACGCCTGATCCGAACGAGGGCGAGGTCCCCGACACCGTCTATGTTGCCTACCACGACTGGGAGCACTTCTCCTCCATCCGCAACTTGCGCGGCCCGCACTCGGGCCTGCCCATGGTGCAGGAGATCCGTCCAGAGCCCCAACCCGCATCGCCTGCAACGCCCAAGAAGAAGGTGCCGCGAGTGAAGCTCAAGCTGTCGAATCCGTCGACGCCAGCGTCTTCCTCGAAGCCGCCGTCCACCGTCGTCTCCCCACCGCCATCCATCGCACCCTCCTCCATCGCCTCCCTCGCCCAATCCTCCCTCAACTTGGCTTCGCCCGCACAGGTTCCGCTCCCCATATCGCGATCGCCATCTCCGCTGCACAGCCGCTCGCCGAAGCGCTCCTTCGACGAGTCGTCCCTATCCTCGTTGGAGGAAACGGAGAACGGCGCGGACACCAAACGTCGGCGGCCATCGCCGCTCGCACCGCTGCCCACTGAGGACACCGAGGATACGCCCGAGCTTTCGGCACCAGGCAGCGCATCTTCGCGCGAGAGCAGCGCGTTCTCGTCCAGTCTATCCGAGCTGACGACCGAGGAGGAAGAGGAAGAAATCGAGGAGGAGCCTCCCGCGCCGCCATCGCCGCCGCCCGTACCGCTCACCCAGCGGCAGCGGAAGAAGCTGAAATTGCCCAAGCAGCGGCCGGGCCAGCGCAGCGCGGGGACGATCGTCATCCCCGGCGGGCGGTTCAAGCGGCAGCAGCCCGTCGCGGTCGCGGCGCCGGACGAGGAGTGGGTGCGCAACGGCACGGGCCGCGTCGACGTGCGCGGCTTCCGCGAGCTGAAGATCTAGCGCTGGCGCCCCGCGCGCCTCACGACGTTCACGATGGTCACGAACTCTACCTACGTCCACCATTCGCTCTTGTCTCGTCCCGTCTGCTGCCACGATCTCCTCTACTCGTCACGCCTCTACCCGCACACGACGCACCGGTCTAATCGCATCGTCCACATCTGTATACCTGCGCATCCCTTCATCCTGCATTCGTACCCTACACCTGCACACGCATGTACGCACTATTCGCTGGCACACGCACGTACGCACTATTGCCACGCACGCATGTAAGCACTACCGCACGCACGCATAAAGCATAGCTGGACAGTCGCAATGCATAGTTTTTCTTTCTTCTCCTCCAGGGTCTGGGTAGCACTAGTTTGTATGTAGTATTATCTATTTATTGTTAGAAAGCTGTATCCCAGTGATCATACAAGGCGTGGGTGGCTGGCTTCCGGGAGCTGGGAGTACAAAACGAGAACAAAGGCCTGGTATGTCCGCCTGCGTATAGTAATACGCTATATACGGTTGAAGATCGCGTCGCGTGAGATACGCCTACATACGCCCACAAGTATCTCTCCAGAGCAACCTCCCACTCTCTGACCTCCGCATGCGCAGGACTTTACGAAGTTAGTTCAAGTTATAGTTGCAATGCCTGCGCTCGAGATCGACGGTTAGTAATTTCCAGGCAGACTCACCTTCGTAGACCAGCGCCCAGGTCAGTCCGCGGTCGCCGTGCTACATATGTGCCTCTCGATGACTTGCATCAAGAGAAATGAACAATAGTATCGCATAGACAAAAACTACAGCATACATTGGCATAGAATGTACAAGTCACATAGCAAGACGTGCGCGATTACTACGCTTTGTTAAAAGAGACGAGATTGGTCTTTTGAAACGGAACCCCGCCCGGGCGAAAGGGAGGGAAAGCCCGGGTGGAGGATATATACGAGAGAAATGGAGAACATAGGAATCGGAAAAAAGAGGGCATATGTCTGCGAAGTGCACAACGCGCCAGCGTGTCATGCATTGAAGGATAACGATTTCACAACCGTCACCGAAGGGATCACCGGCAATCTGCCAGCATCCCTATATGAGGTGGTAACACCACGTCCCAAATCGTCATTCTCCTCTGCAGCAGCAAGAAGGACGGTTGGACTGCACAAGGGCTCGACGACCTACGCCCACCTCACCCGCTTCGACGGTCGCTCGAGAGGGTGGTCGTCGTTCATGCGCCGCAGCTTGAGGATAGGAGCGACGCGCGTACCCTCTTCCTCGTCATCGGAGGGAGCTGGGATGCGATAGGTGCGACCCAGAGACGCGACTGAAGTTGACACTACAGGGGTCGCGAGGTGCGACGCGGATGCGGGGGATGGGCGGGCAGCGGCGGAAGGCGGTTGGACGAATGTTGGCGACGATGGAGCAGCGGCGGGAGACGACTGAGCAGCGATGGACGACGACTGGCCCGTTATCGCAGACGACTGCGTGGTAGGAGCGTTGGAGGAAGGCGACTGGGTCACCGACTTCGCACTCGCGCTTGACTTCGAGGCGGGGGCGGATGCAGACACTTTAGGCGAAGCGGCCTTCGCCATTGAAGCCCTTCGGTAGACGGACCGCGTCGTGCGCGGAGACCGGCGCAGAGGTTGCTCTGGCGAGAGGTCAACGGACTGATGCTGAGAAATGGGCTGAGGCTCGTCTGGCGACATCGGAAGGTAATCTCCGTGGGGGAATGTCCGCGACGGCACCTCTATCCAGAACGACTGCCCATTCGTCTGCCCCGAGGACGAGGATGAAGGCCCGACAGAAGGAGACGCTGACGAGCGCTGCCGCGATTTGGGTATCAAAGCGCGAGGTTCGTATCGTGGAGCGAGTTCGACAGGAACGAGCATCTCGTCTTTGACGTCTTCGGGCTTGGGCGCCGGCTCGTTCTCTGTCTTCACCACGGGCTCCTCCTCCTCCTTAATCTCGTCCGTATCCTCCTCCATCTTCACCGACTCAGCTGTGTGTTCATCCATCTTCATCGGCTCGTCCATCTCGTCCTCGTCCACCTTCAACGGTCCGATCGACTGCTCGTCAGACTTGACAAGCTGGTCCGCCTCCCCATCTTGTTCCACCTCCATCGTCTGCTCGATAGGCGCGGTCAACTCCGGCACTGGTGCAGGATTGTCGACGGGTAGGCCAAATATGTACTCGCCGAGCTTCGCCGGGTCGATGGGCGGTGAAGACGAGCCGTTCGACGCCGGAGAGAATATCGGACAACTGTCCAAATTCCGAGTCGGGAGGGGCGGAAAAGGCAAAGACTCTTTGCCTGTAGGCTCAGAGACCGACGACAAAGTGATGAGCGTCAACGTCGACGCAGCAGGCGCGGCAGGTGACGTCGGGAGGACGATGGATGCAGCGTGTGCAGGAGCCACCTCTTGCGCACGGGTGCTATGGTTCCTGTCGAGTGGAATAGTTGACGACAGCAACTCCTCGGCGATCTGCCTATATGTGCATCGAGGAGAGGTGTGCGGTCGCGTTTCCATCGTGCCGGCGTTGCGGTCGTCAGACATCGACGCTGAAAACGCCTGGAATCTGGGTGCTGAGGACGCACTGTCCGCGCGCGATGGAAGGGGCCCTGAGTTCCTCGGAGATATGCTGGTGTCGTCGATACTCGAAGGGGTCGTCGATGGAGGCAGCGGCGTGGTGATCTGAGGTGCAATGATCGTCGTTGTCACGGCTGGGGCGACAGATGGAGTCGTCGGCTCAACGGGATCGCCGACCACCATAGTGTCCGAGGGTAGGTTACCAGACACTAATGTTTCGCCCACACCGACTGACGTAGCTTCCTGTGCGGTTCTAAGGGTTGTCGAACCAGGCGCGGAGCTGGCGAGCGTCACTGGCCTCGGGGAGGCAGTCTCGAGTCGATGCTCAGAGCTGCGCGCCCCTTCGACCCTTAACGAGCCAGCTGAGGCGATTGTCCGTGAGCTAGTCGAGGTGAACTTGCGCGAGCTAGCCGAAGCGGTCCGTACAGAGGCCGCCGCTATAGGCGCTGTCCCCGCTTTGCCGGTAGGCATGACGTGCGGTGGGCCGGCATTGCACGATGGAGTCTTGCTTGGCTCAACGGACCTGGGCGCGCGCGCGGTGCGGCGCCCACGGGTCTCATCGTTCGCTCGCTGGGAGGAAGCGGCGATGTAGGACTCATCAACGGGAGGCCCAATCCTGCCGACGAGAGGGGCGGGCCTCATTCTCTCGATCAGAGGAAGTCCCGCATACTCGGACGGCGGAGGTGTAGACGGTGTCGGGGACCTATCCCGCGGAGACCGATTCGACGGCGATAGTGACTGCGGAACGTCGCGCTGAGACGTGCTGAAGAGGCATGCGTCGGGGGACAAATCGCGCAGTCGGCTGAGCAGAGCAGGAGGGGGGGATGTCTGCCGACGAGTTTTCGGAGCACGCGATGAGTGCCCTTTGGTCCCATCGTCTTCGCGAGTCGGCATGGCATCCTTCGACTGCCATGCACGCTTCTTGTCCTCCCAGACCCTCCGCCTCTGCTCCTCTTGTTTCTGTAGTGCACGTGCGTCGTACGCAGCATTGTCCAGAGAAGTCGAAGGCGTGGTCCGGTCTGATCGCTGGAGTGAGCCCGAGGCCCGAGCGACCACTACGTTCTTCTCGTCTTCTTCGCGGCCTCCACTGAACGTCCCATCCCGATGTTCGGCGGTGCCCATAGCCGAAGGCAGAGGGTTCATCGTCCTTCCGTTGACAGGAGTGCCCTGCATCCCGTCTGCCATGACCTCGTCCTCGACTAAATGCCCAGGCGCGTTGGATGTAGGTACGACGACGGCCGTGGGAGTCGGCGTCCGCGAAATATGAGGGATGACATCGGGAGGGGAGGGGGACGGACTTGATTGATGGGCAACGGTGGTGTTCGAGCCCGCTGCTGCGTCTGCGTTGCATTCCGGACCATCCACAATAAGGTTCCCCAGAACGGCATCTGAACCGTCCACCAGCGAATCCGAGCGACCTCCGTCCGAACGAGCGATAGGTTGTCCACCGTGCGCCAGGTTGGCACGCACGTAATTGAATGCCGCCCGAATGAGCTCCAGTCTGTCCTGAGGGATGGCCGGCATATGGCTCGTATCGATGCGGAAGGGCAAGACGTCCAGCGTGGCATCTTGGGCGGGTAGAGCTGGATACGGTGCCAGATGTGGGACAGCGCCCACAGAGTGAGGAGTGACGCCCACTGGAGGCGGCCCAACAGCAGCGAGGGCATCCATTGCGCGGTGAATCCAATCCTGCAAAGCCGCTGACACTTCCCCTCCATGCATGCCTCCATGCGCCTCGTTTTCCGTTCCCAAGAATGCCGACACGGGTGCCGCCTGGTCGATTTGATGTGGAATAGTTTCCGTCGACATTCCGTCTGTGGTGGTTCCGTAGATGATGGTGTTGTGGATATATGAAGGTGAAAATTCGAACAACAAAGGGACCAGAAGAAAAGAAGAAGTACAGGGCAAGAGGAGAACAAGCTTGCACGTAGGTGAGTATACAAAAAGTGTTACAGAGTGAGGACAACAAGGAAGGAGACTGAAAGCCCGATATAGGCAGAGAATACGGGAAGAAACGAGCAATTCACTGATGAAGAGGAGATCCGAGACGATATACACGTTCTCGAGGGCGATTGCGTTAATTCCTGGTGTTGAAGTGGGTTCAGACGGATACGAATGAGGAAGAAGCGATCTCGGTGAAGGGATGAGAACAGGTTGTGTGTCTTGCGTTCGTCGGTAGTGATGGCGAGAGGTAAGTTGCGTGTGCGGCCGTTTCTTACCGATGTCACGGTCCTTATATGTGTCACTGTCACATTTATCCCGGAGCCTCCGGTGGTGTCTCTCGACCGGGCCGGCAGACTTCCACTACAGTGCATGTCGAAGAGCGCTGTAATGGAATGCCTGGCCGACGTGCAGACATCGACAGCACAAATTATATGCAGTGAGTACAGACAACGGACGCTATGTGGATGAAAGTCTTCGGCAGCTGCGCACGAGATAATAGGGTAGTTGATAGTATACTATAGTACATCGTCTGGTCGAGAGGTGCAGCATAGCAGCGTGAGCTCAGGGCAGCAACTTACGACGAAAGGGTCATGAGTGAAGAGTACTGAAGGTTATGGGGAGTACCTAGGGTCACGACGAATACCTATAATTCTGCGCATCCCTCCTCCCGCGCTCGACGTTCACGGTCATGAGGATAGGCAGTGCGAGCCAGATCATTACGATGAGGAAGAAGAACGCATAACGGATGTTACCAGTCACATCAGCGATGAAGCCGACAACGAGAGGGCCGACTACAATATGCGGTCAGCAAATGCATAAGCAAAAACAAGACTTGGAAGGCTCACTGAACGAGCTCGACTTGTCCGTGATGGAGAAGAGGCCGTACCTGCGCCGAACGTCAGTCTAAGCAGAGGTACGCACACTCTTCGCACTTACCACCTAGCCTCCTCCCCTGGCGGCAACAACTCCGCATAAAACGCCCTTGCATAACTCTGGAAGGCCCCATAAACCGAGCCAAACACGACTGCCAGCCCATACATCTCCCCCGGCGTTGTCAACCCGCCGACCTTCATCCCCGCGAACCCAATGCACCCATACGCCGGGATCAGGCTCACGCCCACCACCAGCGTAATGAGGACCCGCAGATTAGACCACCCGAGCCTCCGCTGCACGACGGGCCACACGAGCGCGCCGGCGATGCCCGACAAGGGTGAGAGCACGCCGATGATGATGAGAGATGAGGGCGGCATATGCAGGGACGTCTTCGCGAAGAGGAGCGCGGTAGACGTGATGGTGGTGAAGGCGTCGGACAGGAGGAACCAGGCGGCAAGGTACTGGAAGGTGGTGCGCAGCTTGGCAATCTCGGTGGGGCGGAGCATGCCCCCGAGGCGGCGCCAGGCGGCCAAAATGGCGGGGAGGAGGGTGAAGGGTGGGCCGTCGAAGGCAGCGGCAGAGGTGGGAGGTGGAGAGGGAAGGAGCGCGCCTGCGATTACGGAGAATACCGCCCACCAGACGCCACTGAGCCCGATGGCGAGGCGCAGCGCCCAGGTAGAGCCCTTGAGGAGGGTGACGGGGATTAGTGCGAGAATAAGCATAAGGATGCCTGCACCGTAGCCGAAAGCGATGCCCATAGACGAGATACGCGACGTCGTGCGCGAGAGCTCGGCTTCGTAGCGGGCATTACGCTTCGGGCCATTCGTAGGCGAGGACGGCGAGTCGTCCGTGGGGACCGGAGGATCGAGAAGCGGAGAGGCTTCGTCGTCTGCCTGCTGTGCGAGCTGCACAACCGACGGTGCATCACGTCCGAGCTCGGGCAGGTAGGCATTCATGGCGACGACGCTGGCGCCGAAGCCAACGTTGGCGAATATACCAAGGACGGCGCAGAGCCACCATACAGGAGATGTAGATGGCAAGAGGAGGAAGCAAGTCGCGGAGAGCGAGCCGAGGAAGGCAAAGAAGAGGAGCAGAGGTTTTCGGTGGGGAGCTGTAAGTAGGTTAGTAAGGTTCAGGCGGGGAAGTAGCATGCGCACCATGATCTGCTATACCGCCCATGGAGATGACGGTAAGCGCCTGCAGCGCAACTGACATTGAGTTGACATAAAGGCTAAGTCTCGTGAGCCTTGAGAAGATTCAAGCAAGCTCGACCTCACCTGAAGCTCGCGCTATCCACCCAAATCCAGCCGATCTTCACAACGCAGCGCGCTGACTCCTCGGCCGCGCTCGTTGTTGCGCTGAAGCACGGCTCCGTCTTGTCTGGCAAGAGATAGCCATTGTCCCTTGCGAACTGCTCAAGTGCGACGGGCAGAAACAATGTCAGGGACACAATTACGAAGACTTCACTGTGCCTCAAGTTAGCAATGCTGCATGCCATGCATTTGGGCCGCATACCTCGCAAAAGCATATAGCAGCCAGCCATAGAGCTTCCTCTTGTATATATCTGCCAGGAAGGACGTCATCCTGACCAACTCAGATGGACATGAGAGCAGGAAGCAAGCAGCCGCGGGCTTCCATTTGTGGAAGTCTTTGTTCTTTGCCAGGAACCGGAAGTAGTTTCGAAATTGGAAGGTTTTGTTCTTCTCTTACTTCTTGACATCATGGCCAACCTTCAGGACAACGTCCGCTCCCTCCTACGGCCCTCTGAGGAGGTCCGCGCAGTTCTAGAGATTACAGAGATACCCGATTCCGAGGCTGGATCGAGCGTTACCCAGGCGGTGGACGATCCCAGGAACAGGCGCGTCGTCGCCGTCGTCGCTCACAAGGAAAATGGCCTGAGCGTAGAGGAGGGCAGGTGTGTGACTAAAGCCGCTCCGGAGAGCCTCCTCTGATGACATGCCTAGCGTCTTCATTCTCAAATTCCGCCCCGTCGAGGGATCACCGAACGATGTCTCCGAGGAGCTCGAGGTGCAGCGAGTATACCCCATCTCGGAAGACTTCAGCGTCCGCATGTCCCAGATGAACCGCAACACGCTCAACCTTGGCTCGGATGGGCGACCGTCGCTGCAACCTCGCGCAGGTGCGTCTCCTGCTCGGTCCATCCTATCGCAGACTGAGCGCATTCGCACAGGGATCAACGTCACCATCGCCCCCGGAGGGCCCGATGCACGCGCCCTCACGCTTCATACGCAAGATAGTGCCGGTTTACGAACGATAATCCAGGAGTATAAGCGATTACAGGCTGCTTCTGCCGCATCTCAAGCCACCATCCAGACCTTCTCGTGGATCGCGCCCTATACGCACGCGCGGGCGACCAAGAAGAGTACGGCCCATCTGTTCCATCCTATTCCACCCTCACTTAACGATCCTTAGTCTCTCATGCCATACCCCTCGACCTACGAACCCAACGGGCGCCACTGGACTCACGCCTGTCCCCCGCGAGCGCCGGCATGCCTGGCGACGACGTGTCCGACATCAACATCCTACGCGATGATTGGCTTCGCCGAGAATCTCGCCGAGCCTCGCTCAAGGGCAAATGCAGGCTGAAGTGAGTCTCCCTTCCCCACCGAACCTAGTAACGGCTGCATGGCCCTCGCGATTCTCCCTCCCTCCCTCACATGCATTTTGGGACTCACTCTCCACAGCATCCGTATCGGCACCTTCAACGTCAATGGAAAGAACCCCACGCAAGACCTCTCTACCTGGGTCCGACCCTCTTCCAAGGAAACCAAGCGCTCGACCGCAACGCTCCCCCCTATCGAGGGCGTCTCTCCTCTCTCCCTTGGCGAAGTTGCTCGCAACCCTATCGAGGACGCTGGTGCCGCAGGAACGGACTCCCTCTCTGCACCATCGGCGCCCTCTATATCCGGCACGACTGTCGTCGAGGAGCCAACATCGATGAAGGAGGCTACTGTTCCTGCTGACCCCGACTCCAGCGAGACCGACTTATTGGTATTCGGCTTTCAAGAGCTGGATCTGTCGACTGAGGCATTGTTGTACTCGACGAGCACTGCGAAGGAGGAAGCGTGGCTGAAAGCGATCTTCGCGGCACTTGGGGAGGAAGGAGACAATTACGAGAAGGTGAGGGGCGGCTTGTTGTCCGCACATCAGTCAAAGCAGACCTTAGGTGCCTTATACTATGCTCGCCAGCTGACAACTTTCCGTAGCTCGCGTCGAAGCAGTTGGTCGGCATGCTCATCATTATAGTTGTGAAGAAGCGGCTGCGACATTGCTTTGGGGATATCAAAACGAGCGCGGTGGGTGCGGGGATCATGGGGATCATGGTTAGTCGTATTTCCTATATCTATCTAGTAAGGACATTCCCTAATGATCATAGGGCAACAAAGGCGGTACAGCCATCCGCGTCCAGTTCACCCCGCCCTTTAATCATGCCGGGTCTAACGAGAACCCATACGGCCCCGTCACCCTTACCTTCGTCAACGCGCACCTCGCCGCCTTCGACGAGATGGTCGATAAGCGGAACGCGGACTTCCATGATCTATCAAGGCGGTTGACGTTTGAGCTGACCCCGGAGGTGGTGGCCACGAGTCCGTCATCGGCTTCCTCCGGGCTACCAGCCTCTGCCTCGTCGTCTTCGTCAACGAGTGCTACTCCATCGTCCGGTCTGCCGAGCTCTTCATCTTCCAGCGTCACCGCCTCGGCATCAAGGACCACGGTGTCAACCTCGTCGTCAAAAGATAGCAATGTCTCGCAGACCTCGGTCAGCACTGCGACGTCCTCGGCGACGTATGCGGTCTCGCCGGCGCCGCCGCAGCAAGTGGGTGTCTTCGAGTCGGATGCTCTGTTTTGGATGGTGAGTCCTGTGTTGCCTAAACGGAAGGAATACTGATCAATTGCATCTCGAAGGGAGATCTGAACTATCGAATCGACCTGTCTGACTCGGATGTCCGAACAGTACTGGCATCGAAGCACTGGACGAACAGACTAGAGACGCTATACAAATACGACCAGGTGCGCATCCTCCCTGGTTCATTCTGCCTCTGCTCCCTGAAAACTTTATCTTTCTTACGGACGCACTTGCTCCCAGCTACGAACTGCCATCAGCAACCGCCGTGCTTTTGAGCCCTTCGCCGAGTTCCCGATTACACACGTGCCGTGCGTAGTATGCATCCTGTCTCCAGTCAGGTCGATATCTCATATGTCCTTAGGACCTACCGCTTCAGTTCAGGCGTCATGACAGACGAGTTGGGATACGACATGAAGTACGTCGTACCTCTCTTCTTTAGTAGAATGTAGCGCTGACAACTCGCCCTCGGCAGACGCCGTCCTGCCTGGTGCGACCGCATTTTATACCTCGACTCTGCTGCTGCCGCAGTCGAGCAATACTGGTACAGTGGCGTGCCTGGTATCACATTCAGTGACCACCGTCCGGTAGCTGCGGCTTTCCACGTCGATGTGAGTAGCCGCCGCGTTGGTTTCGCTAGCGAAGTACGCTGACTCGACCTTTCCATAGGTAGACCTCTACGAGAAACAAGCTCAGGAGCGCGCCTCGCGACACCTGCATCGACAAGTGCACGTCTTGGACGTGATGGACGAGGTGCACGATCGGGCCGTGGTAGTTGTCGAGGGGGGTGCGGTCAACTTTGGGAGCTTTGGGTTAGTGCGCAGTACGTGCTCGTGGTGGAACCTGTCTGACGGTCTTTAAAGCTACGGCCAGGCAATTCACAGGGAGCTGACGATCCGAAACACCGGAAAGGTGCGGCACTATTGCATCCCCAAGTACGCGTACTGACCACGGCTTTAGATCCCCTGCGCCTTCCGCTTCGTTCCGCCTGCTCCTGGATCTCCCAGCAGTAAGTCTTGATTCCTGTCGCCCTGATCTTCCCCTTCCTCAGCGAGACCTTCTTCACAGCACCCCACTGGATCCGCCTCAGCCTCTCCGCCGGCCTGCTTCTACCTGAAGAGAAGACCACGGTTACCCTCACCGCGATCATCGACAACGAAGCTGCGGCGGAGCTCAATCAGGACCCGCGACGCGCGGAGGAGACGCTTATATTGCATGTGTTGTGTGGGAAGGACCATTTTATCACGGTGGGAGGAAAGTATGGTGAGTGGGTCATCTCCTTTCGCGTTGTTTTGCTTGCAGGATACGCTGACCCTTGCGTCTCAAAGAACCTACCTGCTTTGCCAACAGTCTGACGCGCCTGACGCGCATGCCTGGCCCCATCCGGGAGCTTAAGTCCAACAAGGATTTACTATTGGAAGAGGAGGCGGGGCATGCGTCGAAGGAGGTGGCCAGACTGGTCAATTGGCTGATGTCGAATGCGACGACGACGGTGAGTTTTCTCGGTGGAAAAAGAGTGGAGGCAAGCAACTGAAAATCTTCAGCCCGACCTCTTCTTCGGGCCTACAGAGTCCGGGCTCGTGAACACCATACGATCAGTCAGTTACCCAACGTATGTGTCACGTCCGTTCCCTGACTTATTTCTTCTTAGTGTCTCGACACCGGCGCTCCCTTCCCTGAGCCCAATCCCGCCTCACCGGCTACGACTATCGCCAACCCGCCACCGATTTCTACCGCATCCTCTCCATCTCCGCACACCCTCTCCCGCGCGTTCGCTTCCACATTGCTTTCCCTCCTCGCCTCCCTCACTGAGCCAGTCGTACCTTACCCGCTGCACGCCCGCTGTGCAAGCGTTACCAGTCGCGACGAGGCTTTTGAGGTTCTCGAGGCGCTGCCGCCGGCGTCGGTGAATGTGTGGATTTCGGTGACTGCGTTCTTGCACTTCATATCGCAGGATGGGGAAGGCGGAACAGGTGATGACGGTGGCGAGGAGGTAGGTGAGGGGGAGTCGGTGGGCGATGATATAAAGGGAGAAAGAAAGGCGAACAGCAAGGAGGCACGACTGATGCGACTGGGTATGTTTTTCGAGATCTGCGTACAGGACAATGTTGACAATAGACTTCTCAGCGACCTTATTCCACCCTATCCTTATGCCGGATGACCCCAAGGCGGCTGTTGCTGTTTCGCCTGTGGGCAGGTGTCGGTTCTTGCGCTTCTTCATAGAGTGATGTACAGTAGACTCGGATGTCGTTTGGTAGCTTTGATCAGGACGGAATTATTTATAGGGTATATATGCGGACACTTCCTATTACACGCCCTTTCTCGTGGACACCCTGGACCGTCGTTACGAGTGCATGAGAACCGAGTCGAGTACGTCAGTGCATGAACCATCTGCGGCTTGGAGCACATCGTTCTGAAAATGCACGGACGCGGTGAACCCATGGTACTGAGGTCCGGCGACATATCTCGAGGTATGAAATACGTAGTTATCATCATCCGTGAGACTCATATTGGAAACATTGAATGAGCCAAAGAGGTGTGAAGGTTTCTCGCGTACCCTTTGTCGTAGAGTGACTGTGACAGATCACGTTTTGAATTATACTTGTACGAACACCTACTCTTTTCCCGAACGCTCGTCTGTTTTGCAAGCACGGTCGTCCGCCGTCCTTCCGTCTGAGCTCCCGCCTTCTAGTGAAGGAAATCCCCTGCAGAGGTCCCTCGGTCGGCCGCTTGCAAGTAAGAGATTGAAGAATATACTTACCCTTCTACGCGTCTATCAATCAAGCATTCCCGAGACTTCAGCGCAACCTCACATTTGCGCAGCTCCTCATTGGCCTTTGTGTCCGCGCAGGGAAGTTCGACTCCAGGCACCCCTCCGCACGCGACAATCACGCGATTCGGGCGCCCATCTCCGATCGGTCAATCCCCCGCCATCCCCGGCGGATTCACCGCGCTCCTTGTTTTCCTCCACCACCATGAGCTCGACAGAAGGCCCCAAGCGTGAGCGCTTCTAGTCTTTCGGAGAGCCTTCACTGACGAGGACTTCCCATCCTTCCACTTTCCCCTGTCCAAAATGATCACACACGACCATGAACAGCGCTCCCGTTCATCGCGAACTTCGCCGCGGGCGCTATAGCTGGGATCTCGGAGATTCTGACCTTCTATCCTCTCGGTGCGTGCTCGTCTTCTCCCTATATTTCCTAGCTGACCCGCCCTCCCAGATGTGGTACGAATAGCATCCGGTCCTAACGTCATTGCGAGTTCTGACCCGAATTCCTCCTCCCCCGCTCCCCCGCCTCCCCATGCTCCCTCCTCGCTCGCGAACGCGTAGGTCAAGACCAGGCTGCAGCTCGCGACTGGAAAGTCCAATGTCGGGCTCATCGGGACATTCCAGAGCATCATCAAGGAGGAAGGGTGCGTAAAAGCGCTCCAGCATGCGTGCATCGGTGTACCTGACGCGATTTACCCTGCAGAGTGGGCCGCCTGTACCGTGGCCTCGTCCCCCCACTTCTCATGGAGGCGCCCAAGCGCGCGACGAAGTTGTGCGTATGACGTCTGCGGGCCGAATGCGCGGAGGCTGAGGATGCTTTAGCGCCGCAAATGGTTTCTGGGGGAATACGTACATGAAGTTGACGGGCGAGACGAAGATGACCCAGTCCTTGTCGCTGCTTACTGGCTGCAGTGCAGGAGCGACGGTATGTCGAATACTACATCGTATCGCGGGGCATTCCTTTGACATCGCCCAATCAGGAATCTTTCGTCGTCGTTCCCTTTGAACTGGTAAAAATTCGGTACGTGTGGCATTCCAGTCTTTCGTTCCCTCCCTCCCTACCGCCCTTCACCTGACCCCGCGCCCGACTCGCACCCGCTCACACGACCCCTATATATAGCCTTCAGGACAAGACCTCAACCTACAAGGGCCCAATGGACGTCGTCAAGCAGGTCGTTAAATCCGACGGCCTTCTCGGGCTGTACGCGGGCATGGAGAGCACGTTCTGGCGTCACTTGTGGTGGAATGGCGGGTACTTTGGCTGCATCTTCCAGGTCAAGGCGATGCTTCCAAAGCCCGAGACGCAACAAGCAACCCTCATGAACAACTTGATCTCCGGTACTGTCGGTGGTCTCGTCGGCACGATGATCAACACGCCGTTCGACGTGGTGAAGTCTCGGATTCAGTCGCAGCAACGCGTGCCGGGCGTTGTACCCAAGTATAATTGGACGTACCCGGCGTTGGTGACGATCCTGAGGGAAGAGGGCCCTGCGGCGCTGTACAAGGGCTTCTTGCCGAAGGTCTTGCGGTTGGCACCAGGTGGTGGTGTGCTGTTGCTCGTCGTCGAGTTTACGCTAGGCGTGTTCAGGCAGGGTGAGTGCTTTTTGTAGTCTGCAGTGATGGATGGACTCACTAATGCATCCCGACAGCGCTCGGCCCGCCTTACATATAGAGCATCCGCTCTCATACCACCGTGCTGTATAGAGGGTCTATACCCTGCCACTGAAAATGGACCTACGCAGCCGTAGAGCGGCGCCACGGACGAGCCGTGCGAAGGCGGTTGAACCGCGTACGTGTAACTTATGGTGCTTGTACGAGTGCGTGTATGGGCGCCTGTGCCAGTCCGCGGACGAGCGCTTGCATGGACTTGTACAAGTACCCTGTACTGTGCGCTGAATGCGTGTCGGGTGGTCCGACCATCAGTTCAGAACCCCAGATCCTGTATTGACGATCGCACGCTTGGATAGTTGCGTTACTACCATAGTACACATTCAGATTACCACTGTAGCATAAAACGCATGCGGATGCCTCCTACGTATGGCGAAATGGAATACTTATTGTCAGTCCAGTGCTCTTGGGCATGAGCGTCGAAGACAAGGGTGCTTGTGGGTTGCCAACCGGATTTTGCCGGTCGCAAGTTGCCTTCGACTCTCATCCCCTTGCATTGTAGCTTCTTGGCTGGTCCCTGGGTGGGTTGCGTCTATGTGCTCATAATGCGGGGACACTATCCAGCGAACACCGCAAGGAAGCCTGTAATGGTACGTATCGTCGGTTTGAGGCTGCGCGTCCCTGCGTAGCGTGATTTCGGACTCATTCCTTTCACAGCTAGTTGCAAAACGATAGACGCCCCTCGCTCCCTCGCCCACCCTGCTGGCCACGCGAGATATGACGCCAGGCGCGCCACGCCGAGCCTCGGCGAGGGGGCAGCAGGCGCTCGTCGACGCGCTGCTCGTATACCGAGATGCGGAAGGCAGAGGAATCGTCGTCGCATTTGCGCAGAATCATTCACGCTTGTTGGTGTGTATCTGCAGCCTCCCTCAGCCTGCGTGTTGCGCCTCTGAAAGGCATTGGCGCCGTGGCCCGAGCGTACAGATGATGCGGAGGCGCGCTCGGACCAACCACGCGGGCTCCACAGCGTCTTTGCAGGGGGCGTCTATCGTTTTGCAACTAGCTGCAACAGGGACAGAAACAGATATGGGATAGTGTCCTGCACTCAGCCCATACACACCGCAGCTACTCCCACCGTCTATGGACTCGCTTCAACTGAACGAGGTATTCTTTCTCGATAAGGCATCTCCCGCATCGATGTCCACCACCGCCTCATCTGTATTCAAGGAAGTAAGCGCCGGATGATTGCTTCTCATAGCGCTTAATAGAGCGCCGGCGCAGCTAGCAGGCTGGCACTGCATGTCTTGATGACTCACTCGGACTGGTCGCGTATATAAGTGAGCGCAGCCACGACGCATAGGCGCTCTCAAGGCTCCTTGCCTTTCACCATCACCACCATGAGGGGCTTGCCGCTGGATGACCTGTCTACTTCCAATACAACCGCTCTACGCGATGCAGAGACGGATTCAACCTATGACGACCGCGAGACCGACGACCGTCTGCGAACCGTCCACTTAGGCGTCTGGACGGTGACTTTGGCGGATGGCGATGTCAAGGAACACAAGGATACTATCTTCTCCTACTTTGCTGTCGTCCAACGGATGTTTGTCGAGGTCTACCATGTCGATCCGTGGGCGGTCAAGATCCTGCTGTTGTCCAAGTTCTTCAGCGCCATCCAGCCGACGCTGCTTCTGTACTTGTTCTCAAGGCTTCTTGAAGAAGTAAGTTGACGGGTTCCAACCTCAAAGTAGCGTCACATGTTGCTGATGATGCTGTAGATAGAGAAGATCACAGTGAATGGGAAGGTCGACAAAGCCTCCATCTATCAGGCGATTTGTATGAGGCTAGGGTGTGTTGCAGTCGTTGCGTTGTTCGACTGGTGGTTGTGAGTGTTGCCAGATACGCGACACTTATGGGTCGCATGCTCACCTTCCCCAGTGACGGTACTTTTCCTCGATTGAAAAGCCGTTTACAACGGCATTTCAAGGCGGCTATGCTGGAGGGTTGGTGATATCAATTCTGCCACGTAGGTATCCTACTTACGATCGACCAGCCCAGTTACGGACCAACGTCCCAACTTCGCTCCGTGCGTGCTTTTCCCATATTTTTGCTGGCGAAACTGATTCTGTCTACAGGACCATCGAGCGCGGGCAATGTCTCGTCAAGAGCGCTCGCACAACACTTCATGGACCTCTTCAACCTTCTCGATAGTGCGATCAGCGCTGCAAGCTTAATCACCTTTGTTATCGCCTCCGCAAGCGCATCCGTCGGGGGCGGCCCACTCTTCCCTTTCCTTTGCCTCGTGAAGCCCTTGGTTAGCCATTTCGGGGGAAGGAACCTGTGGTCGAAGCGTGAGGAGGGCGCGCGCGTCTGTAAACCCCGGTCTCTGACGCGTGTTCTGCAGCTAACATCATGCACACCACGAATGAGCCCTTCCTGCGCATGGAGCGTTTGGCCAAGCTGGCTGAGCCGCAGCTTCGCGAGGAAGTCATAAGCGCGAACATTGGGGACTACATCATGCGTGGTGGGTTATACGAAGTATAAGATGCTCGGATGCTCCTAAAATGTTCACCTTCAGAGTTCAGAGCAGCCAGCGCAGCGTTGAGGCACGTTTCCGACGAACACCCGTTCATTCAATATTCCCTGCACCCCACACCAGCGCACGATGTACTCACTTCACTGGCCGGAGACCTACCCATAGTGCGTGTATCGCCAGTATCGCGATTACATCCACGTCAACTCGTCTTTCAGGTCTACTGCGTGTTATCCGCAGCTTTCAGCTCTGGCTCGACCTCCGTCTCGTCCGTCGCGATTCTCCAGCAGAGCTCGCAGACCTTTTTGAGGGCGGTGGCGATGACATTGTTTTACTTCAACCGTTTCAGAGAGTATGCGAATGAATTCGAGCAATATTACAAGGTGATAGAAGCACCTGTGAGGGAGAACGTGCTCGTGGACGGGCATTTGTCCTATCCGTTGGCGACTTCGAGTGATAAGGGCATGGGATTCGAGCTGAGGTGTGCGAAGCTCACAATCCACTGTTCGCCCATGCTTACCCAACCGCTGCAGGGATGTAATGTTTGCGTATCCCGGTGATCCAGGCAAACTAGCCCTTCGTGGTGTCAGCATCACTATTCGACCGGGACAGCTTGTTGTTGTCGTTGGTGCTAACGGAAGGTAAGCTCGTCTCCGCAAGCGCCTTTCGCGACCACATCTAAGCCGTCCAACTCGCAGCGGTAAAAGCACCCTCATCAAACTCCTCACCCGCATCTACGACCCAATTTCCGGCGCAATTCTCCTCGATGGCGAGCGATTATCCTCTTACCGCCAACACACCCTCCACCAGGCGACCGCTGTCCTCTCCCAAGGCCACCACCTCTTCCCGCTCTCAATGGGCGAGAACATCGGGCTCGGATGCGTCGAGCGTATGCATGATGAGCGAGCGGTGCATGCTGCAGCGCAGGCTGGGGGCGCGAGTGGCTGCATTGCGAAGTTGCGCGACGGGCTGGATACAATACTAGATCCGGATACGAGAGCATCTGGAAACAACCTACTGGGCAAGGAGGGCGAGGCGTTGAGGAAGAGGCTGGACGCGTTGGACAAGCCGGTGGAGGTGTCGGGCGGAGAGACGCAGCGGATCGTCGCGTGAGTGGGCGGCCTATGCAATTCTGCAGCGGAGAATGCCTTGTGCTAATGACTTGTAGCGCCCGGACCTTCATGCGCTTCAACTCGGGCAAAGTGCGCGCCGTGCTCGTCGACGAGCCCAGCTCGGCGCTCGATCCCGAAGGCGAGCTAGCGCTGTTCGACAACCTGCGCGCGGAGCGTGAGGGCAAGACCATGATCTTTGTGACCCATCGTTTTGGGCATTTGACGAAGTATGCGGATTTGATAATGTGCGTGGCATGGACGCCCTTTTAATCTTCTGCGGCTCACCGAACTCTCTATAAACCAGATGCATGAAGGAAGGGCAGATAGTTGAGCATGGGGTACTTAACGAGCTCGTAGACCTAGATGGAGAGTACAAGAAGCTGTATGATATCCAAGCGAGCGCTTTCGTCACCACGTAGAAGAGCAGTATCGCAAACAAATAGGACTTTTCACGGTTTAGGACCTTTTGTACAATATATTTAGCCTTCTAATACCCCTCATCATGTAGGACCTAGTATCGCGATGGGTTCACCGTCGTAAACCCGCCGTCAATGAGTATTTCCTCCCCGTTCAGATATCCTCCAGCCGAAGAGGCCATCCAGAGCGCAGTACCCGCCATCTCGTTCACGCTGAAGAAACATTCGTGAGCATCCATCCAATCCTCGGATACAGCACCTGTAGACCCCGACATTGATGACCGCAACGCAGAACACTCACCCTCCTGCACGCCCCATCGGTACCGGCTGCATCCCCTGTGCCACATTGTCCGCCCCGTTCTCCTGCAGCAGGTCCCGCGTCATCTCCGACTCGAAGACGCCGGGCGCGATCGCGTTCACGCGCACGGGAATTTTGCGGCGCGCGAGCTCGGTCGCGAACATCTTGGTGAGGTGGGTGTTGGCGGCTTTGGCGGCGTTGTACGCGAACTGGGGTGTGTGGTGAGTCAGTGTTGCTAGCTTGTTGCCGATATGCGGGCCACTAATCGACGATAGCCGGGCCACCGATCGTCGATAGGCCGCCCCTCGACGTAAATCAGCCACTCACATGGCCCTGCGAGACTTTGATGCTCGCGCTCATACTCGTTATATTAATCACGTTCGCCGTCCACGCGCCGTGCCTCGTCGCGCCCTCGGCCAACAAGCCCATGAACGCGCTGGTCACGAAGAACGGCGAGTAGGCGTTGATGGCGAATATGTCTTCCCACTCGCCCTGGTCCTCCTGGAAAAGGCCCATGCCGAAGGATTCGGGATCATGATTTCCTACCGAGTCGTTGTCGCTCATCCAATGCGAGCAAGGGCCCACTTGACCGGCATTGTTGACGAGGATGTCGAGGTAGCCGTCGGTGCGGGCGATGTGCTTTTTTGCGGTAAGAATTTCCCCTTTGTCGGTGACGTCCATGGGGAGGCTGGTTAGAGGTCAGCTCATGATAGACCGATTGACATTGAAAGGGTACGGTAGATTATGATGGGAGGTTGGAGAGCACGTACGGAATGATTTTGCCCTGCCACTTGTATTCCACCGCGCTCGCTGCCAAGACATCCTCTCTACGTCCGCCGATATACACCTTGGCGCCGTTCGCGGCCAGACCTCGAGCTATCATGAGGCCAACGCCCGTGCCGCCGCCGGTTACGAGTGCGACGCGGTCAGAGAGGTCGAAGAGAGCGAGGGCATGCATGTCCGTATAATCGGTGGTTGAGGTGCTCATTGTTGAATGCTGGGCAAAGATAGCGGTGAGAGGAAGACAGAGCGAAAAAGGCCAGCAGGTGAGGCAGATGGGATAATATTTCAAGAGGCGGCGAGCTCTTATATATGCGAAGAACGCGACTTACCACCGCTAGCTTGCCAGTGGTGGTGTACTTGACTCCTTGCTTAACGTAATCTGACGTCCACTATAGAGGCTATATCAGCTATCCCTTTACCTTGTTGTGTCGTCTACTGGTGCCGCAGTGCCAACCTCTTGATAGTAGTCGGTGCATCCAAGTGCAAATGAACTTCAAGTGAACTCGAGAACCGGGTTCATCCGATCGGAAAATTCTCAATGTGATGACATTGGAGCATTCAGATGTAGATATCGGGGGCTCGCAGCACCCCTTGACCGCAGTGTCAAGATTTCGACATGACCGTTTAAGACAAGTTCGAATTCAGGTCGGAATTGCTTTTTTGGCCCGGCTTCCGGTCCTGACTCGCGTGCGCACCGCGTGGCTCTTCTCCTTTCCTCCCTCCCCCATTGCCGAGCGCTGCACATCGCAGGCGCCGCCAGAGGAGGATTGGGATCGGTCTGCGATGGTGTATCTACACTCATGGCATGACTTCTCAGACGCCGCGGAGGCGCTATATGCCAAATCTCCCAACCATGTGCGTACCGTGATTCTGTGTACTCCTCGTACGAGGGGACTCGACGCAATCACCTCTCAAGCTGCCTAACGCCTTCAACTTGACTACTGACGCCTATTTCTCTCCACAGGCACGCTATGTTGTGAAGTACAAGCATAATGAGGGGAAGCTGGTCCTCAAGATCACGGATGACCGAACAGTGCGTTTGCCATCCATCTCTCCTTGATCTATACTAACGATGCGTTCTCCCCTCTCTGTCTAACTCTCAAACACTTCTTGGTCGAAATCTTCCTGTCTATCCTTCCCCCCGAACCGCTGCCTGTCACCTCTGTTATTCACACGATCACCTCGCACTCCCTTGTCACCCGATCGCTCGTACCGCGCGCCTGCCATAGTGCATCAAGTTCAAAACCAACTCTTCCGTCTTCCTCAATCGCTTTGAGGCCCTAAACCTCACCCTCATGCGCAAAATGCAGAATACGAAGCCCCCCGCCGCCGCCCCGCCCGCGGATGTCGAGATGCGCGAAGCTACGCCAGCTCCTGCAACGCCGGCGCCTGCAGCACCCGCGCAGATCACGAGCGCCGCGGGCGGCGGAGGGGTCAAGAAGAAGAAGGGGAAGAAAAAGAAGTAGTATGTGTGTATACTATGCCGATATATGCCATGTTATCCGCTTGGTATCTCCACTGAACCTCTTCGGAGCCCTTGGGACGCGATGGGCCGGTGATGTGACACTTCGCATTAGGATCGACCTCCAGTCGGTCTCGGCATGTAATCTGCTAACCTCAAGCTACGGTGGTAGGGCGCTGAAAGGCCTCCTTACGTTCATCCATTCCACCCTACGCCTGCCTTCTCTCAGAATGTCTTCCTCATCCTCGGACATGTGTGCCTCCTCCCTCTTCGACCTGACGGATCGCGTCGCCTTGGTCACTGGCGGAGGCACGGGAATAGGTTACATGATAGCGCAGGGGCTGGCGGCAAACGGCGCAAAGGTTTACATCTCGGGACGGAGAGGAGACGTCCTGGCGAATGCAGCGCGGGAATTCGAAGGAAAGGGAGAGCTCATTCCGTATGTCTTTGTCTTGTCCCTTCCTCAACGCAATTATTACGCACCACGTCTCCTCAAAGCCCTCCAATATCTTCCCTCCCCCCTTTCTCAAGCGCACAAATCAAGGTTGACCCGCCCTCAGCCTCCTCATGGACGTCACCTCCAAAGCCAGCATCCTCGCTGCCAAGGACATTATCGCCGCCGCCGACGGCCGCCTCGACATCCTCGTCAATAACGCGGGCCAGTCCGGTCCCCGCTCGATGTGGATGAGCGATGCGTCCGCGCCGCAGAATGGCGATGCGGAGGCCTTTGGGATGGGGTTGCTTGCGGAAGAGCAAGGCCCTTTCCCCTCTGGTACACCTGAGAAGAAGGGCAATTGGGCGGACCTATTCGCTATCAACACCCTCGCCCCATTCTCTGTAACTACCGCATTTCTGGGGCTCCTGGCGAAGGGTTCTGAGCGGCACGGCGCGTATTCGGCGAGCGTGATCAACGTAACGAGCATGAGTGGGACCCTCAAGTTGGCGCAGAATTTTGTGAGCGTGCTTCAGTCCTCGTTCCATATGCCCTACCTGCTCAAACGCCCTGATTCAGATGACATCTATTTCTGACATTCTGACATTGCTCCTCCTCCTGTAGTTCGCATATGGCGCCTCCAAGGCCGCCACTGCCCACCTCACCAAGATTCTCGCGACCGAGCTGGCGCGCCGCAGCATTCCCGTGCGCGTCAACGCCCTCGCTCCCGGCGTCTTCGAGTCGGAGATGACGAGGGCCAACCTGTACCTCAAAGTCACGGATGGTCAGGCGCAGAAGATCGGACTGCAGCCGGTACCTGCGGGACGAATCGGAGAGTGAGTGTTGTGTTACGGGTGGCTGCGCGACGAGATGGGGGACTGCGCGATGGATGAGCGCGCGATGGCATGTGGAACAGACGCTGACACGAGGGATCCTAGCCCGAACGAGATGGCCGGTACTGCGGTGTGGATGGCATCTGCCGCTGGAGGCTATCTAAATGGGCAGGAAGTACTCATCGACGGCGGGTGTACGACGACTAACCCGGCTCGGGGATAGGTGGCTAGAACCATTGAGTGAATCAGCAGTATTGAATGGGAGTTACATGCGTCCGGTGTCTATGAGGCGCCAGATAGTGTGAACGAGCTTGTGAGCAATATTCTACGACTCCGAGTGTCAAAGGTGAAGTTCAACATAACGCACGTGATGCATCGGAAAATGCCGGTTCGGTTCGAATCCGTCACGAAGCATGTCCATACTCACACCGTCGTGCCTTGTCCAACAAGCGTCGTGGCCGGGACGCCCTTCGATGCTCTTTTTATTCTCATCGAGTAGGTGATTTGAGACGCTCGTATTTTTACGATATTCCCTGAGCACGCGATTGACTCCACCAACCTTGGCTGCTAGTGACAACACGCGCGAGTGACGTGACAATACGTGTTGGACTTTACCATCATCTTCATCGTCCCTGAGAGGCTTTCTGACGCTTGTGCTGCGCCGAGAAACGATGGCTTCGACTCAATCAAAGACTGATCTACATGAAGAGACCATCCGGTTTGTCGATCTCCTGGCGAAGAACGCTAGGTTAGAGGATCGCCTGCCAGCCGACACGGACTTCTCTCCTGAAGAGATGAAGACTTTGCAGGATCAAGTTCGCAGAGATCCTCGCCGCAATATACACTAGCTTACGCTCTCACTCAGCTGCACTCTCTGGAGGCATATCCAAAGAAGGACCAGAGCCTCTTCTTCCTCGCCCTCTCCGCCCGGCACATCCCCGCGCTCGTCTCCGCCATCCGCACCACCTCGCGCGAGACACAAAACAAAGCGCTCTCTTCCTACATCCAGCTCCTCTCCCTCCTCCCCGACACGCACGTAAACCCTTACCTCCGCAAGTACATCCAGTCCCCTGAGTTCGCTGCCGGCGGCTTCCCCAACCTCGTCGCCTCCGCCTTCGTCGACGGCATCGAGTGGCTCCCGCCGAGCGGGCCCGGGCATGTCTGCTCCATCATTATGCTCATGCTGCAATGGTGCGACACGGATCTGGGCGACGACAAGCACGCGTGCATCGACAAGGGCGTGCGCGATGCGCTCCGCGAGAAGTGCCGTGCGCTCATTGACGACGAGCACTGGGACGAGTGGGATCAATACAACCAGATCGAGGTTCAGCGCCTGCAGGGCATGCTGGGGCCGATCGAGCACATGCCGATGGGGTACTATCTGCAGTCGTCGAAGGATTACTTGGCGAACAAGATTCCGGGGCTGGAGGAGTGCAACGTGTGCATGGAGGATGATGTACCGCTGCAGTGCTCGAGATGCAAGTCGGTGAGGTACTGCGGGAAGGCGTGCCAGAAGAAGGATTGGAAGAAGGGGCACAAGCTGCGGTGCTATGAGATGGTGTTCTGAGGCAGTCCAGGCACCCGATAAAACCAGTTTTAACTACTGTAGGACTGCATCCATCCATCCGCAGAGCAGTATAGGGCAGCAGATCATCTCACAGGGTCGATGTGCCTACCTTTCGAGCAGGTCAGAACCATCCCGCCCAGCAGAGTAGCTTTACGACGGGTGTGACGAACTTCAACATAGCCGCACGTGACGTTTCGGCGAAAGCCGGTCGGTCTGTATTCGGTTAGGTTCCTCCCTCTTCCCGTCTCGCCCAACCCATTCTGCTGAATTCCTTCGTGTGTTCTACGTCCTGATCCGAGTGCTCGAAGTCTTCGTGCCCCGACGCAACCCCGACGACTAGGCTGCGCCGAGCAGCAGGTGACTGTCGCACCCCATGACGCGACAGCCCCGCCCTCCGCCCTCCGGAACGGCCGAGAATGTCTTCGATGTATCAGCTCCGAGTGACGTGCGCGGGCCCCGTCCCATATAAGCCAGCGAGAGGTGCTGTTGACGTCCGTACTCACCTTGAAGTGAATCCACGACAAGCACATCGCAACCTATCCGCTTAAAATCTTACTTACTCACCCATCCATCCATCCATCCATACACATCACCATGACCCGCACTGAACGCGCAACCTCCCCCGCCGCGCAGAAGCGTGACCGCTCGCTGAACCGTACTGGCCTTGACCCGAACCCGCGCAAGCACGGCGCGGGCCCGCATAACTGGGGCGCGCTCGAGCAGGAGGCGGAGCTGGAGAACGAGGCGGTGTACGACGTGAGCGAGGAGGCTCCGGGAGTTGCTGTCGGAGGTGAGTTGGAGTTCTTCGTGGTCGGAGAAGAGGGCGAAGGGGACGAGCTGACGCCGACACGCAGATGTCCCTGCATCCACCGAGCACGTCGAGCTCTCGCCACAAGAGATCGAGGAGGCGCGCAGATTGAGGAAGGAGGCCGCGAAGGGAGGTCGTAAGTGTCGAATGCGTGTTTTCGTGTGGACTCTTGCTGACCGTTGCCTATGTAGACGTCGACCTTCGCGACATCGCGCGCACGTCCGCGGCCGTGCATGCGAGCCCGACGAACAAAGACGTGACGAGCATCACCAATGCTGCCGATGTGAGTATTTCCTGCCTCTACCCGACCAGTACATCCCTGCGAGACTACGATATGAAGGCTAACTTCCCTCTGCAGACCGGCGCGAAGGTGTAACTTGGCAATTACGACGATGCTGTGTTGCCGACGAAGCAGTGTCACCGTACAGGCACTTCGAACGAGGGGAAGCATAATGAAGTATCGGACTGTATAATCACAAATGTATCATAGAGGCAATGAAGACGGAGATCGGGATCAAGAAGTTATCGAAAAAGGGATCAAGAAGTGCTTGAAAATGGGATCAAAAGCGTCAACGGAACAGAGCCTGCGCCCGCGTTTCGCAAAGACCTCCGCTCACCTCCGAGCCTCCGTCGTCGGGATGGGTCTTTCGACGATTGTTGCGATCATTCATAGCAGCCTTGACATGTCAAGGGATGTAGTGGTTTGGGCTGCTCACACGCGGTTGCGGTCGACCCAGCATCGTCCGTTCGTCTTCAGTTGTCCGAAATAGACTGCTTAGGTCGCCCATCACGACCTACTGTCCACGCAGTGCATGATGGATACCATTGTACTCCGAATAACCTCCTGCACGGTGGTAGCCCAGTGATGGTGATGCATACAGTCTACCGTTTTGCACCGTACACAGCCCGAATGATAGTGTTTGCCAGATTGAGAAGGGATTGACAATGCTTATTATCTTCATCAGCTACCGTATGATAGATTGTGATTGAGCAGAACGTTTGGGAAGGCCGTCTTAGGCTAAGAGGAGGCCATGACGGACTACAGAGACACGAGTAGGTGCAGGCTGCATTGCAGGTCGAATGGGCCTTCAGGAGAACTCTCACAGTCACGTGCACAGAAGGTTCGTATTTCTCTGTGACTCACCGTGACAAGCATCGTCCTTCCGGCGCGCAAAGTCGGCTCGGGATGGAGGAAAGCCTATCAGCAGCGCGTCGCGCGAGACGGAGCGCCGCTCCTTACTTCGAAGGTAGCACGAGGGTAGCGCGAGGCGAAGACATGCACAATATGGGCGGCGTATCGATGCTGAGGGACGTGGTGGAGATGATCGAAGATAGGTGAAAGACATGTCCGGCGCATGCGGAGAATGACAAGCTGCGAGGGAGAGATTCCGCGAGTCGCCTTATAGGGCAGGATATCCTGAGGATCAACGCTAGCGCCTGAATAGAGTAGACTGCCATAGATATAGAACAAGGCAACTGCAGATCCATCGCAGGTCCGTTGAGGGCGGGAGAAGCTGAGGCTGAATGGAGAGTGCTAAATCCTCTTCTCGAGTGCATAAGTTCTGTTCTTGTCGATCTTCTAGTGGTCCTGAAGGTCGCTGAGAAGTTGACCAACGTAGTGACTACATATATTCGGAAGATATATTCAGGCTCGACCACGACGAGACCTCGCCGTGGAGGGGTTGGGTTTGCGGTCGGGAGCCGCACATTGATGCAGAGAAAGCAGATCCAAGGGCGCGGTTACTTGGTTGGCAAGGGACGACGAGTCCAGACGGTGGGCGAGGATCATCCGACAAGGGCCTCCGACAAGCCCACGAGTTCCTTGTTCTTGATCCCATCGTCGTAGATCGAACCGCAGAGATGCAAGTAGATTGTGGCGCAGAACGTGTCCTGGCGCTGAAGAGAGTGCCTCAAATGGTAAAGCGGCGAGTCCGGTTGATCAGACTGGAGGGGAAACACCTTCATGGGTCTGTCGCCTTCAAGGAGCACGCACGATTGCCCGCTATCGCGCCAGCCACAGACAAGGTCCGTCCAGTCTCCACAGGGTTCGATGACGATGGAAAACAAATGCCGACCACGAGCCTCACGAGGCCGACTGCGAAATGCTCCCGGGGCGCCGCGGCAAGGCTACCGCTGGCGGTCCGGCGCCCGAGGACGAGCGGGAGCGCGTCTCTGCGGGGCGAGCGGGGCAGCTTCTGGGCTCGCTCTCCGTCCATGGCGGCCGTCAGCTCCCCGGGAAGGCCGGTCCAGCGTGCGCAGAGCGTGCAGATGTGCGTCAAAGACGACGATCCACGGGAGAGTTGTAGGCATCATTGGAAATCAGAATTCCGATGTTCATTACACAACCCACCCAGGACCGATAAGGACACAGCCAAGTATGGGGTCCTTTTGTTGTGAATTCCGGTCAGGGGACGCCTTGCGTTTTGGGGAGGAGAGGGCGTATCGAGAGGAGGTGCGCGCTGCAGTAGAGGGAGGCAAAGGGATCCTGTGCATGTAGGGTAGTCTGTCCAGCATAGGTCGTCGTCGTGGGTGATGGAGGCAACGATGAAGAAATGATTGCTCCGCGGTTGATGGACTCGGTGTTTGCCGAAGGCGTGGGCAAGAAGGACAGGGCCAGAATTTCGCCTTGTTTTGTTCCTTTACTCTTGCCATTCTTTTTCCCGGCCGTCTCGTCCTCTAATTATTATTGTTCCTTACGACGCTCATCTTAATTCCTTCATGAACTCTTACTCGACTTATCCGCAGAAGCGCGCATCGCTCGGCTTCGGAAATCTCCAAGTCTCGACCCAGGAAGACCCCGAGCGCGCCATCCAAATCGACGAGAACGAGTACACCGCGCGGCCAGGGAACGCGCACGCCCATGCCAGCTTCCACTCGTCGCTAGAGGCAGCCGCAGCCGCGAACGGGGGAACATCGGCGGGGCAGGGAGCCAGCGGCAGCGCAGGAGAGACATCGACCTCCCAGGATTTCCCAGGCCTCTCGCGCCCCCTCACGCACGCGGAGCAGGAGCGCCTCGCCCATCTCGACAAGCTCAAGTTCTTCCTCGCGACGGCGCCCAGCCGATGGGACTCGGCGAACGGAGGCGGGGACTACCCTGGCTCGGATCTCCAGCAGCAGACGGACGCAGCCCACTCCCACCCATCGCTGAATCGCTTCCTTCTCCCGACGCAGGAGTACGTCTCGTGCGTGCTCTGGAATGGCCTTTACCACATCACCGGGACGGATATTGTGCGCGCGTTGGTATTCAGGTTCGAGGTGCGTGCCCCCAAGCTCCATTACGAAGCGTTGCTAATGGGCGCTCGCTGTCCGCAGGCCTTCGGACGTCCAGTACGGAATATGAAAAAGTTCGAGGAAGGCATCTTTTCGGATCTACGTAATCTCAAGCCGGGCGTCGATGCCAGCTTGGAGGAGCCTAAGGTACGTGGTTGCAGCCCTCTGTGCTGGCATATCGACTAATGTCTCTCAGTCGCCGTTTCTCGACCTCCTGTTCAAGTACCAGTGCATCCGGACGCAGAAGAAGCAAAAAGTGTTCTACTGGTCAGCAAGCCTCCCCCTACGCCACTCATTCACATACCCGCCCTTCCCTCGCCTTCGCCATCACATCATTCCCTGATCCTTCACCCCTTGGTCCGCCAGAAACACGGACCTATCGTTACCATCATCGCCCTTCAGGCTGTGCCGTGAACGCTTGACACTGACTCTTGTCATCAGGTTCTCCGTCCCGCATGACCGCCTCTTTCTTGATGCGCTGGAGCGCGACCTTAAGCGCGAGAAGATGGGTCTTGAACCGACTACGGTAATCACTGGCGAGCCCGCCATGAGCTTCCGGTGCGTATCTTAGCGTTCTGGCTCCTGCCCTTATTCGAACTATCTCGGCCTCTGGGCTGGCGAATGTGGCCCATCGGGCAGAGGGTGCGGTAGGCGTAGCCCCCTCCCGCTTGAGCTTAGCTTGTGAACAATCGCAGCCGGGTGTCCAGAGCACTCGACGAGTTACCCGGACGACAGTCACTTCATGAACAGGATACTGGGGTGTGCTGTGTGAGGGTAGTCGATGTGCACATGGCACGATATGGCGATCCTGCCGGTGTGCATTGTTGCCCAGGCTCTCCCAAGTTCCATCTCAATCCCTGGAATGTATCTTTCTACGATTTGAGCTCATGACTTACAGATACGATCCCAAACGCACGCTCTATGATCAGTTCGTCGCGGCTGCGCAACCCGTCAGTGACAAGGATTCCGAAAGCCGGTCATCATCTCGTTCGTCCGCTGCGGATGAGTCCGACAGCGATGCATCGTCCAGCAAGCCTCCTACCGCCGCTCAGAAGACGCCCTTCTTTTCGATGTTCAACCTATTCGAGGGCAGCCCGACCTACAAGCAGCGGCGCAAGAAGACGCCCGGCTCTTCCAACTTGAACCCCAACAAGTCGGGCCTCAGCATGCAGATGGAGCGCGGCAGGCAGCAGATGCGGTTCCCCAACTACCCCTACGGCCCAGGCGGTAGCCTCAGCCGCGAGCGGATGCGCCCTTTCGGCGGCATGGGGGACATGGAGGGCGACGATGTCAGCGCGGCGGAGATGTTCATGAAGCAGGCGCGCGGGGAGCTCACCGGCCCCGGGCGCAATCCGGGGACGTGGAACGAGTTCTCGAACCGCCCACGTAGCCTCGACCTCGGCGGGCCCCAGCACCGGCACACGTACCCTGGCCCACCAATGGAGGGCTCCCCCAACCTCGAGGGTCCCCTGCACGCCAACACGCTCGACGGCGCGCAGCTCGACCCGACGGGCAAGGCGTTCATGTGCCCGCTCTTCTCCTGTGGGCGGCTGTTCAAGCGGATGGAGCACCTGAAGCGGCACCTGCGCACGCATACGATGGAGCGGCCCTTCGCGTGCCCGATGTGCCGGAAGCGCTTCTCGCGGAGCGACAACCTCGGGCAGCACCTGCGCACGCACTCGCGCGAGGGCATGGCCGGCGTCGAGCGGATCCCCGGGTTCAACGGGGGCATGGAGGGCGAGGGCATGGACTTCGCGATGGGCGGCGAGGGCGGGATGGGCTTTGGCATGAATGGCGGCGAATGGGATGGCGGGATGGAGAGCGGGAGCGATATGGACGACGGCGCGTATGGCAGTATGCCTCAGAGCTCGGGGATGGGTAGCATGTCGAATGTTGGGGCTCCGTTGGGGATGTTCGGCGAGATGGGCGCGGGCATGGGCATGGCGGCGCAGCTTCCAGCCGGGCCATCAAACGAAGGGTTCGACCTGACAGTCAGAGGAGGGAACGAGGAAGAAGGCTTTTTCCCGGGTAGCGCACCAAACGGACCAGTCGGCTTTGGGGACTACGACGGGTCCTGGAGCGGTCCCGGATCATACTCTTCGGTGAGTGCATTGTGTATCTATATGGCCGGTTGACTGATGGCTTGTAGTCTTCCTCCGCTTCTTCATTGTACGAGCAGAACATCTCGATGTCGGCGCCCTCTCACAAGCAAGCCTTCGATCACGCGAACATCTATCCTGTCCCCAGCCTTCTTGACGCCGGCGGCACGGGTCCCATCCGCCGACACAGGAGCATGACGCCGTCCATGGCACGAGAGGTACGGCGACCAACGACCGCAGGCAGCGACTACGACGGCACTGGCCGCGGCATGCACTTTTCGCCGCACCCAAGCCCCAGCCCGCGCGGCTTCCATCCCTACAGCCGGCCAGAGTCCGCGCACAGCAGCCCGTCCAACTTCCCGCTGCCGCTGCCGCACCTCGCGCGCTCCGACTCGCGCAGCTCGAACTACAGCACAGGCGAGATGCAGGAGCAGATGCGGCACATGATGAACATCGGGCCCGCCTCCCGGCAGAACTCGTCCGACTGGGGCACGGGCGCGGGCATGGGCGGCGGCGGGGGCGGCGAGATGTTCCGCACGGAGAGCCCGGCGTCGTTCGGGGGCGCGGGCGCGATGGGCGACGGGGCGAGCCCGCCGGTGTTTGGGGGCGCGACGGAGAGCCCGGCGCCGTTCAGCACGGAGCTGCCGCCGGTGCCGCCCGCGGGGGGCGCGGGCTTCGGCGGGGACGTGTATCCGGGCGGGATGGACGCGCCCGCGTCGTTCATGAACCCCTTGGACATGCCGGGCGGTCCGTCGCGGTCGGGGAGTGGGGGCTTCTACCCACCGCACTGAGGTGGTAGTCCGTGGGTGCTTCTTGCTTCTTGAGCCCGAGTGCTTCTTGTCCTCACGTCCCTGCTCTCTTGATGTCTACCCTACCAGCTCCGGACTGAGATTAATCAGGTCCCAACCTCACGCCTCACGCCTTTTCTTTCTTCACTCACTCGAATGTCAATGACCACCCTCACTTATTTATTGTACTCTTGCCTGTTGTGCTTATACTTGTCTCTTCCCGATGAAGGCAGTCTACATATCGTATGCAGCAGTTTACTTTAATCATACTCGACTATTTATGTATTTATCTAGGCTATTGAATCCTCTTGAACTCCAGTGTGTGTGAGCCCTGTTGAAGAGCGTGAAGGATGTCAGTAGCTCGCCTGTATTGCTAGCTTTACACCTGTGGGTCCAGTGTACGTTATCTCCGCGTGGCGCAAGGGGCGTGCCACGGGGAAGGTGATTGCCATAAGGGCGATGAGCATTGTCTCACATCTTTGCCTTTTCCATGAAGGACAATCACACGGGCTTGTCTCGAATCTCCCGCCCCATTCGTCCTTAACGCAGCAACGGTCATGGCGTCCCCACAAACGTGCCCGCTCAACTTCATCGTTATTGGCGGCAGTATAGCGGGTCTCGTCTCTGCATACCAGCTCGCGCAGAATGGCCACAAAGTCCTGATCCTGGAAAAGGATCCCCCGAGCGCCGTGCGTGTACCGTAAATCTTGAGAGGAGCGCACGCTTAGGCGATCTGCAGTCCCGCGGCGGGTTACGTCTTCCCCCAAATGCGACGCGTCTGCTCGAGACGATGCCCGGCGTGCGGGAGCTTCTGCGAAGCAAGGGCACGATTTGTAGAGAGTGCGTTCTGTTCTTTGCTATCTCCCGTTCATGAGTTCTGACGATTACGCGCGCAGCCTTACGATTGTCGAAGGTCGATCCCCATTCAGTCCCTCCCTTCATATCAGTGTTTGAATATCGACTTCGCAGGGACCTCGTTCCACGTCCTCGGGCGCCTCTCATACGATCCCCAATGCGTTACCGACCTCCTGGGCAACTTCTGGACGATACCTGTGCGCGTCTTTCCGCGTTCCCCACCTCCCGCGCCGAAGTCGCTGACTCATTCGCCAGTACGACACCCTTCACGATCATCTGACCCAGATCTGCAGGCTCGCGGGCGTGCACATCGTGTACAACGTACAGGTCGCGTCTGTCATCCCGGGCGACCGCCCCGTGGTCGTCAGCGCTGCCGGCCAGTCCTTCTCCGCTGACATCGTGCGCATGAGTCCCGAGCCGAGTAGCAGGGAAGGCTGATAGCGAGTTAGGTCGTGGGCGCGGATGGCCGCTTCAGCGTTACGCGCGCCTACGTCAATCAGGACCCAGAACCCATCTACGCGGACGACGAGGACATGGAGGAGGATGAGGACGACGGCGCGAGCCTGTACAGCGCGTACAGGCCCAGGTCTTCATTTCCCACAATACACGCGACGAGGGGGTAAGCGACACCCAGCACGCTTTACATGCTCTTATGCGTGGTGCAGGTGGACTTTCTGTATATCACGAGAACGGATGCGAAGCGATCCCATCCTGGACCCTCTCTGGCAGAACAATGTGAGCCCCAGCCGTACTCGCTTAGCTGCACGGTCGATTGATGTCTTGCTCATGCTCATATTCTTAGCTGATCGGCTGGCCAGGGACTGGCATGGTTGTTTTGGGACATCCAGTGAGTAAGGATGATCAAACTTCACAGGCGATCTCGCTTACCTCCACCTAGTGCGGTCCGGATGCCTTCATCATGACTGCAGTTCGGATATGTGATCCCAGCGAACCTCTCGTCGACGGGCACTTTCAGCTGAATCAGCCGTACGAGGACTTCACCGATTACTTCAAGCAGTTCGACCCGCGCTTGCGGCGGCTGGCGAAGATGGCGCACACCGTGCACACCACAACGCAGACTGTTCCGCGCTTCACGCGCTTTGCGGATCGCAACTCGCGCGTGGTGCTCATCGGCGACGCGGCGCACGGCTCGCCGATCCACTGCACGCACCATTGGTAGGTCGAAGCCATCTGGACTGACGATTGCGCGTCGCTCACAGCGCATCCAGCGCCCTCGCCATCGAAGACGCCTTCACCCTCGCGCGCATCTTCGCGCACATCACCGCCCGCGCGCACATCCCGCTCTTCCTCCACGGCTACAACCAGTCGCGCATGGCGCGCGTCGCCGCCGTAGAGGCCTCCGAGTTCGAGTCGATCCACCAGGTCATGCTCCCGCCGGGCCCGCAGCGCGAGAGCCGGGACGCGAGCCTCGCGGCGACGCTGCTGATCGACGAGGACGAGCAGATGATGAGCGACGAGGACTTCGCGGCGGCGTGGCACACGTATGCGCGGCAGCTCGACTTCGATGCGGTGGAGGCGGCGGAGGGGTGGTGGCTGAACTACGGGCGGTACGCGCTGGAGCAGGAGTATGGGGTGCCGGTGGTGGAGGGTGTCAATGGGGTGCCGGTGGAGAATGTGGCGGGCGGCGACGCTGGATCGAACGAGGCGCAGGCGAGGGTTGTCGCACAACTAGCCTAGGTGCTTACTGACCCTCCCTTGCAGCGTACTTGACGGGTGAGGCGATTCGGGCGCGCGTGGTGGCAACATGGCTGATGCGATGTGCAGAAGCGAGAACTCTGATGCTTTGTGAACGTGCGGGCGGGAAGCTGTACTTTCCGTGTCTTTTTGTCTTCATGGATTTGTTCGTATCTTGGACTTGGCTACAGGGACGATGCTCATTCTTGTATGTACGCAATGAACGGTTGAAGCACGGTCTAGGTTCTTCACTCGTTCCGAGCCCAGCCCTCGCTGCTTGAAGACGGAGAACGACTGGCAGTAACTCTGCGTTAATCACTGGCAAAGTCACATCAGCGAGTCCTGCAATACTTTTCTCCCAGAATGCTGTTATTTCTGAGCTTGTTGAAGTGAGGCTTACCAGCTTGTCCGGTAGCAGATGTAGCATGACACGTATCGCTCAAGTCAACGTGATACTCACCTACAATCTCAAGCAGAGTACAAGGTCATCGGGGTTTGCCGGAGCCGTCTCACGCTGAGCACGTGATGCGCGCCCCCAGGCGCCCACATGCAATCAGTACTAATAATCTCGAGAGCGGCGAGCCACACAAGCGAGATGCGACCATCAAATATTTGACAAACAGTGTGACTGGCATTTTTATGACCTATTGACCGGCTCGCGCCGACACCGCTTCGGTTTAGATGTATTTCTTCGCGCAGATCGTCAGTTCAGCTGTGGCGACGATCTTGACGCACCTGACTTCGGCTTCTGTATGTATCCCCACGGGCATCCCCGAAAGTCCCTGTACAATGTTAATGTCTCTCAGCCGTATTCTTGCACTTATCTACGCGACATTGCGTCTGCCGGTTCGGACTTTGCCTGCTGCGATCTGTCGAGAGTTGTGTCGAGCTGGGGCAGTGCATCGGCTTTGGTGGATTTTTAGGCCCTTTACCTTGACGATGCGCTGCCCATCGCCGACGACGTCGCGCTCGTCGTCGTGCCCTCGAAGGTGTTGAATGGCCATTTATCAAAAGGTCTGGGCCGGCACGTGGTCCGTGGATCATAGACCCGGCGCCTTCCGGCAACCTTGGGACTTGTTCTCGTAAAGTTCGCTGCTGGGTCGCGCGACGGTTTTCTCTTCCCGCTTTCTCGCTACCATCATGCAATCTTTGCGCTCTCACTTCCTGTCGCCTTGCTACGGCTACGCGCTAGTGCTCCATGGCCATGGGGGCTTGAAGCTTGAAGGTCGCACACACTCACGCTCACTCACGCTACCCGACCGATCCGCCTGGATACACGCTGAGAACATCTGTATCGATACCACAAACCGACGGTAGCGGCTGTCCCTTCAAGTCCCTTCACGATTTGTCCTATTCGCGCGGCTGGCCCGACGGACGAGGGCCAGGAGGAGCGCCTAAAGTGGTACGCGAGCGGCGAGACCGCCTCAAGCCTACAAGCTGAGGTGCGTGTACCTGCGATTGCCTTCGCTCGTTTCTGACCTGCCTATCTCACTGAACAGCAGACCTGACGGCACCTTCACGCCGATCGCTGACGCGATGCCACGCTGCTCAGTCGAGGAGATGGTCAGTAGGCGTTTGTCACATATGCTTAGCGTGCCTGCGCTGAACTGCTGCCTATCGGTACCGCGAAGTCTCATGCACTCCACGAGGCTGGATTCACCCTTGCCGGTAGTCTCGCAAACCCAGAGTATATGTGCCACCGTGCTTATGATAGACGCGCGCGAATGCTGGTGAAGCTGGTAAACATGGTATATACTGACCGTTATTAGATCCGAACGTCTCAGTACTCTGTCCTCTGTCGATGAGCTCGAAGACCGGGGTAGAGAGCAATTTAATCGCCTTGGGCTCTTTTGGCGCCATCTCGATGGAACTTCAAAATTTTGCTGCGTATCGTCGTCGGTTGGGTCGGCTGGGTCCGTTTCGAGACCAACGCGCCTTGGACCCCTCGCCTGTCGCTCCCTGACTTCCTTGGGAATGCACTAGAACTGCTGGGGACTGCCATGTCGACCGCTCTAGTCAACACATTCACTGCGCGCAGCTCTGTCATGGCAGGGTCGTGGCGTGGGAATCTCGAACGGGGGCACCCACAACGGCGCCATCAGTCCCCTTTTGGAAGAATCACAGAGTACCCTCTGGATCACCGGTGTAAGCTTGATGATAATAACCTGCAGCATCGTGCCTCGGTGACGACAATTCAGTCACGAGCAAGGTGTTGCTCGGGTCGTTGGACTCTGCGCCGAGACTTGCGGGTTTCGGGTCTCAATACGCATCAACACGCCGTCGCACGCGGCGGCAAGCCCCGGTCTACGCGTTGGTAGCCAGAAGATGCGATCACCTCTCTTTCGTCAAGCGTCGGTTGACAATACCAGCACGACCTCGCTCGCTCAGGCTCCAGCTTACTGCGCGGACGATCACCTCACCGCGCCGATGATCTCATATTTTTTTCTGTTTCGTCGCGTCGCTCGTCAAGGTGGAAAAGTTACCTCCGTGGCGCGGCAAGTTGCCGTGTGTCTCGCCGCGGACTCTGAGCTTCTGGACGAGGCGCGTCGCGCCCTGAGCTTGGGACAGGGTCACGCCCGACATACGGCCCATATCGGGGGCGCTGTGCTACGCCCGGGGCGCAGCGCACCGAGTGACGGGTGCAGCACACGGAGTGACGCGACGATGCTTTCCCCTCCGCCGGGGCCTTGTTCCTCAAACAGGTTTGGTCGAATAGCCTTCCCAGCTCGTATCGCTGCCGCGCGCGCCCTGCCCATCGCGGGGCCCCTCAGGATCAGTTTGCCTGCGCGCGCCGTCCCCCGCCTGTCATTAATCTCCGAATCCGACATGCGGTCGAACAAACAACCGGGCTCGTGCATTTTGCCTCCAGGGTCGCCCGACCGCGTTGCGGTCGAGTGGGCACGGGCTGGCGCGACACATCGGGTATAAAAACAAACATGGGCGAGGCTGGGTTGGAGCATCCCCACCGCCGTCGCCGCCTGCCTCCTCTCTTCCTCGTCCTCGCTGTATAGCTCTCTGTTGTTTGTCGTTTTTTGCTGTTCGATATGTTTTCCCTCTCGTGCGCCGTGCAGTCTTTCGCCCGTGCGCTTCATGGTCCTCGGACGCTTCTATCTTCCGTGGCCGACCTGGCCTACACAATCTACCTATTCAACAAATCCGACATCGTGTCGACAGTTATGCCCTCGGTGCGCAATGTCCCGTGGCCACATCCCATGCGTAGCGCTGATCCTATTCACCCTAGATGATGGCTGGCACGGCGCTGGTTATCCCCACCCATCTCACCTCCATCCTCAACGGCTTCCTCTTCCTGGAGCTGCACCTCATCGCCTTCGAGGCCAGTATCTCCGCCGCGACCCCTGCCGTACTCCCACTGACCGTCCCCCAGATCAAGAACCAGACAGTCGGCCTGGAGGAGGACCGCGCTGGGAAGCCCGACCGCCCCATAGTCTCCGGGCGCATCACCCCCGACGCGGCGCACGTCCTCTACCTCGCCTTCATCGCCGCGTCGCTCGCGTTCTCCGCCGCGCACGGCGTGCTCGCGCCGAGCCTCATCCACCTCGTCGCGATCTACGCGTACAATGAGTGCGGGCTCTCTACGGTGTGGTACCTCAAGTCCCTCATCTGCGCCATCGGGTACGCGACGTACTTCTGGGGCATCGGCGTCCTGTTCGGCGGCGACGCGCCGCTGGACTACAGCGCGGCGCTCGCTATTCTAGTCGAGGCAGCGATCTTCACGACCACCGTGAGTACTGTATCCTCCTGTCATTCACTTTCTCTTCGTTATGGGCTCGTGTCCCCTGGGCGACGGACAGGTGTATTAATTCGGGTTTACTTACTTACTATTTCTCACCGTCCCTTACTCCTCGCGCCCTCACTTACTCTCCCCACCGTTACTAACCGCCCCGCACACAGGGCCACGCGCAGGACTTCCGCGACCGGGACGGCGACGCGGCGGTCGGGCGCACGACGGTCGCGATGATGTTCGCGGGCCTGGGCGGGCGAGTCGCCCTCGCGTCGATGATATTCGCGTGGACGGCGACGCTCGTGGGTTTGTGGGCTCCGCCCGCGCTCTACACGCTCCTCTTCCTCGGCCTTGCGGCGACGACGAGCGTCAAATTCCTGCGCGACCACTCCCAGGAGGCCGATAAGGACTCGTACTGGTGGTACAACGTGCGTCTCGGCTTGTTCTTTATTCCTGCATAACTTATGAAAGCTAATCCCTCGCAGATGTGGTTCATCACCTGCCACTTCAGCGCCGTCTTCCGGCTCGTAACTTTCGACTAATCTATGTTAAATTCGTCGTGCGTGCCTGCCATCTCTCAGCTCTACCTGTTATTGACATCCATTGCTCACAGCTTGAGTTCACGGACCCTTGTTACCACTCTTTATGTGGTTGTATACCGCTATCGTTGTGCTGATCGCCCCGGCTGCGCCTCAGGGATTCGCTATTATTCTAACGTACCCGGCATGTTCCTAACGAACTCTTCTTTGCTATCTTCTACTCTCTTGGATTAAGTATCGTACACCACGGACAATTTACGCTAGCAGCCTATGTTCTTCGTTCTACCACAATCTATTTTCTCTCCTGACCTCGTCTGACTGCCTTGGCCTCATTGAGCACCTTCCCCTTGAACTCGTACGTCTGACATCGTAAACTGTCCGATGTCATAACTGAGCCAGAAAAGCTACCGCGTTCCTCGCCGTTGTCTGAGACCTTGCGAATGCTACTCGCCGCCCTCTCCCGGCGGGAGCTTGTATACCGGCGGAACGGACCTTGAGTCTAATTTGCGGAGGTATCTGCTGACAGATTGGCTGTGTCTTGACTATCGCGGTACACGCGCTGCTTGGATGCAGGCGCGCTGGTCCGTCAACTCCTGAGACCGCGAGCGCGGCTGCTTCAGGAGGAGTTAGGGACATCATGCAGGAGAGGGTCGATGTGCCTTGGAAGAGTATAGCCTTCAGGACCGCCGTTGAGAGTGCCTTCAAGAGCAGGAGGGCCATCGACGAGAAGGCATCCGGGCGTCCCTTGGCCGTGACAGCTTCGCAGAGTGGGCAAAAGGGTAAGCTCCGAGCCAAGCGTGTTTCCTCTCTGCCCAATATATTAGGTGTGCTAACGATGATGACGAACAATCTGCCCATCGACAGGCAGGTACAGCGAAGGTCAGCGTTATGTTGAACTGTTACTGTCACGTTCAAGTCACGGCTTTGCTTTATTTGTGACTTCGGCTCCGAGGCACGAGTCACCTGACCACGTGCTAATCACAAACAATGCAACGCGCTGGTCAAAGCAACTTGCTCTTGCTCTTGACCACCATCTGGACGCGCTTCTCTCCCGCGCGCGCTCGTGCTCTCCGCTCCCCCTCATGGCAGAGTCTGGTCCCGCGCGGACTACTGAGTCCTTTCATGTGCACTCCCTTCGGGCACTCCCCAAACGCTATCTCAACGTGCCGCTGGAGAACAATGACTTTCGACCGACGCTCAACCTACCCGCGCTCCTCCAAGTTTTGAAGTCCGGTGTGGCCTCAAGCTCGAATGACCCTCCGATGACGGGGAAGAAGCGCGCTGCTTCGTCATCTAAGCAAGCATCTCCTCGGAAGCGCACCAAGCGGACGAAGGCACCAGCGGCTCTTCGAGAACAAGACGCGGATGAGTCATCATCAGACGAGAAGACTTCATACCCTCTTCTCGAGCCTTTCGCCCCCGTGGCGGTGTCTACGGACGTCCCAGACCCCATCCCCTTGCTCCGGCATACCTTCACCATCGGGTTCACGCGCCATGTCCCGCCTGATGCGGCGCCGAATCAGTATATCAACGAACAAGAGGCCACGCATCGCGGCTGGACGGACGAAGAAGAGGCTCTTATCAGCGCCATAGACGAGCTACGCGATAGCAACTCAGATCCGCACACCATCCCCCTCCCTGCTCCCCGCCTCACGCGCTCCGCGGATGGGCGACGGGTAGTGGCATCCATCGGCGACGCCCCGAGTCTCGTCTGGCTAGCCCTCCTGCCCCGCTTCGACGCCGATGCCGACCTCGAGGGCCACGACTACAGCGATCCGGCGGCAGTGCAGGACCTCCTGTCCGCCATCTTCATGCTCTATCGCTTCGCGCGTGCTCAGTTCAGCGCGGAGATGAACCTCGTCGCACTACCTCCATCCGCACTTGGCGATGACGAGCTTCCGTTCCAACTCCAACTCACCCTCTCCGTCGCCCTCACCCCCGGGGAGACGCAGCCCGCAAAGTACTGCCGGCGGCCGACCAAGCTGCAGTCATCCCTCCTAGACGATTCACAGACGCGGCTGATGACATATGTCTTCCCGCCTACCGGCGCCGTCGACATCCCCCCTATCTACCCCGACATCGCAGTCCCGAGTGGCGCCATCGACATCCCCTTCTTCTATTCCGCCCTGCGCCCCGCGCCAGTTCCGAGCCCACTTTCACTGCAAGATTTCTGCCAACCGAAGGACCTGAAGGCAAAGCTCCTCCCCTTCCAGCGCCGCAGCGTGCTCTTCCTCCTCGGGCACGAGGGGCTGGGGTTTTCGCAGGGCGGTAAACTTGTCCAACGACCCGTGAGCAGGTTCAGCTTTTGGGACAAGGTCGCGTCGGGAGGAAGGGAGTTCTGGTTCAATCGGCTCTCTTGTGCCTTATCCCTAGACTCTTCTGCCGTATCCCTGCACGAGCCAGAAGAAACCGAGCCTGCGCTAGGCGCCATCCTCGCCGAGGAGCCCGGTCTAGGAAAGACGGTGGAGATGATCGCGCTCATCCTGCTTACGAAGCCGCTCGATATTAAGCGGAATCCGAGCCAGACAAGGTGGGACCCGGAGGCGAAGGTGGATGTGAGGACAGTGAAGGTGCGTGGTCGTTTGCTCTCGTTTCCTGCGCTCTTGGTTGCCGTGTTCTTGTTTGCCGTGTTCTGATCTACTGTGTTCCGACTTATCCCAAGTTCCGTTTTATCCCATGCTCTGGTTTCCTGTGGCCTCTTCTGCCCCGCCCTATCCTGCCCCGCCCTATTCTTCCCCTACCTTCAAACTAACCCACCCACCCCCAGACCACCCTCATCGTCACTCCACCCACGCTCGCCTCCCAATGGTGCGAGGAGCTCGCGAAGCACGCGCCGTCGCTTAGGGTCCTCGTCTACGACGGCTGGAACACGGTCCCCGTGCCCATCTTCCACACGCAGTCCGAGCACGAGCGCGTGCGCAAGCTGATGGGGAAGGCGAAGAGGGCGAGGGAGAAGGCGGTGGCGGGGACGAAGACCGCGAAGGACAAGGTGGCCACGAAGGACAAGGTGGCCACGAAGGACAAGGCGGCCACGAAGGACAAGGCGACCACAAAGGACAAGGCGACCACAAAGGACAACGCGACCACTACAGGCAAGAAGTCCAAGAAAGCCTCCAAAACCCCAGCGCCGCCTGCCGAGGAGGAGTTCCCGCAGGACTTCCCCGCCTGGGTCAACTCGTACGACGTCGTGATCACCACGTACCGCGTGCTCGCGGCCGACCTCGCGGTCGCGCTGCCTGCGCGCGAGCGGCCGCGGCGGCAGGACGTGGTGTACGCGAATGTGGAGCGGCCGAGGAGCCCGCTGGTGATCTGCGAGTGGAACCGGGTGGTGATGGACGAGGTGCAGATGGTGGGGGGTGGGAAGACTGAGTGAGTGGGGAGGAGATTTGTTTTGTGTGTTTGGTGAGGGTAGAGTGGACTCTGATACTTTCTTAGGGACATGGTCTCGCTGATCCCGAGGAGGGCATCGTATGCGGTGTCCGGGACGCCGGCGCGCCAGCAAGTGTCGGACCTCATTCATGTTCTGCGGTGAGCTCGACCTGCGTCATCTCCTTGAACATATACTCATCTATGATAATACGCAGCTTCCTGCGCGTCGACGACGTGGTCGGCTCCAGCAGACTCTGGAACCGCCTCATCCAGCCGGCGTACGCTGCTCACTTCGCCGCGTTCATCCAGGGATATGCGGTTCGGTGCGTCCACAGGGTTACGTGTATAACCTTGGTTATTGAATACTTATGTCTAGCACGACGAAGGCCTCCGTCAAAGACGAGCTCACGATCCCGCAACAAACGCGGTATGTGGTGCCTGTTGAGATGGGTCGGGTCGAGCGCCATGTATACGACGAGACGCTAGAGGGTATCCTCTATACTTTGGGTCTGGACGCCCGGGGAGTCGCTGCGTCGGCGGGATGGGAGTTGGATACCGCGGTCTTGCGCGCGGGTATCCGACGGCTGCGCGCGGTCTGCACGCATCCGCAAGTCGGCCAGCTGCAGCGCCAGCAGGGCGAGAAGACGGTGAAGGCGCCGCTGAAAACCATGGAGCAGGTGCTTGAGGTACGTCGCGTTGTCTAAGGTCGCGCTGCTCAATGCTGATAAGGTGACAGTCCATGCGCGACCAAAACTGGAAGAGTACGATGGACGACCGCAAGTCGAAGGTATCTATGAAGGATTACAACTGTTGCGAGTACGCTGACATAATTTCAAGGTCCTGCTCCTCGTCCGCCAAGCCCAGCTGGTTCAGCAGCAGGACGGCGACCCGAAGCGCGAGCGCAAGTCATTGGCTCTTCTCGAGACCGCCTTGCAAGCCGCGGGCGCCCTTCAGACCCACATCGTCGCCGCATTGGACGAGCACCGCGAGAAGGGCGAGGCGCTGAGGCGGGCCCACGCAGAAGCTCACCCTGAAGAGGCCGAGGCCGAAGCAGGTCCCTCGACTGGCAAGGGTAAAGGACGCGCGGGCTCGCCGAATAGCGAGGTCTCGGAAGACGTGGACGAGGTCGGCATCCCCAAGACACCGGAGGGTGACGCGTATAAGAACAAGCTGCGCTCGCTGAAGGCCCGATTACGCGAGTGTCGGATTGTGCTGCACAAGGTGTGTTTTCCGGCGCTTGTATTTGAGTTTTGATTTAAGAAGGTCGACTTATGCACGATCTAGGTCCACTTCCTGCTCGGTGACATCCACCATGTCCTGAACAACAGCGACGCCGAGACGGAGGCGTATGAGAAGGCTGACGAGCTGAGGAGCACCCTTCTTAAAAGTAGGTCACCTTCAACACGATGTCCTTCGTTCTGTGATCACTGACACGATCTACAGGCACAGAGGCGGAGGCGCAAAAGGCCATCGAGCTCTTCAAGGCGAACGAGGAGGTTTCCGAGATCAACGACGACGATCCTCCTTTCATCGACAGCCCTTACCTGCCAGACCCGGGCGAAGCCGTCAAGTCGCGCGAGTTGGTGAGTCGATGATTATGCTTGCCAAGTTGTGACCGCTAATCATCCAACCTATCAGATGAGGGAGGCCAACAGCGTGGTCGCCAAAGTACTCAACGCACAGACCGAGCTCCTGTGGACGTGGAGGGGCCGCATCAAGGAGCTGTTGACGAAGAACTTCCGCGCGCAGGATGATGCTGACGGTGGCGAGTATCAGCGCTCGCTTGATGATCAGGTGTGTTAGTGGGGCTTTGGACGTTTACAGCGGGGCTGAACTCGGTATAGGGCGAGATAGAGACCTACCTTCAAGCCTACGTCCAACTCCTGGCCGACAAGCGCGAAGCGATGACCAATGAACGTACTTTGTTGGCCGCTCACGATGCGCGGTATGTCTCGACGAATTTTCTACCGACACCTAACTCATCGTTTTCAGGGAGAGGCAGTTCCGCCAGACGAAAGCTGCTCGTGAAGCCGCTGCCGCCGCCGCCGAGAACGAGCCAGAAGCTCCAAGAAGGAGGTACATCGACTACGTCGATGGGCCTGGCAGTGATATCGAGGAGGTTGATAACACCGATGTAATCGACTTGCAGCCGGAGCATGAGGTGCTGCAGAAGACCTTGCTGGAAGAGCGCAAGGAGCTGGTGAAGGATATGGGGGAGCGTTCGATTAAGAGTGTACGCCTTTCCCTTTTGTATGATTGGTAAGTTCTCAACTGATGCGTACTTTTCAGATCATGAACGATATTCAGGCCAAAGGTGCCAAAGCCAGGCCGAAGAGCACGGAAAAGACAGCCTGTAGGGACGCTGTCCAGGCCCTCAAGACCCTGATCAAGGAGCAAAGTATGTCCCTGCTAACGATCATACGAGGCGATACTGACTGGTTATATTGCAGACGAACTCGCACGAGTCCTCGAGGTCGACCTCCGTCACATGCGACGAGCGTTCAACCAGCGCGTCATGTACTTCCGCCAACTGCAGGAGATATCCGACAGCGTCGCCTCCGTCGAGTGGGAGGGCATGCTAGACGACGCGGTCGCGGCCACCGAGAGCGAGCTCGGGAAGCTGGAGGGCCGCATCAACACCAATGTCGCGCGCCAGCGGTACTTGGAGAATCTGGGTAAGGCCGGTGACAATGATGATGAGGACGAAGAGGAAGATGTGTGCATCTTGTGCCGCTGCGAGTTCGTCCGCGGATTTATTACGCCGTGTGCGCACATCTACTGCGAGGTAGGCATCCGCAATGGCGTCGATGGTATGGCAAGCTGACGGAAATCCGCAGGGCTGCATGAAAATGTGGACCGCGAGGCCCGAGGGCAAGACGTGTCCTGTGTGTCGGTGAGTAGTTTAGATGTCCGCCTCTTGACACCATCCTTACACTGTCTAGGGTTCCTATCAACCCCAAGTCTCTGCAACGCTTTACCGTGAACGAGAAGAAGGGCCCCGCACCACCTCAGCCAAGCAAAGACAACCAGCTTGCGCCTCAGACGCGTCGCAAGATCGACTACAATACGATCGGTAAGTCTCTTCTCCTTTTTTCCCATATCCACGCCGAACATGCTCTGACAATGATATACCCAGATCCCGAGCTATACAAGGATATACAGGCCATAGAGTGCGAAGGGGACTACGGCCACAAGATCCAAACACTCATCCGCCATCTGTTGTACATTCAGTTGGGAGAGGAAGGGGCCAAGAGCATCGTCTTCTCTGCCTGGGCGGACTCCTTGTACAGTAAGCCGATCTTTATCTTTTTGCTGAAGACACGCTGACGGCGTACCTTGCAGTCCTGCAGAACGCGATGAAGGAGAATGGTAAGCGTGGAAGCGCCGTGTCATACGACTTAGAGACTGACTTCAGCTTGCAGATATCCCGTGCCTTCGTATCGACCAGGCGGACGCGGCGAACAAGTTCAGGACGGACCCTAATATACAAGTGCTCCTCCTTCACGGAGAGCGCGAGAACGCCGGACTGAACGTGACCTGCGCTTCGCGCGTCTTCCTTTTGGAAAGCGTTGTGCACCATGGCTTTGAGATCCAAGCCATCGCCCGTATCGACCGTATGGGTCAGCAGCGTCCCACAGAGGTATTCTGCTATTATGCAGAAGGTATGTCCTGTTCCTGTGCCGTACGTCATGGCGGGCGCTGACGGTCCGTAGATACCGTCGAGAAGAACATCCTCGACCTGGCCGCCAAGAAGGGTCTATCCCTATACACGAAGGATAACGCCGTTGGCACCGTGAACGTATCCTTCGCTGGGAACGACGAAGCTTCGGGGTCTCCAAAAAAGAAGAAGACAACGAAGGCGAGCGCGAAGCAGCAGAAGGGAGATTATATCATGAAGTGCGTTCATGGCAAACTTACCTCTTCGCCTGACTGACATTGTCTGCGTAGGACGGACGACATGTTGGAGATCCTCTTCCCCCATATGTACGAGGATCTTGAGTATCTACTACCGGAGGACGCGATGCATGATGTTGAGAACCATGGAGGAAGCGGTGGATCTGGGCAGCATGCGAATGCAATTGCGGGTCCCTCGCGGGTGCGCACCTAGATCGGACAGGATGCTATTGGATCTTAGAGCATATTTCACGCATATACATATATCTACAGCAGAATTCGTGGATTCATCAGTATAAGCATCTCAAACAATGTCAGAAGATGTGAAGATGTGAATATATACAAGCAGTCGCCACCATCTGCCCATGTGTACTGAGCTGTGTAGGCGACTGTGGGCTGGCACGTGCAGGACCGGCATTTCCCGTGCCATGTTCAACTTCCGCTTGAATCCGTACGACGATGATGGAAAGAGGCGATGGCATGGTAAAGTTGCATGGTCTACAACCTCGATGGATTCAACGTCGCGTGTCCTCCGTCAATGAGGATTTCCTGTCCATTCAGGTAGCACCCGGCTGCAGAAACCATCCACAGCGCGGTGCCCACCATCTCGACGTCGCTGAGAAGGCTTGTCGTCAGTAATCTCGTTCCCACGCAATGGAGTCCCCTTTCGTATGGCTACAGTACACCAACTTCACCACTCACCTTCCAATCCGCCCCGCCGGTATCGGGTGCAACCCAAGCTGCTTCATGATCATGCTGTCCAACCCCTTCTCTAGCCTGCTCTGCGTCAACTCGGACATGAAGACGCCCGGAGCGAGCGAGTTCACGCGCACGGGGATGCTGCGACGCGCGAGCTCGGTGGCAAACATGCGGGCGATGTGCGTCGCGGCGGCCTTGCCGGCGTTGTACGCGTACTGAAATGTGCTCAGCGGTGGTCAACGCATTCCACGGATGCGCGGAGCTAGCTTCCACCGCCATCCACAGGGATATCTGTGTCGAAGATTCACTCACATGACTCTGCGCCAGCTTGCTGCTCCCGCACATGCTTGTTATCGTGATCGCGCTCGCCGTCCACGCGCCGTGCCGCTCTGACCCCTTTTCTAGCAGCCCAACGAATGCACTGGTCATGAAGAACGACGAGTACGCGTTGAGCTTGAAGTGCGCCATCCACTCGTCCTGAGGCTCGGCGAACAGGCCCACGCCGAAGGCCTCCGCGGCGTGATTTCTGGGATCGTCATCGTCGCTCATCCAGGTCGAAAAGGGGCCGGAGTGGCCGGCGTTGTTGACGAGGACGTCGAGGTAGCTGTCGGTGGACGCAATGAGGTCTTTGGCAGCGATGATGCTGGATTTGTCGGTAACGTCGAGGAGGAGGCTGGAACGAAGTTCATATTCCAGTCAAGCTTGGCGAAGAGTGAGCACGTACGGAATCAGCTTTCCTCTCCCTCTGAACTCTTGAGCGCTCTTCTCCACGACAGCCTTCCGGCGCCCGCCGATGTATACCTTCGCACCGTTCGCGGCTAGCCCCTGCGCGATCATGAGCCCGATACCCGTGCCGCCGCCTGTTACGAGCGCGACACGATCCGTCATGTCGAAGAGGGCGGAGGCACGCAGGTCAGATGGAGGAGCCGCCATTTTGAAAGAAATTATGCTTTGAAAAGCCTGGTCAAGGGGTGAAAAGGCAAGAGAGAGTGGTATGAGGGGCCAGGGGGTACATGGAAGGGGGGAAAGAGAAGCAGGGGCACGGCGGCTCTATATATGATGGCTACGGGGGTGGCTTCTGCCCGAGAGAAGGACACCTTACAATAGTAGCCAACTTCGAGAAGAGATGCACACAGAAGGCACGAGAAACTGCGAGCGAGCACATGAGCGAGATCGAAGACTGGGCGAAGACGAAATCCCCATACCTGATTGCTCTATCTGGCTGGACCGTTGTACAGCCGATCCGACTCGCCCGTGCTGAACTGTCGAGACCGCCAAGGAAGGTGTATGTTGAAGCATTGGACACCTGTACCGTTGGGTGCGCGGTAACGTCCAAGGAGACAATTGTATCGAACTCAAATGTCGGTGGTCCAGAAGGCGAGATTGAGATGCAAACAGATAATAGATATTACAATTAAATCAGATTCGATCCTTATTCCTCGAGCGTTAGCAATTGAAACGGCCGAGTAAAAACCAACACTCACACATCATAATGTAGTATCTCAGAACAACGCCTCATAACATTGCATCCTATGCCCTCCCTTCCAGTCCTGCATCTGACACTCCTTGCTACAATACTTGACCGCCTTGCACTTCGCACACCGCAGCTCTGCATCTTCTTCCATGCACACATTGCACTCATACTGTCCCGGAATCTTGCCCTCCAAATACTCGCGCGTCGAGCGCAAGAGGTACCCCGGCTTGGGCGGCGCTTCTCCCTCTGTACCGGCTGCAGGCGCACCACCGTCCCCTTCGCCCGCAGGCGGCTCCATCGCGTCTATGGCATTCAGCAGCTTGTGCAGCATCTCGACCTCGACGCGGTGCACCATTTCGAAATTCTTGAACCGCTCGTTCGCCATGATCAAGCCCAGCTTGCGCGCCAGGCGGTCGCGCCGCGCCTTGTCGATGCTCGCGCGCCGGTCGTCGCCCATCTCCGTATCGCACCACTGGAGCAGGTGGCGCAGAAGCGCAGCCAGAGGCCCGGGCCCGCTGGGGCGCAGCCACTCGACGCCGTCGTTGAAGGCTTGGGCGACGATATTGGGCAGGCCGGAGGCGCGCTCGGACAGGAGGAACTTGCGGAGGTAGGGGTTGCGCTCGGGGTCGGGGAGGAGGGAGAGAAGCTGGATGTAGGATGAGAAGGCTTTGCGCTGCGTCTCGCGTGAGGTGGTCCGGATTGCGTCCACGAGCGCGGGTAGATGCCGAGCGCTGAAGGCGAGGTAGAACCAGTCCCGTTTATCAGTCGGGAAGATAGTGAGCGCGTAGAGCTAAACATCCTCGTCAGTGAAGGTGCGAGGTTGTTCAGATGAAGGTTCACCAACTTGCTCCTGCAAAGCCTTCATCTCCTCCGCAGTGAAGTCCGTTCCTTCCGGAAGGCGCCTATCTAATCGTGCATTCCTCGCCATCTCGTCTACGAATTTCAGAGTATCCTTGTAGAGCCCAGAGATAGATATTGGTGTCGACATTGCGAAAAAATACCAAGAAAGAGTCGGTCGTGAGGCGATATGGTGGTGGTGAGATAAAGGAAAAAGTCGAACACGTTCAGTGACGTCACGTTCCATATCGTCACGCCGATGCATTGTTCCCATTTAGAGCCTGTCCAGTGACGCCGATTCCGCGGCGGAATGCTGCGAAATCAAGTCCCTGGCGAAATCCCCGGCGAGTCACATGGTCGTCGCCGGCGCTCGCGCCGCGACCGCGTGGTCGCCCCGGGCCCGGGGCGGCCACGTGTTCTCACCCGCGCCTCCTCGCCGCTGAGCGACGGTGCATTCGTGCACGTACGCCTGTCGTTGGCCAGCAGGATGTACCATACATAGTGTATGATAGACATAACTCTTGTTGTTCACAATACAGTTTTCAAACGAGACCCTCACTCGGCCGCGAGACGGGTTGTGACAGGTCACAGGAATGTGACATGTTGATCGTCAATGTGTCTTGCCCGCTGCTGGACATCTCTGCTGCCTCCGCCATGCCGGATGAACCCGACGTCCTCGAGAGAGCACGCAAGCTTGCTGCTGCTGCTGCTGCTTCCGCAGTTCAGGCTGTGGTCGCTGTTGTGACCTTGTATCTCTCCCCAGGCTACTGGAAACAACCGTACCACACGTCGAAGCTGTCTGGGCAGGAATGGGTTGATGAACTCATGAATGGCCACCCCGATCGCATTCACAATGAGCTGGGCATGCATCTTCATGTCTTTGTCATTTTTGTGGCACACCTCCGAGAGCTGGGCCTGGAGAATCCCCGGGATCATGTCTCTCTCGAGGAGCAGGCAGCAATCTATCTGTACACATGCGTGACTGGCCTCAGCATGCGCCATGTAGGGGAGAGGTTCCAGCACTCACCAACAACAATCTCGAAGTATGTTACACCCTATCCTTGCAATTTTGGGCCCGTACTGACCTGCTGAATAAACAGATACTTCCGAAAGGTCCTCACCGCACTCGCGTCTGATCTACAGAGGTCTTGACTGGACAAAAGTCAGAACGGCACAGTGAAAGTCGAGATTTGGTGGCGAATCACCCGGGAATCACCGTGATTCCTGATGATTCCCGGGTGATTCCCGATGAATCCTCGTGATTCCCGATGAATCACGGTGATTCCCGATGATTTCGCCGTGAAATGCCCGTGAAAGCGTCGTGAAAGCGCCGTGAAAGTCGTTCTCTGTCGAACCAACCCCGATTTCCCCCATTTCTGCTGCCGTATCAGTCGTGAATGTATGAATCGACTTTTCCTGTCACCATTCCGCAAAAATCCACCTTATTTTCGCCCCAAACCGCGGGGACACCCTGTCACACCGAGTTTACTGCCATCAGATTTTGTCACGTCGTGTGACACACGCTTCCCATCATCTCTATTGTTCCTTCTTTGATCTTACCTCCGTTCTCTCAACTATGGATGGTGTCACGGCAGCGTCAGATTTACCAGCACAGTACGAGGCAGCATATCAGCACCTCCTCCAGCGTGTATATCGCGCCCTTGGATGTACCCACCTTGACGATGTTTCGACCATCCGCGACGAGGTGGCGTCGTTCATTGAAAGTGTCACCCAGGTAAGCACCCGGATATAAATATCGGCATACACATTAACCTGAGCTGTTGGCCACCCATAGGATAGGTATATCCTTCCTCTTTCGGACTACGACGCTATGATTCGCAATGGCGACTGCATGTTGGAATCTCTTGACGAGCACCTCGACCTTATTCGCGCGCAGCCTCAAGATGTCCCCACAAATGGCTCGGCGCATCCGCCGTTCTCTGCCGATGACTTGTCCTTTATCGACCACTACGGTGATCTCTACGATCACCTTCATGAGCGAGTCACCATTGGCCTCGTCTCGCATGCATCCGATATCACGGCCCTCGTCGCACTTCGTGGCGACGTATCTGCTTTCCTCGCAAATCTCGAGCAGGTAAAACCCTCCCATATACGTATCCTACGTATCTGACCACCACCTCAGCATTCTCTCCGCGTCCCAGGTCCCGACTACGCTGCTATGCGTACCAATGCTGTTCAAATGCTGGCCGCGCTCAACGATGCACAAGCGGACGCGCGAGTACCCTCCGACTCGGCTCACATCCGCATTGTGAACAGCTTTCCCGACGCATACGACGTTCTTCTTGCCCGCGTCAACCGCACATTGTTAGCCCACCTTGGCAATGGGCCAGAAATTGCGGCCACGCGCGCAGACGCTATTAGCATCCACACCCAGGTCCAGTTCGTACGTTCCGTCTCATTCCCCGTTGGCTTCCGACATCCCATCAATCGTCTACCTTACAGCACCGTCATGCGCTCCCCGCCGACGGGTACGCCTCTCTATCCTACAATATCACGCAGATGATAGAGGCCCTCGACGACGCTGCCGAACAGTGTCGCGACCCTCCCGACGCCCCACCCATCAGCGTCACTCATAATGCCACCAACCGTATCGGGCGCCCACCTTGTGCAGTAGGGCGGGTTTAAACCCACCTGACACCTGTCATACCCCGGGTTGAAATCTCACGATGCGGTTGTCGAGCCCGGCAAATGCCGAGCTCGCAGCCGCTAGAGACGCCGGCGCCGCCGTTTTCCTGCCTTATACGGCGCCGCGGCCGTGATGCGCGCGCCGCGTGCCCATCCCGCCGTCGGGGGAGGCGCGTGATGGCGTGATCGGGCGTCGGGACGGCCACGCGCGCGCCCTCGACGCGTCGGGCGTGCCACGCGCGCGTCCACGCCGCCTTTCCCGCTTGCGCTGCTGCGCTAAAAAGGTATATATATGTTATATTTTGCGTACGATGCATTTATTGTATGTATTTAAGATGAAAGATGCCCACCGCGCGCAGTAATACGCAGCGGCAGGCGCGCGAAATGCGCTCTATACGGCGGGGGGGGGGGGAGGGGAGTAGTAGGGGGGAGGTATCAATATACCCGCACACTCCCTGCGCGTACGCGAGCGAGGGCGGGGACGGATAGGGGGGAAGCGGTAGGGGGTGGTGGGGTGGCTGCTCTCGTGGCTCCTCGTCGCCTGCAGTTCGTGCGTCGACGGCCAGACGCAACCCCCTCTCATAGCGCGGCCGTACGCTTGCGTGTACGGCAGGACCACGAGAGGGCGCACGCGGACCCTCGCAGGGACGCGTACGGCCCACCCCCTCCCTTCCCCATCACCACCGGCTCCCCTGCCATCTGACCTTTGACGATGTCAAAGGGAGGAAGGGGAGGGGATGTGGGCCGCGATACCGCGTATTCACGCGCGAAGCGAAGCCGCAATGCCGGAAGGCATTGGCGGCGCGCTCTGCGTGGGGGGCGGTACCGGGCGGAGGTAGAGAAGAAGCGAGCCGCCGCCGCGCAGAGTGCGCTGCGCATGCGGTGGCTCTGGGGAATGGGGTTGGCTGGGGGGTTGACGCATGGCAACCGCCGCGATAGAGGGGAGGGGGGCATTGAGGGCGGGGGACGTTGAGGGCGGGGGACGTTGAGGGCGGGGGATCCGCGCTACGTGGTAGCTAGGAGGTGCGTGTGGGGTGAGGTGGCGCTTGGGAGAGACGAGGGGGGCGGCGGACGGCCAGGCGAAGCGCTGCTGGCGTTGGCGAGCAGCGCTTAAAATTTTCATTAGCAACCGATTCTTGTGTTTGAATGGAAAAACGCACCTGAGGGGGGCTCATCTGAGCCCCCCTACCCTTCCTTCTCTTCTCCGCGCGTCGTTGGGCAGCCATTGGGCTGTGGGCGGGGGTGGGTGGCGGCGGCGATGGTGGTGGGAGGGAAAGAGCGACGCGTTACGTCACGTCACACGTCGCGTTGAAGGCGACGCGTTCGTGCCCCATTCTGAGCCATTGCGAGCCATCCACGCCCTCGTACGCCTTCAAAATTGGTGATATAGTACTTGAGTAGTATTTAAGCGATGGCATGAAGTTTGAAAGCGAGGGGAGCGATGTAAGGTGTAGAAAATGTACAAATAACGCCCAAAAGCGCCCAAATTGACACAATCCATGGGTTTGTACTCCATCGAACACATCCCTTCGTAAAGTAAGAGCATAGTAACAGTCTCCAGGAAGTTACACACACGCTACATTTTATTTGGAGGGATGACTTTGCTTGGATCCTTGGCAATGGCCATTGAGGTTCTCTATGTACATCTCATTCACAGGAACGGGCTTTGGGATGAGATGAGCGTATATAAAACCACAATAATTCACTAATATTGGTTCGACTTCGGGATACCCTGCAGATACACCCCCGGTCAACATCCCGTGAGGTTTGCAGACTTACAAATGCGCCGTTCGCGCTGCGGGTATCGCCGAAGCTGGGGGCGGCGGGGCAGACCGGTCCCAAATCGCTACTTATCGGTCCCAAATCGCTACTTATCTTGCGCCACCCTATCCCCTCCCTCCATCTTCGCTCTCCGCCGCTCGCTCCCCCTCTCACCTCCCCCTCTCATCTTCCCTCTCCTTTGCTTGTCCAATTCGGTGTATATTTAGCGGCGATCGCCTCGATCTCGCTGCTGATCCCACCCCCACCTCCTCCCGCTGTCCTTCGATCGACGTCCCAACGGTCTGCCTGAATACCCGGAGAGGAGGATAAAGGAAGGGGGGCTTATACGAGTCCCCCCAAGGTACGTTTCAATACCAGACACACAAAACAGCGCTAATAATGACATATAGCGCCGCTCCTCAGTGCATGCGCTGAGGAGCGGTGCTTCGTTATATTGTCCCCTACACCCTCAAGCGACCAATCTCCTCCCACCCCCCATCACCTCTCCATTATTTCTGCACATTCGGGCGAGGGCCGCACCCTAGCAACAGTGGCGGCATGGGGATCGGCTCCCCCTCCCCCTCCCCCTCCCCATCCCATCCCTTTTAGCACGATACCGTGCGCGCTTCCCGGATGAAGTGCGCCACGTATGCCGCTGCTCACTACATCGCGCAGCGCTTACCCGCGCCCCTACACGCCGTCGCGACCTACCGGCCTCGAAGCCCCTTGTCAACGCCACGTGTCACGGCGCGACCGAGCATGCAGGGGCGTCGCGCACTCTCTCCCCCTCTGCTCTTCCTCTCCCTTACCCCTCCATGGGTGATCGCAACAACAGCTCACGACGGCGCCACCAAGCGCACTACCCACCCCCTAGCGTGCCCAATCGCATGCCCGCGCCCCACATACCACTCTTACCTTTTCACTGCGCACCATCCCCTCCTTTCTCCCCTCTTTCCTCCCCCTCCCCCCCCCTCTCCTCCCCCTTTACCCCCCTCTCCTCTTACCCTCACCACCTCCTATGCTGATCGCCCCACGTGTTAGCGCCGTGAAAATTTTCGTGCGCGCTTTTTACGTCCTGTTTTACTTCCTGTACTTCTATAGCATTCGTTGTATACATAATATAGTAATATATCATGCTTAAATGCAGCAAAGGGGATTCGAGGTGGCGAGGGCACGCGTGCGGCACGCCACGACGCGTCGAGGGCGGGCGCGCAGCCGTCCCGCGGCCCGATCACGCCATCACGCGCGCCCCCGACGTCGGGAAGGGCACGTGGTGCGCGCATCACGGCCGCGGCGCCGTATAAGGCAGGAATGCGGCGTCGCCGGCCTCTCTGTCGGCTGGGAGCTCGGGAATTGCCGGGCTCGACAAGCGCATCGTGAGATTTCAACCCGAGGTATGACAAGTGTCAGCGGGGTTTAAACCCGGCTTACAGCATTGGCTGGGGCGCCCGCGTCTTGATATCGATGTCGACTTTTTACGCGAAGCCCTCAAGTACACGAGCGTCACTGAGATAGCATCGTTTTTGGGCTGTCATCCACGAACGGTCAGACGGCGTGCGCTCGAGTATGGACTGGCCGTGCCTGGCGATCCCGTGTGCACATACACTGTCGACGAAGACGGGATATGCCGCAAGCGCTACACACCCAATCGCGTTCCAACCTACGTTACTCAGATTACAGACGAAGAGCTGGACGTTCTCATCGACAACTACCTTACCGATTTCCCCTACCTCGGCAGGCGCATGCTCGATGGCTGCCTTCGCGCTGATGGGTACCGCATCCCTGCCAGTCGCATCATAGCCTCGTACCGTCGTGTCCATGGCGCGCCTGCTGCGTTCAGCAATCGTCGAATAGGACGTACCAAATATTCGGTCGCTGGCGCCAACTCCCTCTGGCATCACGATGGTCAGCACGGTGTGTCATCTCATCCACTTCATTCGTCCCTCTCTCATGCCCAAAGCAATAGGTCTCATCCGTTACAAGATCATCATACACGCATTCGTTGATGGCAAATCCCGCTTTGTCACCGGCATCCGTGCCAGTAACAACAATCGCAAGGACACCGTGCTCACCCTTTTCCTCGCTGCTGTCGATGTCCATGGAGTCCCCAGTCGCGTGCGGGGTGACTTTGGCACCGAGAACCTCGCTGTTGCTGAGTGGATGGAGGTCCACCGCGGTAAAGGTCGCGGTTCATACATTTGGGGCCGGTAAGTCGGCCGTCGGTACATTCATAATATATACTGATTGAATACTTAGGAGCGTTCACAACACCCGCATCGAACGCTTATGGTACGATGTCACTCGAGGCTTTGGGCGCAAATGGAAGGATTTTTTCCACGTCCTTGAAGAGGAGGCTGGTCTGGATCCGCATGACCGTGGCCACATCTGGCTCCTCCACCATCTATTCCTCGACGCCATCAATGCTGATGCTCTGGCGTGGGCTGAGGCTTGGAACTCTCACAAACTTCGGCAGGATGACAGCCCTCCGCGCAGCCCGTCCCATATGTTCTTCTTCAGCCAGATGCGCGATGGCCGCCGGGGTATCACCGTTGCCCCCACCCCCGTCGAGGAGGAAGTGGCAGATCCAGCCAACTACGGTATCGACCCCGACACCTTGCGCAACCCCCGTCTAATGGCGCACTTCCGCGACAACAACCCTGATGACAGCGAAGACCCCGCGGTCGTTCGCTCGTTCCCTCCTCGCCTCTCCCACGTCGAATGCCACCCGCCGGACTGTCCTCTTCCCTCCGAACATGTGGAGCTCATGGACTCTGCTGTACGCCAGCGGGCCCCCGTACGGTCCAACAGTCTCGTTGCTCGGCGACATGTCTGGCTTGAAGCACTCAATATTTACAATCACCTTGTTTCTGTACAGAGCACCTAGTGTATATTCATTCACGGTGTCATTCATACCAATCTCATGTTTTTTTCCCTTGCGCACAGGTCCGCGGTCCTTGGTGAACCAGGCCCGTTTCCATTAAGGAAGGGCTCCCCTTCTCCTTCCCATCAAGGAAGGGCTCCCCATTGCGCCACATGATCGGCAACATCCGATTGACGTTTGCTCGCCACCACGTTCTCGGCCACGTTCCTGCCCCAAATCTTCCTTGGGGAATCCGTTCAGGCACGACAGCGCTGCATTCACAGGGCGCGCCGAAATGACGGCCGCCGCCGCCGCCTCCCACCTCCCGCCCCCCGCCCCGATCACCGCCGCTGTCCTCCACCGCTTGCCGTTGCCGTTGCCCTCCCTCACATCCATCCTGACTTTGTTCTGACCTCCCCGCCGGGGCACGCTGCTGCGACGCGCGTTGACGACAAAACGTGGCCGATCAAAAACTTCGCTGCCGCGTCCTCCTCGTTTCCCCCCGTCCTTGTGCGTCAACACAAGGCCATCCCTTCTCCTCAAGTACCCAGTACTCCGTATCTGCATCGAATCAAAGTGGAACATTGGCCAACAACGAGCTGGTTACAGCACACACCGCGCATTGGTGATCGCACGGGATGGAGGCGACCACCCTTCCCCCTCTCGTGTGCCCTTCCCCTTCCTCCCCCCCTCCCTGCCCAATTAACTCGTATCCCTGACACAGCGCGCACCCCGTAAATGTGCGTTCGGGCGCCTTCACGTATGCCCAGCACTGACAAGAATCCCTCCACACCGCCCCCACGATCTCAACCTCCCCTGTCCGTCGAACCCCTCCGGACGCCTGCAATGTCAATTTCTTCCTTCATCCAGGTGTGCAACCCTTATGACGCGCGAGCATCGCGCCCATAAATTCCAAAGTCCTCACTGATCGGTGCCTCATGTGGTGGCTGCGCGTGCTCGTCGTGCGCTCCGGCGCTGCTCCTGCGCAAGTGTATGAACCTTGCTGTCATGCTGTAGTTATTCGTCAGGACCGTAGGCTATCTGTTAATGCATCTGAACATCGAAATGAACATGCAGCACAAAGGGGTACACGAGAGTTTCTGGACATAGGAGGCTGCTCTCAGCAGATATGATTGTATTTTACTACCTACTCAGAGCGTACCAATCGACTTTTGCATGACTGGCAAGCTGACGTTGGGAATAGCGGTCTCGGTGGCTGATCAAGAACTTCAAGGGAGCAAATCATATTTCGACCCCTCATGCCCCTTCAAATCACGCCTAGCTTCATGCATGGGTTGATTTAGATGTATATTACACGATACCAACCTTTTCGTGCCATTGGTGGTCTTTGAAGGCTCGCAAATGCTGCCGTCGTCGCCCAGAACGCTGCGATCACCGACCTTCGGATGCTCGGACCGGCCTCCGCAAAGCCTTCGTCGCCGCGGTCGGCGACGTCCAAGGGTTCAAGGAGGACGAATCAGGTCCGCGGACCAGCCGGAATAGATAAAGTGCATACGACTACAGGGCATCCTTGGTTCAAACCCGGGCGTAGGTACTTACAGGGTGCGGCAATGAGGTCGAGCAGGTCGGAAGGGACGATTGAGGGACAGTACGACGTCTAGATTGACGAAGCAGATTGGACGCACTCCTTGGTCTATTCGTGCTCTTGTATGCATCGGGAAGGCGTAAAAATTCATGGAGAGCTACATATGTACATCTGCTGTATAGAGAGATAGTTTTCATTGCCAAGAATCTTTGTAAACGTTGGGTATAGCACGAAACAGCGCGAAAGTGGCGCGCGCGCTCCGAGTCCGGTAGCTCGGCAAGTATGCCGACGTACCGATGGCAATAAGGTCAATGTCTGAGGTCAATGATATATAGATAAAGAGCATATATCAAGCTTACCGAGCGCTGGCATGGCGAAACCCCTATACTATGCGATCCTGAATCGGAGGGTGGCGCGCCAACAGGCGCCCGTGTGACGTGACGTCACACGTCGTTTCTTGCCTCTCGCCACCACCGTCCGCCACGCCACCCCGTCGCCGGTCGCCTTCCCGCCCGCGAACATATCAGGATCCACGAGGGATGAAACTCAGGATGCTTTAGGGGCGTCAGGTACGTGATACGACTCATGAATGCAGTACAGCGTCGCTCAAAAAAATTCATGTTCATCTCCCGTCATGACGTGCCCCGTCCCATCCTATCCCTCTCCTCTTTTTCCGTCGCTCGCCCTTCCGATTACACCACACCGGCAACCCCACTTGCATTTACGCTCCCATCACCGCTCGTTATGCGTGCTCAGCTGCACGCTCGCTCATCCTCGCTACGATACGGGAGCCCGTCTCGCAAATGACCTCCCCTCTCCTTCCATCCTCAGTTGCGTACGCATGGACAGTCAAGAGAGGGGACCCTTGTTCTTCACCTTCGCGGACGTACTCCGGCTTCTACCCAGGCCCAGCACTTTCGTTCGCGCGATACTCCGACAACGCACATCCGTGCAACTCTGCACGACGTGTGGTAATCGGTGTCATTGCCGTTCGCGGCGACGTTCGTGATGCTTCGCGCTACGCCTTTCACGCGGAGTTGAGAGTGTCGCTGCTGCAGAGATGATTGCTCTCGGGAGCAGGGGCGACGTCAGCCGGAGCGTGAGACACCGCGCGGGCGGAGGGAGGCCGAGATGAGTACGGCAACTCAGCCCACCACGACCATTTGACAGGCACCTTGCTGGTGAGTACGCTGCAATTCCCCGAGTCTGCGGTGTCCCAGAGCGCGGCAGGGCGTGTCGTGCTCACGCACGTTTTGTGGCCCGATGACGACAGCGCATCGCGGGGCGGGGCGGCACCGCGCGAAGCCGGCGGCGCGACGCGCGAGGACGGAGTCAACGGTCAGGGAGGAAGTACGGGCTTCTTCCGTGCCCAGCGGACCGTGCGGCACGATGATCAGCCGGCACCGGCGATGACGAGCGGGCGTCTGTCATCGTCGGCGAACCCCTCGGACGTCGCGCTGTGTTTCGCGGCAGTTGTCGGTCGCGACGTCCGCGCGGCCGAGCACGGCGGTTATTGTGCGGGGTGCGAACCTGACGCGTCGACGCCCTAGGCTGTGGCTAGCCATCGTTGTCGTCGCATCGCGCCGTATTCCGTGCGCTCCGACTGCAACTTCCTATCGTATGCAGTGTATATAGCTGCAATAAACCCCTTTCAACCTGCAAACACCAGCTCCCCAAGGAATCCCCAAGGTATACCTGGGTTTAATCCACCTGGGTGAATATCAAGATATGGCCTATGGCGCCTGGTCAGTAAACACTGGGTGTATTGTGATACTCCTCCCTTTAGTCACTCGGTATAACTAATTATTGATCCAGACAATGGTGGCTTGGAGGGGTCAAGAATGCAATCATCATACAAGACAATCAAGAAATACAAGATGGGGCGCGTCGCTTGTGTACGTGTCCGACAGACAGCCGACCTCCGATTTTGCCTCGCATTCCTACGTCGAACAGCGGCACCTGTGGCACGTCAGTATGCACGCACTTTGCCGCCGCTCTCACTCACCGGTCGCACATCGTGCCTCTTCCGAACTCGGAGCTGCACCAGGTTACGTTGAAGCGCCCGTTCGCCTTGGGAATCCCGTAGCGCAGGCACTGCCAACTTTCGTCAGCGATCATATAACGACATTCATCCCAGTTCATCACCTTCCCGCAGTAGCGGTACCCCGCTTCGTCGTAGAGACCGAGGGATTGGCGCGCCCGCGGTGGACCGCTTGGGCGAGTAGCGGGATCGGGCACACCAGGGCCTTCTTCCTCGTCACCCGACTCGTCCGCCTCACCATCGTCTGCCGTGCCGCTCCCCTCTTCCCCACCGTCGCCATCATCGCCCACACCGGCACTGCCCTTAGACCCTCTATCGGCAGTGGAACTACCCTCTTCCTCCGAGTCTTCATCCGCACTAGACTTCCTCCCCTCCTTGTCAGCCTCCTCCGCCACCTCGCTGCTGCTCTCCCCCGACTCGCTGCTGCTCTCCCCCGACTCGCTGCTGCTCTCTCCCGACTCGCTGCTGCTCTCTCCCGACTCGCTGCTGCTCACCGACTCTCTACTCGACTCTCGCTGCGCCCCCTCCTTCGTCTTCTTCCCCTCCATCTTCACCTCCGACACGTTCCCCGCTCCCATCGGGCGCTCCCCCGCCTCCGAGCCATCCACCTCCATACTGTCGTCCTCATCTCCACGCCCGCCGCCATCTGCATGGAAATTGACATCGTCTCGGGCGCCGTCCGCATCGCCAATGGAGCACGTACCATGTTCCTCAAGCGCGGGCAGGCTTGTTGCCCAAGCTTTGAGTGTGGTCCTCGTAGGGGCCGCTGGCGCGGCCGCATCCCAGTGCGGCCATTCGATAGGGAGGGAAGATGCGCGCTTAGCCATGTTGTCGCAGAGGTGAGGAGATGTCGACCGCATCTGCCATCCATGCTTTATATATCGACCCCATTACAACATAAGTCTCCTGTCATCGCGTTCAATATCTGCTATGAACCGCCTGGGCACCCGCGCCGGCCACCTACCACCCTGGACCAATACAAGCTTCGTCGCCCTCGTAGCTTCGCCACCCTCGTTGCATTCCCTACGCCGGACCCCCCGCCGCCGCGCGTCCATCCACCATCATGTTCTTGCATGATCCTCCTCATATTCTTGCACCGTTCATGTCTTCCTATCACTCCTTTGGGTCAGATTGTGCGCGCCTGCGTTGCATGTTATTGTCGGCTGATCAGCCTGTCGCCCCTGGTGGCCATCAACCACCCGCAACCGATACAAGCTTGGCCACCCTCGTTGAATACTCTACGGCGGACCACCCTGCCCTGGACGCCGCGCGCCCACCCACCATCGTGTTCTTGCATGATCACCTTCTATTTCTTGCATCGTTCGGGTCAGACTATTACTCACTTGAGTCAACTCGTGCGCGCCTACCCGACCGCCCTCCATCGTCCGGTGGTCAGCCTGCCACCTCTACACCGCATAGCCACGACACACGGCATTGAAACTTCTTCCGATCTATTCCGCCCACCCGCGGGCGCACCGCCCAGAATGCTGCCCACCCCGCTTCCATATCCCCTATTAGCCCCCACCGTGGACGCCGCACATACGCGAAGCGTCGTCGTTATTCTTGATCCCCTGCCCCGCCCCGCTTAGAAAGGCATGAACATCCCTCTTATGGCCACTCGTGTGAACCCGTTCCAGCCAACTCTGATTCAACCATTGTCCGCTCGCCCTTCGCAACCCACGCACATTCGGCACTATTGAATGCACCGCCGTCGCGCCCAATGGGTACGACCCATCCCACCCCCAGTGCTGCGCGCCAAGCTGTCGCGTCCTATCGTCGCGCTTCCACCGCGGCCCGATTGCGCGACATTAATCACACGCCGCCCCAAACCTTAAACGGCAGGGCTCCCCTGCGGCGCTTCTGGGGAACCCTTCCATGTCCGTCCTGCACGTGTCCTGCAGGGTGTTCGGGGTCGTACGAGCGCCGGTCCACGCGACGTTGTTGATACGGCCGCGTCAAGCCCGTCAACGCGATCGATGTTCTTTCCCGCCTTCCTCTCTCCCCGCTGACCGCGCCTCAGTGCCCCTTCAACTCCCTTCTCTATGCCGCTTTCAGCTCTGCGATGGGGTTCCATGTGGAGGCGAGCCTCGCTAAGCGATGGCGCCGGGCTCAACACCGCTTCCTAGCAGCTCGTTAGCATCGTTACGTCCCCCGCGTTTTTGTCCGTCCGTTGACTGACTCGCGACCAGCAGAAGCCCACCCTCAGCACTATTGCTGCAATAGAGCCTGTGCTGCACAGCGCGAAGACGTCGTGCCAAGCGCGTCAGCGTCGATGCGCATCAGGACGGTCCCATTCCGATCTCAGTAGTCTTGCGCAGCCAACGGCGAGCACCCGCTGTGAGTTTTTCATTCTTCTCGTCTCCCCACTTCTCATCCAAGCATCTGCAGCCCCTTTCTCCGAAGCGCGCGAAGTAGCTCATGCGCAACGCGGGGGGCGCCAGAGTAACCATGCACATGGGAGGGCCATGCGAGCGCGTCGCGACATTTTCGTCACCCTCTGACAAAGTCCCCTCCCATTTCTCAATGTTTTCCGCTGAGTGTATTTCCCTTTTACCCCTCTTCATTCCCCTCGTTTGTATGCAAACTCGCTTCCCCATTCTCTTCCCCCTTCTCCATCTGTTCCCCGAGTCTCCCTCTTCTCCATTTGCTTCCTCGCATCTCCTCCCCCATCGACCTTCCGGGGAACTGTCCGACTGTCACCACCGCCCCCTGCGTCGACCCGCCGCTTCCCTTTCCTCGGGTTCCCCTCTCTCTCTGATCCCCCTCATCATCACCCACCCTCCCTTGTTTACCACCCTTTGTTTCATCGCTCGCTCCCTCTCCCGCTGCAGTCCTTGCTAATTCCTTTCGCGCCAGTCATTACGCCAGAGCGAGCGGCAGCTGCCCGCGGAGCGCGCCCGCGCCAGAGCAGTCATCGGATGTGACGGGAAGGCATGCGCGCTGTATGCATCATCTGAGCCCCTTCACTCACCATGCGAGCATCAGCGACGAGCACGCCGAGGACGACAACATCGATGTGGATGTCATGGGCGAGGGGACAGGGCCTGTGCTCGAGAGGGGTCGAGGCCGCGGGCGCGGACGCGGTCTTCCCGTTTGCCGGATACCTGCCATTCCGCTCCTCGCGAGGTACAGTCTCAACCCCTTCGCTGCCCCCATAAGTCGAGATGATACTGTCGTAGACACTGTCGGTAATCGATGCAGCTGCCGCGGACGAGCACAGGAGCTGATGCGTCAAGTGCGGGTGCGCTTTCGCTTCGACTGCGAGAGGTGCTTCTCGGAACGCATCATATCCTAAGTCGTTGTCGTCGGATTTTTGGATGATGGGACCAATGTAGGTCTGCGCTACGTCGTTGGCGCGGGCGCAGGGGTTAGCGACAATGTTGACGCCGGCGTTGGCAGTTTGCGAGAGCGGGGGCATCGAGTTGTATGAGCACGCGTAATTCATATAAGCAAGGATCAGTAGTCGTGTAGGTATAATATCATCCCAGTAACGGTACCAATGTCGATGTTCAGATGATTTTTTGCCGCCCTGTCAGACCGAACGTTCCTGGCCGCCATCGTCCAACCCAGAACTAGCTCGTGGTGCCACCACTCACCCGCTCTCGGTGATGGACCTAGCAGCAACACCTCCGTCTGGAAATTGTTCCAGACGTCGTCATACCAAACCCGAACCCCGTCGTAGGCCTTGTGCTAATCGCGTGCGGGCGTGTACAGCATGTCTATGTCGTATGGTTAGTGGAGTAAATTTCTCTGCCACGGTAGGTGTGCACAGCAGCCAACTTGGCGAACATAAGATTTACGGTTGGGTTGACCGCCTTCCCCTCACGTCATCTCGTGTTTTCACACCTGCATCATTGCTCTTCCCAACATGGATCGCCAAAAGCAAGCTTCTATTGTTCCCAATCAGGCGAACGCCGTTTGTGACGTCAACGCCGATGATCTCACCCAATTTAATGCCCCTCGGTTGCCCAGCGTCGCACGTGCAAGTTAGGCACCGGACATGCAGGATGTTAATTGTTATGGTAACTCTCGTTCCTCCCCATCAGTTCCCCTCACCGAACCACTTGTGGAAGCTGTCCACCGACTCGCTGCTTCCCACGCTCTCTGTTTCTGCCTTCTCGTACTCCCCATGCGGCCATGCCATGTTCTGTCATAGGTCGTTAGCTATACACTTCCTCACATGGAAACAAACACATACCGCCATACCCGCCGCCTCGTCTGGTTCATCGCGATCGTTGCCATCGTACTCCCATCCAATATCTCCCAATCTGCACGTCGCACATTGCAGCGTTGGCCTGGTTTCCGTCAGACGCCCCCATCTCACTTGCCCCTCGTCGCCTAGTCTCGACAGCTCCTCCGCCCGGGCAATATACCCCAATTCGTCTATCTCCACACCCGGGTCGTATCCCTCGAACCGCGCGTCCTCTAACCCATCCACGTACCAAGGCAGGTCTTGTCGGCGGTGCCTCCGCTCCCAAAACCAGGTACATCCGAATTCATCCAGCGCTCGCTCCACATGCACCAGATGTCCTAGGGAGTGAGCATCGCACTGCGGGGACGTGATGTCGACGCTGAGGTTTGCGGCCTGCTGTCCGCTTCGCGATCTACATCGCGCCTGAACCAAGCGCACCAGGGACGAGTTCCCAGCATCCGTCGGCGGAAGGGCACCAGGGCCTATGCGAAGGTAGCGGAGCGCAGGACATAGGCCGTTCGCAAACGCATCCACGATCAGGGGAGATGCCATATACTGGGTATGATCCCCAGCAGGTCTCGCACCACCGATCATGCCTCCATTGCAGAGACCATGAAAGACGACTCCCTCTAGATGACGCAGGCCGCCTAGCCACGCCAACCATGTTAAAGGGTGAGCGCGTAGGAACACGAAGGCCGCGTGCTTGAGCGCTGGCGTGGCGCCAGCCATGCGTGCAACGTCGTCCGCGGTGAGCTCCATCGGTGGGTGATCCCAGTCGTCAGCCTGATTGCGGTCCCGTGCCTCCAAGTACATGATATCCAGCCGCGGCAGTGAGGTGCCCTTCAGGATCCAGCGCATCTGCGCCGTCGAGCATGTCAGAGTGAGTTGCCGTAGATGACACGCCTGCAGAGTGATGCCGCCAGTCTGCACGTTGAGTTTCTCGCGCGGTATTCTTGGACAGACGATCGCGAGCCGACGCAGATGCGAGGCAGTGGAGAACATGTTCGTCCAAGCCTCACCTGTTGGTGGGGTCCCGTCTTGGATCACCCGCACATCTTGGAAGCACGTCCACGTTTCGCCAAACGTTGCTGACAGCGCATGTCGGTCCGTCGCTCGTAACCGAAGGCATCCAGACGAGTGCAGTTGGTCAGCCTCTCGCAGCGCCGCCATCCATGTATCCCACCCTGTCCTTGCGCCAGCTTCGAGAGGTTCCCGCCCCATCGTCTCGCCACCCAACCTCTTTATTTGATTAATCCATTCGTCAACTATACCACATCCCTAGGAGAGCATAGGCGTACCTCCAAGGAGCCGTCCAGTTCCAGGTACCGCAATTGTCGAACCGTCATAGCAGGCCAGTCCGTCAAGGGAAACCGTGGCGCGCGGATTACCAGCGACGTCCACCGATGCGATTCTTTCGCCAGCAGATCAAAGACCGCGCGCGTTGCGTCCGCTCGGGCACGTTCTTCCTGTGGCTCCAGGGCTATGATAACCGTGATGTCGAGCGGTGCATCCCCAGACGCCCGAAGTACTGCTTCGACCTCGGCTGCACTATCGGCCGATGGACACTTGCCCACCCACAAGCATAATGTTGTCCAGAACCCAGAATCCTGCAGTAGAGCCTCCCCCCACTCCACAAACTCCTCAGCATATCCCACGAAATATCGGGGATGGGAGATCAGAGGCGTCGTCTCCGCTGTCATGTCATCGCCTCCTAATCCCTCATGCATTCCAAGCACCCACCTAAAAATCCGTCTCCAAATCGCAGGCGGCAGAGGAGGGCCAGGCAGGCTATATGCAGGCGCCGACTGGACGAGCATTTTCGGTCGAGACAGCGGTGCAGAACCAGCCCAACGCGCATTTAGGCGGGTCCCCCAGACCAAGTCAAATAGACGGACACCCTCGCAAGCACGTGTTGCGCCCGATTGGCCAGCAAGAAAAACCTTTCTTCCAACGCACCGTGGCTCCTCCCGCGTCAATCGTCTGCCCTTTTCTGCCGATCCCGCAATTGCATTGTTTGGTGCGTCCCGGGGCCGCTGCTCTCGTCTACACCGTATTCCGCGCATGGGCAACCAGCCAGATGTCGTTCCATCCTGAGCCATCCCTGCCCCTCACCCACGGGACCTTCGCGCCGCACCCATCGCCGGTTCTTCGTTCCAGCGGGGAAGGTCCGGATAGTCATCTTATAGCCAGTCCCTATCCTTGTCAGACGCTGCGGACGAGACCATGTTAAAGACGTGCCTGTGAGACCCGGCTGCGTTGCGATCTGCCCTCTCGCTCGGTGATCTACCCACACGTTCCGGGCCAGCACCTCAACTCCATATCTCTATCTGCGCGAGGTGAAATCGTGCACTCGGTAAGTGGACGGCGGCCACCCCAGCGCAGGTCCGTCAGCGCACCACAAACAAACGGCGCTTATCCGTTTCCATCTGCTCAGCCCCGCGCGCGCATTTCAGTTTCCCCTTCCGCTTTGATGAGGTCAGTGAAGGCTACCGGCATTCCTTGCCGCAAGGTCGCCATGCTTTAGAGTGCAGTCAGATTGACTTACCCCATGCATGAGTCGCACCGCGCGAACTGTGGACATAGTCCAGCCGTGCTGAAGAGACTGTAGACAGTTAGCCAGAGACGACGTAGCCACGTGGCGCGACCGCCTCGGATCCCGATCACTGCATCACTCGCGTTTGCCATGCACAGCCACCTGCACCCACAAGTCAAGGTCACAAGTTCATTCGCACGCTTCCTCACGTCCTTGTCCGAAGCACCACCGGCCACCCTCTCGACGCGACAATTGATCAGAGGCCAGTAGGAATGTCGATGTGTCATTCCATTACATTATCCATGGCTGTACGCCCAGCCGATTCCATGTACGACGTTCCTTCAATTTGCGGGCGCATGTGGCTGTGCACTGCGCACCCGAGAGCCAGTGATCCAGTGATTGCGTTCAATCTGGCGTGCCACTAGCCGCTCCCACGTCCATCACCTGTCGTTCCCACGCGCCCAGCAGTTGACCTTTTCTGCTTTCTGCCATCGTGGTTGCAAGGGTATGTATTCTGCCACTCATCTCGTCGTCCAAACCTGATGGGGTGACTGTAGCCCTTACGCCATTCGACCCAATGACGACTGTCTCTGCTGCCGATCGCGCCCCCATGGAGATTCTCCTCCGCATCTTCAGTTGCCTGGTGCCCTCTCCCCAATACTGCTGGGAGCAGATGGCGCGCACGTATCAAGACCAAGTCAATGTTCCCATGATTATCGAAACCATGCGGAACGTCCGCGCCGTCTGTTCAACCTGGCGAAACCTGGTCTACTTCCAGCGGTCCATGGCCGTCCCCCTCGTCATCGACCTGGACGACAAAGGTCAACCCAAACAACCACTTCGTCCCATCCTCCAACTGGTGCAGATGCAAGAGACACTACCACTTGTTGCCGCCGTTCTAGCTTCCCCTCATTCGTCTACCCCGATGACCACTCTCGCCATCGCGCACGCCCTCAGGCTGGCGAACGATTTCTCCCATCGCCTCACCCATCTCATAATCCGCTTGGACGGCTTACACCAGTCACCGTTTCCCGCAATCTATGCCCCGCAGCTCACGCACCTCCTCATACGTAGAGATAGTTGTCCGACCAGCTATAACTACCGTTGCGCAGGCGCCGATCGTCAGCATGCCCTTGATTTCATTCGGGCTATTGATGCGCCTCACCTCCAGGTACTGGACGCTGCTGTGGCGTCGATCGGCCCATCTATCTCCTTCGACCCCTTCTTCGTACCTCCGTTCGGTGGATTGACTGTGCTCAACATCACAACGGAGACCCTCACCCAGCTGGCCGCCGTGCTCAAAGCTTTACCGACCTTGGAATGCGTCGCAACCTCCATATACGTTCCCCATGGTCAAGTCGACCTTGATGACCCAACCATCTACATCATGCCGGTCGTTCACTTGCCACGCCTCACTACGTGGAAGTATCGCGGGATGCCGGCTTATCTGTGGCCAATGGTTGGCGCCCTGCGCTCGTGCTCCCAGCTGCGAGAACTGTACGCATCCCTCCACGACGAACCTACCAGCCTTCCGCAGTATTGGCATGAGATTCCCCAGATATGGCCCGACCTAACCCTGCTGGCGCTGTCCCAGTTCGTCCTCGACGAGGAAGAGTTGCTCGCCCTTGTGCGCGCGTTGCCCCTGCTCACGTCCCTCGCTCTGGAGGCCGGTCGCACGTGGCACCCGGAATCCCATGGAGCGCCAGCACCGGTCGGGTCAGCATTCCTTCGCGCGCTTGTAGCAGAGCCGCCCTTATTGCCCAACCTCTCGCGCTTCGCCATATATCATTCCACGTGCTGCGCTCCTCCTCCTCATCTATCCGACGTAGTGGCGGCTCGCATGCGCGGCGTCCATCCACTTTCCACACCGCTACAAGAGTTCACCCTCGCGCCCGCCTGCTGTCGCAAACACATCGACCACCCCCAATATGCAGATGAGCGCGCACTACGGCAACTTCGTCGGCACGGTTACCGCGTCCGCCTGTGCTGGAACCACCGCACTAATTTCATGCGCCCGGTCTGCGCGGGATGTGCTGCCGCTGCGCGTCCTCGGACACCGCCTGTGCAGACAGGAGCATGGGGAGAGGGCTGGGGAGACTGGGAGCCGGCAGGCGGGGGAGTCTGGGGATCGGGAGGCTGGGGCGATTGGGAATCGGCTGGCTGGGACGACTGGGAATCGGGAGGCTGGGGCGGCTGGGAGTTGTCAACGACTGTGTAGGGCGTGTACCTTCTTTGGGCGTCGCCGTCCGTTCTCAGAGCCCGCATGTTGAAGTTTGTGAGTCCAAACCGGCACAACCTACGTAATTGATCACATGACAAAGTGGGTCCATGTGGATGGTTGTAGATCTTTACAGAAAATCCTTGTTTCCTTCAAGTTTGACTTGTACACAATAACCATAGGGAGCTAGAAGTGGTTCAGAGCCATTCACTGGTGCCCTCCCCTACCTTTTGTGTTCCTCCAATCTCCACAATTTAGTAAGCCTTCCGCATGCTCTCTAGGTTTTCCCCAAGCCGTGATTCCTGTGCCGCACGTGGGAATCCCAAATGGCAGGGCTCCCCGCTGTCCGCACGTGGTCAAGCGGGGGAGACCTTCCTTATTGATACACCACGTGTACGTTGTGCGGTCATCTGCGTTTGATGTTTTACTTCCTTGTTGTTCTACTCACCACTGCTTGTTTGCCTTCACATAGTAAAATTTCCAGACCAACCCTACAGGCCCAGTACCTCACACACATCTGCGATACCGTATGACGAGTACTCGGCCACCCGCTCGCCTCCTTCCTGCCAGTCTCTCAGGCGACGATTCTTGACCTCGAAGGCCTTGTCGCACCCCCACCCGACATTCGGCTTCCTCACCAGCATTATTCCTCGCCACAAAACGACGCGGAGATTAGTCATCTGGAGGCCCGCCCAATCTGCGTACACCCAGCGGTCGTCGAACTTCTTCGCCAAGGAGCGCATTCGCCCGCCCGCCGTCCCGCATATAACATGCAAGGTCGACAGCGCAGGGTCATCCCTTCCGATGGCCAGACCTTTCAGGTGCGGGTACACACGGCATGCGTACGTTCCCAGCGATCTCCTCGGCTTTACCGGCAAATGGAGTGACAACAATTGCAGCTGAGGTAGCGGCGGCAGTGGCAGACACCGTTCATCCGGCACGTCCATTTGCAAGGCGAGCAACACAAGCGACGTCCAAGCTCGAGTCGAGATGGTCCGCCAGCAATCGAGCGACACCACTAGCTGCCGTACCTTCGAAGGTAACTGGTGGACATGTTTTTCTTCCCAGGCCTGCGCGCAATCGTCGGATTCACCCGTTCGTACCGGCGACCTCGCTCCATCCTGGCCAGAATGGGTCGAGTTCGCATCGCTGTCATCGTCAGCGGCGTATGCGCCCAGAAACTCCAGATGGTCCGCGCGGCCACCATCAGGGCAGATCAAGGCCGGCAGGTCCAAGTGACTTGCGCTGAGACCCCGCAAGCGATGGCGGAGGGCGCGCACTCGCCCCTCCGTGGCAATCCTATCCGACGCCGTATCGTACCCCAACAACTCGAAGGTGCGTATACGCCATGTGGGGTCGGTGGTCCACTTGCTGACTCTTGCCGTCGCAGTGTCGGTTGGGTGCCCCCCGACAGCTACGTGATCTTCCCAGCAGAGAACGACCCCTTCTCGACGTGAGGCGAAGGCGGACCATGTCGCCATGGCCGGGAAGACACCCCGCGCGCTCACTGTAATCGCAGCTGCGCATCCGCTGGGGGCGCAGAGATAGCTAGCGAGGGCGGAGAGCCACTTCCACAGGTGCGTTTCGACCCCGCCGACCGGCACAGTGTGCAGGATATTGATGCGGAACCTCCGCAGCTTTGTGTCGAGCACGATATCTATGTCCGGCGGCGCCAGGCCCCATTCTCCTTCGTGGCGTCAGCAGGGACCTTTCCAGGTGGGCGACCCTCGACGCACCAACGCGATCCACATTAACCTCCACGTCAAGCTCCTCCACCAGCTCCGATATATTCCCCACTTCGAAAGCCCATCTTGGCGCTCCAATCACGCGTCTCACTGGCGGGTGGTATGCTATTCGCTTCGGCCGGCCCAGCGCCTCGCATACGAGCTCTGCCAGCCGCGACGCGTAGTCGCAGTAAGTCATTATCAGCGCATACGGTCGCTCGCTGGCGCCCAGATCGTCCGGGCAAATGAGGACCGCGCCATCGCAGATGCACTCCGTTAGGCACAACTCCTCCAGCTTCATAGCCTCCCCTACTGCCCTCAGCATTGCCCTGCACTCGTCCGCGGACACCTTCCACCCAGTGAGCCCCACGGAGCGTAGCTCCTGCCATTGAGTAGCCACCAACTGCACGAGTCCGGGAGCCAGCGACGACAGCGCGGTGTCTTTCCGTGGGCCCTCGGCGACGAAGTCAACGGCTCGCAAGCGCGTCAACAAGCCCAGCAGCTCTTGTAAACCGGCTTGCGGGCCCTTGTCACTCAATGGTTCGCCCCCGTTGGGCACCTGCCCGTCGTTCGCGATATCGTTCGGCCATCCGAGGAACAGTTTCCTGACGTGTCTCCGCAGCTTGGGCTCGCGCAAGAGTACGTCGGCAATGTCCACCACCCCTTCGTCGCTGATCAACTCCAGGTAGCTCTTGTACGGAAGTCCCGCCCGGCGCTCGTCTATCCACGGCGTAGACAGCGAGCAGGCTAGTTCGATCGTATGCAGATAAATGGGCACGACGTCTGGTCGCAAACGATGCACGGCGTAGAGCGACCCAAGCGTTTGCTGGTCGTCCGGAGGTACTTCCCGCACGATAGATGTGACGAGCTCGGGAGGTAGACGTTTATCGCCTGCGTCGCTCATGATTGTTGGACGACGAACGGCGCGTCAGGCGTGGAACCAAGGCAGCTACGCCTCACGACCCAATTCCAATACGGCTGCACCATGCCCCCGCCATCGGCCTGTCCCCACCTATACGTCCTTGTTTGTGGGCCATGCACAGTTCACTCCGATCCGCCCGAGATCTCCCACCGATCTCCGCCGGATCTCACGTTAGCAGGATTTCCTTTTTCAGATAATTCCAATTGTCGTCAACCACCCAGCCCGCCGGCGCCATTTCACCATCCGGTTTGGTTCGCGGACCCCTTTGGCCTGCGGCCCAAGCATCAGATAAATTCAAGATAACGAACCGCCCCCCGCCCATTCAAGCGCTACCCTTGCCGCCCATCTCTCGCCTCCTCAGGCCTTTCTCCCATTCCCTCCACACTCCCCTTCACCTCCTTCGCGATGTCCCTCGACTTGTTCCCCCGTGGCAAATGCATTCACTGCGCGTGTGCTGTCTTTACAGCGGCCACGGGTCTCACGGTTCGCGTTCATGGTCTTCATCCACGTCACGTCTTCACTTATCGACTTGTTGCAGGTAGCCGTCGACGCGGACGCCAAATGTGCCCTTTGTCACCATCGATACTTCGAGCACGAATCCTCTCTGGACGAAATCCTCTCGCAAGTCTCCGCCATCTTTCGTAAGGCTGGTATTGCAGGACTTTGCGGGGGCATGGTCTACGTGCGTGTATCTTTTACATGTCGCGAGAAACAATCGTTGACGCACCACAGTTCGCCCACATGCCGCTCACAGGGAGTACCCCATGTCCTGGCTGCAAAGAGCCTCTGTGTGCGCACGGACCGCCTCCAACAGCGCCGGCGCCCCCGCCAGCCAATGCTACGCCCTCCCGTGACTCCCCTCGTCCTCCCCCGCAAGTTTCACGTTCCCCAGCGGTCGGCATAGTCCTCCCACCCCCTGCTCTTCCGGGACGCTCCTCCCTGGCAATTACTTCCACTACCGGGGCCACTCGCGCTTTCCCAGACTTTGTACGGCCAGCGAGCGCACTCACCGCCCAGGCGGTCACGGGAGACACCACCGCGTCCTCCGTCAATGCCACCCGCTTGCAGACGGCAGCTCGCACCCTTCACCCTCCTCAAGCGGTTACGGTAGACGTACGAGGCTCTGGGAGCTCACGTTCTCGTCGACCACGCCACTCACCTGCGGGAACGGTCGTTGATGCTGCAGTACCACCACCTACGCAGCCTACCGCCCATCGCGTCCCGGCGTCGGCGACGGGAGCAAACTCGTCGGCCACCTCGTTCAACGCGGCCGCATCAGAAGCCATTCCCCCGCCCCCATCCGCAGACGCTCGTTCCTCGTCTTCCTCGGGCGCGTCGACCCTAGTCGATCTGGTCATCTGGCCTCTCACGGTAAGCCCCGATGCCGAACCAAGTGGCGTACCTGACGTCTATCTGCAGCCGGACTTCGCCCACCCCAAGGCCGCGCATCCTTACCGCCTCGTCCACCTTCGCTTTGTCGAGGAGCAGCTAAACGCTGTCGTGGCTCGCCTTGGGGAGCATCAACTCCATACAACACTGCCGGTGGATACGACGTTGAGCGGCCAAGACTTGCAGAACCGTATCTTCCAATGGGTGTTCACGCAATTTCGCATGTCGAATATTCAGCACCTCGATGCCCCCCGAGACGATTTCCCAGAGCCCACTGTGCCGGCGCTGCTGAACGCCGCCACGACGACGGCCGCCCCCGCCGAGGATCCCTTCGTGTTCCTGACGGTCAAGAAGCACACCGGGAAATTTATGTTGACCCCCGTCAAGCCGGAGGACGCCCATCGACTTACTTTCGACAGCCTACTCAAGCTGGCCGCACCCTTGCCGCGCTCGCGCTCGTCCTTCACACACCCCGTCGTTTATCTTGGTAAGCGGAACTGCGACGTCGCCCATCCGCTTCTGACTGGCCCGTAGCGCCTAGGCTCAACCACGTGTCCGGCAGGCTTCAGAGTACCAGCGACGCTCGACCGAGTCTAGCCGAGCATGGTCCCTCCCACCCTTGCTTTGGCGTGCGCCTGCTTGCCGGTCTGGCCTATGCCAGCCGCCGTGTCACTGCCTCAGCCCCCCTTGGTCCCGCAGGAATTTTGGGTGGTAACCCGGCCCAGATGTGCTTCACGACAGGTCCACAACCGTGCCCTGGTGCGCTCATGGGTCGAAGACGGGCCCCCCGTGCAGGCCATGGAGCACTCATCCAGGCCCCCGTCGCGGTTTGTCTTATCCCCTATGGTTGCCTTGTACGCGCTCACACGTGCTTCATTAGACTTCTTCATCAATGTCTTCTCCTCCGCAGACGCCACGCCGGGGTCCAGGAATATACAGCGAGCCGCCGCCGTCGTCTCCTCCGCCGCCGTCGTCTCCTCCGCCGCCGTCGTCTCCTCTGCCGTCGTCGCCGCCTCCGTCGCCGCCGCGTTCCCCAACAATCAGTCCGCTCAGGCCGCAGCCATTTCCTGCACTGTCACCGGTATACAACGCCCGCACCCTTGCGAGCACAGGCTCATCATATTCCCTCAGCTTCTAGGCACACCGTCGGCCCCGCCATCCTCCCCTAGACGCCGGCGAACCGATCATGCACGTCGTTCTTCTGTGCGTACACGTTTCGCTGCGTCGTTCGCGTGCCCTAACCCACCTACAGGACGATCTGAGCCCCTCTCCGCCTCGCAACCGCCAGCGACGCGGAACCGTCTCGATAATTCCGCCGTCTACGTTGGAGGTGTCATCCGACAGCGACGACGCTCCAGCCGATAGAGCAGGCCCCGAAGCTGTCGCGCTCTACAGCGATGAGACCTTGCACCAGTGGCTCGTGTGTGTCTCCAGCTACGTACCGAAGACACATCACGCACGAGTCCTTCGCCTACGGGGCCCAAACCTGGAGAGCTTGGCTGCGGCGTTGACGAAGTTCGTTCGATGGTCCCTCCGTGCGCAGAAGGAGCCACATCCGCCAGATGTGCGCCAGAGCTTACCTGCCGATGTCACCATCGGAACACCTGTCCACCCGTTCGCTCACATGCAAATCGACCGTCCCGATGTCGAGCCCTATGTTACGATGTGAGCGCGCTATCTGCCCTTCTGAACGATGCACTGATCGATTCCATGCGTGCAGCGCAACCCACGGCAGGCTGGTCAGCACCGGCGCTGGGCTGTGGCGAGAGGTCTTCATGCGTGCCGCAGGGGACCTCGTATCTAACCACCGCATGTGGACGCCTCTCGGACCAGACACCGGCGGAGGTGCAGACGGCGTCGCTTTTGTCCTTCCGGGTGGACGTGGCGCATGTACCGCCGAGGTCCTGGACGAGTATCGTCTCCACGGCACTTTTATCGGCCTCGGCTGCTTGCTGCATGGCTCCCTCACCTATTTCGGTTTGTGGACGGGACTGGCGTTGGCGCTGGGCGAGGAGATGATGCGGCTGGGCGATGATTTCTTCGCCCGCTACGCCCCCGCGGCCTTCCGACGTATGGCTAAAGTGCGTGCGCTCACCCCCGCGTCCCCTATATGGGCACCGAACACGACTGCGGAGGCGGATGACCCTCACCATCTTGTGTGCGAGGAGCTTGGCGAAAACGTGGGTAGTCTCTTGCTAAATGGCTGGAATCGCACGCTCACCCACACTGGACAGCTGGCGGAGGCCGGCGGGAATACTCATCGCACTGCTGCTGCCCATGCTGCTCTAGTCCAGCGCATTTGGTGCAAGCTACTCCTCTGCAACAAGGAGCCGTGGCAACATCCAGCCTTTAGGGCTTTGCGAGACGGCTTCAACATCGTCTTCGGGGACCGTGGCTATTTACTTCAGGTTTGAGCTTTCGCGCCTTCGTGTCGCCCAGCCGTTGACGCCCTTTGTCTATAAGATCACCAAGCAACATGGCTTCTCCATCCCCTCGCTTTGTGTCGCCATGGCTGATCGGCACGTCCACGACGTCGAGGACTTCGTCCGGCGCATTGAGCTTTACGAAGCTACTGACGGCGACCCGCTGGAAATCTTGCCACCCTCCCAGCGGGCATTGTTCCCCAAGGTGGCTGCGATGATCGTGGATCTTGTTCGCCATTATGCGCGTGGCCGCGGACATACCCCTCAGTCGTTGCAGGACACGCCGGACCTGACAGCCCAGCATCCTGCAGCCGATGCCGATGAATGCTTCCGTGCCACGCTGCTCCTGCAAGCTTGTTATGGTGCGAAGTTTCGACCCGTGCGTCCCGATTGGAGATTAAATGTACGTTGTCCATTCTGCCTCACCGTCGAAAGCTCATCTGACGATGCCCGTCTTCGTTCTCAGGTTCACGTCATTCCTGCGGCGGTAAGTCCTTCCCTCTGGCAGATTAGCTGAGCTGCAGCTAACGGGGCGCAGGAACAGCAAGAAAAGCCCATCAACTTCCATTCCTGTTTTACGCGCATGGATATTACCCTGACGGATGATCTCCTGCGAGTCGTCGTGGACGATTGGAAGACTATGAAGGGTGCTGGGGGTCGCTCGCAAGCGCTGGTATTCCACAATATTCTGCATAGCCAACTCTTGGCAGTCGACGCATTCTATAACGTGTTCTAATCTTATTCTTATGTGCTGTTTGCCTTCAACCCCCACCTTCTCGCGGGCCGTGTCCTCTGCACCAGCGCTTTCCCAGAGCGTGTCCCGAAGAGGAAGGCCTCCCTTGACAATGTACACGTGTATCAGGGGACACCTTCTATTCTGGGTGAAGTGCTGCGCGTGTTTGCCATGTGCCGCATGACTTGTCTGCCCGCCGCCATCGCCTCGCCACCATATATTTCTCTCTGAGCAATGGCGTTGTGTCTCGCTGTCAATTGGTCTTTGTCGCGATCGCTCCTGACCGGGGAGGCATGCTGACTTCCAGCCGTCCAGTTGCAATGGCAGGCGATTTGGCGATGCAAGCCAGGTACCTATGCCCCTATGTCCTTTACTCTGCCAGTATCTGACGCAACGCGGCACAGGGCGATTCGATTGCGCACGCCACCGAACTGGATCGATCGCCTCCTCGGAGCCGGAGCCTCCATTTCAAAGATGGTGATGCTACAGCCGTACACCCCTGCTCTTCCACGATCCTTGTCTGCACCCGAGCGGCTCCTAATCGCGAAAATTGTGACCCCGCAGCCCCATTGGTCTCCCCGTTCACCCCTCTTCCCCCCACATCTTGTTCATTGGCGGCGCAAATTGACGGCATTCTGCATTGCTTCCCCCCTGCTATCCCTATTCACCTAACTCCCTTGTCATCGACGCTCTTTGTCGATAGATGTCCTCAGAGGAGGGATCACTTGCCGTGCCTTTGCGACGCAGCAGTCGAGAGAAGGTCCCCAGCAGCGATGGTCAGGCCTCCCGCGAGTGGCTGGAGGAAGATCGCGCCAGCCGTGGTGGCGGCAGCCGAGGAGGTCGCGGTACTCGCGGTACTCGCGGTGGTGGCGGTACTCGCGGTACTCGCGGTGGTGGCAGTACTCGCGGTACTCGCGGTGGTGGCGGTACTCGCGGTACTCGTGGTACTCGCGGTACTCGCGGTACTCGCGGTACTCGCGGTACTCGCGGTACTCGTGCCACTCGCAGTAGCCCAGGAATCGAGGAGGCCAGCCAACCTCCACCCTCCGCTACGTCCAGCGTTGCGACGCACACGTCTACTACAAGCTCGCCATCAGCGGCAAGTGTCGATCCTGCGCATGGCGAACAGGTCGGTATCACCGCCAGCGGACCCATCACGCTCGGTCCTACTGCTGTATCATGGGAGGGGTACGACTCGGACCTGATGGGCTGGGTGGCCAGCACGGACATGTCCCGCTCGTCGTCGCCAGTGCCGGCGGCCAACGACTCGGTCGATGAGGCCGCTGGTGGCTTTCGCGAGACCTCTGCTGCCTCCGCGCCGCCCCAGTTCTTCCCGGACAACGCGGAACGTCAAGCTCATCGCTTGACTAACGCAAGTCACACGGGGAGGAACCCATCGAGCGCCAATGACTCTGGTGCGAATGCGTACATAGCTCACCCGATACGCCACTGACGTTGTGTACATCTTGCAGAAACTACATCCGCCCTCGTCGCTCCTGCGCCCACCGTCTTCATGATCACCATCGTTCATCCGCCTCTGGCCCCCCGGGTGTTCGAGATCCCTTGCCCGCACGCTTCGGCGCCAAGTCTGCGGATGGCTTTGGTCGTTGCTACGGAGAGCGATTCTGCGCTACGGGATGCGATAGCCTCACTTCAGCCGTTGACGGAGTTCATAGTCATGAATCTGACGAACCACACACCTGGTACTCCAACATCGCCTCCCTATCGCCCACCGACACCTACTCTCGCCGCCTTGTTCGACATTTCGAACCGTCATGTGGGATCGGCACTCCAGCCGCTGGAACTGTCTCACACCCGTCTTGACCTTGCGCTGGCACGCGCGATGGTGTTCCCAATCCAAATCGTGCACGTTGACCTGGAGGTACGTTCCGTTACTCATTGTGACAGCCTTACCCTTATCGACAACTCCAGCAGCCGTCAGCAGTGTCTTCAACGCCCGACTTGATGGCGCTTCCTCCCATTTCGCCTTCTCCACCGTCGGACTGCGGCGCCTCACCTGTTGCTGACAGTAGCCTGCCCGATCCCGCTTCGCTGCGCGAACTCCGCCTCCGCGATATCCTACGCCGCCGGTCTTCGGCTATGGAGCTATTCCCAGCACCGGAAGCCACCGCGGACGCATCTGCACCCCCAACAAACTCAGACCGCTCAGACGTTGGTTGGGCGAGCACCTACTCTGCAGGCCACCCATCGCCGCTGTCCATGCCGGGCGAGCCTAATCCCCCTGTGCAACTGAGCGAGACTACACCTATGATCCCGGCAACCGCCTCGCCGTCACCGTCAGGCGAATCTGACGCTCATGCGTATCCGAGGGAGACCGCTCCTACGATCACGGAGGCACGGTCGCCGTCGCCGCCAGGCGAATCCAACTCCCATGCGCATCTGAGCGCAACCGCACCGACGATCACGGCGGCTGCCTCGCCGTCGTCAGCCTTGGCGATGGCCGGCAGCGTGGCCTTTCAGTACGCAACACCTCATGCGGGCGTTGCTGCGACTTCGTCGACAGGCAACAGCGGTGTTGCCATCTCAGAGCAAGTGCAGGTTTACCTGGGTGGGCGGTTCACCGCGGATCGTGAGCGGCACCAGCGGTGGACGAAAGCCAGGTACGGTACGCTATACATAGCTTTGCTCGACCTTCGCTCGGTCGACAAAGTGTGTAACGCACTAGGCATCTCTACTCAGCGCCACTCCAAGCGGTCAACATCCGTCTTCTTGCCGTCGGGGGAAGTCACGGTGACGGAGGGCGACATAGCAAAGTTTTTCGGTATCCAGCTCGGTACCCTGCGCAACTATCGCACCAAGGCCAATTTGATGAAGAACACGCTGCAGCAGCTCTCGAACGCGCAAGCCCTTCCGTCTTCCTCCCCGGCATATGCGTATGCCACCACCCAAAGCACCTTGGTGGACTGCCTGCGCGCGGCGCTGAATGATGAAGATGTCCTGCTTCCAACCACCCATTCGCACTATAACACCCCTGAGAACTCTGTGGCCGCCCGGACGGTGGCCGATTGGTCCCTGGCGGTGGTGGAGAAGGAGTGCTCGCGCGTGCAAGAGCACTTGGGCAGGTTGTCCGCACGGACGGCGGTCGACGATGGGGGTACATTGGGAGTGGTGTAAGTTCGGACATGTAGGCAGTCAGAAAGTAACCATGCGTAGCGTATATATTGATTTGTGTTTCTGTCGGGGTGTATTGAAGGTTGTATGGTACGAGCAACACGCAGGTCACGGCAGAGCCATGCCTTGCCGCCAGTCGAGCGAGCGGCAAGTGTGGGAAGGGCGACCGTATACGGAAGGGCTCCCCTGGGGAGCCAGGGGAGCCCTTCCTTCTTCGAATATGAGTGGACGTCGGTGTCGTGAGGGCATTGGCCTCAACCACTCAGTCATCTCATTGATCGCTCAGCTCAGAAAACAGCTCATTAAATTGTGACTATAAGGCTCGAACCTCCAATGCACTTCCTACATCAATTACGCAGGCGTCCACTACACAATGACATGGTGCGCCATCGAGTGACACCATCGCCCTCGCAACCCACATTGCGTGGTGGCGCACCTGCAGAGCTTGACAGCCGCGCGCGCAGTCCTCACCCCGTCGCTCACCAGATGCCCTCTTCCATCCACTGGATGGTGGCAGCCGCGGCGCGACCGACGAGCGCATCTTCTCGTGCCCGCCGGACTGGTTGGAGGGCGTCAGGAGGCGCGGAGGTACGAGATCCGCATCGCAGGAGACATCATCCCCGTGCGCCAGGTGTGCATTGTGGCGAACAGTCGCGCGCACCGCAGTTCGCAAGGGCGGGCAGGCAAAGGCTGGGGTTGGAATTGGGGTGAACATGGTAGAGGGGGAAGCGGCGCCGGCCACCCACCATGTGCAGGCGCTACTGTTCAAGCCGCGGAACCTGATCGCTCGCTGAAGCACCGTCATACGGCTGAGAGTGGCGTTGGCACTGACTGATGGTTATGGATCGCACTGGGCCGCCGCCATACCGATGCGTGTGGGCTGTAGCGCCCAACGGTCTGGTCGTGCACTGCCTTCGATCTGGGTATGGGGGAAAGGTGTTTTGAATCCGCTTCGCCCGTTGCCCGCGTCCCGGGGGAGTTGTCTGAGCGCTCCGCCATGTAGACCAAACCATGGTTGCCGTTGGTGGGCGGAAGGAAGCGCTTCTGCGCCATGTATCAGCGGATGCAAAATGCGAGACAGGCGCGGGCGTACCTCTGCGTACCTGCCGTTCCATAGAGGAAGGTTGAAGTTCGGCATGGACCAGGTCGTGGACAAGGCAGGAGCTGCGATGGGATCGGGTGGGTCAATGTACTTGCGCCCCGTTGACTCGCGCGCACCTATACGTTCCGCATCATTGGCGACGGCGATGGTGGGCGAGCTCGCGCTAGCGCTTGGGGTGGTCGCGGGTGCTGGCGACGCTCAGACGCGGAGCGGCGGCGCCTCGAAAACCCTTGCCTACGCAGAGCGTTTGCTTCCGTGGCGGCCGTCGCGTTGGTCTGGGCTGGAGTGTGGGGCTTGATTCCCGAAGTCAGATAGCAGGTCGCGCTGGTTCACCCCACGGTGCAGGAGCCGAGCCACACAGACCGCGCGTCGACGGCGTCGCTGATGTCGCCATCCAGTCTCCGGGTTATGGATTGTAGTTGACAGCCTGCGATCAGCATGCCTCGTCTGCACGAAAAAGGGGGTCAATGACGACGACGAGTGAAAATTTCGGGCCTTAATCCATACTTGCGAGTCTGCTTCCGACCGCCCCCCCCCTCGGATGTAGCGACATCTCAAAGATAAGCAAAAGAGTGGCAGGACATGGGGACCATAGAGGGGCGCGGTTGGAGTGGTCGCGGTGATGGAATGTCTGCGCCGGCGGCGTGAAAGACAGGATCAGGCGCGAGGCTCGTAGCACACACGATCACGTGACCCACGCGACCATGTTATGGTCGCGTGCTGGGACGAGACTGGGAAGCAGCAGCAGCCAATTGGCCCGAAGCACAAGGAACCAATCTTCATACGGTCTCTCACTGGCTCTTCGACGTTGAGAGCGGAGGGGAACTAACGCGCTTAGGGCAACGCCGCCCATGCTGACTCATGGGTAAAAACTGGCTCACCTGTGCCAGTGCTGAGGGTGAACCGAAGCCTGATACAGGACGCCATGGAATGCAAAGTCAAGAAGTAACGCATGTATCGTGTAAATGTAGCTAATCCCTCAACGACGCTTGGTGGTTTTCTTCCCCCCGGCTTTCTTTGCGCGCGGCGCGGGGGCCGGCGCGGGCGGCGTATCCGACGACTCGTAGTCCCGTACGTGTGTGTCGTTGAAGTGGTCTATGCAGCCACGGAGGTCGACGACATCGCCCGGATGCTGCCAGTCAAGCCCCTTCTCCACGCCTTCCAGCAAATACTCGCGTCCAACCGTGCGGAATGAGGCACCAACCTTGCGTCGCCTCAGCTGTAGTGCGATCCTGTTCACCACCGCTTTGGCCAGTTTATCCACATCGCAACCTCCCTCCTCCCAGTTCGGCCGCGCCAGCCGTTTGCGAAGGGCGATCTCCTCGGCGTCGCACGTCTGCAATATACGGTCGTCCATCCGAATGTACAGTTGCGGTTCGAGAAGCATAAGCGTCAAAGCGATCATGGGTTTCCGGTACACCACTGAGGCGCGGTTGGTGAGCTATGCGTTCGCTGCGAGCGGACGCAGAAGTCTTACCGTAGCCGTTTCTCAACCGAGCTGGCAGCGCGGCGGCCATGGAGATGAGCATCGTCTGCACAGAGCAGGCGTGATCGTGGTTGGTGGACTCGATGTCGGAGTTATGAACCTGGCAATACCTCACGAATTCGGTCAGGTGAAGGTGCCCGAAACCGAGGATGTGCGCCCCCGCACTCGCCGTGTGAACAGGCGTCATGACGGTGTGGACCACTCCCGGAGGCTGAAAACTAATCAAAAAGTCCAAAGTCAGGCGCGTCTCGCAAAACATAGGGAGTTGTACATACACCATCATCCCCGCAGACACGTCGAGCACACATGCGTCGATGGGAGGCTTGCGCTGGTCGGCCGGGACGGTAGGGTCGTCCGTCTCGCCCCACGTATCCGTGGCGGCGTCCAGCACCTGTCGCTTGAACTCAGCGACCATCTTCTCGTGCTCGCGTTGCGCCTCGTGCTGGCTCCACGTTTTACTCTGGAGGACAGGCTGGTAGCCTCGGGTGACGATCCATATTTTGCGTCCTCCACCTCGTATTTGGATAGATGTGGCCAGCCCGTCCGCATCGTGGTGGCCCAGCGTCACGAACCGCCCCGTATGCAGCAAGAACCAGTTCTGGATGCGAAGAAAATCGACGACGAGGGCGTGCGGCGCGGTGTAGTCGAACGAGTGTGACCTTGCGTTGCACTCCAGCGCGCCGTCGCTGAGCACACTGCGAAATGTCAAAATCGAGCGCGCTCCTCATACTGACGACGCTTACTCGGATATGTAGTCGCGTTGGGCCATCGGGACGGTCAAATCCAGTAGGCAGCGCACTATGCCGGAGTCGCCAAGCCAACTCCTAAAGTCGACCAAAGATCCAGTCACGTATGGGTCCATTTCGTGGCTACGGCGCTTGCTGGCATCTACGCGGGACGGCTCTGCACATGACAAACATGAGGACGCGCATAACTCACCGTGAAACTGCCGTTTGGCAACCAGGTTGGCGCCTAAGACCCCGCGTCCCGGCTCCTGACCAAGGTAGGGCAGTTGCAGGGCCGGGTCGTCCTCCCACGAGTTAACACGACAGGCGGCATCCACGCTATCTGGGTAGTTGTGTATCACGACGACTACGCCTTGCGACATTCCTTCATCTACCACTTTCGCGGTCTCCTCGTACGTGGAAAACTCGCGATGCCATACCATGTCCGGTCGATCGGTGGACATCTTATAGATGTCGGCCGCCTTTCTCATCATGTCTTCCTCCTGGTAGGAGAATCAGCGGGAGAACGAGCTTTCGAGAGGGTGAAGGCGAGACCCACAAATGCCAATGCATTCTTCTCCCAATCCTTATCGTCGGTGAGGTATGGCGCGCACACTCGGAGACCGCTTGCAAACTGAATGTCCGGCACCGCAGGGGGATGGCCGTCATAGGATGTCAGGTCCATCAGCGGAGGGGGCAACTCGCGCCCGATATGAGTCCCGATTTCGTGCGGGCGGCGCACAGGCGAGCGACCGCTGGACGAATGTGGCGTATCCGCATAGGAATCGACCTCCACCTCGGTGGCGTGTTCTTGCGGCGGCGGTTCCTGGGTGGCTTGGGGCGAGGGCTCGTCGATATCCATCGAGGGCTCGTCGATATCCATGCTAACGGGCTGCTGGTCCATCGCTGGCGCAGCATTCTGCTGAACCGCAGGAACTGGAGTGAGCGTGGGCAACTCTGGACCAGCTGCATCGCGCTCTCGACTCAGCTCATGTATCGTCGCCCGCGCTTGCTCCAGTTGCTGGAAGAACAGATCCCGCTGCCCTTCTACCTCAGCGAGCCTAGCCAATGTCCGTGTGTGCTCCTCCTCCTTTTGCCTTGCTTTGGCTTTGCGCCGGACGCTTGTTGACACGTGTTAGTTTGTTCATCTTCAAGGCATGACAAGTACGCACTACTTTGCGTGTTCTTTCTCTGATTGCGGGGTCCGGCCAATTGCCACTGCCTGGGGAGCGTCCGGCGTCGCCATGTTCATGTGCTGCCACCTGCGTTTGCTTGACTTCGGCGCACTGTCGTCCGTGATCGGCGATGCGTTCGGGACGGGAGCCTCTAGTCCTTCCTGCTGGCCCCAAGGTGTCGACTGGGGTACAGCACTTGATGTCGAGGGTATTTCTGACCCGGGTGGCAAGTTACTGATGCGATTGGAGCTCATGATAAAGGGATGTGTGAAGAGCGTCAGCAAAAGGCAGGGCTCCCCTCCGCCCAAGTCGAAAAAGGAAGGGCTCCCCCTCCACGTGGGTCAAAGCGGGGATATCCCGGCCCGCCTCTCTGCACAGCATCCGACGCCCACGCGAGTCCTTTCTTACAGACCTACCGAAAATTCACGCTGCAACCGAACTCAGCCACTCCTGGAAACGACAACAGTGTCGGATTTGGCATGACATGCAAGCGCATCTCTCCGCATACGCTGTGCAGGCCGCAAGCTCTCTTTGGCGGTCCATCTCTTCGCCCGATACGATCTCGAAGACGTGCCTTTCGGAGCTGAGGGGCCGCGGGTGCCTTCCCACCCGGGTATTGCAGATTCCTGATGTACTTTAAGGATACCCGAATGGTACCCCCGTCGGTCATCAGCTAGCGATGCGCGAGCCCCGATAAGCGCCCGCGGCCGGACCAAACTGTCCTGCTTTGCTTCTGCCTCTCAGCACGCCTGCACTGTGGACATGACACCCAGCAAGCGATCCGCAGACCATATAGGTCACCCATCGGCGCCTCCAACCAAGCGTGCGTCTGCGATCGATCAGCACTTCCATCCCATAGTGCGCGTAGAGGAACCTACAAACCCGGGCGCCTACGTCAAGGCCTTGCTCAATGCAGAACAGGCATACGTGCTGGACGTCGTCGTGCGTGAGCGACAGAGCGTGTTCTACACAGGCTCAGCTGGTGAGCCGCTTCCATTGGACCTCGCCCCGACATCGCTTACCAGAATCAGGCACTGGGAAGTCTCTCCTGCTGCGCGCAATCATCGACGCGCTGCGACGCAAGCACACGGGCAACCCCGGCGCAGTGGCGGTCACTGCTAGCACAGGCATCGCGGCGGCGAACATAGGAGGTAAGCTATCCAAGTGCGGAGGGCGCAGACGTCGTTCTTACGTTGTGAACTTTCAGGACAAACTATCCATTCGTGGGCGGGCTTCTCTGAAGCCAAGCTGGGTAAGCCCGATGTCGCGGGGGAGGTGAGAAGATCCGCGCCGCAGGCTGTGGAACGCTGGACGTCCGCCAAAGTGCTGATCATTGACGAAAGTACGTTCCCCCACCGCTCCCCAGCGCCGTTGGCCTAATCCAACACCTCAGTCTCCATGGTACCCGGGCTGCTTTTCGACTGGTTGTGCGCGGTTGGGAAGAGCATGCGGCCAGCGACAGGCTGGATGCCGTTTGGCGGCATTCAGCTCGTCGTCACCGGTGATTTCTTCCAGGTAATGCCTGCCTCATGCCGTATCCTGCGCCATGTTGATGAGCTTTCAGCTACCGCCCGTCAGTCGCGCGCGAATGGACCCGGTATTCGCCTTCGAGACGAAAGCCTGGCAGGAAACCTTCTCGCGCGTCATTCAGCTGACCCAGGTGTATCGCCAAACCGACCCCAGTGTGTGACTTGTTTGTCTCCCGCGTCGCCTGCGCGTGCTGAACGTACTTGACCACGCAGAGTTTGTGACCATGTTGGACTCGCTGCGTAACGGCATGGTCGACGACGCCATCTGCGAAGATATTCGTGCCCTCGCCCGCCCTCTGCCGGATGATAACATCGCGCCAACGGAACTCCTGCCCAAACGAGACGAGGTGGAGCGCGCCAATTTCCGGCGTCTGTCCACCCTCAAAGGACAAGCGCACGAGTACATCTCCGACGATCATGGCCTGTTACAAGGCGCGCCGCTGGTCGCCATGCTCAATAACCTACCCGCGCTGCAAAAGCTATCGCTCAAGTACAGCGCCCAGGTGATGCTGGTGAAGAATGTGGACGAGAACTTCGTCAATGGATCTCTCGGTCTCGTCGTTGGCTTCACGCGTGTCAACTCGACCACTCCTAGCATGCCTTCGCCCCAAGCGCTTGACTCGGCGGGCGCTACATCCAGTCCCAACAAATTTGGCCTCATCGGTAAATATTACTGCCAAGGAGAAATGTACCCGATCGTCGAGTTCAGCACTCCAGCGGGCAAGCGGCGCATGATTGTCGCGCGGGAGGAGTTTCAGTTGGAAGGCGAGGACGGAAGGGTACTTGCGCATCGTACACAGGTACGATGTCTGTCGCTGACTGTCGTGCGATCGTGGCGTATGCGTGGCTGTGGGCTGGTACTGAGTTCTGGCCGACGACAGGTCCCTCTCATATTAGCTTGGGCGCTATCGATACACAAAAGTCAAGGTCAGACACTATCACGGGTCAAAGTGGACTTGAACCATGTCTTCGCCCCCGGCAAGTGCTTGCGCGTGCATAGTGAGGCTGGAGAAGCATGCTCACAACTCCTTCAGGTCAGACGTATGTAGCTTTGTCTAGGGCGTCCAGCCTAGCAGGCCTGCAGGTTGTCAACTTTAGTCCCTCTAAGGTACGCCGGGCGATTGTCGCTCGTGCTGCCCTGTGTTCCCTGATGATTAACCGACGTGCGGTATAGGTGCGCGCCCATCCCAAAGTCGTGGAATGGAGCCGCCGTCTCGAGACTGTACCAAACCGTCCTGCGCAGCCATCGCAATCGTCGCCACCTTCCCAGCACCGTCTCAACTCGCCGTCCGGCACCCCATCGCCGCCCGATGCAGCGGACGCTGCAGACTCTGCTCGGTTAGCATCCCCAGAGTCAGTAGCCAGGACGGCTGAAGACCGCGTGTCATATAACAACGCCATTGGCGAGGGGATCGAACCTTCATGAAATCTATCACTCGAGCTTCCACAGTTGAATAAAGAGTCGAGCAGTTGAATAAGGGGTTGAGCAATAATACACTACATGCAAGACACAAAAATATATCTGAAAGTGCTGTAAAATTACTCCTGATATTACTGTTATTAAAAGTCTCAATAATTTCAATTTGAGGGATATTGCTGTGAACCCATTCACAACATAATCTGGGTGATTCAGAACAATACATGATGTGACCATGTCACATCCTTTTTTGTTGTAAGCTGCCTTGCTAATTAACAATGAATTTACAGGTCAAGTACACTACTTTGTCTTGCAATATCTTTCACCTATGAATTGCACAGTTGTGCAGTGTAGAAATGCAACTGCAAATTTTTTTCGCCAGAGTCTGTGCCATAGGTTTACAGCTATTTCAAAACTGCTATAAATCACAATTACAGCTACTCCAAAGTAGTTGTAAACAAGGTTTACAGCTGTTCTGAAACCCTTGTGAACTGTGTTATACATTATATGGGCAGTATACTGTACCTACATGTATGAAGGCAACCATCCCACAACACAACCCCTTGGTTGTGTTGCACATATCACAGGTCACAATGACTTTTGGGGCCGGAGTCCCTCCCAAAACGGTAAATTTCGGTCAGAAGTTCCATTTTTGGTGGCCCAGCGTCAGCTGGGCCACTTCCCGGGTCTCTGGTGTGGGTGATATATTGTTTGGAAAAAACCTGGACACCAAAACAAAAAGCATGGGTGATATAGTGTCCGGAAAATACCTGCATACCAAAATGGAAAGCTTGAGGCCAAGTTCACTCGGAAATTGGAAGCTGAGTGTCGACCGCGCGGATTTGCGAAGATTTGGAATGGACTTAGTCGTGGGGTGCCCTTGTCGTGACCTGCTTAGGGCTCGCCATCGCTACATGTGGATGGCACTATGTTGTTGCCGTTTCCCGTCTCCCGCCTCCCCCCTCACATGTGCCAACTGATGATCTACGGCGACACCGCCTCGGCGCTTCGCTGCCTCACAAAGTGGTCCACAGATAGCTAGTACAGTGTATGATACCTCTTTGGGTGCATTCCAGTGGCCTGAACACTGCTATGTAGGCTGTTGTAGTTGTTGTGAGTACCGACGAGGGGCGCATCAGAGGCACATGGCAAGTCCCAATACAGGTCAAACAGAACACATGTACCGGCACGGACGCACTTGACTAGGGAATGAGTTACAGATGGCACGTTGAACGACTAAGTCCCTTCCAAACCTTCACAAATTCACGCCCTTGACACTTAGCTTCCGATTTTTGAGTGAACTTGACCTCAAGCTTTCCATTTTGGTATGCAGGTATTTTCCAGACACTATATCGCCCATACTGACACATTTGTAAAGTGCATTTACAGCTGTTCTAAAACAGTTGTAAAGTGGGTTCTTAAATATTCTGAAGCTGCTGTAAACTAGGTCTACAACTATCTCAGAACTGCTGTAAACTAGGTCTACAACTATCTCAGAACTGCTGTAAACTAGGTCTACAACTATCTCAGAACTGCTGTAAACTAGGTTTACGCGCCTTGTTGACCCCTGGTAGTCGCTACATACAACCTAGTTGCCACCGTGTACGTTGCTGCAGGGCACATCAGAGGCGCACGGCAAGTCCCGATACTCAAACAACCAACGTCCAACAGAACACGAGTACCAGCCCGGGCTCATTCAGCGGTAGGATGAGTCACAGATAGCACCTTGAGTGACTGAGGCCCCTCGCGACCATCACAAATCTTGTCAGTATACTCTCAGCTGCCGAGTTATGGGTGACCGGACCCTCCAGCTTCTTGTTTTGGTGACCAGGTATTTTGCGGATCAGTATATCGCCTATACAGCTGTTCTAAAACAGTTGTAAAGTGGGTTCTTAAATATTCTGAAGCTGCTGTAAACTAGGTTTACAGCTATTTCAGAACTGTTGTAAACTGGGTGTACAGCTATTTCAGAACTGCTGTAAACTAGGTTTACAGTTATTTCAGAACTGTTGTAAACTGGGTGTACAGCTATTTCAGAACTGCTGTAAACCATGTTATGGGATTGTGAAGCTGAGCAAGTGAGCAAGTAAGCAAGTGAGCAAGTGTGGCAATAAGACAAGCAATGACTATGATGGATTTGAGTGGAAAAGGATGGCAGGGAGTGCGAGTGGAGCCAAGATGCTAGCAGAATGAGAAGAGGGCAGTGGTGCAAAGGTGAGGCTAAATAGACTATATCTGACATGGTGAAACTCAGAACAAAAAACATGCCACCACGTTCAGAAACTCAACCAGCGATGTTTGTACAGAGTTTGGTGTTAGGCCCAGCTCTGGCTCGCAGTTTGGAGACACCATCTCGGATGCGGACGACAAGGATTGTCAGCAAGGATGCGGATGAGCGGCGGCAATGAATAAGAAAGAAGAAGAACAGATAAGATTTGAGAAATAAGCAGAGGAAGTCCGAACAGTAGAGTCGAGTAACAAGGATACCAAGTCTAGTGAGCCTCATGTCTAAGTCGGCCTTAAGTACTAAGGCCTAGTCCTAAAGGGGAAGTGTGATAAGATAAGAGTAGGTAGGCAATGAGAGGGATGGTGAAAGGGTCATAACAGTACCCCCCCTCTATCAAAGACTCCCCGAGTTGAGTGCTGGGGACTTGGCGTCGCAGTGTCGGGGACTGGGGTTCAAACGGTGTTGGGTCACGTGCATCGGCTTTTGCTAAGGGCCTCGCAGGGGGAGGCCGTCTGCCTTTGTTGGCGAGTCCGTCGCGTTCGTACGCCTGCGGCGCTCCGCCTCCCTGTTCCTAGCCCCTCCCCCCTCCGTAGCCAGTGGGCTCCCCATCCTTGCGTAGCCGAGAGTGGTCATGCTGGCTTATCGGCCCTCCGATTGGCGTGGCATAGGCGCGGATTTGGCATGTTCCCCCGCGCTTCTTCCCGTGCTGAACACGTTGTGTGCTGCTCTCCGTGCTTGAGGTGTTTCAGACCTGCCTTTTGAGGGGTTGTCTGTGCCCCGCCCTCTTTGTCCTTCAACATCCCAAGCGCCATGTCTCCACTGGTGAAGTCTATCCTTCTGGTCCCCCTTCCTCTCTCCCATCTTGCTGGTGCTCGCGCACCTATTTCCCACCTCCAGACCTCCTTCCCCGAACTGGGAGTTGCCCGCCCTTCCGTTTCCGGCGCGTTTGGTGCGTGATCTATTGGCAAGGCAGTGTCCGCGCTGACCGTTGGTACCCAGCCCCCTCGGTGGCGCCTTCCGTGGAGGTTGAAGGAGGTGGATCGGGTGTCCCCCATTCTGCGGCTGAGGTGCGTCCTCCTTGTTTTTGGACCGCATTCGCTGCTGATTGCGATTGGGTAGGAGGCTGCGGCTGCTGGCCAGTCCTGCTCGTTCACTGACTCTGCCCTTCGCACCGCTTTTGATCGCGCTGATAGCACTCTCTCCGACGTTCGCACCCTCCTTTCGTCCCGCGAGGTCGACCTCCAGCGCTCCCAGGAGGAGTCGGCCTTTTGATTTTGCCTGCTAGACGTGCGAACTCCTCTGCATCGTCTGTGGTGTGGCACGGGATGAAGATCAACTGTTTGGTGAGTCGGCACACCACAATGAGGACAGCGTCGTAGCCTTTGGACAGTGGGAGCTCGACTATGTGGTCTATCAAGATTGACGACCAAGGTCTCTCACCCACCGGCAGAGGCTTGAGTTCACCAAAGGGTTGGTGGCGGGCTGACTTCGATCTTAAGCAAGTCGTGCAGGTCGTGCAGTAGTTGTGTATGTTCTCTCGCATGCCCGGCCAATAGTACTCTCGCATGACGTGCTTGAGCGTGCGCTTCACCCCTGGGTGTCCGCTGAGTTGGTGATCATGGCAGCTGCAAACCATTTCTAGGCGCAGCGAGTTGTGGTCGGGGACATAGATGCAGCCATCTCGGAGTAGCAGACCCCCCTCGCTCATCTTGAAACTCCCGTCTGGCTGCTTGCACGCCTCCTCCTTACCCCTTCTCGCATGTTCGTCCTCGGGAGCTCGCCGGATGTGTTCCAGCTCCAATTCCATGTCAAGAAGGTGTAGGGTGCAGATGCGCTCCGCTGGGATCGCTACTCGCGTGTTGAAGGCTTATGCCTTGGCTTTGAAAGCTTCTCGTGGGTATATGTCCGGGCGACGCGTGAGGGCGTCAGGCTTGCCACCAAGTCATCCGGGCCGATAGTGAATGACAAAGTCGAAGGTCGACAGGTACTCAGACCATCGCACCTGCCGCTTGTTCAGCTCTTTCGACGTCATAAAGTGTTGTAGGTTGTGATGATCAGAATAGACTTTGATGCGGTGCTTGGCTCCCTCTAAGTACGGGCACCAAACCTTGAACGCTTTCACGATGGCAGAGGAGTTTGCGGTCGTAGATGTCGTAATTGCATTTGACAGGGAAGCAGGTACAGGCGTGGAAAGCCACCGGGTGCAGCTCGTTGTTGGACAGGTTGAACTGGGAGATGATCGCCGCAATGACCCAGTCGGAGGCATCGCTCTCAACAACAATTGGTAGGTCAGGGTTGAAGTGCTGGAGGATAGGTGCCTCCGTGAACGCGGCTTTCAGGAGGTTGAACATCTCCTCGCACTTCTTGTCCCAGACCCATGCGTGGTTCGTCTTTAGGAGCTGTGTTAAGGGGTGTACAATGCCCGAGTAATTGTCGATAAAGCACCGGTAGAAGTTAGCGAACCCTAGGAAGGCTTGCAGCTCCCTGATATTCTCGGACCGCGGCCAGTCCAGCACGGTCTGCACCTTCTTTGGGTCCATTTTGACGCCCTCCGGGGTGATGATCATACCCAGGTATTTGATCTCTCAGACGTGGAATTCATATTTCTTGGGTTGAGCGTGCAGGTCGTGGTCTGCAAGGCGTTGTAGCACCTGCCGGACGTGCTCCTCATGGTCGGCTTCATTCTTGGAGTACACCAAGATGTCGTCGAGGTAGATGACCACAAAAATGTCCAACATGTCGTGGAAGATGTCGTTAAATGAAGCGCTGGAATGTCGAGGGGGAGTTGGTCATCCCGAAGGGCATGACGAGGTATTCGAAAGATCCGTAGCGCGTTCTGAATGTGGTCTTCCATTCGTCTCCTTCGGCGATGTGTATGTTGTTGTATCCCCATCTTAGGTCGAGCTTAGTGTACACCTTAGCGTCGTGCAGTCGGTCTACCAGAGTTCCAATGGGAGGTAGCGGGTAGTGGTTTTTCCGCGTTATCTTGTTCAGACCTCGATAGCCGACGCAGAGTCTCAGTTTGCCGTCCTTCTTTGGTGCGAAGAGGACGGGCGCGCCAGCAGGGGAGGTTGAAGAGCGGATAAACCCCTTCCCCAGCATCTCGTCGAGGTACTCTTTCAGCGCAGAGAGCTCCCGCTCCGACATGTTGTAGATCTTCCCAAACGGCGGTACTGCTCCCTCCTCTAGCTCAATTTTGTGGTCATGTTCGCGATGTGGGGGTAGTTCCTGGGCCATCTCTTCGGAGAAGACCTGTCAAAAGGCGTGGTATTGTGTGGGTACGTGTCGGAGTAGCTCGTCCTTGCTCCCGTCTCCTCCCCGCACGCGGAGTTTCTTGTCCTCAACGGTGCCTCTCAGCGTCTCAGAATCTGAGCCCAGGCACAGGTAAAGGAGATAGACAGGCTCGCCGCGGTCAATCAAGTGGGACATGGGTACTGCTCCAATTAAAGAGAACGCAGCGTGCTCTGTCTTGACGCGCGGCAGGTCGATCTCCTTGTTGTAATCGGCAGGCTTGGGCATCGCTAAGATGCTGGTGGCCTTGGGTTTCTGCAAGCGCTCGAGGCTGTGTGGTTTTTTTCTCCGAGGTTCTCGCCTACCCATGTACTTGGAGGGACGTTCGAGCTTTCCTGAGCTCAGGGCGTGGATGGTGTCCACCAAGTGCAAGCGGCTCTGCTTATTCTGCTATCTTTTGCGCTGTTTCGAGTTTTGCTGGTGTGGCGAACTCGGCTCGTCCCAGGCGAGATCCCTGGCTGCGGGTTCTGCCTTGGGTGTGGTGGTCTCCTCCAGGAGTATGCGCGGGTCCTTGGGCGCTTCACCTATCCAGTCCGCCTCATCGCACGGCAATTCCTTGATGAGAGTGACACTGCGTAGGCGGACTTGGGGCTCGAAGACTACTGCACGCAGTGTTGGCGCTAGTTGTATCGTGAGGGAGTTCCAGTCAATAACCGAGTTGTGTTTTTGGAGCCATGGCATGCCCAGGACTATGGGTGTGGAGGGGTGCAGTCGTGTGATCAGGAAGTTCTCCGTCTCCTGCCATCAGTGCCAAATTACATTCCGTACCTCTACAGATCTAAATAAGAATTATCCAAAATGTTCTCAATCTATGACAGGAGCATCCGGTAGTACCAAGAGTTCGCCTACGTATGCTGGTATTGCCTTGAACGCACTCCGTGGGGGTTTGCAGCAAAGCGCCAACCCCGGGTATGCTTCCTCAACGCTGAAGACCATGAAGCCTTTGGGTTCATCCACCTGAAGGACATTGTGCGCCCTGCACACATTGTTCCTCCATTTGCAAATGACAAAACTGACGAATACCTTGTGGGCAAAACTATCGCCCAAGCACCCAGTGAACATAGACTCGAGACCAGTCCTACCGCGCTGGGTGCAGGACCCAGAAGGCAGAAGGCAGAGGCAGGAGGCAGGAGGGACACCTTCAGTGCCGGTCGGAAGGATTGGACTGAGCAAGGCAGAGGTAAGGGAACACCCAGCGTGGGGACTGGAGGATCTCAAGCACTCTTTGGCATACGAGAATTTATTCCCACGCTTTTATGCGACTTAGCGAACTTTCGTTTGAGCTCCGCGTCTGCAGGGGGTTACCATCATGTCGTCCGCTTGCTTGACACTCTCCGCACCCGGTGACATGCACAGACTCCACGTCAGACTCGCGGTTTACCTGCACTCAGTTGTTTCAGCAGCAGGACGGTCTATATTCGTGTGCTCCTTGAGCGGTGCCCGTGCTCAATGTTCCTGGCCTGTACCCAGTGCTTGTGATCTGCTGCGCATTGTTCCACTATCACTTTGTAGGAGATGCTACCCGATGACCAGAAGATCATCCTGATAACCAGCCTGCTCAAGGAGTCCTACTAGGTGCGCGACTTGTGCAGTCTTTTTGGCAGGCCGGGATGGGAGCGAACACAGCCACAAGGACCAGTGGCATTTGCAGAAGGGTGATTAAGGCGCATATATGCGCAGTGGCAGAGCTGTGAGGGGAAGGAGGAGTGAATTGAACCGTACAATATTGCATCTCAGCCTCAAGGATGAAGGCTAGATCATCGACAATGCCTTGGTAGCCATAGCCGCTATATACGAATGGAGGGTAACAACGACAACATCAAGCGAGCAGCGAGCCTTCATCAAAATTTCGCTAAGTCGCATAAAAGCGTGGGAATAAGTTCTTGTACGCCAAAGAGTGCTCGAGATCCTCCAGTCCCTGCTCCGGGGGTTCTGATCCAGCAAGTGTCAGCTTGCTTTTGGCTCCGGAGCAGTGGACTGGCTTGCAAGTCTACGGTGAAGAGGAAGACTGGCAGTTCTATTATGTGTGCATGTGAGTATCTTTGCAGTTGCTAAGTACTGGTCCTAACTGACTCACTCATAGGTTTGCGGACCGCGTCACTCTGATGCGCTTCCGAGGAGGTGGTATTGGTCATTTAATTACCCGAGAGGCAACGCGGAAGTTTGAAGAGGCAGAGTGCTTGGTGGGCTTCCGTCAGATCCCCACAGGAGAGGTGTCCGAGGATGTCCCGGAGTTGAGTGATGAAGAGGGCGAGACTGAGGTGCCTGGGGAGGATGTCACAGATGGGGAGGGGGCGGGTGACGGTGTCGAGGATGCCGGAGAGTGCCTTTTCGGACGGGGATCAGGGGTCTAGCGATGAGGAGGTGGAGGAAGTGGGGGAGGAGGATGGTGTATGGGAGGACAACAACGAGGGGGTGGCTGACGACCTGACAGTTGGCGACCTCGGCTACGGTCATTGGTAAGGTACAGCTCGCAGTAGTACTGTAAGATTACGCACCTTAGCTCTTGCACCAATTGACTCTCTTCACATGTGAGCTAGGCTCCGTGATCACGCTGGATTCGACTCTGAGCAACCCTAGCCAGCCTGATATGACGACCTGCAATGGGCATGCCATGAGAAGGGAACGGGGCGGCGCATCAGGATGGATCCGCGTGCGGACCGCCTTATCCGAGCTGACAACGGTCGGCCCTAACAGGCCAGGCTGATAATCAGCATCAGGACCGATCCGGTTCCGGTAATTCTCGCGATGCTTGCGTAAGTTATTTTTCAAGCACCGTCTCTGCTGCTGTCGCTCATCTGATGTTTCAGATCATCCGCGCCTCTTCGGTTCTTGAGCAGAGCCTTTGATAGCTTGTGTAAGTTTTCCCGGTTCCTCCTCAGCTATCCTGCATCGCGTGGCTCGCAGCGCTCTCGCGGGCTCATTCATCCTGTACGATATCCTTATAATAAAGGAGAGTGATTAGTCAGCAGAGAGTCAAATCAAAGAGTCAAACGGTCACACTCAAACGTCACCCGTCACGCTTCAACTTCAAGTCAAGCCGGGAGCACGGGGCCACGCGTACGTGCCGCGCACCAGCGCGGCGCTAGCGTGGCACCATATAGGTAGCCATTCAAGCCCGCCCGCGGTACACGGGCTATCCAGCTAGTGATTTGTATATCTAGTCAACTGTGTGATAGTTACAATAGAATAAGATGCATACTGTACTTACCTGTATGGAAGCAACCGTCACGGTCACGGAGGCCCGGTTGCGTTGCAAGGGTCACGGGTCACGGTCAGCTTTTTGGACTCAGGACCTGCCAAATATGGCAATTTTGGCGCCAAAAATCGTCGAAAAATCAATATTTTCGCCTCGGTCACGGTTCCGGGACGCCTGGTTGCCTCTGTCGCGCATGTCACGGTCGCCGGCTGGTTGCTTCCATACAGGTAGGTACAGTATGTCTCTCTTCTTTGGAATTTGTTGTGAAGTGATCTACAGATGAACCCCTTATAAATCATACCCACCGGAGCACTTCCGAGGCTCGACTGTTTGCGACGTCTGCCCTAAAAAGTATGTAGAAAGAGAGGAAAAGCCCTCAAGAACTATATCCAAAAGAAATTCTGACCCCGGTATGCCTACAACGAGCCTCGGAGGCGCTCCGGTGGGTATGACTTATAAGGGGTTCATCTGTACTACAACATCAGAAAACAAACAAGCTTTTATGGAGGTTTTGGTGCTTTTCGGTGAATAAATCTATCCTCCCGACCAGGCGGGCTGAACATCCCCAGACATCATCTCTAGCGTCGGCTGATACTCCATATCCTAGGACGTGCAGGGAAAGTATCCGGCGACGTTCTCGGCAGGAACAGTGAATGTATCTCGGATCCCCTCGCAGGGAGAACGGTTGGGAAATAAGAAACGCACGGTCTCGGATCTGCTCGCAGGACTCCGGCTCGGATGTCGAACAGGTATCGTTTCGGCGGGGTGGTGTACGGCACATCCGACTAAAGTCCTGACTCACCCGACGTCGACGCGCCTCCCCCGAGCCAGAAACATCACTAGTCACCGGCGTCGCTGACCCACCGGCCAGCCCAAAGCGGCAGGTCACCAACCTCGGTGACCTGACCCGGGGGCCAGGGAGTCCGGCTGGGGTCTCCACGTTCTTCAGCAAGTACTATAAAGACTTTGTGCTTAGCTAGAACGTTGACTGGGAATCGATACAGACGCAACCACACAGCCTGCAAGAATGCCCTATCTACAAACAGTATCAAAATATACTCCGCCAGATGTCTGAGGATGTGGCGCTGGAGAGGATCTAAGTCATGCCCAAGGGCATTGACACGCTAGCGCACTTCCTCAAGACCAGACTCGAGCACATTGAGGAGGAAGGAGGAAGGGGCGAGGCCGACGCGCACGGCGAGCAGGCGTGGAGGTTGATCGTAGGTCCACAGGCGGTGGTCGGAGGTAAGCACAGCCTTGAGCCGGCGCGCCGATCGCCAGGAGAGACGAGCGATGATCGAGAATTCAGAAGGCGTTCTGTACGATGGTTGTGAGCAACGGAGTGCAGGGCGTTACGACGCGCTCGCACCTATGCTTGGGGAACCCGGGCTCCTTGTCGCTGGTCCTCTGAGCCTTGCGAGGACAGCCCTCAGTGGCGGAGGCTGCGAATTCTCCGTTAGATGCGCCAGATTCGTCACGAGGGGAGATTGCCATTGTCGAGCAACTCTCGACGATTGGACCAGCGAGAGATGTTCTGCGTCCACCGACAGTCCCACTTCCACTTGAAGACCCTCGGCGGTCGCTATCGCTGCTCATGGAGCCGCTGCCGCTGCCGGCGATGTTCGGGCTCAGCTGTCGAAATGTTCACAATTTGCCGAACGCGCGCACGCAGCTCACGCACCTCGTCGAATAGATTCTTCCTCTCGGTCTTGAACCTACAACGATGTAAGTTCTTGAGCCACGACGGCGCGCGTATACGCGCACCTGCATAGAAACTCCGGCACGACGACGGCCGAGCTGGAGGGGAGAGACCAAGCTGGAGCGGGAGATCCAGCGTGGAGGGGGAGGGCGCTGTGGAGGGGGAGGGCGGCGTGGAAGGGGAAGGTGATCGTGCTTCGGTCCAGAAGATGCAGACATGTTGCGCTCGAGGGCGATCTCTATGAGCGTGTCAGCGAGTGGACATGCCTGCCGCGTCCGCCCAACGCACCGAGAGTCAGTCATCCTCCTACTACGGCAGTCGGATGCGACGGACGTCCTGAGGGAGAAAGCAGGGAGGCCGAGGGTATCCTGGAGGGAAGGCTGCGAGGCAGGCGACGGCAGGCGTCTGCTCGGCTCGATAGACCGTGGCGGTACATTTGGCGGTGCAGAACGTCCGACAGGCTGAGCTTGTACGCTCCGGCGGTCCAGTGCTCCCGTCGTGCTACTCGAGCGCACAGACGAGCGAAAGACAGCGGGACGCCGACGGCGAGCATGCACGGAGATAGGCGGTACATCGCTTGAAGGGGAGGGGGCGCGTTCGAGGCGCAGAATCCTGTGGCCAGGTAGGAAGTATCTTGGCCACCGCGGATCCGGTTACTCGAAGGGACAGTCGTCATCCAAGAGGCCTTGATGAAGGCTCTGTCCGAATGATGTGAGCAGTGGCGCCAACGACGCGCTATTCCATGCAACATACCATGCCATTGATGCCTAATTTCCGCGTCCCTAGGGATCTCGACCCATAAGAAGGGCAACAGATTGCGGACTCTCCAAAACATGCGCTAATTTCGTCAGAATTGAAAGTTGCGATGTCCAGCAGTTGGCATGAGGGCCGCGCCTTCTGAGAGCGTCCTGCGCCGACGGAGGGTCCCCCGTGATCACTATTGCACCTGCTGCCCGCCTCCCCCCGACTTCGCAGGGAGGAAGGGGACCGGGCATGGATGGTCGAAATCTAAGCTGCTGAAGTGTTCAAACAGTACCAAAAACCCGCAAGCAGTTTGCGCACGTACTCAAGCGATACTAACATGCACTACCTTGCTATTCTTCAGCCTTGCGCGCAGCATGCTACGCCCGAATTCTCCAAGCACTAGCGTCGTGCGTGACGGCGAGCAGCAAAACGTGTTTTCCCACGGGCATGACCAACGATCAGTCGGATGATCTGGGTACGCGACGTGGCACAGGACGTCTTGTTTCCGACTGAATCTCCTCCTATATTCGAATAGTCCGTACTTGAATCCCCAATTTCATCTGACTCCAATGACCTTTACTTCCCGCGGCCGTTAAACACGACTGGGGAATATGCGCTGCGGGCCGCAAAAATGGCTACCTGGGGCCCCGCTTCAGGGGCGCTCTGTCTTAATGTTGCCTTGGGCACGATGGATGCGTGACTGTTGGGCATTATTCCAACCATGTGAACCGAAACGAAGGGCCATCGATTGGAAAGCAGTATCATGCTGTTCCGTCCACTCGTTCCGGGTCTGTATGACTCTATGGGTCCAGCTATGTCAGACGGCCCAAGGTTTGCATCCGCCACGGGCCAGTAGGCTTAGTATTCTATCTGTGACCTAGTCCCCGTAGATAGGTAGTGGGATAGTGCGACGACCCATGCCTCATGCAGACGCGGAAGCGAATGCATCACGCAGTGCCTCCAGCGCTTCGATTCGACCCATGATCACATCAATGGCCTGCGCGACAATGCCGCTCGCCCACCAGCCGCCTTCAGATACCTGTTCCATGAGGCGGATACGGCGTTCCATCAGCTGTGTGAGTCTAGATTTAACACCCACACTTGCGAGCATGAGATCTGTCTGCGAGCCCCGAACGAGTATAAATGAGTAAGACTGTTCGCGAAGTTGCGAGCTAATGGTTTCGATCGCGAACAGCTCATCGTGGAAGTCCGACAGACACCGTCGAATACTCGCGAGCATCTGCAAGTGCTCGCAGAGTTGGTGCCGCATGAGACGCACAAGATCCTCCTCCAAAGTGACCATAGCAGCATGGCGCGACCAGGAGGCCTCGGCATACGTATCATCGCGGAGGTAAGCAACGGCACTGCAGCGCGCAAGCATATCAGAGCTTCGTTCAGCTGAAAACATTCGCGCATACTCACATGCTTAACAGCGCGTTCACCGAAACCCATGTCCGTTGCAAGTCCTGGGCGCAAATTCGGCCCTCCGAAGAAAGACGAAGCAGTAAGTGTACGAGTGGAAGGCCGTTATCGACGTCGATGGCAGATACCAAGAGGGATAGATGTTCCAAATGCAGTTGTAGAGTACCCAATCCGACGCGCAAGGGATCGACCGTGCCAGGACCACTGGCTCGGAGAGCATCCAGCACGACTGTCAGGGTGACAGCATGGTTCCGAATTAGAGAGTCACCAGGAATTGAATTGGCTGGGGAGTGCGGCACAAAAGCCCTAAGAGCATCCTCGGAGTCGTTGAAAATGTGTAGCGCAGAGTTGATAGGTAGCACGCGAGCCTCTTTGCGAGACAGATACTCTCGACGGTGTTTGACGCTAGAGTATATCTCATTGCTGATGAGAGGAATGCAGGCGGCGATGAAGAGCGCACCCAGTATGCATGCTCTATACAGGACGTGAGAGAACCGCATGGTATGTGGACACCGGTGAATGCAGAGAAAAAGGTTGGGGTACGGTATTCGCAGGCACCTCTCAGATGCTCGCGGGCGCAGTGTAGGTCAAGGTCCGCGTTTTCGAGGAGTTCCTGCCAACAGGTTGACGGAAATGTGCGGTGGAGGAGAAGTTGCGGTGGCGAGAGGCGCCTTGATCAATTGATCTCAAATAGGCAAGTTGTGGCGAATGACTCGATCGGGCGACGGGCCACTGCCCAAGCGATTTCTTGACGCACGACCCCGATAACATTCATCACCAAAGGCGGCAGGGTCAGATAAAACGTTCTGCGCTCCTTGTGTGCGATTTTTGCTCTTTCTTCCTCGGCGTTGCGCCGTACCGGTGCTGCCCTTGAGGCATGTCCGACACGTGTTTCGGACCGCGCAACTCGGGCCGTGCAGCGTGGCCATGCCCATTGACAACCGGTCTACTCTTCTCTTTGTACGGCCACTCCTTTGTCAAGTTTCGTGACATATATCTCGCAATGTGCTTTCCACTTCGTCCACCTTCCGCATGCCCTCCGGATCCTCAAAATCCTCCCGAGTCATTTTTTACCCCATCCGACGCGATGGGGAACCCATCGTCGCCCACATTCCTCTTCGAGCCCAGACATCCTTCGCTTCCAGCGTTGGATCCGTCGAGCTGATGCCTTCGGCCTCGCGGTCTGCTCAGCAGCGCGCTCTGCGCCGTAGTCGATCCAGAACGTGCGTTCTACATGCGCCGACCCATCTTGATACCCTGACCTTGTCCACACAGCGCCCCTTACATGGTTCCTCGTCAACCAGCACCAGGTACCTCAAGAGGGTTGGGTCAGCGTCATCCTCGGTGTGTATCTCTGCCGCGTCGCAGTGATGTGATATCTCATCGTAATTCAGCGAGCGCACGGCTGGTCCGTCGCGCCTGGGCGCTGCTCGAGTGAAGATCGAAGAGGATGATGATGCGCATGGAGATAACACTCAGTGCGTGCCGAAGTATATGGAAGCGCCATGATAACTGATCACAACTATAGTGAAGCTGGTGGACCCGCCCCTGCTGCGCCCCCGAGGGTTACCCGTCCCTCTGGCGCTCCTCCGGTGGCACCGCCAGTAGCGCCTCTGCCGCCTCCGGCGCCACCGGCGGTAGCTGATGTTCCCGCTGCGCCTCCGCTGCGCCTCCCCATGCCCCCGGCTGCTGCTGTACCTGCCGCGCCTCCCTTCGGCCAAGGTCCTCCCGCTATGGCACCTCCTCAACCCCCTGCCGTACCTCAGGTTCCCCCTTTGCAGGCGGCTGTGCCTCTTGCTCCCGCTCCACACCCAGCGTTCCCCGCCGCACCCGCAGCTGCAGTACCTTTTGCGCAGGCGGCTGCAGCAGCTCACCATGCTCTCCACGACATGTACGAGACCGCGCCCAATCAGACGGCCATCTATGGGATGAATTGGAACTGTCTCTGCTATTATCGGCATGGGATCCGTGGGCAAGCTCTGCCTGAGCACTGCCATCCTCCGCCGCTTCCAGGCCACCTTCGCCCTTTGGAAAATGACAGAATCTTCGTCATTTTTGTCAACGATTTTGATCCATGGTCATTACCGCAGATATGGATACACGAGGCGCAGGATGGCGCTGATGCACAGTGGCATCGTACACAAAATGGCTGCCGCCGGCTTGTGGACGGTCGATCCTATTATCTTTGCGTCGATAGAGATAGGTTGGCGGTGCGCTGGTTATCACATTCTTACTATAAAAGGGTAGAGCTTGCGCGTAAACAACCGAGACGTCTTCGTCAATAGTTTCTTACTTTGCATTACACGCGCTTGATTCTATTTTTCCTATGACTTTTCGTACTATATGATTATCTCGTATGCAAGCGTCGGATGTGCTGATAACCATAGGTTAATATATTTCAGAAGCGTGCGTAAATTACGATCGTGGTTTCCCATTCCCGCCTGCGTGCGAGCCCTCATCGGGGTCCTTATGCTTGCCTGAGAACGCCTACGCGTATGCTGTGACTATGGCCGAAGTCTTGCACGACGGTCATGAGCGGGAGTCGTCGAATCGCGCCCGTTGGCGCTTCGAAAATGCGCTCCTGAGCGACAACGACGATATCATTCGTTGGCCGTGTACCGCTGATGCCCGTCATTTCACTGTTGTACGACTCAGGCCCCAAGCGTCACTCATGCAGTTGCGGTGGCTCCACCTGACTGAGCCTCCTCCTTCGTCTTGTGAGATAGTCAGTGGGAGCGACCATCAGCCGAGTCTCCGGAGGATGGGGATGGCGCCGATACATTGTACGTCTTGCGCGAGGGTTAGCCATGCAGTTTCGAGGAAAATATTGGAAGTGACGCACTACTTTCACTCGATACTTCGCCCTCTCCGATCATGGCCTGAAAGCAGTAGACCCGGGGGCTCGTCATGCCCATCCCTCACTGCCTCTCGATGCCACATCCTGGCGGCTCCCAGGAGCAAAGCAAGAATGGCAGCGCCAATGCTGGGTAAGGGCTCGTATCGGCATATGGGCGATCAGTCATTTCCTAAGAATCAAAAGGCCCTTGCAACGCGTTCTTGGGCTCCCTAGGGCCGGTCGCAGAAGATCGGGCATCTGTCCTTCGAGACGTCTGGAAGTCTCTCTCATTTCCTGCGAGTGTCGCCAGCGCTATAAGCAGTAAGGACGCGGGAACCGGTAACGTACCTTCCGGGCGCAGGAGCAGAGGACGGGTATTTTCCGCGCGACTCCGCGCCTTCGTAGCTACCCTCCTCCAAACGGAGGCCGTCTGCCTCGGCATCTCATCCCCGAGCTTGGCCAGAAGACTTCGCTTGGCACACTCGGTTATAAACTTCCTTCCTACAACGCCAAATTGTGGACATTCTACGTCGCACGGAAAAGTACTTGGCAGTGCATGATGAGATACGGTCCTTCGAGATAAGCAGTCAGACATACCATCTGTGGACAACGGAGACGAGCTATGTTGAAGGGCAATTCCTGGTTGCTATGGTGTGCGACCAAGATTTGCGCGCTCAGCCGTGGATATCGTGAGTAGCGAGTGGCACCAGTAGGTCGACGGCGAGGCACCCTCAGCCTTGCTCTATGTTCCACGGGAAGGCGACGATCGCGCTCCTCACTCTACTTCGCAGACTTGACTCGAACAGCATTCGCGCGTACCCAATCCGCACTCGCAGGTGTTCCTCATTCCCTCTTCACCTTCTTTTACCTTATCTTCACGGCGCGTCCGGCGCCTAGAGCAGCGAACTAGGTAGCGCGTACTGTTCCACATGCCCACGTACAGACTACTGGGCCCTCGCGAGAAAGATCAGTACGCACTTCACAGAGCTAGACAACGTGTGAAGGTGCCCACCTTCGAGGGATCACTACTCCCCCTCTCATATCCTCCACAGCCTTCCGAATAAACCTTCATCACGGCTACTTAACCTGCAGAGGACTGCGAGTGAGACTCGTCAGAGCGCCGCAGCGACGGCGGGTCGCCTCCATGGTAGACCAAGGTTCAATCAAGCTTCAAGACGTGGAGCAAAAGTAATCGATTTCTGCTAAACTTTGGGAGGAGAGCTCAATTCATGTTCTGTGGGGTAGGGGATGGGGAGAGGGTAGAACCGCTGAAGATCAATGGCGTACATATCGACATGACTTTGCGGACGAAGCGATGATCAAAAGTAGAAAGACCTGCGCATATCTTTGGCTCATTCTAGGGGCGCCGACGAGTCAACTAGAGCAGAAGGTCGGTGATGATGGTTGGCGCAGAATCTGTTTGCGTCACGTGCTCGTTATCTGACGTCGTATCTCCTTTTGGACGCGGCAGGGTCGGTCGACACCCACCACCACGAACGAGCCTCGCCATCGACCCGCCCAGTCAGTCGCCCCCGTTCTTTCCTCCCTCTAACACATATTGGCCCGCGACGCTTATATTCATACCGCGACCTACCGCTGGGTGACTCGCGTTGAGCTTTCGCAGCGAACTTTGTCTCTGCCTTTGTGTTGTAGCATCATGCTCAGAGCGGAATGGTATATGGCTTTCTCTCCTCCGAGCGCATATAAACTTACATGGACATCAGGGGGCTACATATACAGGCCGACAGTCACGTTGCGATGACGCCTTCGAATGACCTTCGCATTACCAACATTTGTTTGGCGCAGAACTTGAGCAAGGAGCTCCAGAAGCAGCGTATAACCTTTGCTATCCGTTACGGGGAGCAAGAAAACATCTTCAGCGTTGCTGTACTTACCCCAAACGTTCGTAATCTCCGTTGATGCGCTGGGATTTCACTGAACGATCGCTGAGTTGTGTTGGGACAGACGCCTCAAGCGGTCCTTGACTTGCTATTGACGGGTGGATGCGAGTACACACTTTATTGCCGAGGGAACATGCACGTACGCATCTCCCCTTCTGCTGAATCTGCCCTTAGTCTTGTCGCAGTGCCTTCGACCTCCTGGGTTTTTATCTTGGGGGTGAGGAACAATGCAGTGTCGCTCTTGAGTCATACTGAGCTGCGTTTTAAGAAACATCCATGGACTATGAGGCGAATGACTCGCGTCAGGGCTCGCGAAGGTCCATTACGCCTACTCCGACTACAACTGCAGCGGCGCGAAACAAAAAGCGCAAGCTTGAATCCTCTCCGTCGACCGCGTCCGCTCAGCCATCATCTTCGAAGGCAGCTGTAACGAGAGCCTCCTCGAAATCGACTAGAATCCTGAGATCCAACGCATCTCAGGGTAACGCGACTGACGACAGCACTGAGTCTCACACGAGCGAGGCTTCGACCGACAATGGCTCGCGTCAGTGGTCAGTCTTCATATATACGTTTCTTGACGGACCTGTTGTTTAGTGTCTAGCTCGGCCTATGCCGAAGATGACGAAGACATGGAGCGGCAGAGCGCACCCACAGGTAGGCTGCAACATTTGTCGCGGATTGATCACCCTCTCAGTATGTATCTAGCCGCGACGATGGAGTCCTTGCGTTGGGAGATCGTGACTACCGGTCACAAGACGCCGACGGCCGCCCACGGCAACGAAGTGACGATCTTATACAAGTTTCTCGTCGACAGCAATCTGATTGGACGCGCATCGGTAAGTCAAGGTCAGCAAAGTCATCGGTAGCCAGGCTCGACGTCAACAGAAGCAGAAGTTTGCCATTGGCGATGGGTCGTTCGCATTGCAGAGTGAGTGCTGGAGATGACGCATGCACGATCAAGCACTCAATTCTCAATAGACGCCGAGATCTTCTATGGCGCCACTCCAGGACAAGTTCGCCACGTCTTCGTCCCTGTAGAGATGGCGAGGCAGGTGGATTTATTGAGGGATCATGTACAGGAGACCTCGACCGTGATACTAGGTACGATTGGCTGTTCTAACTACTCGCACATGTCTAACGTCGCTACGCAGAATTTACCGTGCTTGCTGTGGCTCCGACCACCTCACATTAGCGTGCCATGCGACGTGTCCCTCCTCTCCAAAGCGCCTGCCTCATAGACCATACATAACGACTGCAATGATATTTTCCATCCGCGATCCTATCCGAAGGCCGTCAGCAAGTGGAGCGTGAAGGACCGGGGCGGCCTAAACCTTGGGATCCTTGAAAATACGGCAGACTGAAGAATGACGAGCAAGCGAAGGCACGCGTAGACAAGGTCGACGAAGGCTAACAAATCAGCCATTATCTTGGACTGGACTGGTAAGTTTGCTTTGACGGGGCCGTTTCTACAGGGGGGTAAAGCGATTGCCGCTCCTGCCTTCGGACCCTGTTCTCCCAACAGTACGAGGTAGCCCCTCAATTTTTTCCCTCAGTCAGCGCTGAATTATATGTTCACCAAGGCGCCGACGTCGCTACGGAGGGGTCGTCAAAGTGATGCACGGCTTTGCTTGTTGATGGAGGTGTACTGATCGTCGGTCATGCCCGTGGGAAAACACGTTTTGCTGCTCGCCGTCACGCACGACGCTAGTGCTTGGAGAATTCGGGCGTAGCATGCTGCGCGCAAGGCTGAAGAATAGCAAGGTAGTGCATGTTAGTATCGCTTGAGTACGTGCGCAAACTGCTTGCGGGTTTTTGGTACTGTTTGAACACTTCAGCAGCTTAGATTTCGACCATCCATGCCCGGTCCCCTTCCTCCCTGCGAAGTCGGGGGGAGGCGGGCAGCAGGTGCAATAGTGATCACGGGGGACCCTCCGTCGGCGCAGGACGCTCTCAGAAGGCGCGGCCCTCATGCCAACTGCTGGACATCGCAACTTTCAATTCTGACGAAATTAGCGCATGTTTTGGAGAGTCCGCAATCTGTTGCCCTTCTTATGGGTCGAGATCCCTAGGGACGCGGAAATTAGGCATCAATGGCATGGTATGTTGCATGGAATAGCGCGTCGTTGGCGCCACTGCTCACATCATTCGGACAGAGCCTTCATCAAGGCCTCTTGGATGACGACTGTCCCTTCGAGTAACCGGATCCGCGGTGGCCAAGATACTTCCTACCTGGCCACAGGATTCTGCGCCTCGAACGCGCCCCCTCCCCTTCAAGCGATGTACCGCCTATCTCCGTGCATGCTCGCCGTCGGCGTCCCGCTGTCTTTCGCTCGTCTGTGCGCTCGAGTAGCACGACGGGAGCACTGGACCGCCGGAGCGTACAAGCTCAGCCTGTCGGACGTTCTGCACCGCCAAATGTACCGCCACGGTCTATCGAGCCGAGCAGACGCCTGCCGTCGCCTGCCTCGCAGCCTTCCCTCCAGGATACCCTCGGCCTCCCTGCTTTCTCCCTCAGGACGTCCGTCGCATCCGACTGCCGTAGTAGGAGGATGACTGACTCTCGGTGCGTTGGGCGGACGCGGCAGGCATGTCCACTCGCTGACACGCTCATAGAGATCGCCCTCGAGCGCAACATGTCTGCATCTTCTGGACCGAAGCACGATCACCTTCCCCTTCCACGCCGCCCTCCCCCTCCACAGCGCCCTCCCCCTCCACGCTGGATCTCCCGCTCCAGCTTGGTCTCTCCCCTCCAGCTCGGCCGTCGTCGTGCCGGAGTTTCTATGCAGGTGCGCGTATACGCGCGCCGTCGTGGCTCAAGAACTTACATCGTTGTAGGTTCAAGACCGAGAGGAAGAATCTATTCGACGAGGTGCGTGAGCTGCGTGCGCGCGTTCGGCAAATTGTGAACATTTCGACAGCTGAGCCCGAACATCGCCGGCAGCGGCAGCGGCTCCATGAGCAGCGATAGCGACCGCCGAGGGTCTTCAAGTGGAAGTGGGACTGTCGGTGGACGCAGAACATCTCTCGCTGGTCCAATCGTCGAGAGTTGCTCGACAATGGCAATCTCCCCTCGTGACGAATCTGGCGCATCTAACGGAGAATTCGCAGCCTCCGCCACTGAGGGCTGTCCTCGCAAGGCTCAGAGGACCAGCGACAAGGAGCCCGGGTTCCCCAAGCATAGGTGCGAGCGCGTCGTAACGCCCTGCACTCCGTTGCTCACAACCATCGTACAGAACGCCTTCTGAATTCTCGATCATCGCTCGTCTCTCCTGGCGATCGGCGCGCCGGCTCAAGGCTGTGCTTACCTCCGACCACCGCCTGTGGACCTACGATCAACCTCCACGCCTGCTCGCCGTGCGCGTCGGCCTCGCCCCTTCCTCCTTCCTCCTCAATGTGCTCGAGTCTTGTCAAGCAGCACGACGTGGCACCGGACCGTTAGAGTGGCCGTCGACATCATATTCGATCGCGACGGCCGATGAGACTGAGCTTACCTTGCGCGGTGGATATGAAGCCAACATCGGTGCCCCGTGCCCTCGGTCGCGGTCTTTATACAACGCTCGCCTCTCTTCTTCCTCCTGAAGAACATCCGTCGTTTCGACTTCTGTAACTGGACCTTCCCCCTGCCCTGCGCTCGTCGTCGCCATAGTCAGCGCAAATGTTACTCGGCGTCGGCAGTCCGAGGTCGCAAGGAGCGCGCTGCCTGAGCCGTTGTCAAGTGGTTCTTGATCATGGTGCGTCTTGGGTTCATGCTTCGCGTGTCTGCTCGTTGACGCATAACCTTCGTAGAGACGTCCCGCGAATGCATACGCTATAGTCAACGACCTCACGGAAGGACATGTTAGCAGAGACAGCTCCAACGCGGTGGCCCTCCTCGGCCAATTTTGCCTCGAAAAGACAAGAGAGTAACCGCCCACGACCGTTTCTGGGTCTCGTCGCGTCGTCGAACATGGCGACATGCAAGACTTGCGCGACTAAAAGGGACGTGGGTGGACGCTGTTAACGTCAGACTTGACTCTGCAAGCAGGACGTACGCGGGGCTGGTGCAAGTTTGCGACGCTTTGTTTGGATTTCTGACCTGTCTGTAAACGTTGCTAGGCATGTTCACTTCTTGTGCATGTGTTGCGCAGATGGATTCATGTGTCGTGGGCGAGGATGACACCTGCAGATTGCAGGCAGGCCGCTTGGCATTCATCGAGACTCTAGGTGAGCCAACAATTTTTCTGCCTCTCATTTCTTATCGAGTTAACACGGTATATAGCATCGATGGCCCGTCCAGACTCAGCACCTGCCACCTCAATCGCTTTGCCTGTATCTACCTATATGATGTTCATTTATGCCGGAGAGAGCACTCAGGTACTATGAGGAGCTGTCCGATCATCTTGCGGAAGGTGCGCCTCGTCTTTGCTCGAAGCTCAAGTCTTGCAGCCTTGAGTCGTGCGCGTGCTCCGCCGACAGTGGTTTAGCCAACATATGGAGGGTGATTGAATCTAGAGGAGGGCGATGTCCCCCTTGGCGTCGTATGATGATGCTCGCGACGGAAGGATCCTATGTCGTGCGCGAAATACGAGTTCACGTCGCTGCGTCCTGACGTGTCGATGGCAAGGAAAAGAATGTGCGGAGGACGACACCCGCCTTCTACAACCTACGCCTCTGATTTCGGTCCGTGTCCCATGCCCGGCCAGCCACTCAAAGTCACTTCTGCTATAGTTGATGATGATGATGATGATGCCAATGGCAGTTCGTGGGCGTCAAATATGTCGTTCAGTAGCGTGGGGAAGGCGTTGCTTTCGAGAAGTGCGGTGAAGCTGAGCTTTAGCAGCGCTGGCGCACGAGGCACGTTGGTCCGGACAGCATAGAAGATACCGCGACTTCAGAGTACTCAGGAAGCAGACGTGATGGCAACGCCGACGACGATCAGACCCGTCTATGCCTACTACTTGCGTTATTCAGTGAGTGTTGCGGGTTCCCAGCCTCCACCCATCTCTCCGTTTGACGGCAACCATGTTGACTCGCCGCATAGACGCTAAGTCGCGGTACTTTACTATAACGGCCCATCTCCCTGCTCATGTCCTCCCGAGAAGTGATTCGCCTATCGAGCATACCTTCTAGACAATCCATGTCCTGCTCCTTGACTGGCTTCTACTCCTTGCTACTTTTGTTGCGATGTCTCCCCAGCTCCGCTCGAACACTCCCCTCCTCCTCGGGGTGATTGTACAAGATAGGGATTTGTGGACACAACGCACCTCAAGCACTCGCCAAGTCTGATCGCGGTAGCGGCCCTCGAGGGCCGCTTTCAACTGAGAAAGTAATGAGCCACAAGCTGGGTAAATCCGCGGGCCAAGGGTAGTCGACGCCTACAACGCCTGCGCCCAGCCGCGGCTGCGCGAGCAAGACGACGAAGCTCACACTCGAAAGCATATTGGTGGGGGACGCGCTCCGCGGGAAACTGGGGATCTGCATCGCGTGCTAAGTCGTATTCATCCTTGTCCGTCGTGTCGCCCTCGAGCTGATACCTGTGCTCCGGGCTCAGTCTATAGCGCGCCGCTTGTAAATAGGAGCTTCCCGCTTCACTACTGGCAAGGTCGAAAGGTATATTGTGTCCCGCGGCTGCGTCCTCGTACGCTGATGACGCGGCATCGATGTTGTTCATGTCGAGCGAGTCCTTGCCGTCGACCGATGCTTCCAGATTTGCAAGAAATAGGGCGGCGGCGCCGCGTCGGACTTTAATTTCCTCTCCGTCGTCTGCCCCACGGTCAACGCTACAGAAAGAGGAAATGGAAAAAAGCACGCACCTTGTCAGTTGTGAGGATATCCGCGTTCCCCAACAGCACGACAAGTACACTGTATTTCTCGCATTGAGACGGAGCCGCTGACTGAGGGTTGGATAGAGGTTGCCCATGCCACTGAACGTGACAACGATTCCCAGGTATTGATGGAAGTTCGTAGTATGCAGCGACTGCGTCTACAGTATATTGTTCGTATATATTACATCAGCTGAAGGTAACATTGCGGCGGCCACGCCTGCCAGGACGGTCAAGGTAGGTACGAAGCGGAGAGCGGGGCGGGAGCAGGAGGGGATCATCGTCATCAGACGACGAGGCCGAGTTCGAAGCGACGGCTTGAGGAGGAGGCCAAATGAATTCTTCCGCCTCTGATGGCGCAGATCCCCTACCAAGTGCCCAAGCATCTCGCAGCTGGTAGCACAGGATGGGCGGGCGAGCACTGCTGATGCTGATGCCCTTCTGGCAGAGAGGGCATTCAAGAAGGAATTTGAGGGGCGCGTGGCGATACATGGCGACCAGGCAGGACTCGCAAGTTACATGGCCGCAAAGAAGGCTGGCAGCGCGCAATTAGCACAAACGGCGGACGAGTCACATCGACGAACTCACACTCGGGGTCTCGAGTCAGCTGTGAAGCAAACATTGCAGGACAATGCGATATCCTTCTCCTCGTTGACAGAGCTCAGCTTGGTCTTGAGCGCCTTTGGGAACTACGTGAGTCCAACTGGGCCGTCTGGATATGCCGAATGCGCGTACCTTCACTTCAGCCAGCGCCACAGCCAGAGCGGCCTTGTATGACTATCCATCGATGCCATGACCATGATCAGAGCCGTCTAGGAAGCGCGACGCGATGGAAAGGGCAGCTGCTCACCTCCAATGACTCGTGCTCTGACGCCGGGGATGCCTCCGAGGACGAAGCTGCGCCAGCTTCGATGTCGGCAGCAGGGGCCTTCGAGGACGTTAGATCCACCACGATGCAGCAAGTGGGGGCTCACCTCTTCTGACACGCAGATGCGTTCGTGGTGCGACTCCGACCCAGGTTCCACCAAAGAGATGTCGGTGTCAATATCGTGCTGTGGGAATGTGAGCAGAGATGAAGCTAGGCGACAAAGGCTCTGACCTCCGGCACGGCTTGACCAGAGCTGGAGCTGGAGCCTAGCGAAGGGGCATAGAGGCGCGCGCGAGTGTTGATCGAGAGGGGGCGAGTGGACTTCTTGGCCGAGTAAGGAGAAGTATCGGCGCGCGCGGCGGCGATGCGACGGGATGTGCGACGAGAACCTGACATGGTCGGACGCCCCGGTAGATACAGGGCCTCAGACTATATAGAAGGACTTCGGGCGACCCCCCGAAAGGCGACGCGACACAAAGGCGGAGTGCCCCATCCTGAATGGTTGAAAGAGACCATGCCTTCAGCGCGCGGGTGACTGGGGTGATTACAGATTATTCGCGGGCCGACAGCCGGTTCAGAACCACGTGCGGACAGTGATGCATGGCTTCGGGATAAGCAGTCACGAGAAAACGTGTTTTGCTGCTACGCGTCGTACACAATGAACTCGAAATCACGAAGAAGGGTGAGAATAAGCAAGGCGACGCCTGATATCGGCGCCTGACAAGGGAACCCGGACAAGGTATGCGATCTGCTTGCGCACGCTTGGTAGTTTTCGAACATTTCGACAGCTCAGCTCTCGAGCATCACGAACAGCGTCCAGGCGGGTGATGGCGGCGGAGGCGGCGGAGGCGGCAGGAACAGTGATAACGATACTCATGGTGGACGCAAGACGCTCTCGAATGGCCGTTGAGAGGGCTGCTCGGCATCGGCAGCGTCCCCTGCTGGCGAATCTGGCGCATCTCCCGGAGGATGCGCAGCGTCCGTCACTTTGGACAATCTTCGTCCGGCTCAGAGGTCCGGCGACGCGGACTTCAGGAGGTCTCAGGATCGTAGGTACGTTGCTTGGTCGAGCGCGTCGTAGCGCGCCGCCCTCCGTTGCTCACGCCCATCGTACAGAACGCTCTTCGAACTCTCGATATAGTCGCTCGTCCGCCCTATCGATCGAATCCGTGGCGGCTCGATGCTGCGCTGCTCGCACTCGGCAGCAGGAAGACTTCGGCGCGCCCACTGCTCCCCGCGGATGCACGACCCGTCTCCGCCCATAGTCGCCGCCCGCGTCGCACCTCCCCAACATGCTTTCGAGTCCGACTGAGCAATACGGCACGACGCGGAGCGTACCATCACAGCTGTCGGGATGTTCTGCACCGCCCAAAGTGCCGTCACGGTCGATTGAGCCAAGTAGACGCCTGCCGTCGCCCCCCTCGCAGCCATCCCACTAGGATACTCCAGGCCTCCCTGCTTTCCCCTCCACGATCGTCCGTCGCGTCCGACTGCCGTAGTAGGAGGGTGTCCGACTCTCGGTGCGTAGGGCGGACGCGGCAGGAATGCCCGCTTGCTGGCTGACACGCTCATACAGACCGCCCTCGAGCGCGACATGTCTGCATCTTCTGGACCGAAGCGCGATGACCTTCCCCCTCCACGCCGCCCTCCCCCTCCAGCTTTGGTCTCTCCCCTCCAGCTCGGCCGTCGTCGTGCCGGAGTTTCTATGCAGGTGCGCGTATACGCACGCCGTCGCGGCTCAAGAGCTTACATCGTTATAGGTTCAAGACCAAGAGGAAGAATCGTGAGCTGCGTGCGCGCGTTTGGCAAATTGTGAACATTTCGACAGCTCGGCCCTCGAACATCGGCGGCAGCGGCAGCGGCTCCATGAGCAGCGACAGCGACCGCCGAGGATCTTCAAGTGGAAGTGGGGCTGTTGGTGGACACAGAACGTCCTCCGCTGGTCCGATCGTCGAGACCTGCTCGACACCGGCAGTCTCCCCTCCTGGCGAATCTGGCGCATTAACCGGAGAATTCGCAACATCCGTCACTGTCGACAGTCCTCGTCCGGCTCAGAGGTCCGCGACACGAACCAAAAATCTCAACGTCATAGGTGCGTTGCTTGGTCGAGCGCGTCGTAGCGCGCTTCACTATGTTGCTCACGGCCATCGTACAGCACATTCTCTCATATCTGTCGACTGTCGTTCGTCCACACTGGCGGTTTAGCTCGCCGCAGCGGATTGCTGCTCTACTTAGCAGGCACATTTCAGCGCGTCGCCTGCGAATGCACCGATCTACCACTACACATGGCCATCCTCCGCCTCCGCCTTTCCTGCGTCCCCAAGTGGCAGTGTCATCATCGGCACCAGCGCCCCGCCCCCGCAGTGCGGCTACCTCTCTCACCGCCCGAGCACGACCCTCGGCCTCGCCAACGTCCTCCGTGCCGGGCTGATCGCGCGCGGCGCGCTCTCGCCGCCGTTCATCTTCTCCGCGCTCTCGCTCGCCGTCTCGCGCGCGAAGATCATTCAGTTGATCGACGCGTTCCTCGGCGCATCCATCATTGGCATCGGGAAGGAGGAATAGTGCGGCGAGAAGCGCTGGGGCATGACCCCGCGTGCGCAGGGCGAATGGGGAGTGGGGAGTGGGGATTGCCCAGCCTGTCGTAGTGGGCGAGGGATGACAGGGGTGCGTCCCGATCATCTTTGGTACATCGCCCTCATTGACGGACACCCCGCACAGCCCAAAACGACCAACTAGCGCGCATTTACGCCCTCCTTCTTTCTCTAGCGCCAGCTCTGCGCTCCATGCTCCACATCCCCCTCACCGTCGTTGCCCATTCCGCGAAGTCCGAGCACACGCCGCCCCACGTCTCGCTCCGCTGTTCGGACCGTTTATGTGCGGCTTGGGTAAGGAGGGAGCTGGGCTCAGCGGGGCTTGTCAGAGGTGATTCGGTCTCACCCTACAAATGCTCTCGTCAGTAACGGGCGTGATCCTTCATCCTCACTTCTTGTTTCCTCTCCTCACGTGCTACGCATATGGCGTCACCCTCATCCTCACTCGCTCTTCTACCCCGTCCACAAACCCTAGCTAACGCCTCTCCAGATAGCTCGCCTCAACCACGGCGGTGGAGCACCCCCTGCTCGCCTTCTTCCGCGTGCAAGACGCGGAGACGGTTGGCCGTGCGTCCACGAGGCTCCGCCACTGGGTCGTGGAGTACCCGGGCGCGTTGAAGAAGGCGATGAGAGAATAGTGTGTGTTCTGGTCGGAGTTGAGGTGAACTGGGCAAGGTGCAGCCTGGGGAGGACGAAGCCCGCTTGGTCGATAGGTCAATTTGCCCTCCCTCTTCCTCGACATGACTCCCGCCATTACTTCCCTTCCCCTTCTGCTTCTCAAGTCCCCACTCATTAAGCCTACGCTTGCGTCGTCTATCCTTCGCGCCCTCTGCCGTCCGCTCCTAGAGACGTCATTTTGATCATTATTTTGTAGCCCATACTGGGAGCGGTCCATTCGAAGCCCGCAGGGGCACGCGCGTCGTACGGCTCACGAGTGCGCGGCGCAACGTGTATACCTACGAGAGTGAAGTTGCCAAGAACGGCGGTCTGGGGAGTATCCAGGTGAGCTCGGGTCGATCAGTTACTATTTCGGCGCTTCGTCGTGCGCTCGCGAGCGACAAATGTATCACTCTTCCCCATCCCAGTTCATCCGTCTCCCTTCAAACCTCGCTGACCCTCTTCCGCAGCTGCGAATCACCCGCCCACTACCCTCGCAGCTACGCGCAAGTTGGAGCGTCTGAGTCGTGACCGTAGGCGGCCGCGAGCCGCGGTACAGTAACAACCTCTAGAAGCGCCTCGGTCTTCCGACCGGCGCGGTCCCGGCGACACCCTCTGCGGAGGCAAACGAGGTGAAGGATACTAACGTGAACGTGGTGAGTGTGGTTGAGGTGGCGCGTTCGCCGTCGACGAAGGCGATGTGCTCAGCGTCGACTGAAGCGCCGGCGAATGTACATGCTTGCTCACCTTGTCTTTCAATCCAGCTATCTCTCCCTAGCGGGAAGCGCGTCGCCATACGGCGACTACATGGGCGGTCCGCCGCTGTCGAGTACGCCATCGTTGACGACGAGCGAGGGGGATGATGATCAGTTTAAGTCTCTCACGGATCTCGAGGTAAGCCGCGACGGTAGTGGAAGGTCGACGTGGAACTGACTCGACTCTAGTGGCTGAATTCGAGCCGCTCGCTTTCGACGAGGAAGGCGTACAAGACAAGCTCAAGTTCGACCTGGGTGAGAGTCTGAGGAGTGTGAGTGTTGTCCCTCGGCACTGCATGATGAGCGAGCACGTCGCCACGCCGCGCAGACAGTCCTTCGCTAGCGAGGATCGATGGTGGTCGCTAGGCCGTCGAGGTTCTTCGCGCAAGCGGGAGTGTCCCATCCGAGGCGCGGACAATCATGCTGACGCACCATTCGCTCGCAGGCCCGCAAAGTCAAGCGCGGGACGATCTCCTGGAACGGCATAAGCACGGATGGGGGATCTTGATAGGGTAAGTGGCTTTGGAACAACGTGCGACAATGGAAGTAGGGTCGCGCGCGAATGCTTTGTATTCTCGCTGTCGGTGTGTCTTTTGTGCTCGTCGAGTGAGCGATCCATCTGCTGCGACGCATCTTGTGTGTTCACCGTCACCCACGTGGCCTCTGGCTGAACCTCGTCAACTGACTCGTTGGCAGGGACGATGGCTCGACGAGGGCTTTAGGTTCCCTCTCGACAATCCTTTGAGAGTGGGCGCGTCTGCGCATCCTCTGAACGAGAAGGAGATTAAGGAGCGACACGCGGAGCCGTCGAAGATGATGATTCAGAGGGAGAAGGGGAATGCTCGCATGGTCTTATGGGGAGACAGCACCGTTCTTATGTCTCTCTCGGTTGCTCCCGCGTTCGGGGTAAGCAGCCATTGTCGATCGTTCACCTCTATACTAACGAACACCATAGACCCGGACGTTCTGATTGTATCCTTTCTCGACATGTACCGCGACCTGCCTGTGATCCGCGGCTGATCTGCGGCAATCGGCAGACGCCATCCGAACGCGCGCCGCTTCAAGTGTGCGCTCAATGCGCCTTCAGTCTCCGTGCCGTCCCATCGTGCCGATGGGCAACCAACAGGAATGCCCGATCGTCACCGTCGATGATCGTCCATGTGAGAACTCGGAAGCCGACCTTGCTCGAGAGTGCAATCGGACAACGGTGCGCTCAGGGTGAATGACCTTCGCCACACGCTGACGCGGTCGCCAGGCAGCATGCCCCTGAATCCGTGTTCCTTCTGCGATGTCGCCGACGTCGTACGGTTTGCCATGAGCGTAGCTGCTTGCTTCCATGTGCCGCGCTTTTCGAGGGCATAGCGGCCGCGAAGGACGTGTTTTCGGACGCCTCCCTTATCGTAGAGGACGACGGTGCTGCCTCGGCGTGGGTCATTCAAGGCGGGGAGGAGAGACGAACCGCGACCAGCGATCGATGAAGAAGATACTTGAATTCAACCCGGAGCAAACGTTAGCCAGGTCCGGCGCGACATCCAGGGCATTGGTGGACAGCGGGGAGCGTACGGAGTCTGGCGAAGGTACGACCGAGTTCAGTGTCGCGCGTGCACGGCCGCGGGGGAAAGACGACGCGAAGGATGCGAGTCGCAAGTTTCGCTTTCGACTGGCTTCTGTCGAACAACCCTTCACGTAGGCGGGGTACAAGCCTGTCGAGTTTGAGTCGCAAGTGGTAACGCTGGGGAGCCGTCGGGAAAGGGGAAGAAGCACGAGGACGACGATGCGCAAGACGACAGTCCCATTGCGGGACAAGACCGGGTGCCAGGTGCAAGAGGCGGAAGCACGAGCGCGTACGGGTGGCGGGCGCGTCAACACGTACGGGTGGCGGGCGCGTCAACACGTACGACCGGGACCTGGCGAGCCGCGGGGCGCAGGAGGTGGTGCGTGGTGTTCACTGGGACAGCGTCGACGTCGACAATCTCTGCGATCAGGACCCACATGCTATTGAGGGCGCCGTCGACAAGATCGAGACGGTCCCACACTGCGAAGACCGTCCTTGCGCTCAGGAGCTGGAGAGGCAAGCGTACACCGAACGAAACCCATGGCCAATGTTTTGGTGTTCTATCGGTCCCTTCACTTCCAGATCAACCAGTTCCGCGATGCGTTAAATGCCGACTCGCGCGCGATCCGCATCAACTCGTACATCTCGGAGATCTGGTTCGACCTTGGCAGCCTCTACGAATCCTGCAACAACCAGATTTCCGACGCCATCGATGCATATATGTGCGCCCCAGCGAGCTCAACCCGTCGAATCCAATCATCACCCCCCGGCTGTTACTTCTCAAGAACGCGCAGATCAACGGAATGTGTGTCGGTGCAGCGCCGGGTCCGCAAGACGTCCTCAGGATTGCATATGCAAACGTCGTACCCCCAGGTCCGGGTGGCATGAGGGGAATGCAGCTCATGTTGCAGCCGTCAGGCGTGACGCCGCGCCCAGCCGCTCTGCGCACCGAGTTGCGTGGCCCGGGCAGCGAGATGGCGCTGCCGCCGCCTTCGCACACGATGGCGAACGCCCGCATAGGATCGGCTCCAGTCCGCGGTGGGCCACCGCCGCCTGTAGTGCTCGACGAACCGTCATCCGCCCTTGCATATGCCGCTAGCGCCCATGGAGCTCGACCGTGGTGGTGGACTTCTCGACGATGGTGGTCGTTCGCTCCTCAATAAGAACAGCGTGCCGCTGCAGCAGATTCGAAGCGCCAACGGCCACGCTGATCCCTTCCAAACTCGACCGGCATGTGCGCGTCCGTCGCGCTCGTCGTGTCCGATGGCCATGGCTTCTGCACCCATCGTCGCCGTCCGCGGCCGCGAGCCATCGCTGCCCATGGGCGAACGGCGGTGATCGAGCGCGCGCGTCAGCCGCCGCTACCTGCCGCCGGGTCCGGAGAAGGGGCGCATGCCCGGGTACGAGCGCGAGCGCGAGGGGCTGACGCGGTTCGAACCGCCCATTGATCTGGGCAGCGAGCGCGACGCACTTGAGAAGAACCAAGTCGGAGTAGCAAGCGTCGTCAAGCCTTGCGAATCCTGGCTGGAAATGCGCGATACAGTGCATGCGGTGGACTTGGCTCGGTTCCTCACCCTCGAACTCGCCTTATACGATGCCGAGGAGAGCGAGGTCTCGCGTGAAACTTGTAAGTACCGACAAAATGGATGTTTGCGAGGCTGAAGGATAGGCGGGGGCACTGTTTGTGCTTATCAGGCGAGCCCCCAGATTGGTACTTTTGCATGAGTAGTCGATGTAGCGCATGAGTGATGCGGAGGTCCCGCGAGAGCGCACCTTCTTGCTGTATCTCGCCCGTTGTCTCCGTGTGGCGCTAGAGCTGTGTACTCAGACGTAGATTATACGGCGATGAATCGATATTTCGAGGTTATGTCACTTCCTCCGCTTGTCGGATCGGTGCAGATGCTGGAGGATGCGCTTTTCGACCGAGGGCAGACTTCTCGAGCACTGCGCGTGGCGCTTTCGACAACCACGGAAGGGACTCGAGCAGTAGGAAAACGAACACCTTCAAGATCTCGTCTGCCTTTACCGACTAAGCAGCATGAGTATCATGAGAATCTAGGAAGCCAAGTCTGGTGCCGTATTATGCATCTGACGCCACATATCACCGAACCGGGATCAATAGACGGCTGAATTCCTTCTAATTACGATCCGCTCTCCGCCTTGTTGACACGCGCATCTGTGTACTGGATGATTATGTTAGCAGCTCTGACGTGGCCAATGCACTGCGAGATGCAGCAGCCGAGCGATGGTGCGCAGGCTAGGTTTCACCCTTCGCCTTAGGTCCATTCAATCGTTGACCTCGGCCTTATGCCACTTGCGCGATCCGATGACTCCTGCAAGAAGTAAGTCCATCGACTTGTACCAGGCAGGGACTCTCAAAGAAGATATGCCATTGTACGCGGCGAGGCATTAGCCCTACATCCGGGCTCTGCCTGAACCGCGCTGAAGGACTATCCTCCTTTTGAGTGGCATTTTTCGGGCCTTGTATAAATCGACGAGAACCCAGGCTTCCAGTCTTCCTGCCTACCCAGTCTCTCGAAATGACCTGGAATCTCATCGAAGTCTGCTTCACTCCGGGGGAAGAAGATTGGATGATAGCAGATTTCGAGCTAACGCTCGTCGTGGATCGCGACGTGACGGGTGCCAGCGATGCCGCTCGCCCGCGCCGAGTTGCAGTGAGTGCATAGAATATGTTGCTCACCGTGACGCTAAGTCGACGGCCAGCAGGGAGCTCGTACTGACAAGAGCCCGCCGAAGGCACAGTCAACCCGTTCCACGGACAGCAAGGACCGAAATTCAAAGGTGGATGTCGGATTGAGTATTCTGGGCATAGAAAACTGACAGCGGCGGTAGCAGACCAAGAAGGGACCGTGGAGGCCTTGAAGAAGCTGCTATACCAGGTTCGAGCGTAGCGCAGTGATCCGGTCGACTCGCTGGCGATGACATGTTTCAAGAAGGGAGCTGAGAGAATAATCTTGAAATTAGCTGTAGTAAGAGTGCCAAGACGAGGATGCTATCGTATAAGCTACCTCCCCAAGTGAGAGTGGGCGTTGACGGTCCAAAGTGTGAATACATTGGTTCATCTCGATCACATTGATCGCATCATTCGCGCTTGTAATGGGCGATAGCCCTGAGGCGACATCAGAGGAGCGCACGCAGAGCTCGGCTGCAGCAGGCTGCGCATAAGGCTCATCGACAGCCAGGCGGTGCTTTCTGTCAAGATGACAAGGGCGAGGTGCGCATCGGCTTGTGCAACATGTGTTTTTATCGAACATTGCAACAGTTCACTTGTCGAGCAGTGACGGCGGCCGCCGCCGCCGCATGAGCAGCACTAACTGCCCGTCGTGGTCCCAGTAAGACGGTCGCTGGACGCAGAACCTCCTCGATCGAGAGGCCGTAGAGAGAGCCTCTCGCCATCGAGCGCTTCCCCTCCCGGCGAATCTGGCGCATGCGGCGCAGAATTCGCAACCGCCGCTGTTTTCGTACGACCCAGAGGCCCGGCAGTCTCGAGGGCATAGGTGCGTTGCTTGGTCGAGCGCGTCGTAGCGCGCCGCCCTCCGTTGCTCACGCCCATCGTACAGAACGCTCTTCGAGCTCTCGACAGTCGCTCGTCCGCCCTATCGATCGGGTCCGTGGCGGCTCGATGCTGCGCTGCTCGCACTCGGCAGCAGGAAGACTTCGGCGCGCCCACTGCTCCCCGCGGATGCACGACCCGTCTCCGCCCATACTAGCCGCCCGCGTCGCGCTTCCCCGACATGCTTTCGAGTCCGACTGAGCAATACGGCACGACGCGGAGCGTACCATCACAGCTGTCGGGATGTTCTGCACCGCCCAAAGTGCCGCCACGGTCGATCGAGCCAAGTAGACGCCTGCCGTCGCCCCCCTCGCAGCCATCCCACTAGGATACTCCAGGCCTCCCTGCTTTCCCCTCCACGATCGTCCTTCGCGTCCGACTGCCGTAGTAGGAGGGTGTCCGACTCTCGGTGCGTAGGGCGGACGCGGCAGGAATGCCCGCTTGCTGGCTGACACGCTCATACAGACCGTCCTCGAGCGCGACATGTCTGCATCTTCTGGACCGAAGCGCGATGACCTTCCCCCTCCACGCCGCCCTCCCCCTCCAGCTTTGGTCTCTCCCCTCCAGCTCGGCCGTCGTCGTGCCGGAGTTTCTATGCAGGTGCGCGTATATGCACGCCGTCGTGGCTCAAGAACTTACATCGTTGTAGGTTCAAGACCGAGAGGAAGAATCTATTCGACGAGGTACGTGAGCTGCGTGCGCGCGTTTGGCAAATTATGAACATTTCGACAGCTCGGCCCTCAAACATCGGCGGCAGCGGCTCCATGAGCAGCGACAGCGACCGCCGAGGATCTTCAAGTGGAAGTGGGACTGTCGGTGGACGCAGAACATCTCTCGCCGGTCCGATCGTCGAGACCTGCTCGACACTGGCAGTTTCCCCTCCTGGCGAATCTGGCGCATTCACCGGAGAATTCGCAACATCCGTCACTGTCGACAGTCCTCGTCCGGCTCAGAGGTCCGCGACACGAACCAAAGGTCTCAACGTCATAGGTGCGAGCGCGTCGTAGCGCCCTGCACTCCGTTGCTCACAGCCATCGTACAGAGCGCCCTCTGAACTCTCGATTGTCGCACGGCTCTCCCTAGCGATCGGCGCGCCGGCTCAATGCTGTGCTCACCTCCGACGACCGCCTGTTGACCTACAATCTACCTCCACGCCTGCTCGCCGTGCGCGTCGGCCTCGCCCCTTCCTCCTTCCTCCTCATTGCGCTCGAGTCTTGTCAAGCAGCACGACGTGGCACCGGACTATCAGAGTGGCCGTCGACATCATATTCGACGGCCGATGAGAATGAGCTTACCTTGCGCGGTGGATATGAAGCCAACATCGGTGTCCCGTGCCCTCGGTCGCGGTGATCCTTATACAACGCTCGCCTCTCCGCTTCTCCCTGAAGAGCATTCGTCGTTTTCGACTTCTGTGACTGGACCTTCCCCCTGCCCCTGCGCTCGTCATCGCCATAGTCAGCGCAATTGTTACGCGGCGCCGGCAGTCCGAAGTTGCAAGGAGCGCGCTGCCTGAGCCGTTGTCAAGTGGTTCTTGATCATGGTGCGTCTTGGATTTATGCTTCGCGTGTCTGCTCGTTGACGCATAATCTTCGTAGAGACGTCCCGCGAATGCATACGCTGTAGTCAACGACCTCACGGAAGGACATGTTAGCAGACCCTCAGATATCAATTCAGAGGCAAGTCAAACACGTCGACCTTCCTTCATCAACTTCGCCTCGGGTTGGCCTCTGCGACTCGTGTCTGCCCTCCCCTTTGTGGTCGACTATCCCTGCGGGTGCGTGTATGTGCCGACCAGCACGCGTACGGAAGATAACATCCCTCATAGGCTCCGAATGGGAAGGAACAACTTCGCCGAGATTGCTACAGCTTGGCTAGCATTACTGTCGGTCGCCGACCACCTTCTCCTGCTTTCACTGCTGCAGTTGCAAGCACATATCACTGTACTTCGACCAAATGCCGTTCCCCAATGTATCCCTCATTGACTTTACCCGGTGTGCCTGCTGCTGCTGCAAGCCCCCGCCGTATGCAAATGACACGCCTTGTTCGCATGGTATGTTGACTTTGAACTGAAGGAATGTCACAGGAACGCTTGACTTGCACTTGGAAGCAGCGGATGCTATCGCCATCCAGGCTCGTACCTCTGGACGAGTCAGTGCCTTGCCTTTGAAGCGAATGAATCACCGCTCAACGCTGGTTGCCGGTCCACAGCACGATATGCCTTTGCCTCGTCAACGGTATACAAAACCAGTGGTTGCGACTCACTCCTCCCGTATCAGAGTTCGCATGTCACTTCATCGAGAATCCGCGCTAGGGAATGTTTTATCTAAATCAGGTGCTCGATATATTTCGATTTTAGTGTTTACCTCACCCACGAAATCGATGTGTTGGTGCCATCCAACGACCACGCCATGTAGGATACAACTTAAGGACACGTCGGCTTTGTTGAGCCCGTGACCTTCAGACCATTGATTGTGATGAATGGTTCACACTTATAGGCTGCGCGTCGTATCTCGGTCAAGAGGACAGAATTCCTCGAGCGCTTTCGTCCAGGGAATACGAGGTGCCAGTCCTTGAGTCCCTCTGACGGAAGGGACAAGAGTGCTTTCAAAGGCAGCGAGTCTATGGCTGGAGGCGAGCTTGCGGATATGTTTTTTAACGAACGCCCGAAAATGACTACGCTACGCGACATTGGGGTAAAATCGAGTAGGCTACGTCTACGTGCCATGCACTGCAAGGCGATAAAGTGAAGTATTACAATGCACGCCCCAATTACCAATTACTTCGACGACAATATTCCTCGTCACAAGTCCAAGATCGGTCAATGGCTGGTAATGGTATCCGGATACGTTTCGCATCGGATGCTCGAAGGTCGTAAGGAGGACGAAAGCGTGATCCGTAACTTGCCACTCAGTGCGGTGCGTGTATTCGGAGGTTTCGGCAGGCTGGTAGAACTTGTGTAACGGGCGCACCTCAGATTGCGGAGGAGCTATCCAGGTATTGTTTGCCAAGCCCCACACTCGTATCGTTCGGGGAACCTCCCCACGGCGGATGCTGGGTATCGTATGGGTGGCGGGGTAGAACAGAGATATGCCACTGGGTACCACAGGCTGAAGTAGTCGCAGTCCAACGTGCCCGTACGAGCCTGCGAATCGCCAACAGCAACCCACCAGCGTAGGGCAGGAGATGACCGCCTCTGGAAGTTTTGTCTCGCTGGATCTTCGGCGATCATAGCCAGAAAAACGGTCTAAAACCTTCGAAACAGATCCCAGATGAGGCATGTCCAGAGTGGGGGACGTAAACTCGGTAGCGATACGCCCTCCGGCATGCTGGTATGCGTAATCGGTCAACACATGGTGAAGATCCGGATGACGAACTTCGACACCCGGCTGCTGGCTTCGCTTCGACCAGAAACGGATGCTGTCACCGAGAACGAACGAGGGGGAGACGGTGCAGGAGTATATGATCGCAAGTGCGACGACATAGAGGATGCCGTAGAGGAGGGTGGAAAAGAGGGTGGCAAGCTGAGGACGTGAAAGGGGAGTAAGTGGCACTGATCACGCATTGCCATGTCCACGCACCCTTCGCGGTCGCGGCACAAGCCGCATTGCCGGCGTGGCGGCCAGAATCTCAGAACGCACTGTCACATTGTGTTAGTATTTTATTATGGGGCAGGTAGGCTCCTCTACCCACCTGCTTCGTCGGACATGGAGGACAAGAGGAGGAGGAATCGTGGGAACGTGGATACCCCCGCAGGATTCCTTGGCCCCCGGGCCACCGACGCCGGTGACCGGCCCCCTTCCAAATAAGGAAGGGCGCTCCTTCGCCTGATTTGGGTGTTTGCGAGGCGGGTGGCGCCTTGTAGCTTCAGCTTTTGCTGCGGATACCCTCACATGCACTATATATGCATAGACACTGAAATTAGGCTATAGTGATGCAAAGCACGATTTGTTGGGCTGCTGACAAACTCGTGCAGATCTATGGTCGGTAATAGCAGAACAATGCAGAATGGGCATAGATTACAATTCTGTAGAGCTAGTGCTGGCTAATAATGTATCACGCGACTCCCGAAGGCCGCAACGCTTATGCAGGAATGGCCCAAAGCTCACGCGGCGCCCGGACGGTGGCGTGGGAATTTCACGGGATCTGCCGGTAACGTGTCGAACTCCCCGCTGTGGGTGCTTATACAGCAGCACAGACCTGGCGCAAAGCGCTTCGAGCGCGGACGATGATATTGTACTTATATAATATCTTCTAATCTTGGGCTTTAGCAGCCGCTTTTGCTCTCAGAATTTGTGTATCTGCAGTGATTCGGAATTTGAGGCCACTTGCCAATTTCTGACCGTCTAGCGACGCGTATGGTCGTAAGATTTGGCACATAGTATGGGAGCTTGTTACATAGGAAAGAAAAGGCAAGAATGGGTTACTTGGATGAGCTACAACTACATGTAATCCATTTATTCCTGTCCTCCTTCTTGCTCTTGCTCGGTTCGGTACCATGCCCTTCCACCCTCCACTCCCCTGCGCTTCGTACCGGAGATCACAAGTATGGCAAAATTCATCGCTTGACGTACAGATTTCGGATGACCGCGTCCCTGATGAACGGGTTGATGAGCTGGAACGCTAATTAGCACGATTGGTACAAGTGAGAAGGCAGCGCGGGCGCACCCAGAGATGGAAAAAGCGTCCACATGGAATACAATGGACCTAGAGCAGAGGGGGTAGGAAGGGGACGCTTTCCTGGGCGCCATGAGCCGGTTGCGCGCGAGAGAGACGCGTCGATGCGCGCGTCGCGTCGCGCTATGCCGCGGCGGACGGAGACGGATCGGAGGTGATCGACAGCGCCCGATGGGGCGGCGGGGCCTTTTTTCAGAGACCCGCCCTGCGAAAGGGTGGAGATCCGAGCGAGGGAGGCGGCGGGAGCAGACGCCGCGGCGGAGCGCGCGATGGCGGGAGGAGGGCGCTGACGGAGCACGTTTTTGATGCCGCGCCGAGTTGCCGATTCAGAGCGCCCCGATCGGGGCGACCTGGGGGGGCCGGTCACCGGAATCCGCCTGAGAACACGCGTAACACGACCTTTGGCTCGCTGTATCGGGATTCAAGCGAGGTCGGACCGATGCCCAGCCTTAGCCGCGTAAGGGCGGTCTTCACTTCACGCGGCTATCGTCTTGTCGCGTCTAGCCTGATTGATAGCCCCTCTTGATTCGCTTTCCTCGCGTACTGGCGGCGCTGTATAACAGGTAGCAACGAGTCTAGATATTGCTCTAAGCTCGCAGATGACGCAGACACAAAGCGAGTACTTCACTATCAACGTGTTGAACAGCGCGCGGGCCGTATATCTTCCGTGGGTGCTGCCATTACTCGACCTTCAAAAGATCGCTGCCAGCCGACGTGACAACGAAGAAGAATACAACATTGCGATCTTGTCAGACGAACGTATACTCACCATGTCAACGAATCCGCGCCCGACGCGCCGCGAAGTGGAACGCAGGCGTCGTCACAGATGCACAGGCGTGTCAGTCTCGTAGTCCTGAGTGGCTATAGCGAACTAAGAGCCGATTGCGAGGGCGAGAAACTCGAGTCTCACCCGTTTCCCACATCATGCAAGCGTCGCTGCGTGGCGTAATGGATCAACTTGAGGGTGTATACTGGCTATTCTGACCTTGGCGGACATAGATGCAGAGAAAGCAGCAAGGAAGAAGAGGCAGACTTCTTACGCGAAGAGCGCAGGACAAGGATGGTTCATTCTCGTCGAGAGTGGAGACGTTGATCCTCGCTTATCCCAATGCTCTGTGCATGCCGTGGATGATAAGCGAGGGTGATAAGGACCTGAGGGTCCGAGAGGATGCGCTCACGGGGGCACCTGCGTTGACGCAGAGTGGTCGTCTATAGTGAGCCAACTAAGGGTCATCTGCGATCCTGTTCTTCTACTCAAAAGGTCTGTCGGAGGTACTAGCATGCCTGCCCAAGCAGCGGTAAGGAAGCTCGCGCCAAGCGCATGGCGTGGAATGAGAAGAGTGAGCTATTGCAGCTTGTTGGCGTGACCGCGCGTGCATGGCTGTGACGCCGTGCGCCACGCGCGGTCACGGGACCGACACGTACGCAGCAGCGAAGAGTAAATCAATCCAGGTTATTATACAGAGCGAGCACTGCGTTTGGCATGTAGAAGTCGTCAATACTCCCCCATACCCCAATCTCTGCGAAAGGAACGGTTGGCGTGGGGCTGTTACACTACACGCGAGGTGAAGTGACATCGTAAGTCGCGGGCAAGAGTGCACAATCATGACCAATCCATCAGGACTTCGATTGTATCCGTGCCTCTTGATATGTCTCTGGAACAAGTGAAGGAGATAGCGTATGACTTTACGGTCACGTGCGGTAACTGAAGCGCTCAAGGACGGTACTGTAGGTTCGCTTGATGCCATGCGGCTAGATTAGCGCGTGCACCCTCTGCCGTCTCGTATGCCTTCGTTGCTAGCGATCGTAATTCCTCCTGTTCGCAATATTGTGAGAAGGCAAGGTATAATCTTGTTGAGAACCTACCCGAGCGTATCCGGTTTGCTGTACACCCCAAATCATAGCGACAGCGAGCAATACGATGCATAGGCTCGTCCAAACCCAGGGGGGAATATCTGCGCCAAGCATAAATCTTGGGGTAGAGCCGTGATAGATTGTAAGGCCTGCATAGTGTCGGTTCAAATAAGAGCGCAGCGAAGGACCATGACCTACGGTGCGAAAGCCCTTGCTCATGCGTTGCAATGACCAGTTGCTTGTAAATGTTGTCGACCTTAATGAACTAGATTGACACAACATACAAGTGGGCTTCATAGGGAAACTCACTGCAATCATCACACCAGCGGCATTGCCCGGCAAACGCTGCGCCACCGCGGCCTTCCTCGTATCGTAAAGGTGAATGGCTCCCTCTCGCCACATCAAGATACCACAACCACCATCCATCAGAGTGACGGCTGGAAAGCCTGGTGGCGGCGGAGCGAGATCGCAATTAATTCTGCGATAATCGCCATCTGGAAGGTATATGGCAACGGAATTCGACTGGTTATCGAACACAGCAGCAGTGAGCTTGCCGTGGTTGTACATGACATCGGCGTCAATGCCCTGCAGCCTATCGACTTGTCAGCGACTGAACACGGAGTTCGTCTTCGAATTCCAACCGTTCCGTTTCGATAGCTTCTCCATATACTCCGTCCCATGCCTGAGAGCTTTTCGGAATAGTATAGCTTCTGCAGAAAGGGCTTAGCGCACACTACCCTAGCACGGGTCGAGGTTCATACCTGATATACACGCGGCCAGTCTCGATCCTGATCGCGGCAATGAGATTATCGCGATCCTGCCAGTCGAAGGAGAGAACGACCGCGCCGTTGTTACGCCGACCACATTTAAGCGTGCCGATGGACACTGGAACTAGGCAACATCAAAAATATATCGCTCTCTGGGACAGCGTAGCAGAACGTACCTCGTTTGTCTTCGATATCAAGCACTTCGATGGTGTCAGAGCCTGTGGTCAAAGCGAGGCGGTCGCCACTAGGGCAATACTTCACTTGCACGGCGTGTTGGGGGTGAAAATGACTTCGAAGACGATCTGAGGTTCTCAGAGATGCAGGATCCTCAGCCGGCTATGAAAGTACGTCAAAGGACGAGAATTGCGCACAGAAAGTACGCATACGAAGACGTAGATATGAACAGTTTTGTCAGAGAGGACAAGAGCGAGTTCTTCACGCGACGTGGGACACCAAGTCATCGCCAGGACTTCTGCGGACCGCCCAGCATCCTGTAGACGGCCTATGAAGATGCAGCGGGGCAGAGATTGGCCCGCCTGTGCGGGCACGCGCCAGATTAGCAGGGAAGTAGCGGTAGCCACGCTCAGGAATTCGTCAGCCAGAGCTAAAGCTCTGGGCTGGGCATCCAGCGAACCCTCTACCGCCGAGGCGTAAGAGCGAATGCGTGTGGCGTGTGTCATGGGCGAAGCGTCTGTGGTTGACCAGCACGCGATATCCAACATGATCAATCTCGATCGGTATGCACGTAACGCAGGTCACAATCTGAGAGGGACAGCATCCAGTAGTGACATCAAGCCGCATTCTCTTATGCCCATGGACAGCAGAATCATTCAACTGAGTCGGACATCACGAAGGGGGCCGATAGGCAATCACATAACTGTCATACTAGGGCAGACACGAGGCGCAGAGGTCACCCCGAGGCGAAGTTGACGAAGGAAGGTCGACGTGTTTGACTTGCCTCTGAATTGATATCTGAGGGTCTGCTAACATGTCCTTCCGTGAGGTCGTTGACTACAGCGTATGCATTCGCGGGACGTCTCTACGAAGATTATGCGTCAACGAGCAGACACGCGAAGCATAAATCCAAGACGCACCATGATCAAGAACCACTTGACAACGGCTCAGGCAGCGCGCTCCTTGCAACTTCGGACTGCCGGCGCCGCGTAACAATTGCGCTGACTATGGCGATGACGAGCGCAGGGGCAGGGGGAAGGTCCAGTCACAGAAGTCGAAAACGACGAATGCTCTTCAGGGAGAAGCGGAGAGGCGAGCGTTGTATAAGGATCACCGCGACCGAGGGCACGGGACACCGATGTTGGCTTCATATCCACCGCGCAAGGTAAGCTCATTCTCATCGGCCGTCGAATATGATGTCGACGGCCACTCTGATAGTCCGGTGCCACGTCGTGCTGCTTGACAAGACTCGAGCGCAATGAGGAGGAAGGAGGAAGGGGCGAGGCCGACGCGCACGGCGAGCAGGCGTGGAGGTAGATTGTAGGTCAACAGGCGGTCGTCGGAGGTGAGCACAGCATTGAGCCGGCGCGCCGATCGCTAGGGAGAGCCGTGCGACAATCGAGAGTTCAGAGGGCGCTCTGTACGATGGCTGTGAGCAACGGAGTGCAGGGCGCTACGACGCGCTCGCACCTATGACGTTGAGACCTTTGGTTCGTGTCGCGGACCTCTGAGCCGGACGAGGACTGTCGACAGTGACGGATGTTGCGAATTCTCCGGTGAATGCGCCAGATTCGCCAGGAGGGGAAACTGCCAGTGTCGAGCAGGTCTCGACGATCGGACCGGCGAGAGATGTTCTGCGTCCACCGACAGTCCCACTTCCACTTGAAGATCCTCGGCGGTCGCTGTCGCTGCTCATGGAGCCGCTGCCGCCGATGTTTGAGGGCCGAGCTGTCGAAATGTTCATAATTTGCCAAACGCGCGCACGCAGCTCACGTACCTCGTCGAATAGATTCTTCCTCTCGGTCTTGAACCTACAACGATGTAAGTTCTTGAGCCACGACGGCGTGCATATACGCGCACCTGCATAGAAACTCCGGCACGACGACGGCCGAGCTGGAGGGGAGAGACCAAAGCTGGAGGGGGAGGGCGGCGTGGAGGGGGAAGGTCATCGCGCTTCGGTCCAGAAGATGCAGACATGTCGCGCTCGAGGACGGTCTGTATGAGCGTGTCAGCCAGCAAGCGGGCATTCCTGCCGCGTCCGCCCTACGCACCGAGAGTCGGACACCCTCCTACTACGGCAGTCGGACGCGACGGACGATCGTGGAGGGGAAAGCAGGGAGGCCTGGAGTATCCTAGTGGGATGGCTGCGAGGGGGGCGACGGCAGGCGTCTACTTGGCTCGATCGACCGTGGCGGCACTTTGGGCGGTGCAGAACATCCCGACAGCTGTGATGGTACGCTCCGCGTCGTGCCGTATTGCTCAGTCGGACTCGAAAGCATGTTGGGGAGGTGCGACGCGGGCGGCGACTATGGGCGGAGACGGGTCGTGCATCCGCGGGGAGCAGTGGGCGCGCCGAAGTCTTCCTGCTGCCGAGTGCGAGCAGCGCAGCATCGAGCCGCCACGGATTCGATCGATAGGGCGGACGAGCGACTATATCGAGAGTTCGAAGAGCGTTCTGTACGATGGGCGTGAGCAACGGAGGGCGGCGCGCTATGACGCGCTCGACCAAGCAACGTACCTACGACCCTGAGACCTAAAGTCCGCGTCGCCGGACCTCTGAGCCGGACGAAGATTGTCCAAAGTGACGGACGCTGCGCATCCTCCGGGAGATGCGCCAGATTCGCCAGCAGGGGACGCTGCCGATGCCGAGCAGCCCTCTCAACGGCCATTCGAGAGCGTCTTGCGTCCACCATGAGTATCGTTATCACTATTCCTGCCGCCTCCGCCGCCTCCGCCGCCATCACCCGCCTGGACGCTGTTCGTGATGCTCGAGAGCTGAGCTGTCGAAATGCTCGAAAACTACCAAGCGTGCGCAAGCAGATCGCATACCTTGTCCAGGTTCCCTCGTCAGGCGCCGATACCAGGCATCGCCTTGCTTATTCTCACCCTTCTCCGTGATATCGAGTCCATTGCGTGTGAAGGAAGGTAGCAAAGCATGTTCTCCCACGTTCTAAATCACCGACACTGATGGTCTACTGTTTTACCCTCCCACCACAGAACCAACCCTCGAGTGAACCCGATGCACTACAGCCACGGACAGGGACTGACCCGGGCCCGACGAAGCCACTTGGGCCTCGTTCTGGCTCTTCCTTTTTCTCCAACGTTCTTTCGCCACATATGAAGTCCTTTGAGCCGATTGTGAAGAATCCGCGTCAAAGGCACAGTTTGACGAGGCAATTCAAAGTACTCGGGACTTTCAAGCCCTCACTCCTTCCACCCACCTGCAACCAGCTACTCACTTACTTTCGTACTTCACAATGGACCCTACGCACGCCCTCCAGGTCCCGGAGCTGCTAATCAACATATTCGAGTCTGAGGTCCTCTCGCCGGGCGACTTGGGCCAGTTTGCACGCGTGTGTCGGGCGTGGTACTATCCGGCTGTAGAGGCTCTCTGGAGACATCTACCAGGGCTGGAGCCTCTTCTGTCCCTGATCCACAAGCCCTCGTACGAATGGATCTTTCAGACGCGTACCGCCGGGCGGCGTACCTTGATCATGGGGGCTGTAAGTGAACACTGAACGCCGTCGTGTGGCATCGGTGGCTGACGCCTTTGTAGAGTCTTCGCCTTGACATTACCGACGACAGGTGCAAATATATTCTCTCTCGGTCGCATAGAATCACCCACCTCACCCTTCACTACCGTCGTTCTGAGATGGACATGTGCATCTACCAGACCCTTCGCGCTCGGGTGGAACCTCGTCTGGGGGTGCTTCTACCTCACCTCCGCACCGTGACGGTCGTACCACCGCCGCATGGCAATGGTCAACGCCATCGATTCGTCCCGTACTTCCCATCTGCGTCAATTCGCGCTCGCGACTGGCGCTGTCGGACGGGTTTCAGCGTCTTGCCGGTCATGATGACCTTCCCTCGGGTGTTCACCTTTCTTGTTGGGCGTCAATCCCTTCCTACCGAGTACCTCCGGGCTTTGCATATTCGTGACCAGTCTATGGACGTCCTGGTCAACGTCGTGGAGGCTCGCGCTACGTATCCCCTCGACGAGCTGTGCGTCGAAGTAGCTGTTGCCGACCTACCTCCCCCGCCGGTGATCGTCTGCTTGCTCGGGTCTGTGGTGCTACGCTACCGCAACTTGCGTCGCCTGCATCTCATCGTCCATAAGCTCCAAGACAACGAGTTATGGTCGCTGAACTCCGCGTTCTTCCGTCTTCTATCGTACCTGCGCAACCTGGTCGACCTTCGGATCGAGGCACCCATTTTGTCTACGGTCACCGACAACGATTGGGCAGAGATCGCTCCCAACTGGTCGTTCATGGAGTCTCTTTGTATCATACCCGGCACGGATTACGCGTGGAATGGAGGGGTCTCGTTCCCTGATCCCGGCACCAACCCTTCGTGTACCATGGACGCTGTACTTTCCATTGCCACCGTCTGCCCCGACATGCACACGCTGGCTCTACCCGGACTCGACTGTCGTAGTCTACCCCCATCGGGTGTGCTCCTGGATTTCATGGCGCTGAGGCTTCGCCGCTATGAATGCGGTCATCCCTTGAAGCGACTCTCTATATGCGAGAGCCCGCTCCGGGACCCGGGTGCATTGTGCTTGCTCCTCGCCATCGGGTTTCCCAGCCTGCGAGATTTATCTTACAGACGATATCCAGAACCTCAGTTCCAGGACATTGAGGACGACGAGGGCGACGAGGACGACGAGGACGACGAGGACGACGAGGACGACGAGGACGGCTCGGAGGAAGAAGATGTAGGGATGGGCGATGATAGCTCGTCGATGACCGGCGATCTAGTGGCGATGGCGAACGAGGTAGAGAAATGGATCAGTGAAGGGCGGAATTGGCAGGACGAGGCTCTGGCGGCAGAGATTGCTCTGCAGATGTTCGCAGCGGAAGGGTGGAATATGGTCGCTTGGTTTCTTCGCGAGCGTTTCATGCAAGGGAGCGATATAGCTTCATATTCCCCGGATACAGTATAACAATTTACATATACGACTATCGTCAATTACGAAGGATCTGCAATCGAAACTCACGTCGTTGCGCGACGACCATATCCCTCCACATATTCGCTGAGCATTGTTGGGTACGACGTACGCATTCGTAATGGTGTCCATGCTTTTTGCAGCCTCCCGGATTAAGTCAGGTGCACATGTTGTCAAGAGCGACCTTGAAGGGCCAGCCTTCACTCCTGATGCGACAGAACGCCGACCACATCGACATCGACGACTTCGGTTCACGCGTCGTCGATCGGAGAGTCGAGGAAGGCCTCCGAGACCATGTCCATTGCGAGAGCACTATCGACGACTGGATGGCACGCCATCCATCGAAGGCCATCGCGCGAGCCCCTGTAATGAATCCCTCTCGCACTTGATCCAGACTTTCGTCTCTGTCGCGCGAAGGAAAGGGACATACATCACGCCCCCAGTGGCCTTCGGGGTGAACGACAGGTCGTGGCGGTTCAGGCGCGGCCGATAGCGCCAAGTATCCGTAGCTGCTCAACCACTAGCGAGCGTCCCTGCTGCATGGGACCATGCACGCCGAAGAGAGATGTATAACGGGTTAAGCGATCAACCTTTCTGAAGCAGCACACAGTGAGCGGCGGCGGTGGCGGTGGCGAACCAAACTTGTTGTTCCAGACTGCGGTCCTGCGTTCGCGGGTCCCGACGAGCTCCTTCGTGTCACTCCGAAGGCCGTTGACAAGAGCGTCCTCGCGTCTGGAAGAGACGATTCTAATGAGCGAATTAGGAGACTAGGGAGTGAGTGAGAATCCTACCGTGGTGCTGTCAAGTTCGAACGCGAAGATAAGGCAGAGGGTGCTTGGAGGCCTCGTACTTGACCAGGAAGACAGCTCCGGCGTGCGAGATGGGAGAAGTGGTTTGATTGGTTGCACCGTTTATGCAGAGCCATCCTGCAAGTTCGTCCGGCCGGAAGCCTGCCGTCCAGATGAGGGAACAATCAAGAAGCTTCGCACCCTGGTTGAAGGTGGCTCTCGTCGTCCTATTCCTTAAGTCCAGCTCGTGTGGTCTACCTTCCGCCTCTAAGATCAGATCGACTGGTAGTCGATGGATCCCGCTGCGTTGACAATCGCCGCACTGGGCAGTGAAGTATCGTGAACGGCGCTGGCGCGGCCGATAGAGCTCAAGGGCATCAAGTTTAAGGGCTTCAAGTACTCGGCACAGACGAAAGATGTTTATAGGCGCAAAGACATGTAGTTCGAGTATTTGAAGCGTGAGCAGTGGGGCGGTAGGTCGCATCAGCCCATCGCACCATCATCGCAAGTTGTGCATCTGTGTAAACAACAGGGCCGATCAGGGTCTGGTCACAGCGCTAGTTGAGCCACGGCGACCTCAAGGCATTCCATCCTGCTTCAAGCCTACAAAATCCGTTACCTAGCGCAGACGAAACAATATGTGAAAGAGCGTACTTGCAGCGAAGCCCCGTCCTCGAGGTGTAGCACGGTAGTGGGCTAGACACTGGTCGCGAATGGCCATTCCGCGAGGTCAAACTGAGCGAAGAGGTCCGGCATAGCTGTAAATAGGGTTATTGCGCGGAAGCTTGGAGAGCGTTGGTATGACTTTGCGTGAAGCTTTCGCCCAGCACGCACACACTGGAGAGGCACCTCTATGGCAGCTGCTGATCAGCGGGCGGGCATAAGGCGCATGTTTCTTCGACGTACCACTAGCGGGTCGAATTGAAGTCAGTCGCGTGACAACCCCAACCCTAGGGGCCCGTTCCGCGTCGTCGTAGAGTCTTCGCGGATGCCGGCGATGGTACAGGTAAGAGCGGATGCCCTGACACAGAACATGGATACCCTTGAGTGAGCAATCGAAGGGGCGATGCCTGGGATACATATCCACGAGTCGGGTACGATCGCTGTTTGCATCCGCCGCGGCGACGCAGCATGAGCGGCCCCGCGCCCATCTTCGAGCGCAACGGCAATGCGAACTCAATAGTCCAGTGCCACGTCGCGCTGCTCAATCGGACTAGAACGCATGGACGAGCGAAAGAACGGGCGGATGCGAGCGGTGAGTGGACGTAAAGGCGGATGGTGCGTCCACGTGCGGTAGTCGACGTGCTGTGATCTGGTTGGTGAGGTCGAGCTGGGAGGCATTGAGCCGCCGCGGGCCCAATCGCCAGGGAGAGACGAGCAACAATCAGAGTTCAGAAAGCGTTCTGTACTATGGCCGTGAGCAACTAGTGCAGGGCGCTACCGACGCGCTCGCACCTATGCACTTGAGACCTGAGCTCCTTGTCACCGAACCTCCGAGGCGAACGATAACAGCGCTCATTGGCGGAAGCTGCGAATTCTCCGCTGAATGCACCAGATTCGTCACGAGGGCAGACTGCCATTGTCGAGCAACTCTCGACGATCGGACCAGCGAACGATGTCTGTGTCCACCGACAGCCCCACTGCCACTTGAAGATCCTCGGCGGTCGCTGTCGCTGCTCATGGAGCCGCTGCCGCTGCCGCCGATGTTCGGGGGCCGAGCTGTCGAAATGTTCACAATTTGCCAAACGCGCGCACGCAGCTCACGCACCTCGTCGGATAGATTGTTCCTCTCGGTCTTGAACCTATAGCGATGTTAGCTCTTGAGCCACGACGGTGTGCGTATACGCGCACCTGCATAGTAACTCCGGCGCGACGACGGCCGAGCTGGAGGGGAGAGACCAAAGCTGCAGGGGGAGGGCGGCGTGGAGGGGGAAGGTCATCGCGCTTCGGTCCAGAAGATGCAGACATGTCGCGCTCGAGGACGGTCTGTATGAGCGTGTCAGCCAGCAAGCGGGCATTCCTGCCGCGTCCGCCCTACGCACCGAGAGTCGGACACCCTCCTACTACGGCAGTCGGACGCGACGGACGATCGTGGAGGGGAAAGCAGGGAGGCCTAGAGTATCCTAGTGGGATGGCTGCGAGGGGGGCGACGGCAGGCGTCTACTTGGCTCGATCGACCGTGGCGGCACTTTGGGCGGTGCAGAACATCCCGACAGCTGTGATGGTACGCTCCGCGTCGTGCCGTATTGCTCAGTCGGACTCGAAAGCATGTCGGGGAAGCGCGACGCGGGCGGCTAGTATGGGCGGAGACGGGTCGTGCATCCGTGGGGAGCAGTGGGCGCGCCGAAGTCTTCCTGCTGCCGAGTGCGAGCAGCGCAGCATCGAGCCGCCACGGATTCGATCGATAGGGCGGACGAGCGACTATATCGAGAGCTCGAAGAGCGTTCTGTACGATGGGCGTGAGCAACGGAGGGCGGCGCGCTATGACGCGCTCGACCAAGCAACGTACCTACGACCCTGAGACCTAAAGTCCGCGTCGCCGGACCTCTGAGCCGGACGAAGATTGTCGAAAGTGACGGACGCTGCGAATCCTTTGGAAAGTGCGTCACATCCGCCAGTCTGCCGAGCTCTCTCGGAATGTTTTGCATCTTTGGAAAGTGACAGCAAGCAAATTGCGCATGATGTCCAATTTGCTGTACAGTCATCACCCAGCGTTTGAGCAGCTCAAATCCTGTCGAACTTCGGTAAAGGTTGCTTGAGATAACAAGCTCAATGTGAGTCGAGCGATCAGAGGTTCATACCTCGAAGTATCACTTTTACACTGCCGCACGGTTTTCACGTCGAAAAGAAGTAGAAGCCGTTGATGTGGAGAACACCTCTGTGAATACGTGAATTCTAGGTCGAATCTACGTTTGCGCGATGCAGACCTTTGCTGCGTTGGTTTCACCTGGGTGCCGCCATGGATTCCAGGTGCGCGCTGATGGCGGGCGAAATCCGACGCCCAAAACGGAAATATTGGAGGGTCCACGTGCGGGCCGACGGTCTAGCCACGCAGTCGGCGAAGGCCGGGCCCGCGTTGCCATCATGTGACCTCGCCACACTTCAAAGTTTGCGCAGTCGCAACGAAGTCCCACAGCACGACTTGTCTTCTTCCCTCACTCACCGCAGCTTCCCACAACATCCTTCCAGCACTCCGCCTCTGTCTCGTCTCCCGGGCCTGAAGACCGCTCGAAGGGCATAAGGTGCGTGTCCGTCTTTGGTCTCTGGGGATATCTGACATGCAAACCAGGCTTTCCACGTCGCTCACCGCTTGACGACATCGCAAACTTGACCAGAGGTACATTGCCAACACTTTGCCTACCCTCATCTACTGACTTATCCCTCAGGCTGACGATCTCAAGGTCCGAGTCCCCTCCTTCGGGGCTTGAGCTTGTCGAAGGGGTCCAAGACTGGCATGGGCCAGTCAACGAAGGGTTGGCTGTCCTTGACAATGGCTAGTACATTTTCCATAGCATTTTTGTAAACGGTATAAGTAGTGCAGCTGTACATCGCTGCTTTAGTACGTTGGGGTAGATAGTACATGCAATGAAATGGATTTTGAATATCTACAAGTGTTACTGAGGACGACGAGCAATGTGTAACAGTTGCAGGCAGCCCACCCACCGCCCTGCTGCCAAGCACGTGCCTTTGGATCTGTCACGAGTGGGTATTTGTGGACGCCTCTGACTCATCTATACCGGGTTGTGCTTAAAGCCCATGGACAACAAGTATATACAATGTCGGTAGCTTACGCGTCCCTCTACCTACCTTTCTATTCAGTCCGTTGCGTTGTCGCCTTCCGGTCCGTGTCCGTGTCTGTGTCGACTGTGCCTCTGTTGCCAGTCTCCGAGCCCCTTTCCACTCTTGAAAGGATCATCATGAAAATTATGTGGGGACTGCATGATGAAGACGTCGGCGTCAACTACGTGAAATCTACATTGCTCACTATTTATGCAACTTTTTCGTCAAAAACCAGGTAGATTCCATGTGGTGGGAAATCTACCTGAAACTCTCGTCGGCAGCGTGCGGCAGTGTCCCGTACTCCCCCCACCAAAAAAACTCACCGGTCCGGATCTCCGGACTGTCGACCTCATATCTTCACACGGCTCTGGTGTATTGACTTCGAACAAAATGATTTGTATTCTAGATATGGACCTCACACAACAATGGGGTGGCACTATAGCGTTCATTCGAGACGGTATCGGCATCGTTGTCTCGCCACTGTCCACATCAGACCTCCTTGTCCTCAACACTACCACGTGCTGGATAGTGGCTGCATATCTACCTCCCGGAAGCAGTGACTGGCGCAGATGGACTGATACAGATCCGTGGGACCGTATAACTGACATCATGTCCTTTCTTGCCTCCAATCTGGACAAGACTGTCATCCTTGTGGGGGACCTGAACGTATGCACAGGACAACTCCAGGCAGGTCCGCAACCCTCTGACTTGCCGCGTGTTTCACGAGCTAAAGAAGCGCAGGACGCGCAAGACCTCAGTCTTCCTGCTAGTGGAATAGCGACTGAGGGAAAAGAGATGTACAGTAAGGATAAATACGGACGCCCCCGGAGCGGCGTGGGAAAGTTCTTCCCGAATAGGAAGGCGGACCAAAAGCGTGGACGCGAGGCAAACTGTCCACCCATGGGAGGAGGCAGACTCGCCCCTCTATACCCTACTTTTGACACTCCCACTCGAGTCTGGCCGTAAACCCATACCTTGGCAGAACTTGAGATGCTTCTCATGAGGTAGTGCCTTGGTAAAGATGTCCGCAACCATCTTGTCCGTGGGGTACCAGAGGACGACGCACTCGCCGGTGGCAACCAGCCCATCGCGGATGTAGTGGTACTTCCGCTGGATGTGCTTGGTCCGAGCCCGGAACTGAGCATCCTGGCTGAGGATGATGGCCGCGCGGTTGTCGCACCTAAGCTCGGTGGCACCGGCCTGCGGACGTCCCAACTCCTCAAAGAATGAGCGGAGCCACGCCAAATGCTGGCCAGCATTAGCTAGACCAATGTACTCCGACTCGGTAGAAGAGAGAGAGACCATGGACTGCCGCTTGCTGGACCAACCAATGGCGCCCCGGCTTGAGATGAACACGAAGCCGGAGGTAGACTTGGACGTGTCGTTGCATCCGCCCCAGTCAGCGTCGGTGTAGCCATGGAAGTCGAGGTCCATGCCAGCGTCAGTGCCATCATAGACAAGGCACCAGTCGCGCGTCTTCTTGAGGTACCGGAGGACGCGCTTGGCCAGTTCCCAATGGCAGGCCTTGGGGGCGGCGCTATAGCGGCCAAGAACCCCCACCACATAGGCGGTATCCGGTCGGGTGCCCATCATCCCGTACATGAGCGAGCCCACTACGCTCTGGTAGGAGACGACGGGACCTCCGGGGACCAAGGCCATATGAGTGCGCACCTCGTTGTCGTTAGGGTCATCAGCGGAGATGCGAGTACTTGTGGACATGGGGGTGCTGACGCCCGTGCAGTCCGACATGCCATACCGCTCAAGCACGGTGTCGATGTACTTCCTCTGGGAGAGGGAGATCGTGCGCTTGCCCGGGTGCCGGATGATCTCGATGCCCAGGAGGTACTTGGCGGGACCCAAGTCGCGCATCTTGAAGGAGGCGGTGAGCTTCTTGATGCTGTCCATGAAAGGACGCGAGGTAGCGGCGAGGAGTAGGTCGTCGACGTAGACGACGAGGAAGCAGACCTGCTTACCGTCCCGGAAGACGTAGAGGCAAGTCTCCAAGTTGAGGCGCACAAACCCGAGCTTGTTGAGCTTGTTGTGGAGCGTCTGGTTCCACGCGCGACCGGCCTGCTTGAGGCCGTAGACCGACTTCTTGAGTCGCCAGCAGTAGCCCTCCCGGATGTCTACGCCAGTCGGGGGAAGCATGTAGAGCGTCTGTAGCAGCTCACCATTGAGGTAGGCGGTGTTCACATCCATCTGGTCAGTGTAAAGACCGAGGCAAACGGCAAGGGCGAGGATGATGCGGATGGACTCCAGACTTGCGACGGGCGCAAAGGTGTCCTGGTAGTCGACTCCTTCCTGCTGAGTGAAGCCGCGTGCCACAATGCGCACCTTGTACCGCTCAATGTTCCCTTGAGCATCCTCCTTCAAGGAGAAGACATGCTTGGAGGTGATCGGCTTGACGCCCTCCGGGATGGGTACCTCCTCGTAGACATCGTTCAGCTTGAAGCTGTTCAACTCCTCCGACTGCGCATCCAACCACTTGTTGCGCTCTGGGCTCGCCATGGCTTGCTTCCAAGTGGTGGGAATCTTCCGCGCACCGCTGCTCGACCGACCACCAGATGCTGCGCCCGCGAAGAGCTCGTCATTGAGAAAAGCAAAGTTCACAGACTCGCCCTCTTCGTCAGGTTGACCCGGGGGATCCCCACCCCCCTGGGTAGGCGCTGGTGCAGGTTCTGGTTCGGGAGCTGGTGCGGGAGGCGGAGGAGGAGCTTCTGCCTGGGGCGGCTGCTCTCGACGTCGGCGATTTTCCTCGAGTTGCTGCTCGCGCGCGCGGATGTTCGCTTCGTGCTGCTTCCGCTGCTGGGCGGACACCTTCCGGTGGTTTTCCTGCCGCTCCCGAGCGTTGATGTAGCCCTGGTCCTTGTGCTGGTTCGCTGTTCGCTCTTCTGGCTTGCGAAGGCCAGGGCGGCGTGATGGACCAGCGGCGGGGGCAGGAGCCGGCGGAGGTGTGGCCGGTGGCAGGGACCGGCGTGGTATGCGCGTCTTAGGTGGACGCGGAGGAGGCGGTGGCCCGTCCGAGTCAGGTAAAGGCGGACGATCATCTCCCACTGGCTCTGGCGTGGGTGGACGAGGTGCTCCCACTGACCCGGCTGCAGGTGGCTGGGCCGGCGCATTGTCGTCGTCATCGTCCTCGCTGTCACTGCCCGCACCTGGT